GGATTTTCATTCAAATGTTACGTTTCATCTACGTATAAGTATCAAAAATATACTTACGCGTGAATACAAATAAAAATAAAATCATTAACGCGCATGAAAAACGTGTAAATAATTAATAAAATGTGTGCTGGTTAAAAATACGATTCATATATGACATTTGTTTTTTAGTAAGTACATTTAGATATTTTACGAAAGGGTGTCATATAATAATCGTACGTATATTTTTACATAAAAGGGTTTTACTTTTTTATTAATGCTGAGTCTAGGAGAATAATAATCGTTGTATGTCGTTGATTCTTTTTAATAATTCTTTTGATCTTGTAATGGATTTTTCGCCTTTGATACGAAGCGACAAATGAATTATAGTACAAAATCGAGTATACATCAACTGTACGTTTTATAATACGTATACGTAAGTATCGCGCGACAAATTATTTTTTTTCTATTACTGTTACTATTGAAATATTCACCGTAACCGTAATATTATGTACTTACAATAGCAATACCAACAGTTCGAGTTTTATGAAATAACGAACAAATATTAAGCGTGTACAGCGTGTAGTAAAATAATGTAGGTAAATTATATAAATTACTCATATTTTATAGAATTTATCAAAATTCAATATTATTGCATTAATATTGAAAGTTAACGGCGAGTAGGTATCTACCGGGTACACCTATATTATACTGACGCAGACATATACACTAAAAATGCGTTTACTCGCAAACTATGGCGCAGTACGAAAAATAAATGTTATTAATCGTATTATAATTATATTAACATCGGGGTAATGATATGATTTAAAAAACGCATAGAACCTGCAGTCGGCGGTTACGATTTATTAATAGAAACACGACATAATATCTATTATACCAAAACCGGTATATCGTTGATCCGACTGAAGGACACGCTTAACCTACTTAAGGGTTAACCCTAACTCAAGGGTTACCGGGAATTTCCTATTTCCTTAAACTACCTATATTGGAACTTTGTGATTTCTTAGGTAGGTAGGTAGGTAAGCTGTACAGGCTGGTACTTGAAGAATGATTCACGTTTATAAGTGGGTCTTGTTTAATAATTTCCCGGTACAAAAATAGAACCCTACTGTGCGCGCCTGGGCTTGAGTCAATTTCGTAATGGTTTACAACACAAGCCGATTAAATTTCCAATTTTACGTACACTTGTACACTGGTATACAATATAGAACATACTAATGCATCACTAATGCGCTGCGTATACACTGATATTTCGAAAATTGATACACTAACGTGTTTATGATCAAAAAATTGCGCGAGAAAAAATTATTAAAAAAAAATAATAGGAATAATAACGCCAAACGTCGACGTATAAACCGTTCTGTTCCCCGTGATCGAAAATACATGCAGTACCAGTACGATGGGAATGATACAGAAAGAGCTCATACTGAGGATGGGAGCAGTCACTGTTGTAGGTGAGAAGTTGAGAAGGTAAGATACATAAGGTTATTTCATTTATGTCTGTAAGCAACGATAAACCATTGCTTGACGAAAAACAATTCCGAGCGCAGTTCGGTAATACATAATTTGAATTACCATAATTTTTTTTGTGATATTCGTTTAAATTTGATTTCAAGACGATTATTAAAAAAAAAAAAGTGATTCGATGATTTTAGAAATTTTAGGTAAGTCCGATATAAGTATTATTACCAAGTTTCAAGCCTCTACGTGTATTAATAACCGAGAGTTATTTAATTTAAAATTCCTCAAAAGTTTTGGCAATGATACAGTAAGAAAGTAAATCAAAAAAGACAAAAAAAAAAAAAAAAAGTGTCTCGTGATTTTTCAATTAATTTTTTTTTTTTCCGGTAGAAAACGTCGTCCGTGTTTTTAATAATAAAAACATGAAATTGTACGTTATCCTTACGTATTATCCCCACTTGAATATGATTTTGTTTAAAAAATGGCGCCGAAAATCGAAAAATGACCTCTAATGTACAATCTAGACAAATTGAGCTTTCGGGAAAGTCGCTACGCGTAAAAATCGGAGCCAGTCCACTACGAAAAAAACGCGTCCACGGACTAGAACAAAGGCAAAAGAATAAAAAGAAAATAATAATAATAATAAACAACTCGGTAAGACCAACAACGGCCGCCGTTGCTAAGCTCGGAAGCTCCGAGCTATATCGGCCGAGCTAAATGTACGGGATGCGCGCGCCGGCGATAAATGCAAAAATTACACCGTTTCAAAAGACAACGTTAACGTTTCAATGCTGTCGTACTCACTACCGGCAGGTAACAATACCGTAACAGTATATTATTACGGGCGGATATCCGAAGTTATTCCGCGTTCGCCGTCGCAAACGTCGGCGAGCAACCGCGGTCCGGAACCGGGAACAACATATTACACGACGTAATGTAAACTGCACCGAAAAACACGCTTTGCACGTAATAAATACAGCACCGGCGGTATGCCGTAGCCGTTGTTTTAAATTCGCGAACGATTACTACGCGAACGAACGCCGTAACGCGCGGTACTCAATGGCCGGACGCACACGCGCGCGCGACTGAACGAAACGTGCGCGCCGTCGGAGCTTCGGTGCCGACGGGATGCCGCGGCCGCATGAAACGGTAGGGATTCAAAAATCCCGTTGCGCAGGGCGGCCACCGTTGGAGGGAAAAAAAAAAAAATTACGCCGCCGCCGCCGCCGTGTAGGTGCGCAATATAATAATAACATATTATGTAATATTGCGTTGCCGCGTCACGGTCACGATTTTACGCGCGGCACGAGCGAGGGGGATTCGCGACCAACGCATTACCGTTTTTTTTCTTGTGTAAAATAATTGAGATTTTTTTTAATTTTTTTTTTTATCCGATTTTCATATGAAAAATCGACGTACCGGATTGTGTACGCGTTACGGAACGGAAAAACGGCGACGGGATCCAGCGGGCGCACAGCATCCGCGTCCAACCCGGCGCGCGGCCCTGATTGCCGAAAGCGTTTCGATATTTTACGGGCGACAATAATCGTTGCGATCGAATATCAAATAAAAATTTCTCCCGCGCACGCGCATTGGTATGTCCGGCGCCCGGCGCCCGTTTAAAAAACAATACCGTTACACACGCGGCTGCAGTTCTCGAGTGGCGAATGTGTGCGATGCCTATTGACTCCGCGACGTCGTTAACACGCGATAATGGATAATATCTGCGTAGCGTAATAACGACAATTATTATTAGACGGGATTTTCGTTATTTTTTTTTTTTTTTTTCAGAAAAATTTCAATTATCGCTTTCGCAAATTCACCGAAACATTCGTTTTAGAAATCGTGTCCATAATACTAGATACACTATCATATCGTCGATTCCGGGATTCTCGCAGCCATCAAGTTTCTCAACAAGTATCGCCGTGGCGACCATTAATTAACCTGCGGTTTATGATGCATGTCCGACAGTATAATTTATTGGATATTATAGCGTGTGTGTGAATATGTGTAATTTACTTTTTTTATACAGTCGCCGAAATTACTTTGACACCTGTAAACGGATTTGTCGAATCATCTGTAACAAAACCTATCAATTTTTTGTTTACATTCTACAAAAATGGACGAACGAATCTACAATGTCATATCATATATGATTGCACGTTGATGGGGAGACATTGTTTAATATTAACCACCCGACAAATGTATTTTGTAAACATTATTTTATGAAGTTGTGTTAACCGATAAAATTATAATTGATCTGTGTATACAAAGTCCAATGTTACACCACGTCCGTCCAGTAAAACGTATTATGCGTACGTATACAGTTCATTTGTTCACGGAGAAATTCAATACAATATACATCGTCGATATTCAGTAAAAATTAAATATATTAATTTGTAGGATCGATGTAAACAAAATTCAAGCCAAGAGTTGTTACAATGTTGCTTAATCGACAAAAACGAACTCAAAATGAAAAGTTACGACCAATTTAGTTGATTGAGTTAAAAAAAAAAAAAATCGAAAAACGACCTCCCCACGCCGATTTCCTTTCAGAAAAACCGCCACGCTTAGAAATCTGAGCAAGTCTTTTGGTAGGAGAGTTGCGCACATCTTTGTAAAACTACAAGCTTCTTCGCACCACTCTGAATCTAAAATCCATATATTTGCCCAGCCGGCCTTATCGAACTGTAATATTTTTTGTAATATCATAATACAAAATTAATTGATCTTTTTATCTAGACGCGAATGTGTTTAACTTCTATCTTTAGTTCGACGAGAAGGTTCGTGAATTATCTTTTATAACAAACATACAGATAACTCTCGTGTTGGTAATTCGATTTGATAACAGTATAATATTTCCTTCCGCAACGAGTATTACCGATGATATGTTAATACCTACGGTGCGGCAGTACACATCTACCGGCTAGTAATTTCTGTTTGGCGCGTTACACAAACCTAAACTAGATAATATTATATCTCCGATAACAAATAAGGGGTTTGTCGAACAGAAATACGTAAAACTGGATTACCGTTGCGACGCAGCAGAACAATAATGCAAACCATCTGTCCAATCAACAGAACGCCATAATATTGCACTTAACCCCCCGCTGGCTGCCATTATATATTTATACACTATTCCGGATTTCGGAACCCTAATTTACAACCAACACCGTATAGCCGTCTGCATAGCGGGTACATTACGAAAGCCCCCGTATAGATTGTTCTTTGCTTGTTTATCCCGAGAACAATTGTTATTTATCTCGCTTCCACTCGAGTTTATTTAAACAGGCCTTACCTAAGGATTTTTTATGATTTTTGTTTTTTTCCTCTAGATATACCCATCGCCGTTGATATTTAAAATCGTAAACAAAACGCACCATACGATTCGATAGCACATAGGAGGTACCCGTAACGCGAATAAACTATAAGTATATTTTTTGTTTTTCCAAACGAATACACCGCGGACGTTGGACCTATTGTTTCGCCGTGCTGTAGCGTACCACAAAACACGAACCGACAGTAACGCGGCGGCGCACTCGTTATTCTTCGGCCAGAAGGACTTCCATGACGGCTACCCGGATGCCGTCGCCGACCAGGCACCGTCCGTCGTTGACGCCGATCAATCGCCTGATCAAGCGTCCGGTCACATCGACGCAGTCGTTACCCCGGTTCGTCCGGTGGACGGCGACCAGCGCTCCGGCCATGCGATCCAAACCGCCGGCGGCGCCCGCGCCGGCCGTCGAAACGTCGTCGATCAGCAGACCGGTGAAGTCGACGTACGCGCGGCACGCAGCCGACGACGCGCCGTCACCGTCCGCCGCCGCCGCCGCCGCCACGGACGTCAACAAACAGCCAGCTACGTGGCCGACCACACGGCCACGGACCCGGGACCGCGATTCATCGTCGCAAACGTCAAAGTACAACGCGGCCAGCGTCCGGCACAGCGTCGGCACGTCGGCCGCGGCCGACGACCAGTTGTCAATCGCGTCACCCACGAACCGCACCGATAGGCCGACGTCCACTTTGCGCGCGGCCGTTTCGAAACACTCGTGTAACTGACCCGCAAAATGGCACAGCTCGTTCCGTTTTATTAGCGGCGTCAACACCTGTACAGAATCGCCAAAAAACACCGTCGTAAACGTGATTTTAGTTGTAAGTTTTAACCGATTGGAAAAAAAAGAAAATCGACCACTACCTATTATGGGTACTCGTAATATATTACGGTACGTCAGGGCTTGAAATACATTCGATTTCAGGGGACACGGTTTTTTTTTTAACTCGATGATAGAAATGATAGATTGACAAAACAAACCCTGTGTAAGGGAACGTAGCTCTTTATACACTACTTTGCTTACACATTTATATTGTGTATCATAAAAAGTGTAGCCAAAAAATTATCGACGCAAATTAAGTATAAGTTAAAGTGTACAAAATTGTGTAAATATAAAACAATTTTAAATTGATAACAGTTATTGGTTATAGTGAGATCATTAGTTGATTATCTGTTATCAACTTTATTGTTATTTCTAAAATTAAAATTAATATGCACGTTATAAAACTTAGTACACGCATTTGCAATTCACTATTTTATGCCCTGCGGTATGTTTATATATATATTTATATGTTTTTCGTGTCACCTGGCTATAAGAATATTGAATAAACAGAAGAAATATGTCTAAAACTTCTCATTCCTAACGATTACATCTTTCAGTTCGAAAAATAACATATTGTGTGCATTCCGCGGCCGTGGGTATAATTCTGTTATTTATTTTAGTTACGAATTGATTTAAAGTATTCAGAATACAGATTCGAAATAATTTAAATCTATTAATTACGTTGCAAAAATGTATTATGACATTATACTATTACGTCGAACTATACATGGTATTTCGCGAATACATATACCGAACGAAAGAATTATTACGCAAAGATAATGTAAAAATATAAAAAGACAATTTAAAAAAACAAAAAAAGTTATGACAATATCTTTTTACCATAGCTATTGTTGGCGAATCGACCAATCCGTAACACATTTCAATTTTCAAAAGTTCCAGCAATTCCTTTACGCTCCCATAGGTAGCCATTATTTGTCCGCATACGCCTACTAGTGAGTTTATAGTATTTTGAAGTATATATTCTCTTAAGTAAACAGACTTCTCAAATAGCCGAAATAAAATCTGTTTCACACAATCTCTCTCAACTTCAACGCAACTATCTTGCAATCGTTGAATTAAAGCTTTGATAAATGTGCAGCCAACATACGGCGACAGCTTTTCATCGTCAAAAGCTTTCAGATTCAGAAATGCAATTAACATTTTGTAAACCGGATATAGCTGCTTAAATTCCCATAGCATCTCTGAATTAATTTCGTCTTCGTATGTATACAATGTAGGTCGAAACACATTGTTGGAAAAAATTTCTGTTAAAAAATGGGAAATTATATAAGTTATATACAATATACTAAAAACGATTGTGCCTTTATTGAAAGTGAGAATTCAGGAAGTACAAATTAACCCTAATTTGTAACTTTTCAACCCCATTGGAACACGTGAAGGTGAGCAATCATGACCAAATTTAACTCAAATTACTTTCTCATAACAATAAACAAAATAAAGGGGTGAGAAATCAAAAGTTTATAAGTTCAAAAATAAGGGTCACCCTAAGGGGCCATGATAGTGTTTAAAATTTTCATCAAAATTTAAACAGTTCACTATGTACAATTTATGACAAAAAATCTCGTTTTAAATTTCTGAGCATTTTTGCAAGGCCGAAAAATTTGTAACCTCATAAAACCAAATAAAACTCTTTTCAACATTTGAAATGGATATAAATAGCTCAAACATCGCCAGATATTTTACCATGTCTATAGAAAAAGCTAATATAGGTCAATGCGATTATTTAAACTGAATTACAACAATAAAACAAAATCGAAAATGAAGGAAACCGCTATTACGTATACATTTTCCCGTTTTTTCACAATTATTTTAAAAAACTACAAGGAAAATCAAAATATAACCAACAAGAAAACATTTTCCACCCTTAAACTTGATAATCGAAACAAGATTTCTGCTAGTAATGTTAATGACAGAAAAAAAAAAGCAGACATTATAGTAAAACCGAAATATTCCCGTTACACCCAGAAATATTATCTGTACCACAAATTCTTTTGTATACTTCAGACTGATATGAACAGTCTTCTAAACAATCTTCAGTCCACATCATGTGTAGTTTATTCAAATTGTCTATTTTATGTATCAGTTCTATACAATCGACACCCATGGGTACAGAGAAATATAATTTACATGTCTGGAGCATTTGCACCACAGTCGATGATGAATCCATGTCTTCAACATAATAGTATGACATCTATATTATTTAAGTATATTATAAGTTTATTAGTGAAAATAATATAAATAAATAATTAGTTTCAATTAATTTAAAACTGCTATAGGTTAAAAATAAAGTAGATATCCTAAAATAAGGATCCTATTTTAATGCTAATAATAAATATATAGGTAGTAAATATTGTGTTAATACTAGAAAAGTACCTACATCGTTGCTATAGAAATATTACCCACTGTATTACCTATTTATACATAAGATCAATCAGTGTAATATAATATATGTATAATATTATACATTATTATTACTTGGTATATATGTAGAATATAATTTTGTTTGCATGCTAATTGTATGCAACGACAAAATCATTAAAAAAAAAAAATTAAATTAAATTCAGTTAAAAATTTAAATCTAAAATATTATCAAGTTGCAACTTTAAAATAAACCACGGTTAGGTTATTTTAACGAATTTTATCATACACATGAACTTAAAACGATTATGATGCCTCCATATTGTCAAAACATGTATAACCGGACTTTGTTATACGTTAGCAATAGTTTATTATTGCAGCTTACAGATATAAATTAAATAACTTTATGTATCCGACCTTCCCACCTAACAACGACACACAATTATTAATCAAATATATATTTAAATAACAATTATATTGTATTATATATATTTTTTTCCTAATATATTTAACCCGTTGATGATATTTTGGCGTCCCGGTTCGGCCGGTCTTGTTTTGAGAACCGTTCGGAGCGCCCAGCTGACTATCCGCCTAGGAACAAGGTCGCGCCAACCTAGAACCGAGGTTCGAAAACCGAAGTCCTAGGATTTTTGTTATGGGAAAAGGGAAAATTACATTCATCTAAATAAATAAACACGTGGTCTTTTTTTTGGGGGGGGGAGAGGGGGAGAATGAAGAATTATTTTATTAAGTCATTATTCATCAAATAGAAGTAAAGTTGAGTTGATGTGACAGAAAAGCCCGTGGCATAAAAACTGTCAACCGAGAGAAAGTGAATAACAGGTACGATTTTACACAGGTACATCGATGAATATATACATAGAATGATAGACATATATATTAACAACATATATTTCAAATACATACATATATAGAGTGGCTGGGGCGTCAACCAGTCTTAAAACTTGTAGTCCGGACGCATGTATGGATATAATGGTGAGCGTGCGGGCCGGGACTTGCTACTAGTTATCAATAATGATGAACTCACATTCGCGTGCGCGAATTTTTTAAAATACGCACACACACGTGGTTGTGAAGCTGAGTGCCTAAAAGGGAATGCAGAAAATAAAGAAACAATAATGCGGGTAGGTGGGGGGGGGGGGGGTTGCCTGTTGCACACAGGATGTGGAACGCGGGGATTACTACACCGAGACGGACGCACAAACTTAACAGACGCTGGTTGATCCCCGTACGTATAACGGAAGAATTCAACATAAAATATTACATCGTACACGGATTTAACATATGTACACAACGCGGACCGTAGGACGCGTATACAAACGGGAAAATATTGTGTTGGGGAGTGTGTACGTGATATTGAAAAAAACGATTGTTCGAGAGAGAGTAAAAAAAAAAAAAACAATTTTAAACAGAGTATGTAAACGGGGGACATTAACCAAACTAACGTAAAACTACCCAACTAAACGGGTTATCGGCCAATTATTAAACTGCATAAATATATAATAATATATATATATATATTACCAATCATCCGGCCCGAACGTGTCCGCCCGGCGGACCAGATCGGGGCACTCTGCTCCATTAGTTCGTTCGAGGCGCCATCGGGACGGTTGAAACGTGCCAAGGTACCGCGACCTTTCTTGATGGCGAAAAATATGCGAACCCGTACAGTGTACGGGATAGCGTTTTAACGGAGAAAACTGTATTAAGCGACCGCCCGTTGGCGAAGTCCCGAGACGGGGTCCGGACGCGAAGAAAGCTAAAGACGAACAGAATGGCGGGCGGCGGAGCGCCGAGGCGTTCGCGACACCACGCGTCGCCGCGGGCCGACGTTTTGAACGATAAGGGGAAACGCGATACGATTGGCCGTTAACCCGCGGTCAGAAATATAATATCATTGTAAATTGCGAGAGATTGCGATCGCGTAGACCTTTTCGCGGGGAGATTATCGATCATGATTGCATAACATATCCGTCGATAGCGGGCGTCGTCTACTAACCGGTCGACTGCATTGATTGTAAGTACGTTTGTCCCAAGACAACGGAAAACGGTCGTTTTCGGACGTTACAGGACATTCCACTTGAGCGAGGGAGGGGTGGGGGAGGTGTCAACAGTTGAACAGTGTCCAAACGTACGTACCAAAACTCTAATGCGGAATGTCTCGTCAATAAATTTACGAAAATTATTAAAATTAAAAATTGCAGTATCAAAATGCATTTAAACTAAAACTTCAAAATTTATTTATGGAATTTTTTCTACAGGTTGCTAACTGAAAACCAAAAGTGGGTGGTAGTTTCACTACCGAAAACATTCATGATTCCAAAAAATTTTTATATCAGTCATTTTTTGAATAAATAAGTACGTATTTCACAGAAAATTTCACTGTGACATGAAATTTGGAAGACCGGTGAAAGAACCGTATATATTATGACGTAGAGACTTGTAGTGTAAATTAAACAAGAACAACGAAAACTTTTTAACAAGTAAAACAACATTTTTCAAGTTTTAAAATCACTGTGTTTATTTGTCAACAACCAGATCGATTTTTTAAATGTACCTAATCTAGCTCCGCCTGTGGTTTCCTGTAGTTATAAATGTTATACCATCCAACTTATTGCATTCTTGTTGATATTTATATAAATATATCAATTTCGATATAGTCGATTAAACTAACATTAATAATAATAATAGTTGTAACAAAACAAGCACCAGACTTGTACTGTTCTATATGTTTACTATCTAATCCGTTGATATTTATGTATTTACGGTATGGAAATATAAAGAAACAATTACACGAGATTAGATAAATTTATTATTATGAACATTGAACATTATATTTGTATTATATCCTATGGGAACTGTTTAAAACCATTTCAGTCAATATTATTATTAATAAGTACCTATGAGAAAAATACGAAAATGAATTGTGTTTTTATAGAATCAAATCAATATTATTCATGAACGGTACGAGATATGAAAACTGTATTTTTATAAAAGTTATAGAAAATTTAATTTACTTTAAAATATTTAAGATAAAAAATATCGATATTTTTAACAGCAAATGAAATATTTACGGACATGTTAGAAATTTCCGTAAATAATAAAAAAGTATTAGCTTCCAACTTAAACTTCATGGATTTACTTTATCTGATTGACCTAAAAATTTTTGTAGTTCATTTTTAAACATATACAGACTCATATAGAAGGTGAGACCAAACATATTATGATATTTTTCTTTTTATATAATAACTAATACTGATTTTGATAATTTGAGATGATATTTATTTTTTTCAATCAAATTCAAAAATCTAAGTTACGCTTGTCACACTATTGAAATAGCAGATTAAATAGGTTCCTACTAAAGTTGCATCTATAAATATCGCGTTTGACAACTCAAATTCTAGAATCTTATCATCTAAGACCGTCCGTACGCGAAATTTTAAAACATGTCACGGCACATTTGCCATCCCACGATCTGATAACAAGTTAACGTTGATACCAAATTTAAATTTCGTTAATATTTATTGTATATTTTTGCGTTTTATACACATTAGTGTTTAACAGTTTTTTTTTTTTGTTATTGGTGTTAACTAACATTAGTACGGTTTTTTACCATTTTAGATTCTGAGTAGAGCGAAGAAACTTATGGTTTTACAAAGATATTTTTTATTTTTATTTTTATTTTATCTGTGGAAACTTTTCTACCAGAAGACTTGCTCAGATTTTTAAATGTAGCGCCTTTTCTGAAAGGAAATCGATATGGTGGTACTTTAAGTAAGTCATTTTACGATTTTCTCATTAAATTTGAAAAACCTAAAAAAATGAAGGAAAAACGAGAAAATATAAGAAATATAGGTATTAGTTAAAATATATTACGGTCTTCTCTTTTTCCTGTAAATAAGTTTTCTACCAGCAATTTCGCAACAATTTATAATGATAGCATTTTTTTCTAAAACGAAATCTGATCATTTTCGATTTTCTCAAGTTTTCCCAGCAAATGTGAAAAACCGGGAAAACGTAAGAAATTGGGAAAATCGGTACCTACAACATTAAACAAATATTATTAAGGAAAATGTATAAAGCCTATTTAATTATTTTACTATAAAATGACATATATTTTTTATATATTTGACAAAGCATCACTATCAACTAAAAATTCGCTCAGAATGGTTTTTTCGTTGCATACAGGTATACATTTAATTATCTATAATAGTGGCTGCACCCGTTTCCATTATCCTAGGATGTCTTTTACCAATTTGTGGCACAATTTCATTATTTTTATTATGCATTTGCATTTATGTTTATCTATATTATCTTAACTAAATAAGCTAAAAAGTAAAAACATAATTAATTTGCTTATAGTAAATTTATGTATATTAATATATGGACTGCTTTCTCCTCATCACCATCTAATAGTTTCCAGTGTAGCAATAACTATCATAACCTAAGCAATAACCAACATCCTCAATCAACTTCAACGTTATGTTTTATCTCCATCTACTAGTATAGCAAATTTCATATATCATTTTAGTAGGTACATCCCAATTTTGGAAATCTGTTGTTTAATATTTTGATAAAAAAATGTATAATAAAATACACATGTACAATATGTAGTGTCATTTGTTATACATGACAAATTAGATGTATTACCTAACAAATGATATTATACTGAGTACCTATTATTTATTAAATTTATAATATGTTTTTTATTCATATCATTTTAAATTCTGAGCAGAGTGAGGAAAGTATTGGTTTTACTTATTGTTGATTATTGGTTTTTATTTTTTTATATGTTGTACAAAAACTCTACCAGAAATCTTGCTCTGAAGTATCAAGTATAGCCTCTTTTCTGAAAGGGAATTTTATAAAGAATAATAGAAATGATATGATAAGATATTACTACATAAGACATCGCTTCAAAAGTAGAAAAATTAGGAAATAAACCGAGAGGAGCAAAATAATAGCTAAATAAGCTTTGATGGAGGTAAAAAAGAAGAAGCATCATTATTATACTTTCTATTTTGTACTTTTGTAGTTTTGTCTTGTGTGTTACTAACCTAATAAAATAAGTAATTTAACCTAAATCTAAGCTCCATTATCTCAAGAGAAACTTATTTGTTTTTTTAAATCTCAGTATTCTTTATTTTGTTTAATTCAAGCATCTATGTACAATAATTACTTGTATAACTTGTCAAGTTCATTAGTTTTAATTTAAAAAATTATCACTTGAAAAATACCAATATTTTATTTATTTCCTTGATTAAAATATATATATTATCATAGCATACAGATAATAATTTAAATTTAAAATTAATTATTGTAATGAAACATTATTTTTAATTGGTATAAAGTTCAACTTGCATGTTTTATTTTATTCTATTTTATTTCTTTTAAAAAATTGTTTTGATATTACCTAATATTCTATTATACTGACTTTCTGAATAGTTAAAACAATGACACTGCAATAATAATGTAGAGGTAAAAAATAATGATTATATTATAACTTAACTTATAGTATTACTTGTATTACGTAACTTTGAGAAATATTATATTTGGAATAACAAAATAATGAATTATTTATTTTATTAAGTATAATAATCATTGTAAATTATCCCAAATTCCTTAATGAATTTATAATTTTATGAAATTAACAATACATTTGCCAGAGGCTAAACATTAACATATAAAATGCTCACTTCCATTGATGATGTCCAATAAGGAAAGGAAAGGAGAGTGCATATTTTCTTTGACAAATATTATATTTGAAAATTGAGGTCAACAATTCAATGCCTACCTAGTACCTATTTTTCTGAGGAAAATTTTACTTTATCCCACCTTTACTGAAAATTACCATATGGATACAAAGGATACTCCTGCATATATTAGTGAGTGTCCTCACAAATAATGTTGGACTCATGGGCAAACAAATTTCATACCATTGCATGATACTTGAAATAATTTTACGATTGTACATTTCAAAACATATTTTACACGATGGGTGGGCCACCATTATAATATAATAAATAAGAAGTTGAGAAGGTAGGATAGAGGATAATTTAATGTATATCTGTACGTAACTACTAATCTTTGCTAATGATAAACAATTCTAAGCAAAGTTCGACAATACATGTTTTAAAAGGCCATAATATATAAGATTTGCAAATAATACGTTTTGTATATTTTCTCCAATTTATTATGCAAACAGCTGGGAAAATCAAATAATGACCTCCCAAAGGGGTACTTGTAAAAAAATTGGAATGTATAAATCTGAAACGTACAATTCTTGAAAAATAATTGTTTACTGATCCAGTGTCAGTCCCAATTTTGCAATTTTGCAAATGTTGCCTATGCACTTAATAACACTTAATTGTTTTGTTAAAAAAAAGATGATAGCCGTTCTCTGACACTGATAAGAACTTCTAGAAAGTTAATTTCCCAAGCGTAATTAAGGTAGTGTTAATATGTGTTGTTTTGTCTTACAATTTTTAAAAGAATGGTTTATGGTCGCAGACGTGTATGTTTTTGGTCTAAAGGTTGTTAGCATTGGAGTAATAGAAAATTATTTCTCAAAAGAATTGTACTTTCCAGGTTTGTATTTTCAAGAATTTTAAGTTACAGATTTTTACACCCTTCCTACTTAAGTACCACCACAGTCAAATTTCTTTTCAGAAAGTGCTATAATTGATAATCAAAGCAAAATTGCTGATAGAAAAGTTGTTAACAAATAAAAAAAACAATCATTGTAAAACCAATACATTGTTTGTTTGACTTAGGCCAACATCGGTTGTAGACCCGTGGCGTTTGCCCACTTGGTTTTAAGCCACTGAATCAAATAACGGTCTCACTGCTCGATATTACTAGATTTCCAACAATGAGTAATTATTAATTAAGAACATTCATAAAACTAACGCATAAAAAAACACAGTGCAGTTATAAAATAAAGTAATAAATAATATTTATTGTTTTGTTTTATACAAAAAAAATATATATATATTTATACTCATATATATAGTTATTTAATAGTACAAAATAAAATACATAATTAGGATCAAAATTAAAGTTACCTTACATTAAGCCTTATTATTTAATAATAAAACTAATAAATTTGAATTATTACACATTTGATGAATAAAAAAAAATTGTTAGAATTATAGCTAATTCATAAAAAACTGACTTGATTATCTTTTAGTGTTTAAACCAAGCACAAAATATAAAAACAGATATTTCAAAATAAATTTTATTTCTCAGAAATAAAGATATGTTAGTTTGTAACACATATTTATCAAATTCAAACTAAAAATGCATAAGGACGAAAATACTTTCAAAAAGAAAATTATTATATATTTTACAATATAATATAATCGTTAACTATAATAACCACGTATCATAAAATGTGATTGTTGTAAACATTTCAACAACTCCATTAGTTTAAAAATACTTCAGCTGCTAAATATTCAAAAACCGATTATATAATTCTTAACAATAAGATACAAATAAATTGACATCTAAATACAAACAATTTGAATGTCGTGAAAAAATATAATTTCATATATATTTTTTTAGTGTATTATTGCAGCTTACTAGATTTTTAACTTATAAAGAACGTTATTATTAGAGTTAACAATCAAAAACCACATTTAGTAACTATATATATTAGATAATTTACTAAAATACATTATACCGCCCTATTTTTTTTTATTTTTTTTTTAAATTTATGTACACAAATTAATGACAGTAAAAATAATGTCAAAAAATCATTTGATATTTTAAATATCTTGTTTTTCAATTATATACATATTTGTTATATTATGTAATTATTCGTATATTCACGACTTGACAGAGTCTTTTTTATTTGAATCGTCAGAACTAACAGATTTATCTTCTTTATCATCTGAAATCAAATAATAAAAGCATTAACATTAAAAAAAAGAGCTGATACAGGGGATGGGAGTAGCCACTGTTATAAGTGAGAAGTTGGAAAGGTAGGATACATTAGGTTATTTCATATCTGTAAGCAAGCAACGATAAACCATTGTTTGAGGAAAAACGATTCTGAGCACAGTTCGGTAATAAATAATTTTTGCAATTTTTAATTAAATTTGATTTCCAAACTCTTATTAAAAAAAAGTCATCCGATGATTTTGGAAATTTTACCACATCTAAATAAGTCCAATACAAGTATTAATACAAAGTTTCAAGTCTATGAGTATTTATAACCGAATTGCAACAAAAAAAACTACCAAAAATTTAAATTGCTTTAAAGCTCAAGTTTAAGTGATGATACCGTAAGAAAGTAAATCAAAAAGACAACAAAAAAGATGTCATGTGATTTTTTAATGAAATCAGTTTTTCTGGTAGAAAGCGTCGTCCGTGTTTTTAGAAAATAATGAAATCGTGAAATTGTACATTTACCTCTTTTTTCATACTTAAGTGCTTTTACTTAAAAAATGGCATCGAAAATCAAAAAATTACGTCTCAAAAGTATTATCTAGACCAGTAGTCTTCAACCATTTTGGATTCACAACACACTTTTTTAGGCGTACATTATTCACGACCCACATAAGGCATACATGAAGAAAAAGGTTTGTAGAAAAAAAAAAACATAAACATTTTTATAAAGAAATTCAAATAACCAAATAATATCATGTTCAATAATGCACGTATAGATTTAACCTACAATTATTAAACACTAAATTTTTAATTTTTTAGATTTCCAAAATGGTTTAATTTTAATATGAGAGTAGTGAAGTACAAGTTCACTAACTAAAAATTATAGCATATTGTAAAAAAGGTACCTATTCTAATAATTCAGCAGTTACATGCTCATTTGATATAACACCTCATTTTAATATTTCCTATTTACAGTCTATAAACTATTTTATAGCAAATTGATATAGAATTATCATTCATAGAAAAATAGCTCAAATAGAACATACCCGAATAATACTATAATCCATTCCACAAGAGAAGAGTACTGGCTGGCGACTAAAATTGTTTATACCTGATATGCAGAAAGTTAACATTGTCGTTTTTATGCTGTCGTTTATATATATAATTTTTTTATTTAAAATTTAATTTTATAAAATTACTAGTAATAGTAATTTATTTTATTTTATAACATTTAAGCAGGCAATATTTTAAGTACAAGTGATGAACACAATAATTTTGATGACACCAAGCAAGTACATTGTTAACACGTGATAATTTAAGAAAAAATATGACCGTGGTTAAACTTGTTTAGTTGCCCTAACATTCTATGCAAGGGATGGTTTTGGCCATATTATGAAGTGCGATGGTGGTGAATTAAGAAAAGAGTGGTTTCTTGAGCTATGAGAGGGGAGACGGAAGGAGATGGAAGAAAAGAGATCACGAAAATTAATGGCATCACCATTAAGGAAGGATGTAATGAAAGAGTTGTCGGTTTGGACTCTACATGAGGCTAGGATTTGGTGATTGAGATGGGAGAATGAGAAAGTAGTAGTGTTGGAGGAATTTAAAGAGGAAAGCAGTGTATGATAAGAATCTATTTTGAACTCTCTCAATTCACTGCATATCACGGGAAAAATAGGCATACCAGATCACAACCCATTGCGAACCAGAGAGATGTAAAAGATGCAAAGACAAGAGACAGAAGAGAAATTAATCATATTTAGTTTAATAAAACTGAGTACCTTGAGGGCTTTACATCCTGTTTATATGGTGCTCAAAGAAAAGAATGCAGGAGAAGAAAATACCTAGGTCATTAATTAGGTCAACACGGGTGATACGAAAGCCGTTAACAGAATAGGAATGAGAAAGGAGAGAGAAAAATAGTATGACATTTATTTATACTGAGAAGATTAAGATGTTTTACCCTGTCACAAAAATAATTAAGATTAGACTGAACAAGGAGACAGTCAGAAAGAGGCAATTTTTAGAAATAACTTGATGTCGTTGGCAAAGAGAAAAACTTAGCATGTGAGAGGAAGTCAAGGAAGAGTTGAAGTAGAGGAAGAATAGTAGGAAACTGAGGTAGCCACCTTGAGGAATGCTGAAAGTGTTCCATCAATGAAAACAAACTCTCTTCTAAAGCTAAGGTAGAATAACAGCCAAAAATGGAGTGGATCGTCATTACCCAGATTGTTAAGGATTCACAAAAGTCATGGTCGACAGTGTCAAGACTTTGCAGAAGTTAGTGAATGGCATCGACTTGGGATTTGACTTCAAGACTGTCTAAAATATAAGTGGACAAGACTAAGCTGCTTGTAATTGCTGATTTCCCAAGGTGAAATCCATGCTTGCAGTGAGTTATAATGTAGTTAATGCCACTTTTAATAAAAGAGTAGACAAAATTGTAACATATATAACATAATTAAAATTGATCGAACATAGATGACTAAGCAAGCTGTTGTGAATGTATCACACAATAATAGTTAATCGTTTTAACATGTATAACTTGTCATTGTAAACTATGCCAGTTATGTGGAGGGAATTGAATGGTGCAATGAACATTCACTGTCACACTGTGTGCGAAACGGTACCTTTCTCTTGTGGAATTGACAACTGCAGAAATCACAATGGTTATCATGATTACTAAACATTGATATTCTGGATATTTTAGATATTGAATTATCAATATTTGATAAACAGTTAATTTATTATTAATCAATTATGTTATTTATATTGTATTTTCAAAAGTCTATTACAAAATACAAGTATAATAATAAACATGATAGGTAGTTTCTTTATTAGTAAATTATTTAAATTTTAAAATTTAATAGATATACAAGTTGATTCATTAAGCATTAATCGTAAATTGTCTTTCACTAAACCTAAAAGTTCCCAAAATCAGAATTTGCATAAATGTATAATTCACCCCTAAAAATGGGATGAACATGTTTTATAAGTCACCTTGTATATAAACGGTATATTTATTTATAATTTTGAATAAGGAAATAAATTAATAACATATACAATTTATTAGAAACAATAGGAAAACAATATGCTACATAATAAAAAAGAAAGATTATAGAAAAATATTTAAGGCATATACGAAGAAAACCTTCACTAAATACAAATTTATTATCTAAAGCTAATCTTAATTCAAATACTTAAAACACGATATGTTTAGACTTAGAAAGTATTTAATGTAAACTCTTAACTGTTTAACAACAAATTTACTATAGTAGCACTCACACCCTTGTCTCATCTCATTAACCGTAAGTTAACATATATATTATAAATTAATTTTACTAATACCTTTTAAAATGTTAAATTCAGGTTCATCAACTTCCATTCGATTAGAATCCAAACGTGGTTGTTTTCTGGAGGGTGCAACTGTTTTATAAGATCTACAATCATGAAAATCATAATTAATATAACTAATAGTAAAAAGAAATTGTTACCCTACCTGTTATCTTTTCGCCCACCACCCCCGACTCCGGGTGCCATTCCTTCATCTTCACTATCACTAAATTCATTGTCTGGTGCGATTCGTTTATCTGTAATAGACTGTGGGTTCCTTTCATCTGGATTAACATTGTCTTCATCTTCAGACTCCTGACGTATACCGTCTTCAGGAATAGCTAATAATATTATTAAACATTATATAATTATTTATTTAAAATTCAAATGTATTTATATAAAATAAATGTAATAGTCTTTCAAATTTCAAATTAAATATTTATATTTTCAAAATGTCTTAAATAAAAACTTTTTGGAATTATATTTTCTAAAATTATCCTTATATTTTTCTTTCTTACATTTAGGAGGTGAAACAATTACTAACTTTTAATTTTCAAATGGAAAACTATATTAAAAATTGCATAAATAAATGAAGTCTTAGTTTTAATAAATTTTGGTGTATACATTTTTAAGTTTGCCATTTTGTGGTTAATGCACATAGTATTGAAGCATATCATATTTTGTGTGGCAGTACAGCACCTGACAAACGAATAGTAAAAAAATAAGGACAATAAAATATTTTAGAATATAGATGATTCCAAAAAGTATTTAATGGAAAATTTGACTATAACGTAATTAGAAAGTATATTCAAATTAATTAAATTATTTTATATCAATTCACCTTGGATTTGAACACCCGGTGCATGAGGTAACATTCTTAAATTTTCAAAAAGTCTGTTTTTAATCTTTTCCAAGTATTCAGTAGCATTTGTATTTGTCATGTTTGAAGGGCTGATATGAAGTTTAAAGTCGGGTCCAAAGTATTCAAAGTAATCATTGTATGGCAATTCATTAGCTATCTCAGCTCCCAAGGCTACAGCTGTTTCATATGTCCAACACCGAGATACATTTCTGATAGTATAACCACCACCACCAACCATTAAAAATGGTAAACCATAACGTTTCACAAACTCAACACACTTACCGTGACCTAAAATATGAATTATTAATTACAAATTATTGAACTCTTCAGTAATTATTTAGTTTAATCAAAATGTAGTCAAATAAAACAACTTACCTTTAACAGTTAAATTAAAACATCCCAGTCTATCTCCTGTAAGAGAATCTGCACCACATTGCAAAACAACTGCACTAGGTTGAAAGGTCTCCATTACTTTAGTTATTATAGGTACAAATATTGATTCATAACTTTCATCATCCATTCCATCTCTTAGAGGAATATTTACTGCATAGTACTTTCCTTTTCCTGCACCAATGTCCTAAAATCAAAAAAATTAATAGTTTACTGTAGCTATATATTTTGAATGCTAATTTAACACTAATACCTGAAAATAATTTAAATATAAGATTCTATTATTTTAATTAAACAACAAAGTAATATAAAAAAATACACATTTTTTTTTTAAGAAATGTGACCAAAGGAGTAAATTACATGCAACAGTTAATTTATTAACAAAGATAGTTTATATGAGACCATGTGGATTTACTCTTCATGATGCTTAATAAAATAACATAAAGCGTATGCAAAATTATCAAATTCAATTCTTACAAAAAAAATTCTACAGATTCTTTAACAGCCGTGTTTTTACATAAAAAGGAACTTTCTTTTTGAAATGTCACAATGTGCAAAATGTATATTTTTTTCAATTTTGTAATTTTAATTTCTACGTATAATTTTTAATATTAGTTGCCCCTTAAAATTAAATACCATTAATTTCATCAATAAAATATTACTGAAAAAAAAAAAACAAAACAAAGTAAATACTATTGCTAAAAATTCTGTTTATTAGTTAAATAATATATCATTTAAACAAACTATAGAAAATAAGAGCACTTTACCACGCTCCTCAATATTTTCAAAATATTTTGTAGAAGCCATTGTAAAAATGATGACAAAAAAACGTTTTGGAATATGTGTACAGGTGAGTGCTAATTGCTAGCCTTGTGGGGGGGGGATAGGAAAATTAATAATGCTGACCTAATCTGATACTATTGCAAGGTTCCTTCAGGTTAGTACCTAATAATACTATAATAAGCACATGTTGAACTTGCAAAATCACATAACAAAAAAGACAAATTTCAAATCACTTTTAAAAGAATAGATAAATAAAATAAACTAGTCTTTGAGTTTTAAAAATTCAAATATTTTCAGAATTAATTTTGAGAAAGACCTCTTTTCAAAAAAAAAATAAAAAAACAATTGAAAATTGCGATTGTAATGTTAAAGTACAAACACCAAGTATTTTAATAACAAATTATGATTAGGTTTACAGAAATAAATAATAATCCAAAAGAAATTGACACTATAAATTTTTTAAAAAAAAACTGATACTGATGATAGGTATGCCATTGTTGTAGGTTAAAGGTACAGTCCATAGAAACATTTAATTAATATTGTACATAAGCAGTTATCATTAATTATGAAAAAGATTCTTTTGAAATTTGAACACTAAACTTTTAGATTCAGAGCATAGCAATGGAGGATCTGTAGGTTTTACAATAGTTTTTTTTTTATATATATATATATATATATTTTTGAGCAACTTTTCAACCAAAAATCATGTTCCAATGTATTAAGTGTAGCACCTTTTTTGAAAAGAAATTTAATCTAGTAGGTGAATAGGGGTGGTGATTTTTTTTTATTTTCCAAGGGGTTTTTATATTAACTAAATAATTGGAAAATCATTATCGGAAAAACAACAAAATAATAATTTCATTGTTTTTAATATTTGTTAACAGAAATAATACTGAGAAATTTTTTGTTGCATTTTAGATTCCATTTCTTGCAAAGAAAATCTTCTTTTGGTTTTCCAAGAGTTTTCATAATAATTTTGAAAAACCAAAAAGACAAAACATGAAAAGGAACAATTTTACGACTAACTTACAATTTCGTTATTTTAAATTTGTATGCTCAAAATTTTCTATCAGAAATATAAATATTACTCCAGTCAAAAAACCTCCAAGAGATCTTTTATGTATTTTTAATCTAATTGGTGAGTAAAGAAAGTAGTTTTTGATTAAGAACTGAACAATACCGAAACTTATAAAAATATTTCACAGAAAATTTATATTTCCCTTTTCTAGAAGTAGTAAAATTTTAAAAAAATATTTGGGCCATTTTTATTTTGTAAGATTTTCACATAATTTTCATTTGTTAAGTACTCTGTGGATAAAATTGTTTAATTATATAAAAAATAGAAATGCTTGACAATTTAATCGGAGGTTCATAGTCATCAATCAGATTTTATTTAAGGGTCAAAAAAAAAAATTGAGTATGATTGTACTTATTATTATTATTTTTTTAAATAAATTTTAATAACACATTTTGATGAAAATCGTAAATGTTATGACCTTTAAAAACATGAATAACCAAATTTATATCAACTCTTCTTTTTTTGGTTTAGTTCACTAAGTACCTACTCACAACTTACGATAAACATTGTGTTACTTGGCCAAAATAACTTTATCCAAAAATTACAAATATCTTTAAATAAAACAATAATGGGTAAAATGTTTGCTACATCTAGAAAGTGTTAATTTAAAGAAGATTAGTATTTGGTTAAAAATTTAGGTTTCTACAAAACAAAACTAAAAATAAAAAATCTGTTATTGCCGTAAATTTTCCCAAATGGGCCAACAAACAAAACTGGCTACCAGTAACCACATCTACCAGATCTGTAAATATGAAACCGGAATTTGCATATAAATACTTCTAGCTATCAATGTAGTTATTTCTAAACCACATAATTGATGTTATTTTCATGTTAAGCTCTAACAAAAGATATTTAACTCATAACAATACAAGTTTCATACAACTGCGTAGTTTATAATAGTATTGAACATGTCAAATTTTGTGCCCGGAAATTACAATTTGCGTATAACATTAATTTTCTATTACTATTTGAAAAAAACTGCAATAGAATGCAGTAGCATGCATGCTCTTGGAAAATCACAGTGCTTAAAAAATTTAAAAAAGGTGATTTTGAGAACATGGGATACTACCGAAAATATTGGATGGAAGAAAATGCTCTATATTTGGTGGAATCAGAAGGGTGTGATCTATTATGAGCTGCTAAAACTATTAATACTCAGCACTAACAACAAATGAGATTTAAATATGGCTTTGCCTGAAACCAGAATTTCAGAGAAGACAAATGATTTTTCTTCATGATTAATGCACCATCACAGACTTGCCTCCCGTCTGATTCTGATTACTATTAATTTGTATCGATGGGACATGCATTTGCTGAGGAGTACTTCATATGTCATATGAAAATGTATAAAAATGACTCAATGACTGGGTTGCCTCAAAAGAGCAACAGTTTTTTTGGCAGGCATTTATAAATTACCAGACAGGTGGGAAATATGTATACTAGCAATGGGTAATTCTTCGAATAAAATATATGTTTATCTATTCCATACGATAAACACATATTTGCTGTATATATTTTTCATGTTACATGGTAAAATAACTGTTAAAGTGGATAATTGGAACACAATTTCGAGAAGAAAAGTTGTTTAAAACAGGATAAAAAAAAAAAAATAGTAAACCAATAAATTAATCACTGAACTCAAAATCAAATACGTTAGTTTTGAGATCACATTAAAAATGTCTATGCATAACTAATAGCTACTAAATTACATTTTATAATGTATTCTGTTATTCTTATAAATGAGATTAATAATTTAATAAAAAAAAATATAAAATAACTATCTTTACCCTTTCCTGACCTTTACCCGAATAAGGAGAACCACTATTATTTAGTAAATATCAATGATAAACAACATATTTTTTATATAATTAACATAATTAAACATTTACCATGTGTAAATCATATTATTTTTAAAATGTACTTATTTGTATTATTTTAGTACTTGTTCAGTATACAGATTAATAATATGTAATTGTACTAGTATGAATAATTTTAGATTTTGTTTTTGATTTAATTTTAGTAGCTACAAATTAAATAATAAAATACATTTTTAAATCACATTATACTAGATTAATAACTAATAGGACTATGAATTTGTAGCAAATGATTTTTTGTAGATTATGTTAAGATAAATGTATAGTTTTCGCAATGGGTACAAAGTTCAAATAATATAATTATTCAAATTATTTCAAATTTCAACCATTTTCTGAAAACAATAAGTAAAAAATTGAAACCATTCAACCAATTTTATTATGTTTTTTTATTAACTTACTCGCTAAGATATGTGATGAAAACTAAAACTTGTGATCAATTTTTGACTCACTTCCAGTGGTCTGATCTACTTGAAATTTTGTATGACATGTGCTCTTATTTTTGATGGCAATATAATAATTATTAATCCGATTTTCCATTTTCAAAAGGGATGGAATAATGGTTGTCACCCAATATGACTATTGGGAAATCTTTTTAAAATATCAAAAAATGCCTCATAAAACTTGTTTTATATTCTCCACTATAAATAATCCATGGTCAGATTTTCCATTTTTCCGAAGGGGTGTAAAAATGAGATATGACTAAAAATCATTTAATCATGGCATCAAAAACGTAATAAATAGATAAATATAGATGATTAGATTTACTGAAGCAATAATATAAATAATAAAACAAAAATTGTTTACTATCATTAACTTAAAAAAGTAAATAGTAATGGAAAATAGTAGAAAAAATATTTTCAGGCAGATGTATACCACGATGTGAAATAATAATAAAAAAAAAAAGAATAAAATAACATATCACAACCACCCATTGGGTCACAAAATTAAATCAGTCCTCCAATACAAGAAAACCTCTTCATGTTTACATACTTATGTACTTAATCATTTACTATACTCTTATTCAATTTCAATGTTATAATTGTATACAAGCTGATTCACTAAGCGTGCTAATCCCATTTTTTAGGTTAAATTTTGCATATATTCAAATTCAGATTTTTAAGGATCTGTGTTAGAGCCAATATTTTCTAATAATTTTCAAAACCCGTTAATGAGATGTTCCACTTTTAAATTTGTGTGGCGTCACGGCGTGCAACTTATAAGTGCTCTACGACTCTTCCCCTACCTAGACTTAAAAGTGAATTATCTTGTCAACAGATTTACAGTAATCAATAATTTTAACACCAAAATTTATTTAAAGTAATACTATATCTATTTATGAAATTTTTAATATAGGTTTTAAAAATTGAAAATGGTATCAACACAGGATACTCCTTAAATATTGTGAAAAATTGTGTTGTGAGTATTTGAAAAATCAGCTTTAACTACACTTAAAATTTCCAAAAATCAGAATATATGCTAAATTTAACCAAAAAATATGGGGTGAGCATACTTAGTGAATTACCCTGTATATACACCAAAAAATATTTGTATTACCATTTTCATTGTTATTTATTTTTTAGTTTGTTTTATGAGCATGGTATTTAAAAAATTGTTTTTTTTTTTATTAATATAAAGTAAATAACGTACAATTTATTTCAGTTTTTTTTTTTTTTAAGTGCTCTGTAAGCTACTTTTGATAGAATATTAAATGCTTGGCCAACTATTTAAAATCTGATATGCAATTTTTAGATTTCACTAGTATATTAGTACTTTAAAATTTCCCCCTAACAATTAATTAATACTTATTATAATCAGCAAAACCTTAAGAAACCCCTGTACCATTAGAAAAATACATGATTTTGTAAAAGTTAACATAGTGCAGAACCCTACTAAATAATATTGTTAATGGTTAAGTATAAAACATTTCAAATAAATCCCCAAAAATTCTTAATAATGATTATGTTAGTTGTTTTTGCAATTAATAATAATTTAATGAAAAAAGAAATTATAGTGTTAGGGACTTCACATAAATAACTCTTACTTCTGATAAACTTAAATTTAATTGTAATAAATTTTACATCAGTAAAACTAATAGGATTTTTTTAACCCAGATACAAATGGCATATTATCTCTGAAATAAAATTAAAGAATGCTTCTTCCAGTCTTAATTTTGCAAAGCATGTTTTTCAAAATAAGCATACTTTTAATTTTGAATAACCAAGAAATTTACATTAATTTTGTATTGGAAGAGTTGCATATTTATAATTAAGTTAAAGAAAATAGGTTTATCAATATTTTAAACTTTCAGATTTTTAAGAATATTCTATACCATTTTTAAATAATAAATCAAACTAAATTAATCTATGTCACAACATGTCATTTTACAATTTCAAGGGTTAATTAAAATTGGTTTACTCTCTGTGTAAAAAATAGTAATTTGTTCTCTATGTATTCCTCTCAATGGTTTTATGTTCAGTCACATATTATATTTTCTCCATTGCAGTGTCTATTATGTGATGACAATTTTTTTTAAATCAAAATATAAATATTGCGATGGTCCTTATTTTTAAACTTCAATAATTTTATGCTACAGGGACAAATTTTGGGTATGGCAAGTCAACCCCTTCACGTGCCTCAAAAAGATTAGTTTGTAAAAAAGGGATGTTATGGATTTTTTAAGTTAACTTTTTTAATTTTTAACATTCAAAAAAATTAACACACTTAATTATAGTAAAAAGGATTTCTTATGAAATAGCTCTCTTTAACATTCCAGTAAAACTTACCATTATAGGTGAAAAATCAATTTAAAAGTTGGTAGATTTGTAATAGAAAATGCAAGATCATATAAAATTTCAAATCTACCAACTTTGACATATAATTTTTCACATATAATGGTAAGTTTCACTAGAGAGTTAAAGAAAGCTATTATGTAGGAAACTTTTTATTACTATAATACAAATTATGATACATTTTGTGCATGTTCAAATTTTTTTAAAAAAATGAATGTAAAAACTATACCTTTTTTACTAACTTCAACTCTTTTGAGTCATGTAAAGGGCTTGCCTTATCATACCAAAAATGTACAAAAATTATTTTTACAATGTATCAAACAGAATTCCGAGCCTGTGAATTCAAATATTAAACATTTATTTTTAACACCTATAGGTTAAGGACCACCCTAAAAAATATATATTTTAAGTTGTATATACACAATAACGACCCTAATACTTTAGACTTTGTTTTGTTCTTTTTATAATTGATATATTATTTATAAAATATACTCTCCATTTTAAAGTTAATGATTAAAATTGCAAAAATAAACTTACTCGGAGATCACCAGTGCCAGGAAAATATTCACCATATTTGTGAAATGAAACTGTCATTACTCTATCAGTAGTGTAAAATGCTTCTTCAACACCGTCTCCATGATGAACATCAATATCAATGTATAATACTCGTTGATGATATTTAAGCAATTCTAATATACCAAGTACAATGTCATTAACATAGCAAAAACCACTGGCCTCAGATTTTTTTGCATGATGAAGACCACCTCCCCAATTAATACAGATATCTGCAGATTGCTTATTCAACTTTACAGCAGCAGCTACTGAACCACCTGCAGAAAGCTGACAAAATTCATACAAACCATCAAAAACTGGACAGTCTTCACCAACATTAACTAAAACAATAATAAATCAAATATTATTCATTTATATATTCAATGATACTTAATTTTAGTAAAAGAAAATTACATCTCTGCATTTGTTTATTATAGTCGTTCATATTATCAGGACGAATACTTCGAAGGAACCTTATATATTCATCACTGTGAAATTTGGTCATTTCTTCAGCAGTTGCTTTATGAGGTCTCTAAATCACAGACATTGATTTTATTAAAAAATGTATAAAAACATAAATTATTCGTACTAAATATGACTTACATATATTTCCATTTTTCTATATAAACCATAATTTAAAAGTAAATTATGAGTCATTCGAATTCTGTGAGGTTTCATAGGATGACCTTGTCCATAATAATAATTTCCTATATCACCTATAACATACAAATAATATATTAAAAAAAATAAATAAATACACATTTAGGACTGATCTCATGAACATGAACAATTTCATTTATCTGATTTTAAAATGAAGTTTATGGCCAATAACTGACCACTAATGGTTGATTATCTTATAAACTAATGAGTTTATGATATTAAAGATAATTTGTATGGATTTAACATGATGTCCAAAAATGTTATGACTGGTCAATATAGGGACAAATAAATCCAAAATTTACATATTCTCAAATAACAATGCATATTAAATGTATAATTATAAAAGGATATTGATACAATAGAAATTGTATTGCAACAATTTTCCTAACCTAATAATCTCACAGCACACATATCTCAAACTGCATTTAGCCATAGCACACCTAACAATGACTTCCACATATATTTTTTAGTATAAAGCATTAGTTAGGCTAATATGTTGAAATAATTAATGAGACTTTTTAGCCACAAAACCATATTTTGTAAGTAGGTGTTTTTTTAACTTACTTGGTACCATAGCTTCATTGGACAGTATATTTCACTAAAAATAGGGCATTGAGGTGTGAGAATTTCTTCACCAATCAACGTGAAACCGAATAAAAAGTAAATTTCATGATACTGTCAAAACTATTTTCTGATCGTAATTAGATTTGGCATAATTGCAGTTTAGCTACCTAACGATTTTTTCGATTTTTTTTCTTTGAATCATAGGTAAACTAACGTTTTAAAAATGATTGTGTAAACAAAATTAGGGCTGATCAATAGTTTCAAAGTTTTTCGATTTTAGAGTTAGGGTTAAATATCAGATAGACAAATATAAATATTGTAAATATAATTTTTTATTATTTTTCTAGTGTTTCCTACCCGACATATAGTTTTTCGCAACAAATTGAGGGTTATTTTTGTATAAAAAAAAAAAGTGAATAAGTTATGTTGATCATTCTGGGGGTTCAAACCTGGTACTGCAATCTTCCCACAGGCGACCATTGACCATTGTGCAACAATATAATTTTGTTGCAATTATGAATGTATGCTATTTAAACATAACTGTAAAATCAACAAACTTTAAATGACTCTAACTTTGAAATTATTTGTCAGTTCCAATTTTTATTTTGTGCTACCATTTTTAAAACATTAATTTACTTATGGTTCAAAAAAATTAATTGAAAAAAATTGCTTGGTAGGGTAACTGCAATTATTCCCTTGTTAATTTTTTTTTAGGCAGTAAAAATAATAATCATTTAATTTAACATGGATAAATTTACTTTTACCTACTTTAAGTAGGTAGGTATAACACACACCTTTTCTGAAAATTGGAAAAACAATAATATTAGGTTTATCTACCATTACTTTTCAATTTTAAATATTAATATAGTACCTTTAATATTAGTTTGTCTTTGGTATTCTATCAAAAAATGAGAAGCTTATCTAAAAACTTGTACCTAACTTAAAATATTTTAGAAATCACATTTATTTTATTAATTATATTAGAGTTTATTTGTTATCTATAGAAATGTTTAATTTGAAACAAAATGTCTATTTACATCATTTAATTTTAATAAAAATTGCTTTAACTAGAAAGATTATCAGATTATCATTTCCATACAGAAACAAAACCATAGGCTCTATCATAACAATAATTATTTAATTTTATAATTCATTTTAAAATTAAAAACTATTTTTCATCTAAATGCTTAATAATAATAATAATAATACAATGTGTACATTTAAAACTTCAAATTTAACAAGCTGGACGTTATAGTTTTTTTTCTTTCTTAAGTGATACAACTAGTTTATCCATGGTTTATTATGTTGTGAAAACTTATTTAGACAAAAACTATGGGCAATTTATAGGCTATTTAATGTCACAAAAACATAAAAACAAAAGGATTATACTGAATTAAGATGTATAAACAGTTATGGAAATAATAACTAGGAACTTATCATGTGATGCCTAACGACATACATAATAAATTAAAATCATTTGATACTGAATAACCATATTTCTTAATCTCAATGTTTAATAAAATTTGTTTAGGAATCCAGTTTCAGATTATCAGAGTAATTATTTGTTACACATTAGTTACTCAAATGTTAATCAGTCAACAGTGGGTAGCTGGTAAGACCGAAAATGGTCAGCGAAAAAAAGGAATATGACAGTACCTACATAACTTCAAGTTTTGTTGTGACGAAGATTGATAAAATGTAATCAAATTCTACGGAAAGACACTGATCACAATGCGCTAAAGCTGTTACTAGCTAGTGTTGGATAGCCATCGTAAACTCAACGGACCAAGCTGTCAGCCAACGACAATCAAGTTTAATATTTCTATCGTGGTATAATACTCACTGTCGTAATAGTAACAGACACGTTTTTTGAAAGGTGTTATAGACATTGCGGTGTAGTTGAATACGTCCCGCGGCGGGCTCGATTGTTAAGGTTACACTGGCGTTGCCGGTGCGTTTGGAGCACCCAAAAAGCGCGGGTCAACAGGCGATCACACGTTTTTACCGTCAACAATACATACGCGAGACCGACAAAGAAGAAACAGATATCCCGGTGATGGCACTTATTACTGTTGTTGCACACGACCGTTGAGGAAGACAGTGGACGGAAATCGAAAACAAAAAAAACCCCGGAACGGTGTCGGTGGTCGAAGATAACGGGGACATACAAAAAAAAAAAAAACGGTCAACGTTTATATAAACCGGGAAAATATTATTATAATTCACTATTTATTACTAATTTAAAATAACAATTATTTAAGTTTACGAAAGACATGAGTACACAGATTTTGGGACTCAGGAGCGTAAAGAACGCACCGAAAATTTTGAGCAGCTAATGTGCTCAGAGCCAATCGCGAATAGCCAGTAAACAAACAAACGCCATTGAGATAAACAGTGTAGCCGATACACCGGCGACGATCGAGTTCAGCTGCGTGACCGTCATCTATAGTCGGGTTGGTCATCATAGTGTGCACATATGATTATTAGCAACCCAAGGTCGTTACTGTTTGTTCTTTTGATAACACCAGTCACTACTTACTAGTTCGAAAATAAATTCTGAATTCGGATCTGCAATTTCATATAATTCTACTTGTTTTCGTTGCATACATAAAAAATTTAATATTTCAAAATGTGGTACGAAGCTATGCCGCCCGCCATCATTGTGTACATACTGTTAAATATACCCGACAAGATTTGCTCACTATCGAATAAAGTGTTTTTTGGTAATGTGAGTATCTGACTGTTTTCGATCATACCTGATAACTATATAGTGCTCGGATTTTAAAGCTTGGACATTAAATAAAATAAAAAAGCATACATTTGAGTAATGTGAAAAAAAAGCATGACCAAAAATGTATTTAAATTATAAAATTACTTAAAAGAATAGTAAAATTATTTTAAATTAATTTTGTTACATATTTTTAATACAATTTGTATTTACATAATTACATATTTCATATTCTATATTTTGTTAAAAATAAATTTCAAATTTTTAAATTAATTATGGTAAAACATTTTATTTTCATGTATCAGTCATTTTTAGGAACATCAGCACTCGAGAGCCCTAAATAACTTTTAACACAATGTTATATCTCGATTAAAACTTATAACAGAGCTGGCATGAAAATCTACAAAACCAAGTTTCTAAGCAAAAGTAATTTCTTTTTCTTTGATGAACGTACTTACCTGATGTTGGCAGATTTGTATTTTTTATACAATTAATCCATTTTAGAACAACTTTTTCGTAAACACATACCTTCATTTGTTTTCTATTGCCGATGAGAGAAGATTCTTGCACTTATTTCATTATGTTTTCATGATTTCTTTCAATATTTTTTTTTGAACACCCAAATTGAATTCATTTAAAATTTATTGACAATTGATAAAAATTTACGTTTTGACACGTATTTGTTCGTATAAGAAGAATGACAAAAAAAAAAAAATTGAGCATACAAATAAATTTTCATCAATATTGGAACTGCAGTGCTGTACTTAAATTAACCGGCCTGACAAATATAGTTGGTTACACCAAACCATATTTTATTTTTTTAAATTGTACAAATCAAAAATAACTAGTTTATTATTATGTTTACTTAAGTTTCTATTGTCCAAAGAATTATTACCATAGTATTCTAAAAAAATAAATTATATAGTACCTATCTACTTTTGTTATAGGTTCACCTACAAAAACAATATTTTATCTTATTTAAGTATCAATATTAATAAATATTTACTATATTTTTAATTTGCAGATTTAAAGTGTACCTAAGAAATAGTAATAACTAATAAGACGATATATAATGCATTGTCTTTAATTAATAATTTTGATATTTGTACCTAATATAATGAAATTATTTTTAGGTTTATAAACGTGATATTGGTAAACCTTGGATTCAGCAACTCTATGCAAGAGACTGGGAATTAACTGGTGATCCATACAAAGCACAAGTAATACATACATATTTTATTTTATTTTGACTTTCATAGTCGTGTTATTAAAAAATTTACTTATTAGGGCCTTGAAAGTTTACCGGATAAGCCTACCATTACTGGTATTGACTGGAAAATGTATGGAAAAGGATCACCTCACGGTTTTTATGGTACTAAATTATAATGCACAGTATTTGAAAATACTATTTGTTGTACTATAAAATAATATGTTAGCAATACAATTTAGTACTATTGTCATGTATAATTTATAGGTGTCCTCTTATCAGTTGTAAAAATCAATTACCTTATTACTCATAATCTAATAAATATTAATATATTGTGTATGTGACTAAATTAATTGATTTTTTTTATTTTTTATTTTTTCTATTTGGCTAAAAATTGGGAAACGTTGATTAAGTAAATAGCAAGACAGTGGTATTATACACTTGTAGATTCTGTTCTCAGTAATTTGTTTTAAATGGCAAAAACACATTTAGAAATAATAATAAATTGCAATGCAATAAATAATAATATGAACTTAAAACTTACATTTAAATTATGCAAATGTGAACATATAATATAAACATCACAAAACAAAAGAAGACGATTTCCCAACTCTACTTATATACTTTAATTATATAACATCAAGCAAAAATTGATTGGGCGGTCAAGGATTTTAAATATTTTTTAATTGTATAAAAGTTTTGAAAAAAAAAATTATAATAATATTCAAATTACTTATTACAATTTGTATTTTTAACTTTATTATCCAGTTTGTTTATACTACAAACAAGTTGAATAATTGAATAATATGCTGAATATTAAAAACCAGTACTTATTGTAGAAAATAAAAACAAATATTTGGCACAATATAGATATAGTTTTCTTATACTGTAATATAATATTTATCACATACTGCTGGTCTTTGCTACATTTAGTGACATACACACAACAAACTGAATTTTTAGCTAACAGCTTATTAGGTAAAATAATCAAACTTTTTATATTTTCAAAGAAAATTAAAAAAAAAATAATAATTTCTACTGTATAAATTAAAATATATCGCATATAAATAATATAATACTTCAAATAATAATATTTTAACATAGTAAATAAAATGTCACTTTCATACAATTCAGGATGAATCGCTAATGTTGTTGAACTATTTTGAATCATAATCTAAAGAATTTCTTCGTATTCATCTGATCGCATTGATGGTGATGGAGATGTCCTAGTACTTTCTGATCTTCTAAATATTGATGGAGACATGGCTTTCTTTTTTAAACTAAATATTTTTATCATGAAATAATAAGGTAAAGTACTTATCAACTTATATATTATTATTTATAATTACTTAGGTAATGTGGAAGGTTTAAATACATCAGTAATTTTTCCCCTAGATTCCTTGCTAGAAGATACATCAACGTTGTGAATACTAGAACTGCTTTTAAAAGACTAAAACAAATAAAACATATAGAAAAGTAAAATGTGAACAGTTCTATTTTATATTCATACCAAATCGCTATCATTATCAAAGCTTTTTGAACTTTTGGTTAACTTTTTCAATTTTCCGAAAAGTCCTTTCTTCTTAGTTTTTTCTCCACTTACAATATCACTTTTGGAAGAACTATTTGATTGTTGACTAAAAATTAATCAATAATGTATAATTTTTTGAAATAAATTTAATATCTTCAGTATAGAAATGTTTATTAACATTTTTCATGCATTTTGTATAATATTCTTAATTAGAATAGTTATAAATAATTCTAGTATCAGTTTATTTTGAAAACTATTTTCATAATAATTTATCATTTATTATAAAAAGCTTTCATCAAATAATATTACCTGTCAAAACTATTTGGTTGTTTTATAAGTCTACTTCTTGACTGACTACGTTCATCTCTTTTCCATATATCCTAATATTATTTTCAAATAGACAACTTAATTAATTGTTTTAAATGCTACCTTAATTAAAACTTACTTGATCACCATTTCCAAAATTTTGTTCTAGTGAAAGACTTTTTCTATATAAACTACCTCTTATAGGAGGCTTTTCGAAAGAATCATTTTCAGTTGATGAAGATCTACCAGAAAACATAAATAATTTTATTTAATCACTCACCCAAATTACCTAACTAACTATATTCAACAGCATGCAGCTTTACCTGACTCCAAATACTGCACGTTTTGATCTGATGTCTTGTTGATTTGTATTAATAACTAGTTCTTTAGTTACTTCATTAACTTTATTAAGTATTTGTTTTATTTGTTCATTATTGTTGTTGTTTAGACTTTGATTGGTATTTAAATCTGGTGAAGCTTCTCTAGATACTGACGATTTTCTTCTAATCGGAGGTGTTGGTGCATTGAGCAAATGTATGGTTTTATTTGACAGTTCAAAATTTTCATTAAAAATTTCAGTCAAACTTTTTATTAACTGTGATAAGTTATTAATTTTAACCTCAATCTGAGGATCTGATCTTAAACGAACATTGCACAATCTTAATGATTCACATTCTTGTTCTATTTTGTCTTTTTCTCTTCTTAACTTTTCATTTATTGTTCTTAATTTAGCATGAGCATCTCGCAAATCCATAAGATCACATTGCATCTAATAAATATAATAAATGTTTAAACTAGCCAATTCCACTAAACCTATTTATATTCTTTGCAATGAACAAATTAGAACAAAATCATATTATAAAATTGTATACAAATTCATTAAATATTGCCATATTTTATATTATGAATATTGTTATATAAATATGAACAGATTTGTCAAGTTTTACCTAAATAACATTATTTTGTTTTTAACCTCAATAATATATATTTTTTTAAAAATATAAAATATATTTAATATTAAAATTGTTTTAATAATTTGAATTTAAAATTTATTTAAACAATTGAAACCAACCTCATTAGTTTTTTTTCTATTTTCTTGTTGGTCAACCTCCATGTTTTTGGTAAGCTGGTCAATTCGTCTTTTGGATTCTAATCTATCTTTATCTCGTTCTCTTTCAACCTTAAGATATACACTCACAAATTTAAATTATACATTTAAATTACACATTTTTAATTTACCTCATATAATGTTTGCCTTAAATCTCTGGCTAATGTAGATGTCTCCTGCAGAAGACGTTGTTGTTCTTCCCGCTCTTTTTGCCATGCGAGTTCCATTCTGGCCTTCAAACCTGTTAATTTAGACCTCCCAGAATTTAACAACCGTTCCTCTTCCAACTAAAATATTTAAAACTGTTATTTTTTATGATGCAAACTTCCCAAATAAAACTGACTTTATTAATAGATGATGTCATTTCTGATTTAGTTATTTCCCATGCTGATTTTTCTGAAACCAATTCTGTTTTTAGCCTAGAACATTCAAGTCTTGCTTCTGAAAGTTGTTCTTCCATGCAAGATACTTGTTGTTGTAAAGCATGCATTTCTTCTTTCTAAATATAATTTACAAAAATTGAATATATATATTACATTAAATCCACAGTGACGTATATAGGGGCCAAAGTGAAGTTCCATGTTCAATTACAATATTTTTGCATATTACTAAAGATTATTATAATCCATCAATTATAGAAATTATAGCATAGTTAAAGGAAACTATTTTGTTTAAATTTGTCTTACAGTGTTCCAAAAAATGTTATTGAAACTAAAAAATCTATCAAAAATAAATTTTCAACTAGGTACACATGGTCTATTGAAAATATTGTAGAATATCTATTACAGTTAGAACTATTAAAAGAAATTTTTTGACACTAGGTCAAATAAAAATGTTTTTGTGGAATCAACAAGAATCTCCCCTCACAAATATTGATTATGGTACCTATACTTAATAACATAATTTGTAATATATGATTTTTAGTTTTTAGGACACTTTATTTAATGATTTATGATCAATATGGCACATGACTTTCTAACACTTGGCATAAAATCACGCCACTGCCCATTATACCTATATATCATTCCTTACTTGATTATCATTATTGAAAACATTATTATGGTTTCCTTTTTTGGTAGTTGAATCTGCAGAATCCAACATTTGCTTGTACGAATCACGTTCTCTTTTAAATCTAAGAGTCTGAAATTGGCTATTTTTCAATTCTTCCGAAAGAACTGAAATACGATTATCATAGCGTATTTTTAAATCATTTAAATCAGTTTTTCTAGCTTGTTCTTCATTGTATAATCTTTAAAAATAAAATACAATTTTTTTAGAACTGATAATATATATTACATTTTTGTTAAAACCTACTTTATTTTCATATCTTTTAAGTTTTTTTCCAGTATTCCTGTCTCCACTGATCTACTATGTTGGACTTTCACAACCTTCTCAAAATCGTCTAAATTCCGTTGTAAACTATCATTCTAATTACAAAATATATTATTTAAATCAAATAACTTATATTATAACTGATAATGTTACTTACATCCTTCTTAAGTTTTTCCATTTGTTCTACATATTGACAGCACTGTTTATTTAAAGTTTTAATTTCTTTTACATTTTCATCCAGATTTCTTTTCATATTTTCTTTCTCTTTTATCCATGCATCATTGGAATGCGCTATTTCAAGATTCTTTAATGTTTTCTATAACACAAAAATATCAAAAACAAATATTTTCATATAATAAATCTTTATTTCCAATATACCTGCATTTCTAATTTGTCTTTAGTCCATGCATCAATAGAGCTATTATATTTATCGTTCAATGTTTTTAACTCAAGTTCAACTTTTAATATATCTTTCTTTTTAACTTCAAGTAAACTGAAAAATAATATGAACTAAAGGTAAATAAAGGTAATTAAATTGAATATTAAATAGGAAATGTATGTTGTATTACATAACAAGTAGATGACAACAATATTAAAAATAATCTTATACCTTTGTAATTTGTCTTTTTCTGCTGTCAATTTACTTTTAGCATCAATATGTTCTTTTTGCAAAATCTCATATTTATTTAAAATGTCTTTATAATTTTTTCGTTCTGATAGTAATTCATTTTCTATTCCTTTTTAACCATTAAACCAGTTCAAATATTATATTTTTAAATACAAACTTATTAATTACGCATACTTTCAATTTTTTTTTCAAACTCGTTTTGAATGTCCATAATTTTTTTATTTTCTGTATTAGATTTTTCTTGTAATTTATTTATGCATTCTTCTTTATTTGTGATTTCTTTTTTATGTAATAATTTTAAGTTGTCGATCTGCTGTCTTTCACTCTTTATAATTGTTTAGAAATAATAGAAAAAACATGTGTTAAGTATGCAGTATGATTATGCATATTATTAGATATATCATAAATTTAGTTTAGAATTATAATAAACACATATTTAAATATGAAAAAACATTGTCTTAGTAATAAATATTATTAATTTTATATAGGTAGTTTACCTTTAGTTGGCTTTCAAGATCTATAATCTTAGCTTCAAACTGCTTAATATTTTTTGTTTGCTTGTCAAAATCAGCTTTGACTTCTTTTGTCTGTTAATAAAAATATAAAATATATATGTATATTATATATTTTAACTGGTAGTATATTATTACCTTAGTTTGTACAATTTTTGATATTGGTTTATTGGTACTTTTTGATATTAATTTTGTTTGATATTCTACAACTTTAGCTTTTAACTGATCCTTTTCTTTTTCAAATTCTTCAACTTTTCTTTTTAATACTGTAATTTCCTGTAATTAAAAATATGTATATATTTTAAAACATACAAGTATCTTAACTTTTATCTATTCATTAACCTGCGATAGCTCCCACCGTTAGAAAAAATCTAACATATAACTTATTTTAAGAATAACTATTATTTATCGAACAATAATTAATCACGAATACTTTATCTACACGATTATGAGACATATAATACCACTATTATTGATAAGATTAAATTATACAAAACTTATTTTTGAATTCATATTTTGATGAGATTATATAAATAATATATTGTCAGAATAAATCTAACACATGAGTGATCCTGGATTAAATTTGAAACTACACATTTATTATTAATATAAAAATTTAGTCATATTACAGATCATTTTTATTTTACACTTTTATTATCAACTATTTAATACAATATTTAATAATAAATTTGATTTTGTCTATTTTAGGGCACAGTTTTTAATATAAATAGTTTCATTAAATTTAAGTCTTACCCCACCACAATTTAACTGTACATCAATTATATATGACCAAATGATCACATACTAAAAGTTTAAAACCCATACATGTTTTAAGAAATATTATTTAATTTACTTGTTCACTAAGTTCTAGAAGCAATTTTAATTCTGTTGCATCCTCGACATCTGATATACCTTCGTCTCTTTCAGTAATATTTGTTGGACGATAACCTTAAAAGCAAATTATTTTAATTGAAAGAAAATAGCATTTAAATTAAAAATAATACTTGTTTTTGTAGCCATTTTCTTAAGTTGTAACACCATTGATTCATTATCTTCTTCTAAACGACTCACTTTATTCCTCAATATTTTAGCCTATAATTTTTTTTTTATGTATTTAATTGTATAAAAAATAACAATTATTAACTCTTACTTCTTCTTCAGTAAACCTTAATTGCTCCCGCATATCAGCTTCGCGTTCTATCGAATCTTGTAAATCTCTCTGAAGTTGAACTGGATCTTCCTGAGAATCACCTCGTGTGAGAGACTCTCTTGAAACCCTCTAAACATTGTAATTTATTATAATTAATAAAATCAGTATTTTTATTTTGTTTATGGTTACACATAAATATTAAAAGTAAATACTTCTCCAGATGCTGTTTTAGGTATCATACCCAACATTGGTCGTTTTTTCTGTTCTCCCTGTAATAAATTAGATTTTGATTTTTCCAAATCACTTTGTAATTTTTCTATTATCTATACAAAAAAAAATTAAGTAGTTATAAAAGATTAACTATTGTTATAATTTATTTCTCACACCTCTTTAGTTTTTTTGTCATTTTCTATTTTTTCATTATCTAATTCTTCCATTCGCCTCTCAGCTTTTTTTAATTTAAATGCTAAAATTCGGCAATTTTTTGAAACTTGGTCAAATTCTCTTCTGAGCATAATAATTTCATTATCTTGTTCTTCTCTAAAATTAATTTCATATTTAGTAATTCAAAATACTCCATATAAATATTAGTATTTAATAATTACATTTAAATTACTACATGTTGAAACAAAATATTAAAAAGTTCAATACCTATGTATTATGTATTATATATATGTAACCCAATCTCTCATAGTAACTAATTTAGAAACTTAATCATTCAAAAAGAATATTCTCAATAATAAATAAATATAAAATAAAGGTACTTCTATCAAATTATTTGCTAATTTGAAATGGTGAAATAGACTATTTACATAATATTTAAGTTTTATTATAGATGGAAGTTAATATTAATTTTGTTAAACATTTATATAAAAAAAAAAAAAAAAAACAATATTGTTTACAAAATTATTGTAAATGTTTAAAATATTATTTGATGGTAAAGACTTCATATTATAGATCTAGAAGCTTAAAAATAAACAGGTAAAATACTAAACTATGCAATATACATATACCGAAAATTATCTCTCATCTCTTGCTCCATATTGCATATCTCTTTATTTAAGTCATTATTTTCTTCTGTTAACTCTTCAATTTTAGTTTCAGCAACTATTAGTTTAGAGCAAACTAGTTGAACATCATCTGACTTTATCTTGCTATTCTTGTACTTATCAAGTTCAACTTCTAAATCACGAACACGTTGTGTAAGCATTCTTTTTTCATCACCAAGAGTTTCACAAGTTGATTTCAAATCATTTACTTTTTGTTGGTGTTTCAATAACTAATCAAAAACAATAATATGCATTTGTATTATATTGAAAGAAATTTAGTTCTGTCCGTGTATTATGTATGATTTTTTTTTTTTCAAAATATATCTATTTTTAGAACAACTGAATTTAATGGCAAAATCAAATTTGGCTACTCTTATTTAATTTGTAAGAAATATGGTTATTTTTTTTTTTTTCAAAATAAAAAAAAGTACATAAAATCTCTTAAAAAATAAAATAGGTAGTGAATTTCATAACATTATGATATTTATTTAGAACTTTGAAGGTAAATAGGTATTGAAAAATCTGAATAAACCATTAAATCAAGGTCTAGATCTACATATATTTGGAATTAAAATTGTTTACAGAGTATTATGTATTTATGTATTTTGTTTTACTTCAGAAGCTGTTGTACGAGAGGTTGGAGTAGTATCCAAAGATGCTAGTCGTCTAAGTAAAATATCACTCTTTTCTCGTTCTGCTTTCTCACATTTTGATTTCATTAATTTTAATTCAGCTTTTAAATGTATTACTTGGTCCTATAATTATGCAAATTATTAGATTTTAACAAACATTTTGTAAATCAAATTATGTGCAGATAACATGGGAGGGAGGTATGTATTAATTACTTGCCTATATAATAACTGTACTCACATGTAAATCTTCTTCATTTATAATAGTAGCATAAGTATCAGTTGTAGTATCAGAATCAGCTAAACTAATGGTGTCTTCATCATCGTCATCTAAATTTGTATCATTTGACATTGATTTAATCTAAAATGAATCAAATTAAACCTATAACCCTTGTGAAATTCTAACTTCCCAAGTGAATATTAACATTGTTATGATGATATTAACATGCACCGGTGTATTTTGGGCGATATCTCCATTGTAACTGTTTCTTGGACTAGGCACATCCAATGAATCTGTTCGCGAAAGATTTGTTTTTCTTCGAACTGTATATTTTGGAATTTGCTCATTGTCATCTAAAGATAATATACTTATATATTAATAAAATACAATTATTCTTATACATTTCTATGATTGTAATTGTATTTCTTTTTGTCAAATTTGAAATAACTTCTGACTAATAAAAATCATATTTTATTTTTTTTTCTTACTGGGTTTTACTTTTGTACATGTTTTTTTACTAGTTATTTAATTTTAATTTTATATTGTAATATGGAATATGTGTTTGATAATTTTAGTATATTTTACTTAGTAAATAATTTTATTTATAGGTAAACATTTTGTAGATAGAAATGCATATTTAACTTGGTTAAAGTAGGTAATTATAAGAATAATACCATGTGGTACCTACCATTTAGTGTTTATCATTATTTTATATAATCTATTCATACTCATTATATCTAAACATTTATCTAAAACTCGAGCTCATAAACTGTTTGGCTAATACATATTTAATCTATAATTTAGCATTTTAGAACAACATAATATTTAAAATTTGCTAAAAAAAATCTTAAAAAATCACAAAAATATGATAGCAAACAAGTGTATAGAACATCTTATATCATCACATAAGTTAATAACATAAACTTATTGACATAGATTATGTTTTTATATACTTTTACTATTTAGTATATTACATAAACCTATTTTAAGTTAATACCGCCAATGGTTGTAAAGTTTAAAGCAACACTTAGCTCTATCTTTAACTTGAAAACAAATATTTTAAAAGAAAAAAATAAACAGAATTAATTTAATTTCTTAAATAAAAACATATTCTATGTGTGATGGTGTAAGGATAATAGATTTTGTATGGTTGCCTTTTAATTGTTCAACTTGAGATGTTACACTATCTGAAAGAGTTGTTAAGTCTGGAGTTGATGTCCATGATGTGGTCTTTCGGCTAGGGCCACAGCTTTTGTTAACTTTACAATAATTTTGATTATTGTTTGATTCCAAATCTAACGAAGTATTTTTCCCAACTGTTGATTCACTTGTTGTCCTAAATAAAATATTTTGATATTTTTCTTTTTAGTACCTAATACAAAGATTACAAACTCATTATTTAAGACAGGAGTCGATAGTGTGGTATCATCTTTCCTGAGTGACGACCCGCCATTATCTTTATTTCTGTTGGAATGATCTTTATAATCTCTGGAAACATAAATAATAAATATCAAATAATTTGAATTATAATTTGTAACTATGTTACACATTTAAAAAAAATTGTCAAGCTGGATTGACTAATTTACAATAAAAGGTCACATATTTTTGGAACACTTTAAATCAAAATTACTTTTTCACTTGATCAACTTCAATAATAGTATGTTAAATACTACTAATACTTAATATTTCCAAAAATTTACAGTGACTACCCAAATTTATCTAAATATCTATACTACTATTACCTATACTAGTTAATTAAGTTTTAAATTTGTGTTAGGTTGTAATTTAATATGAATATGAATGGTACCTACTATCTACCTACCTACCTATCACGCAGTACCTCTTACATTCTAATATTGTAAATAAGAATAACTATTACAGTGGATCGTTTAGGCATTTATTTCGTATTGTACTTTTATTGTGATGGTAATACACAAAATTATCTTCTACCCATTTTAATTACTTTTAAGTTACAATATATTCAAAAGTAGTTACCTAATTGATATAATATACCTAGATACCTATTTAGTATTCAAATAAATCTTTTAATTTTAATAAAACAATCAACAATTATTTCTCGTTAAAGTCGTAAATATTGGTCAATAATATTAAAAATACTTATACAATATCTATAAATCAAATTTACCTATCATTACATTATAGGTATAAGTACAGTATAGTATATATCCACTTTATAAGCGTCTCTCTAAGTTACCTACCAATCAAAAATTTACCTAGAAAAGGTTAAAATACCAAAGTGCTGTGGTTCATATTATAACTTTATAAGATTTTTAAAATCAAATTTTGATGAAAATTGTATACATTATGGCCTTTTAAAACACGTGTAACTTCACTCCAAAACATTTTTTCGTTATCAATGATTTATCGTAAGTTAAAGGTATACAATACATAACTTTATGTATCCCACCTTCCCAACTACCCACCTACAACAGTGACCACACCCGTCCCTAGTAGTCAGCTCTTTTTTTATAATGTCATTAATTTAAACATAATGTTCAAGTTTTTTTTCAATCATTTTTTCTTTACCAAAATAATTTTATTCAAATTAACCAGAAAATAGTACCTAGGATACCTAAACAAATTGCCATGATTTTTAAGATTTTCATCCCTTTAATTGTTTTCAATTTCTTAAGTTCAAAAATAAGTTAATTTAATTTTAGCTTATAAAAAAAAATATCGTGACTTAAGAATTATTGACAATTTTGTATGACCGTAATTAAGAACAACTTATGATGAATCTTATATCAAATTTTCAGGTGTTTTCGGTTAATCAAACCAATTTTGTTCACACAAGACTTCCAAAAAAACTCAAATAGAGTTTCAAATCGATATAAATAGCTAAAAAATATCCAGAATGTTTTGAACATTTTACCACGTCTAGAAAGAATTAGGTAATATTGTAATTACACATCGGTGAAAATATCAGGTAATAACGATTATTTCAAACTGAATTACAACAAAATATAAAAACGAAACCATTATTGTTTAAATATTTTTGTTTCCCGAATTATTAAGAAAAAACTATTGGAAAATTAAAAAATAACAGTCTAAACACGCCTATAAAATCATATTTGCAACCAGAAACCTATCTTGGAGTTGATCGTACCAAAATTTCTGATTAAAACATTATTTTTCATTTCATTTAATTTGATATTTGCGACCCTCTATCGCTATCTAGCGCCTGTAGTACGTGATGATACTATTTATGTTTTTTATAACAAGTGCCTATACTAATAGTTTGGTGATATATCTCATCATTAATACTATCACATATAACTTAGACCCCAAAAATATACTATTTGAGGTCATATGGATTATAGACGAGGAAATCGCGACAGATTTACGTGGAAGGTGAGAACGAAAATGGCTGGCCTCACAAGCGTAGAATTAAGCCGAAGTAAAAAAACAAAATTTAAGTAAATATACAGCATGACTATTTTAGCCAGAAGTATATGTAAGTCAAAACAAAAAAAAAATGACGGTAATATAATATGTAGAGTGAATTTTTTTTACGAACCACTTTTTATATTTACAAAGATTTGCTTAGTCATAATATTGATACCTAATATTTTTAAACTGAGTTACCCGGTACCAATGTATCCCGGGTCAATCTTTTCAAAAACAAAAATCAATAAAACATATGATATAACGTGTTTCCTTGTGTTCACACTTACCTTTGTCACAGTTTATCGTTGTTGCCCGGTAATTTATCTTTTAAAAAGGAAACTTCGTTGCTGTGACAACCAAATTAAATAATAACAGATTTTTATTTTTTTGTACCGTGTCACCAAGGTAACCCATAAATCAACAAAAAACAATCAATTTTCGCTTAGGGGTTGAATTTCGAGAAAAATCGTAGACAGCGATCTCCCTCTTGTTTTAAATGTTAAATGTATACGAAGTTTCATCAAAATCGGAATAAAACTGTTGTTTTCAGGACTTCATCACCGATTAGACTGTAGGCTTCAGCCTACGGTGGCAAATTTTAAAAGTGACAACTGAATAACATATTTTTTTACGATATAACACAAAAAATATTCGACGTGACATTATTAACTTCCTAATTTAAAAATTAAAATATAAACAAAAACTACAAAAGTAATTTGAATGCTATATGCTATGATACAATATTTATATACCTAGAAAGTTGCCATTTGAAAATCAAAAGTAGGTAGTCGTTTCACCCCCAAAAATAAGGGTGAAAAAAATGATAATGCAGAATTTTTTAACTAGGTATTTGTTTCGTAACATTTCTTAAAAAAAATTCCGAAAAAAGTAAGTATTTTTCGAGATATTATAATGGGTATGCTTCGTGGAACACTCTGTATATAGATATATACCGTGTGTCCCACAGTGTTCAACGGATTTTTCTAGTGCTGTTAATAATAAATTGTTTGTGATTTGTTTTTCAACAGGTTTGTCTTCAAGGGGGACATCGATTTGGAGAAAAATTAAATTTGTATTTTCATCCCCTAAACACAAAAATAAAATTACTTTTTACTTATTCACTTAGGAAAATTTTCAAAATAGATATTTTGTACAAAATATTATTCTAAAAATTTGAATGTATCATCCATCATATCTGATTAATAATTTCTTAATTATAGCTGTTTTAATTTCTAGAAAATAAGGGTGAAAACAATTAATATTCAATAGAAGATAGAAAATTACCGTGCTGCTTGTAATTCCTTATCGCATAACATGATATTTGATTGAAAATTAATTGTTTTCACGCCTAATTACAACGACTGTAACTAAGAAATTATTCATCGGATATGAATGTGTGATACATTCAAATTTTTTGAATAATATTTTTTACAAAATATCTATTTTGAAAATTTTTTAAAGTAAATAAAGTTTTTTTTTTTGTGTGTGTTTAGAAGATAAAAATACAAATTTAATTTTTCTCCTAATCGATGTCCCTCTCAAAGAAAAACCGATTGAAAAAAAAAAAATTTAATATTAACAGCGCAAGAAAAATCCGTCGAACACGGTAGGACAGACTGTTAGTGTATATATTATATCATATTCATGCAACAGTGGCATTTATAAGGGAGGGGAACAATCCCTAACTATTAGGTATGTTCTGTTCATAAACAACGATAAACCATTACTAACAAAAAAACAGTTCTTAGTGAAATTCAGTTAATAGTGATGCTTTGTCAACAATATATATTATGTCATATTATGGTAAAATAATTAAATAAACATTATATGTTTTCTTTAAAAAATTTGTTTAGCATTGTACCAATTTTCCATTTTTCTTACGCTATTCCCATTTTTCAAATTTGCTAGAAAAACTCTTGAAAAAATCGAAAAATGACCTAACCTCCCCAGTCGGATTTTCTTTCAAAAAAAGTGCTATTATTGTAAATCAGAGCAAAACTATTGGTAGAAAAGTTGTTCACAGATAAAATAGTTGTAAAACCATAAGCTTCCTCGCTTCATTTAGAATCTAAAATAAAAATGATGTGTGCAGTTATGTATCCTATAATTTATGATAAGACCCTGAACAAATTGTATCCTTTATTTGATAGATGCCATTATGGTATGGGGCCCAATAAATTTAAAATCGCCCCCCCCCCTTGATATTTTGTCAAAACCGCCACTGTACAATACCTTACCAAAACTTCTCACCTGCAACAGTAGGCCATCCACGAGCAAAGTTGCCCAGCTTTTTATTTATATACTTACCTATAAATATTATTTTACAGGTTAGATTTAATTTAATAATTACTTTTAACTAATTTTTTTACTGTCAAATTTGAACTTGTAAAATTATAAATTCATGCCAACGTCCGACATAAAACTAACATACTTTAATATGAAATCTATTATCGAATATAAAAACTCTAATTATAAAATGACAAAATGTATTTAAACAATATTACATTTTAAAAAAAATATTTAGTTTTTCTCTTTGAAACCTTTTTACATAGGTAGAACAAAAAGCAAAATTTTAATGAGCAACAACATGATACTTAAATCACATAAAAGATAACAAATTTTAACCATTACGTGGTAATAATTGTATTTAACCTATTTATTACAATTAATACTTGTAAATACTTGATAAATGTCATATAATATAATTTTTACAGAATGTAGATTGCTTATCTATTAATTGCATGTTGTGTATAGACTGTACGTACATTTTTTGTAAAAAAAAAAGGTTAGGTTAGGTATATGAGGGTATTTATTTATACAATTTGTACAGGTATACGCCAATTCACCATATGGTAAATGGTTAATTCGCCGTATTACCCTCCAAAATTGGACCAATTGCCTGGTCCCCTCACTATTTGTCTCAAACAATTCTAATTGAAAATATTCAGTGTAAATTTATAAAACTTTTATGCTTTAAACTAAATATCCCCACTTCAAGAGATTATACTAAAAGATACAATTATACTTCGACCTCAATTTTCCCCAGAGTTCTGTCTTTGACAAACACTAAAACGGACTATGTTAATTTTTTTTTCTATGTCGCGTAATATTTTCAGACAGAATGTTTATATTGCCTTAAATTAATATTTTTTGAACTGTTAACTTATCTTGGCTATTTCTGTTACTAATTTTTGTTGATTTAATAATGTATACTTTTATTATGCTGTTTTTAGATTCTAAACGTTGCAAGGGAGCTATTGGTTTTACAATGCTGTTTATTTCTTCTTTTTTTCTTTCTTTCTTCTAATCTGTGGACACGGTTTTCCTTAGAAAACTTGTTCTGATTTTTAGATGTAACAACTTTTCTTAAAGCTCAAGTTGTCTAAATTGTACTTTAAAGAAGTCATTTTTTGATTTTCGACGCCATATTTTAAATAAAAGCACTTAAGTAGGAAAACGTACAACTTCACGATTTCATTATTTTATAAAAACAAGGACGACATTTTATACCAGAAAAAATGATTTAATTAAAAAATCACAAAACACCTTTTTTGTTGCCTTTTTGATTTACTTTTTTACAATATCATCGCCAAAACTTTTGAGCTTTAAAGAAATTTTAATTTTTGGGAGTTTTTTGCTGTAATTTGATTATAAATACACGTAGAGACTTGAAACTTGGTAATAATATTTATATTGGACTACCTAGGCGTGGTAAAATATCAAAAATCATAGGACGACTTTTTTCCTTTTTTCATTTTTTTACAATGATACTTTATTTTATTTTTTTTTTATACTGTAGACCACTTTTATCCTATACAACTTGCTCCGTTTTTTTAAGTATAGCACCTTTTTTTTCACGATTTCGTTATTTTAAATAAGTACCTACCACGTTTTTTATCATAAATATGGCTCCAATTAAAAAATGCCAAGAGATCATATTTTTGTTGAATTTTTTTTGTAATAGTCGTTTTGAAATCAAATTTAAATGAAAATCGCAAAAAAAAATACGGCCTTCAAATTATGTATTACCGAACTGCGCTCGGAATCGTCTTTCGTCAGCAATAGTTTACCTATCGTTGCTTGCAGATATAAATGAAATAACCTTATGTATCCTACCTTTCCAACTTCCCACTTACAACAGTGGCTGCACCCGTCCCCAGTTTCAGCTCTTTTTTTTTTTTGTATCCATATAGGTATATAATTTAAGTTATTAAATTATCATATTAAGTTAAGCAGAAATTATGCATATTATTTGTATTTTGCTAAAGAATTAAAGCCCGTTTAATATAGGTTATTAAATTAAAAACACTACTGATTTTAGAAGTAAAATATCAAGATCTAAGATTCTGTGACGAATTAATTATAGCCTAGAGTGGCGAAATCCTTAATCCGGCCCTGGTTATTTTGTATATTAGACAGACTGATGGGTGTAAAATAACGGAAGGGTGTGTAATTTTAAAAATGCATGTGAAGAACACATTTGTGATGAAAATCAAGGTAAAAGTATATTGGAGGGAGGGGATGAACCCATGGATCCCATGGAAAGCCCCCATGGATCCGCCACTGGGACGAACAGAGACACACACCGATGACAAACTTTCAAATAGAGCAACACCTATTTTTGCGCGTCCAATTCGTAAATGTAATACTTTTCTAAAATAATAGTGTTAACTTTCCGGAAGTAACACTATACCCGTATTGTGCATATAATATTATAATACCGTATAAGTACCGTTTATGATAATTTAAAATTGTTTAGGCCTAAGAGCCGTAGGATAAGGCCTTCTAAACATATATATATATACATCCTATCGTGGTATGAATGCATTTTATTGTACGAATTTATATACCTACATATTAACAGATAGGTCACATCTGATGGTTGCATTATTATGGAAGTAGTACAGATTAATGGTTGATAATAAATATCGGGTATACCGGTATTTGCCAGCGAATTTTGTTACATTTTGCAGGTGTATAAATAGTTTGTTTTTTTAGAACATCGATAAAAACCGAGACATAATAATAATTTTATTTATGCAATGCGCAACAAAAAAACCAAAAACATTTATTTTTTTTGTTTGTTTTACTCTTCGATCTGCAGGTACCTATATTATAACGACAGTTTTATAATAAGTAATTATCGACCGACGGCATATTGTAAAGCGGATGAGTGGGTCAGACGACAGCGCCAAAACAGAGGCCCTCGTGGAATTTTATTTTTTAAAATTAATTTCAATCAAAAACAAAAAACCGGCCATAATACCGAAGGTTAGTGTACCTGTACACAGCAAAAAGAAAAAGGAAAAAACTCGATTAATGATGGCGCGTGTGCGTTTGTTCACCTGAAACACCGTTTGCATCTGGTCGGCCAACGGACTTGCGGATGGAATCCGAGCGGACACATCGGGTCGCCTTTCGTGGACGGTTTCAAGTGCTGCATTTTGTACTCTCCGGGATACTCACTCGCGTTGTTATTTCCGTATTATGGGCAATTCAGAAAATGCATATAATATCGACGACGGTAATAATTCGATCGCACGCACAATACACGGATCTTATCGAACCGTGCGCGATTCGCCTCCGGGGACCGCTCGTTTTTCCACCAATATTATTACTTGTTTCCGCTAAATCCCTATCTTTCTCTCACCAGGCCTCGAGGCCTCTCGCTCTCGCATCCGATTCTATAATATTATTATTGTGTCACTGTCTCTATGCCGTTTAACACCTGTTCACGATGATCATGGTGCCTCCTGCAGCTGCTGTGGCGTAAAATCACGAACCGACTGAACTCGGACACACACGCCACATACGAGCGCGCTGCATTTATTCCGCCACATCATTTTCGTTAGGCCATTTCGATATACGAACAATATAAATACATATACGTACCTATATATATACTTACATACAGGGTGATCAATATATTACGATCAAATAAAATACAATTGTACTTTATGTTGTTCTGTGTTCGATAATTTGTAAGTTGTTTCGTTTTTTTTTTTTTTTTGCTAGACTATTGGTATTATAATAGTCTTGCGCTACAATCAATACAATTAATATTATAACGTGTTTTGCCATGTTTTTTTTTTTTTTTTAGAAAAAGCTCAAAAGTAAAAAACCTAACATTTCACTAAATTTAATCTAAAAGAAAAAATAAATCAAAATAATAATTTTGTGAATCCGAAATTTAGTATACTGTTGGCGATTGAAACACTTCTGTGATATATAGCCGTTATTACTTACATTTCATATTATTTATATCCTACGAATTTATCAAGTCGAAAAATATGATGAAACCGGACGAAATCAATTTTTCCTCAAGGTGCATAAAAACGTTTAACCGCCAACAATTTCGTTTTTTTATTTTATACTATTTATTTTTTTATGGTTTTGAGTTCCGGGGCTTATCGATTATGATGAAAATTGTTATATTTTTGACGAATAATTCTGTTTCACCCTGTACACGCACGGGTATACGAACGCGAGACGCGGTGCTCGCTGGGATTTCGCTCCGCCCACGGTGGCGGTCTCGGTATAAATATAAACTCTGCCCGCCCTACTGGTACGACCGTCGCCGTGTGGTATTTTAACACGCGCGGGCCACCGGTCTCTTTTGCGCGCGGCCGGCGAAGCGTATATAGGTACCTACATTAGTATGTATACACAATGTTGTTTAACACACACATATATATATATATATATATGTACATAGCGGTATGTGTATGTATGTTGTACGCGAACGGAGCCAACGGAAAAAATACCGTATAGGAGGAGGAAGCGATAAAAAAAAAAAAAAAAAAAAAAAAAAACACGGGACGTATCGGCGTGTAGAACAATCGTTTGAAATCCGCGAGGGACGCAGCGGACGGGGGGTCCGGTCCGCGGTCCGCTAGCGTCCCGCAAACTGCATCCGATCGCGGCCGGTGTGAGAGTGCGTGACCAAAATTACTGCGATAATAAAATTCGGCGTGACGCATCGCCGCCGCCCGAATGCCGACCATAGCGTACGCGCACACGGTCGGCGGGCGGTCGCGGTTCGGGCCGGGGCGGCAGCGATGAGACGCCCGGCGTTATCCTCCAGCGGGGCGCACCTGCCGTACCGCGGGCCGTCGCCGTCGTCCGCCTAAAAATAAACGGGCCGTCGTCGTCGTCGCGCGCGCATTATAATACCACCTACATACACGAATCTTAGAATAATAACACGCCGACCGCCCACGGTTTGTTTCCGTGTAGAAAAACAATGAACCGCGAACGTAGTTCGCACCGCCGCGCGGGTGGACCGCTGTTGTCCGTGAGAAATCTGGGACATTGTACAATATTATCATTTGTAGATAGGCGATTTATAAGCCGCCGTTTTGGTACGCAACGATAACGGATAATTTTTATCGTTGCAAACAGTGGCGCGCGCGTCCACGAGGCCGTCGGCGGCGGGGGGGGAGGGGTTTGAACCGTCGGCAGATGACCCGCGATGAGTAGACGAACGGTTTTACACGAAACATAGAATTAAATTGTTAGAATTTCGACCTGGAAATCATATTCTTCCGTGTTTGTACAGGTATGCGTATTTTATTATAAATACGTCACGCAAATTCATGTATACATACAATCATCATAACATTATGATAATCTAGAACTTAATTAGAATTTAGGTCGTTTAAATTGTGTTCGTCCGCAACACGAATTAAACCTCGTATTTTCGTTTAACAACTGTTGTATTTCCCGCAATTATAGTTGTTCTGTCTGTGTCACCTAATCGGACTCTTTTTTTTCTTTTTAAATGCACTTGTAAATTTCTATATTACTGGATGGGATACGTTTGAAGTGGATTTAAAGCCGTTACGCCATCCTTCGACAGAATCGTTGGACTGGGAAAGAATATTTTCTGAAATATACTTAGAACAATTCCATAATGTTACTGGACATATTGCCGCTCTTCTTCGATTTCTTCGAAATAGTCAGTCAATCTTAATGGACTTAACATTTCTTCATTTTTTTAATAAAAATCTGAATCTAATAGTACTTTTATTTATTTTGTATTATAGTTAAAGTTCTCAATAATATTATAATGTTAAATGAATACAAGTTTTTTTAAAAACAATCAATTATCATTTATCCAATATTTAATTTAAATTTTAACACAATAATCAATAGTTATGTTACTGAAATAAAAAGTACTTAGTGATTATACTATTGTGCATAATATAATAAGAATTAATTGATATTTGTATTTAAAAATTTTAAATTTTTGCATTTTTATGTGTAATTCATTGTAAATGTTTTAACCCATTAACGGCCAACATATTAAAGACCGAAAATCCTATTATTATTATGGTTGTTATTTGTTAATTAATGTAATTTTATAACTAAAAAAAATTGTAATTGTTTTGCCAACTCAATTTTGCGTAAAAAAATGTTGCACTGATGCAACATTGGCATAAGTTGTATTAAAAAAAATAACTAAAAACAATGATTTTATTTGAACTATTAAATCATTTATTTATTTTGAATATATACATTTAATGATTGTATTATATCGAAAAAAATATGTGTTTTACAAAATTGTCTTATGTATTTATTGAAACATTTTTTATTTTTCAAAACAATCTGGATGTAGAAAAACATTGCACTTCTTGCATAAATAAATTGTTTATTAATTACGGTATCTTCTTCTTACATCTTTTCGGATAATGATATGACCAATATCATCTGTTCTTATAGCTGTAGGTAGAGCGTTTTTAGACGGCCTAACCAAATTAGTGTTGAAAATGGATACTGCAGACTCATAAATAATTTCTTTATTTGATTTTTCTGAAGTTTTGAACAAACTTAAAACAAGTTTTGATCTATAGTCAAATTGTGACATTTTTTACCATTTACCAAATTACAAAAATTAATCACTGCACTATCTATCACATTACTAAAAAACAGCTACCACCATTTTTTCCCGTTGACTCTAATCCTGTAATTGGCTATAGCATTATCATGCAGATCAACTCCGCCCATGTTTTTATTGTAATTCTAAATTTCGTTAGGTTGCTGGACATAGACAGTTTTTTTTTTCTTTTCTTTTATAACGTTTTGCCATTACTAATGGATCAATTTTACCCACGTTAGTCAAGACCATCACAACTGAATTGTCATTCCATCGAATTGCAAAAATTTCATTTTTCTGTTCAAAATTAAAGTCAAAAGTTCCCTTACATTCTTTTCCCAACAGTTTGACAGATTTTAGTTTACAATTACCAATGCGATTTTCTCTCACAGTTCCCGTCACAAAGAATCCCTTTTCTTTTTTGCATCGCCAGTAGAGAATAACTAGTAAAAAGTTATCAAAAATACTTTAAGCAACTTTGAATTTTCAACAGACTCTAAAAGATTGAATACAACTTCTGAGCCTAATGGCAAACCTTCTATTCGTTTGGTACTAGTACCACTATAAGTCAAAAACTGGAATAAGTAACCATGTTCAGAAGTTTAACACCATAACTTGAAACCAAAACAAACTGGTTTTCCTCTAATAAACATTTTGCAAGAATGGCAACCAAAGTATGGGACCATTTCTTCGTCTATTGATAAATTATGAATAAAAATACAAAACTAAACAAACTTTTGATTCAATAGATTGAAAAATGGACGCAACTTTGAAAATTTATCTGATGGATTTACATTTTCCTCATCGGTGAGACAATCAACATCTGGGAGAATTATAATAATATCAGTGAATCACTTGCGTTTACATTATCTAAAAACTCCAGTATCCCATTCGATGTTTTTAACCTTTTGAATTCACTCATTACTATGATAATAAATAATAAAATTAGCTAATACGTAACTAATCCGTACTAATTATTAAAAAAAAAATAAAACTTACTTAAGTATGCTTATAGCGATTGACCAAACCAATGATTGTAGAAACAAAACAGCAACAGAAAAACAAATATTAAAAATATTGCAATAAGAAAACGGATTTACGAACGAAAGCGATATCGTCAGGTCGTCAACTAAATCGTGTCTATATAATCTTATTTACTTTTCCCTATATAGCAGATGCGTAATTGACATATTATAGTCATTTCTTATTAGTACATGCAGATGTCTGTATACTAGTATTTATAAATAATAATAATAATAGCTGTTATCGGCTACTACAATGTACGCGGGAAAACCGTTTCCGGCGACCAAAGGACGACCAGTACTGGAATTTATGTGCTACAAACCACCAACACAAACTTTAAAACTTCAATTGTAGGGTGAGCTATGAGCACAAGTTAATAAAAATGATCTTAATATGCCAAATACCCTTTGAAAATAATGATATTTACGCAGTTCGAACTTAAAAATACAAATTTATATTTTTTTTTTAATTTATCAAACAATTTAGAATTCTATACCTCAGAAATGTTTATTTCTGTGCTGTATAATATCAATCATACAAATGAGAAATCTGTATTTATATTTTTTATTCATTTACTGGTGTATTCTTAATCGAATAGTATCACAGTCGAATTAAAATAAAAAATTTAATCCAGCACAAAAATATTGTTTAAAATAATGTTGCGTACACACAACTTTGGTCGTTAATGAGTTAACCTTTAACTATCTAATGGGGTGTGGCCTTTTTGCAAAAATGATTTATTTCGTGGCATTTTAACAAGTTTTTTTTAACCTACCATTATATTGCAAACATAGAATGACCTTTAATTTATTTGATACACAAAAATAATGTTAGATAGGTACCTAATTAAATTGTATGTCACTAAAATACCAATCTCAAGTATATAATATAATAGGTAGTTCAGTATTTTGTTTATGTATTAATTTATTAGATTTTTCAGTTCAACTTAAACATAAAAAAACTTGTTACCATTATTAGTTTTTATAAAAAAATAAATTAACACTTTTTCAATGATAAACTCTAAAAATAAAACAAAAAAGTTAAGTAAAACATAAAATTTTAAAATATTCAAAAATTAAAAATGATAATACTTAATGTATATTTTTATGTATAGTAAATAAATATATAAATAAAAAATGTATATATATATATATAAATAAAAAATTAATTAATTAATTAATGCGTCACCTGGAGTATATTATGATAAGTGTATTATACGAGTTTTATATTTTGACTGTGATAAACCTGATAGTAAACACTTATCATAATACTCCAGGCGGTGCATTCATTCATTTATTTTTTATTTATTAGTATTAACCATTTTAATAATTTTAGTTTGACTTTATTATTTTTTATGTACACAATTGAAGGGCTACGGGGAAGAATAATAATAGTCAAACTCCCAAAAATGTTTAGTATTGCAGTTTTTAAGTTTCAGAACTATATTAAACCGTATATTTAATCCTTTGTTAAATCACTGACTGTAATTTGTATGCCTCAACTTGTATATCAATTCTACCAGAAACAAATGAAAAAATAATATTACAATTGGCTCATTTATTATATTTTTTTTTTTTCTATTATCGTTTTTCCTTGTAGCCATTCAATTGTATGTCCATATTTCAGTTTAAATAAAAAACTAGAAAAATTACAAATAAATATATTATTAAAACTTAATTTCCTATTGACATCAAGTACTACTGTAACTAGGGAATAAAAACTACAAATTATAATAAGCAATTAATTTGTTGTGAGTACAAACATAAATTGATTAACTTTATGTTTAATATTAAACTCGACCAAATATTTTAATAATAAATAATGATTTAGTTTTTATTTTTTTTAAAATATAATATAATAATAAATTAAGAACAAATAACCAGGTCAATCACAATTTTAAATGAGATAACTAATAAATATTATATTGTTCTCTCATATGATATCAAGTGTATAAATAAATAATAAATGACACTTATAACCAATTTTAAAATGTATAATATAATGTTACATTTTTATCTTTTTTTAATGAACAAAATATTATAATAATATCAACAAAATCAGTACCAAAACTTAATAACCTAAATAATAAGCTAGTAAATATTATATGTAACTGATTCACAGACGAAGTGAATATAAATAAGAACGCTGGTAACAACAATTATGACGTAATTTTCTATTAAGACATATTTACATAAAATACTACGTTAATTTTTTTTTTTGATTATAACAAAATTGTGACTAATAACCTGTTTTTTTAATTTGTTTTAAGTCGCCAAATAAAAATACACTGGGAACAAAAAAATAGATATCGCACAAAAATATCTTAAAAATTGTTAACAAATATATCATTAATACTTAGATAATGAATATACATTATATGTATATATTTAAATCTCATTTTTCCATTTAATTCAAATTTAGGGTTGTCATGATGGCATGGATTCAAATGTAACACCTAATCGTTTTTCTAGAGGACATTTATACTCCCAACTTTCTCCTTTTTGCACAAACCACTAAAACAAAAACACAGTTAACATTTCATTTTAATAAGTTATTATACAAAATAAATATTGTATTAAATTTATTCATTAATTTTATTTACTCGAGGAATCCAAACTTCACTATGTTCTTTTCGTGCTTCAGCTTCATTTCTTTGTTTTTGTTCGATTTCAGCTTTAGCTTGACTAGCTTGATCTACATTATCAACTCTAAAATTTTAATTCAATAAATTTGTAATAATATAATAGCTAAATGCATTGTAAAATGGTAAAATATTATTTAACTATCATTACATGTTATATAAACCAGGGTAATATCACATCTTGATATAAACTAAAATTATGAACTTTATTAATATCTAGTATAATTGATAAATAAGGTGATTTATTCAATAGAAATGTAATTGAATATTATAAGACAAATACAAATTAGAAAAAGGTATATAATATACAAAATCCAGTTTTAAATTGATAGCATACAAAACCTACTATTAATGTTTACTTTCAAACTGAACAGAATTTGTAAAAGGATATTCTCTATATTAGTGTAATGTATCTGTAATATTTTGTGTAAAAAACTATAGACCCAAAAAAAGGTCTTTGTCCAAGAAAATTTTATCATGGCTGAGACACATTCAAATTGTGCACGAGTCAAACTTTTTGAAGAGCCCTGTGTTTTAGGCTTAAAAAAACCTGGAAAAATTAAAAACAAAATGTTTTCTTTTATTGTTAGTGGTAATAAAATGTCATTTTCACTTTATGTATTTAACAGTATAATATGACCAACTTTCTTTACCCATAAACGCAGAGCGTCCCCAAATGGTTCCACTAGTAAAGAAATTATTAAAAAAATGTATTTTAATCTTGAGTAGTATGAAAATACAAAGTTTTAACTTAAATAATTTTTAGCGTTGATGGGCTAATTATTATTTAGAAATGTAAATTTTTTTTCTTCTTCTTCTTTGCCTTATCCCAACTGTTTGGTATCAGTCATCCTCGTTCTAAACTTCCACTAGACCTGATCTCCCACCTAGCATACATTTCCTCTTTTCATCATTTTAAATTGTATCCAAAACCCTCTTTTTTCTGTCTTTTTCAGTATTTCTCTCCACCTCTCTTCCTACATTTATTTTATTACAATGCTTACTACTTCTGATTCCCTCTCCTAGTGACATATCCAAGTCTAAGTCTATTTGCTCTATTATCAAAGCCACGTCTAAGCCACCTCTTATGCGATTTTCATTTGCCATTTCACTCATCCACTTAAGCATTCTCATCACTCTAGAAATATAATTTGTCTAAGTAAAAATGTTTAATATTAATGTTTTATTCGATATTAAATATTAATACTCAAAATAATCTAAAGTATTATAAAAAAATGTAACTATCCATTGATTAACCAATAAAAAATATTATGCATTTTAGATTCTGAGCGGAGTGAGGAATATATTGGTTTTTTGTTTTATGTGAACACTTTTTCTGAAAGGAAATGTTGTCTGGGTGGTATTTTAGAGAAATCATTTTTTGAAATTTTCATAAATATTCAAGATAATAAAGAAGAGAACTTTATTCTTTAGGTTAAAAAAGATTAATAATAAGATTGTCATTGGCAATAATTTTTATTTATTTTTTGTTATTAGGTATTAAGTTTTTATTATTTAAATCTTTTTTAAACAATCATTGTTGTAATGGAAACGTACATTGATGCAAAGCAATACTATAGAATGAGCTATATTAAAATAAAACACATTTCAATTTCAATATATTCTTTTAATTATATTTCTTTATTCTATACTTTAGCATCACTATCAATTGAATTTCACTCAGAATCCTATTTTAATTAGCAATCGTTGATTGTTGATTACAGATATACATTAAATTCCATTCTGTATCCTACTTTTGTCTTTATTTAAATATTTACTTAACCATATTAAAATAAAATAAATAACAGTTAAATAATATTGAAATTGAAATAAGTAATGGTTTTTGCCTGTAGTAAAGTTACCCTCAACAAATCAAAAAAAATAAAACTTTCTATCAATATGTATTAATACCATTTTAAATTTCATAGGAAAAATCCACATATTATATGGTATGACATAATATAATAGGAGCAGCAATTGCAGCAAACCGAAAATTGTTTTAAAAAAAAACTACTTAGAAAAACTAATATCTAGAAAAAACATGCAACCATAGGAAACTGGATATAATCTTTGGAATATGGATTGTATGGAGACTTTTCAAACCTAACCCAGCCTTAAGACTAATAAAAGAAATAGCGAACTATGAACTAGGAATAGTGACTTTGTAAGTAATTTTATTGTGATGAAAAATTCAAGGAAATAAATTTGGAAACAATACTGACAGATAACTTGGAATATATAAAAATATTGAATATTAAATAAAATTGGTATACCAACTCATAATAAAAGAGACCAACAGGACTGAAAAAATTATAGAGGAAAATCATTAGTAAATGTAACTTATAAAATATTATCACACTGTATTTTAAATAAAATTAAGCCACTAGCTGATGGAATTATAGAAAACTACTGGTTTCCAAAAAAACATTAAATTTTTGTGGATTTTAAAAAAGCATATGACCAAGAATATACGGTAAATTAGAAGAAAAAAATTGTCTATAGATAATTATTAATTTAGCAAAAACAAGTCTAAAAGATAAAAGTATATTCTTACTCAATATTGACATTTATAAGTTATGTATTTTATATACCTTAAATATTATTTTCATTGTAAAATAAAAAATATTACATCATTATTATACAAAACAACTGTGAAATTCTATAAATCTAAACAACTTATGTCGATAACTATAATTTGGAATAATCAATTTTATATATTGTATGTATTCAAAAAACATAAATCTAAATTAAGTTACTTTAAAGCTCTTACTTTAATCCTAATGTGACTTCTTTCCAAATGTATCTAGATTCATTAGTATCTTGTTCTGAAACCTTGCGTACTCTTTTTTTGATAACATCAATTGCTTTTGTATTGACAAACATTTCAGTTCTCTATAAATAAATATTATTTAGTATATAATAATTATCACATTCATTGTTATCCAAAATAATATTGCAAAGGTTGTGTCAATAAACATGTATACATATATACTTACACCATCAGCCCATTTTGCTTCCATAGAACCATTCCATTCGCCAGAAATAGTAAGAAAAGCTTTTTTGGTTTTTGGTCCAAAAACTTCTGCTGTAATACGGTGTTTCTTTCCGCCATAGAATGGTTTAGTATGAAATTCAATATCGCAATGATAACCTGTTTGTGGACATGTTATGGTTACAGATCCACCCAACTCAATCCATGGTACAGTTAATATTGATCTATAAAAATAAAATATTTTAACATAATAGTATAACAGTAGTAAGATAATAATATTATATTATACCTGCCATAACCACTTGGGAATGTTGAAATGTATTCTTCTTTATGTTTTAATAATCGTACGATACCCTGTCCTACATGATGTACAGCAACAGATAACCCGAGAAACTTAGACTTGGTCCAAACATTAGCACAAAGAGTCACTTTGTTTTTTTTGTGTTCAGCATAGAATGCAGAAACTAAAAAAAAAAAATATAATTTTTTAACTTTGGATTTGGCTTTGGGCTTGGAGACTGTGTTTTTATGAGGATTTACATATTTAAAACAATATGCTAAAGAAAATTGTATTAACCCATAAATATAAATAGGGACATTTACATGGTACTTTGTATATATTATTACTGTTTTAACATATTTAATCTTACTGGGGGGATGATGAGAAACTTGCTCAGCAAGAAATATTAATTGATCTGGATCTGTCCAAGGTAAAGGGTTTTCTTCTTCATTCACTGTAGTTGTATCTGAACCCTTTTGAGCTATATCCTCATTTGATAATTCCGACTCAACAGTTGGACCTCCGGGTACATCCCAATGACAGCGGAATATTTCACCAAGGATTGGATTGTAGGGTTTTTTTGCTACAGCAGAATTTCGACCAGCATGATATGAAGATAAATACCAACGTACAATTTGAACCATTCGTTCTTCTGGTGTATTTAACTCATTTGCTCTGTTTAAAAATATAAAAATGCACACTATTTGTATAAATTATATATATATATTTTAATAATACTTACTTAAGAAATAAATCTGGGTGGGCTAAATAGTCAGCATACATTTCTAATAATGAACGCTTTTCTAATATAAATGTAGGTAGAGCAACTTTTGTTAAATCCATACCAATTTTCACTTGGGATATGAGATGTGTAACAACTGAACCTTGCATAGTTACTAAAACAAAAAATATTAAACTTAAAAGCCAAATTGTATCATATATTAATTTATTACTTACCATCAGATTCATCTTGATCTTCATAAATAGCTGAAATTAAAATTTTAATAATTATACAAATTATACTAAAATAAAATATTTATTAAAATGAAATATTATAAAAAAGTACCATCATAGTTAATAGATCCATCTGGATAGGTAGGTACTATGTTATCTTTATTATTACTATCTCTTTTTTTTGGCATAGTTGAAATGGTTCGTTCAGTATTATCTACAGATATTTGATTTAAATCAGTAGACCCCGATCGAACCAAATTACCAGAATTTTCTGGGACTTCATCACTTCCGCTACAAAAAAATAATACAAATTTGTATAAAGCTAATTCTTATTCTTATTGAATAAATATAAACATATTGGTTTAACATATCTAAGGTAAATGGAACACATTAAATGACCTACTCATTCAAATTATTATAATATTTAATTTCTAATAAAGTACCCAGGCACATAAAATTTAAATATTAGTTAAATATATAAAAAAACAATAAACAGTGATCATATATAAACAAATTAATAAACAATTATTAATTAATATAAATAAAAAAATTATAAAATATTTGAATGGATAAATGATTATAACTGGGTTTTCTATTTACTCGGAATAAAATGTTTACATTAATATACCCAATCATATAGATTCTATACAATTTAAAACCTAATTAAAGATACAAAATTATCTCCATTTTAAATTGCTCCAATCATCAAATACTCAATATTAGTAACTAAAATAAACATGTATTATATTTTATTAGTACCTACAAACTATTGGTTGTCAATAATGCTATAGCACTACTGCACATATTAAGTTTATTGTATAAGATAATACGTATTTTATATTGAGATGATTTCAAAAAATTTCAGAAAGAACTACCTGTCTGTCCATATTAACCTCTGTATTAAAATAAAAAAAATTTAATATTTTTAAAATTAAACAAGTAATAATATACAATAACTCATTGTAAAACTTTAACATGTAGGTATATTAAATTAATTATTTAAAATCATATATAATAAATATAAAAACAAATCTGAAGAATTAATACAATTTGGTAGTATCACACAAATGAGTAGGGTTATTTTATGAAATTAAAAAATATTAGGAATAGCAAAACTACAAATTAATAAAATTAATGATTCGTATGAAATAAGATCATTTATTTGAACCTTATACATTCAATAACTTAATAAAAATAAAAATAATGTGTAATATTACAACAGGAATTTAAATGATTGATAATGTAAAATAAGTTTTAATTAACAGACATTTTTTTTATCTAAAAACTATAAATTTTCCTAGCTAAACTTTGAACGTTTATACAAATTTAATTGAACTAACAATTTATTAATTAGGTAAATTTTTAACCTTTGGCTTTGGCCCATGTTGGCAGTTATTACAGATTCTGGATTCCCGGGAGAAGTATTAGCCCAATTCCAAAAACGGGAAATCATTGATAAAGTAATATTGTTTAAATTAAAAATATTCAGTAAAATCACTAATACATTTTTTAAAGAACAAAACAAAGAGTATTAATTCATAAGAATCACTATATAATCACTGTTTAAAACATAACAGATTATTAAGATAAGACAATAAATGAAGGCGGAAAGCTCAGTAATCGATTTGTTGAAATTGTGTATTAAATAAATATAATATAATAATAATTACACGAAGTTTGATTACATTGTGATAATAGTTCAAGGCCAAAAAAAATATCAGCTGATTTGATAACGTATGATCAAACTAACCACGGTATTATTCTGTGGTTAAATATAAATAAAAAATTATTTCAATTTTTGATATAATTAATAACCATTCTTTCTTTGTAATACCAAATAGTTTTTCGATTTAAGTATTCATAATAAATAAAAAAATTCCAAATTAAGTTTTGGACTTTTAGTTTTCATAATAATTGGAAAAAACTAACAAAATAAAATGAAAACTGAGAATTTCACAGCATACAATTGTATTATTTTAAATTTGTATGCATGAATGCATGATATTTTCGATTAAAAATGATAAGAAACTGTTAAATTTTATTTGAGCTCTAGTTGGTTAATAAGAAAATCATGTTTTGATTATTTAGCATTTCAACCAGTTTTTATAATTATTGAGTAAGAAATATAGGCAATACGGGAAAGTTTACAAAATTAATGATTTCACTAATTTTAATTTTTATTGGTTAAAAATTATCGTGGAGAACATTTTTACAGAATACTTAAATCAGACTTTTCTATATGTGATAAAATATTCATAACATTTTAACGGCTTTCGAGCTATTTATAAGAATTGGTTTTAGTTTTTATGTGGTAGGTAAGTAATATGTGGACTAAATTGTTTGACTCAACAAAAATGATTGTAAATTTAAAACAAGATTTATTATAAGTTGTCCTTAATGGTAAAAAAAATAAAGTTTAATGTAATGTAGTAGTTTTATTTTTTTTAAAGGGATAAAATTTTAATGAAAATAATAAAAATGAATGCATTTTAAAACATAAATAACTGAAAATCGCTTAGAATAGTTTTTTTTACTAGCAATGGTTAATCGTACTTTACAGATGGTATTATAATAACTTTTATTAAATTGTTTTTGTTATAAATGTATATTAGGTAGGTTTTAAAATTAACTTGGTCTTTTTTTTTTCGAAACGTATACATTTTGGCAACTGTTTTATTATTCAATTATTGTATGGAAATATTATTAAATCAATCAGAAAAAAAAACTAAATCAATGCTCACCTGGCAGGTATCCGGTTTTTATATTTTCTTCTCATTGCAGGTATTGGTTCTATTTCACGTGGTTTTGACCAATCTTCTTTATCTTCGTAAGCGTCATAAAAATCATCTTCAGAAGAAGAATAAGAAACATCTGGAATATCTGACAACGCAAATAATAATTATCTGTTGTTTTTGAAAAAAATCTTACTTTTATATTTATACAATAAGAAAAACAGAAATATTTATTACCATTATCCATGGATTGGGAGTCTCTTCTACTTCGCTCTTCGCATTCTGCTCCATATTCTATACTACCTGTGTCTCCTAAAAATGTAGTAATTCTATAGTGACTTAAAGTCATTTATATCAAACATAATCTACCTTCTAAACTAGGAAAATCATAATCTGTGGATACAGATGTAGTTCTATATGATCCATTAACAGGGAATGCAGTATTCTGAAAAATATTAAAACTATTTAATTTATAACTACTGGGTATTTAATTTATCAATATTGAAAAATAAGTCACCTTAGCTATTTGTAACATCACTATTGAATGCTTTACTTGGTCCATTAATTTCTAAAACAAATATTTAATAAATGAAAATAAATTGTACTATGACTAAACTATATAAAAATATCTAACCTTATTTAAATATAATACCGTTGGCATTAAGTAGTATTTCATAACAAATTATATATTTAGTTAAATAATAGAACATATTTATTTTAAAATAGCTAAAGAAACTTTAATTAATAGGTAATTTGATTTCCTTATTTGTAGAGCATAATAATCATAAATATATGAAGTATCAATTTAAATGATATTAATAATACCAAAACTGCACTCGTCAATCTAAGTAGTAATAGTATAATATAGATGCAAAAAAAAATATATTTACATTTGTTTCTGAAATTATACATTCACAATGTGCTTTGTCTTCCTCGCACATTGAACTCATTTTTACTTCCAAATTCTGGAAAATTTAAGAATAATGTATATAAAATATTATCAGTACTACAATTTTATTTAAAGTTATTATAACCTTGGTTTGTTCAATAAGAAGTTGCAAATAAGCATCAGCTTCTCCCAATTTCTTATCAAAACTCTCCAATGTAGGCACGACTGTGTCATTATTAACCTGACGAAAAAAAATTATTTGATTATTACACATACATCACAATGTGTATATAATATTTTAAGAATAATATCTAAACGAATAACCACAATACCTTTTTTCTTACTGTTGGCTTACAAACACTTAAACATACACCCATCATTCCTACATTTATGCATTGAATACATACCTATTATGCACAGTTTAGTGTTCTAATATTTTTAATATACATTTAACTTCAAATACACACACGGACTAAGGGTTAAACAACATATTTATAAACAGACTATATGCCATTTACTTAGTTGAAAAAAAAAATCAATAAACACTAGAGCTAAATGGTTCAAGTTTCCGTTGGAAGACTGTATACATCATAAAATAATACGGAAGCAATTATTAAGGTCAGAATTGGATTAGTGCAACCAGTGTTGTATTATGTCGGTACCTGATTCTTCAAAAGTAATATAATAATACACCCTATTTTGAAACAGGTATCTTTTCTCATTATCAATCTATCAAAATGGGTTTCCCTTTCATAGTGCATATTCCTGTTGTTTTATTTTTAATTAATTAATATTTTAAACTACCTAAAATATCAAGTTTAATTCATATTGACTATGTATATTATTATGAAACCTACCTAAACAAATAAGATACTCTGATAGCGTTTTTATTACACCAGGTTAGTTCATAAATTAGCTTATATTTAATGTTTAATAATCATTCAGTTCGAATACTAATAAATAACCATTAACCCCTGTATCCAAATCATTTTTTTTTTTCATTTCATTACAATAAACTAATTTTTTTTTTTTTCAAAATATATCTTTTTTATACTATAATAATATATACTTAAAATAAATAATTCAAAGACAAATTTTTAATATAATTAATAGGCTACAAGAACTAAATAATTCAAATTCAAATTATATTTAATCTATAGATTAAATAATAATAATACACTCAATATTCGTGTTCAAATGAAATTTTTATTTTTATTTCATTATTTAAATTTAATCAATTTTCGATAGATATGCTTTATAGACTATAGCACTTTTTCTGAAAGTTAATTTTTTCTATTTGGTGAATTGGGAAGTAATTTTTTGATTTTCAAAGAGATTTTCGAAATAAATGGGAAAAACTCGAAAGAAAATTAAAGGTAAAACGGCAAATATTTACAGTGCGCCGCGGCGTTACCATTTTCATTATTTTAATTTTATTATACTTATCACTTAAGTTTTCTACCAGAAATATTATTTCAATCGAAAAATGACAAGAGATAGATTTTGTTCCTATTAATATTCCGCTACTAACAGCGGAAATCATTTCTTAAAATCCTAAATATGTTTCATAATAATTAGGAAAACCAAAAGAGACGAAATATAAACAATTTTTTTTTTCAAATTACAGCACAACTATTTCATGGTTTTAAATTTGTACGGCTAATGTTTTCTTCCATAAATATTACTCTAATAGACAAACGAGTGTCATTTTTAATCTAGTTCAAGGGTAAGTTATTCTTTTATGATTTTCTCTGTTGATTTATTAATATTGAGCATAATCGAAAAGACATAGAAATAACGTAAATTTTACGAAAATAATGGTTTTATTATTGTCAATTTTGTTTTTTCGTTGTAATTCAGATTAAAATATTCGTGGACTTGAAATGTTTAAAGAAAACTTATAATTACTTTTTCTAGACGTAGTAAAACTTTCAGGACATTACAGAAATTTTAATTTTGCGAATTTCTTTACGTAATTTTTATTTATTAGGTACTCTGTAGATAAATTATTAGACTAACAGAAATGTTTGAAAATTTGATAGGAAGTTCATTATAAGTTGTACTTAGAATTTAAAAAAAAAAATTTAGTTTAATGTAGTATTTTTTTTTTTTTTAAGCGTTTTAAATTCAAATTTTGGGGAAAATCGTAAATATTACAGCCTTTCAAAACATGTATAACCGAACTCCGAATCGTTTTTTGTTACGATTTTGTAATCGATTACTGGTTCAATTAAATAAATAATTCAATTAAAATAGAAAATTTAACGTTTGTACTGTGAAATTCGTATTACTAAGAGTTTTTTACCTAACTTATTATACCTGAATTTGATTAACTCTATACCCATACAACTGTTTTTGTATGGTATCTTCTAAAGCACGTATCCAAAGCTCTCGGTCAGCACGGGTCCTTGCTTGAAAATGGAATGTTTTGCCATCTACTGTCACAGTAAACGTAAGATTATCTTCATCATCTATACCAATCATTGCACCTTTTAAACGAACACAGCCTCGACGCACACCTCGGACCATTTTTTCCCGTGACTAAAACAAAACAGCAGTGTTATAAAAGTGAGTAAAAAGATAGAATATAAATTTCAGGTATTAGATAATTGCCTAATTTTACTAACATTAGTTTAAAATACAATTATGTAGTTAAAAAATTAGTTATTTAATTATTAATTAAATTGTATAAAAAATTTAATTATATTTAATATTATTATTATTATTTAATTATATAATTTAAAAAAAAAAATTGAACAACATTGTTCTTTTTACATCATTTAAAAAAAAAATACTTTATTTACATTTTATAAACTGAAAAGCATTTAGGAAAATATAAACAATAATAAATACTCAGTTCTATTAATATTAACCTGTGTTTATTTCTATAATAATACAATGTGCTAATGTATCTCCCAAAACAGTGTCCAAAAAACCAGAATTAAATTAAGGTACACGTTAGAGTGATACAATTTTCTAATAATTAATGTTAAAATAAATTACTAGGAATATATTCAGTGCCAGACTTCAAGACTTCTGGACTTAAATCACTGCATACCCTTCCTCCTCGAAATACCAGACATTTTTAAGTAAATTTAAAATAAAATTTACTGCCATATATGATACAATAATGCCATGATAGTCCATTACCCGGATATGGAGAACGTCCAGTGGTTAAATTAAGGGGAGGAGAATGGAATTGGTAGTTCCTTACTTATTTAAGATAAAATTATCAGCCACCTTAAGTTTAAGATTTCAAACTCTGGGGGACGCTATAGTTGTTGTCACAGAGACATTTTTAATGAAATTTTAAAAACCTAAATTAGTTTTATTAAACATATATTCTTTAAAACTTATCAGATTATAATATATATATTACAGATTATAATAGATTCTGTATTTTTACAAAGCAGGTATATGGTAAAAATATTTACAGTAAAATAAAATTGTATGGGGAGGGGTAGGGTTAATTTTATCTATAAACAAATGTGTGTGAGAGAAAAACATTTTGGAAATCTTGAGTGCGTAATAAAGTTCAGGAAAGTTCCTTTTCTTGGAAGAGATTTGTCGCTTTTTGGTGAATTATATTGCTTTACCTAACTTTACCTATTATATGACATTGTCAACAGAGTTGTGTGAATTTAATTTTTTGACTATATTATTTAGGTATTAAAAACTAAGCCCCTCCCTCCCGAAAAAACATTTTGGCTCTGTTATTGATATTCAACAATAATTTAAAGATAAAAGGAATACCAAGTATATTATTATATTCTTGCTCAAAATACTAATCTTTTTACACCACTTTAAAGTGCAAAGCCCTTCTTTTAAATTTTAAAATATGCCAACAATGGTCTTTGACCTTTATTTTAATTAATGAATTTATTATGAGCACCCAGGAAATACTGTTTTTTTGAACTGTGCATACTGTTTTGCATAAGTATAAAAAAAAAAAATAAATATTTTTTAAGTTTTTACCAGAACAGTTAAAACTTACATTTAAATAATTCAATTTGATTGATGGCACATGCAGAAGTTATACAGAGAATTGAAATTTAGTGGATACACAATTTCTATTTGAAATGTAATGTTTTTTATAATTTATCAGTGACAAATACTACTTTGGTTTGTTTATGTGTATTATTTCAAATACCTAAATAATTATTTGACAAGAAAAAATGGTGGTGATGGATGTTTTTGAGTTCCTAGACAATTATCTGGTTCCTGGTGAGAACTTTATTAAATTGTATTATTTTTAAAAAATCTATTACAAGTTATAATTTTTAGACTTTAGAACTAAACATTTTCCAATGGTGTCAACATCTGTAATCCCAATTTTATTGTCTACAATATACATTATTTTTGTTATGTTTGTTGGTCCTAACTATATGACAAATAAAAAACCTTTTACACTTAAAAAACCACTGGCAATCTACAACATCGGTCAAATATTAGCTTGTACATATCTTTCTATAGAAGTAATTTATATTTAATTTATGCATGGTTTATTATTATTATTTATTTATTTTATAATTATTTATAGTTTATAAAATCAGGACCAAAATTTGGATGTGATCCAATAGATATCGCTGATAATCCAATGACACGACATGTAAATAACAACAAAATATTATTATATAAATCTAGATAGAATCTTGATCAATTGAAAAAATACTAAATTTACTTTTTCAGGTAGCTAACCTAGTTTGGTGGTCATCAATTTTAAAATTGTCCGAGTTCATTGAAACCGTAAGAAAATTATTAGAAAATAAATATAATTAACACCTAATGCATTAATATATAATATGTACCTGTATATATATTTACAGATTTTCTTCGTACTTAGGAAAAAACATAATCAAATTTCAGCACTTCATTTATACCATCACGTAACAACTTATTTACTAGCATGGGCAGTAGCAAGAGCATATCCTGGTAATTATACAAAATATTCTATTTATTGAACTAATTTAAATATAAATATAAAAACCACTACTAATGAAATACGATTATGAATTAAAGTTTGGTTTTACATGATTTGAAATAAGTACTGTAATTTTTAAGATTTTCATCAAAATTTGAAATTAAACATTTGGAAAAAGATCTATTTTTTGAATAGTAAGTGCAACTTATAAAAAGCTTCAAATTTTTATTCAGCCAAAATAATAGTATATAATTTCAAATATAAAACTATATAAAAACTGAAAAACCTAGACAATGTTAAATTACTGTAAATGGCTTAAAAAATGTCCAGAAGTTTTGAAAATTGTACATAGGATTCAGTGTCGACTTGGCATATAAAAAGTCTCGGCCACAGTTTTTCTCTAGAGCCTCATTTTTTTTCATGTCCAAGAACAAGAAATATAGAAATTTAGCATTGATATTTTTTCTTAGAGCCAAATAATTCTAAGAGTTGTTTCTGATTTGTATTATATTATTTTTCATTAAACACAAATAATTGCTTTTTTATTCGATATTTCACTATGTATAAAGTAGATAAAATATAAAGTATGCATAATATATTAGGAGAACAATGGGGTTGCTCATATTCAATTTTAATAAAAAAACACACAGTTGGAGCAATAGACAATACACCAGTATATAAATTGAAAACTTCATTTAGATTTAATATAGTCGTAGTTACAATATCAAATCACAGCAATTAGAATAAAGTAATAAGATTTATATAAGGTAAAAATAATTATTATAATAACTAAAATTAAATATTATAATAATATCTTTGATTCATCAAAATATGTTCTTATTATATAGGTGGTATTGTTCGATTATCCTTTGTAATAAATAATATTGTTCACATAATAATGTATTCATACTACTTATTATCATCCATGGGACCAGGAATACAAAGAAAACTTAATAATTACAAGAAGTGCATTACTATCATACAAATGGTAAGCAATTTTAGATAATTTCATTAAAAAATAAATGGATATCTATATAAAACTAGAATTTAAAATAAGTTTTCGATTTAAGCAAAAATGTGTAATTAAACATGAGTTTTATTTTCTTGTACTAGTATGTGCAGTCAAGCTATTTTTGAATTTATATTATGTGCCTATTAACTTTATTGCATACATTTAATGTTAACCCTTGTTTCTATTTTAGGTACAATTTTGTATTCTCATCATCAATACGTTGTCATTTTCGTTTGTTGACTGTTCAATCCCTTCTTCTTTTATATTTATATTTGTACCAAATGTATTTATTGTATTTTTTATGTTCTTTCGATTTTATAGAAAATCATACAAACAAAAATCTAATTTAGAAAAACTTAAAACATAATTTGTACAAACACAAATGAATGGTCTGTTTAAAATATAGATTTGTATTTAATTAAATTGTGACATTTTGTATAATAAAAATATCTATTCTTTAATAAGCTTAAATAATTATAAATATCATAATTTGTATTATTATTAAACAAAGTATGTATATCACATATATCATTACTAATATGTAAACCCAAATATATGCATGATGTATTAATACATCACAAAAAGTAAAATGAATATTCTGTGTAAAAAATCTTACAACTTATATTACTATATCCAAGAATTTAAACTTCTTTTTTTATTTTTAATAATAAAACCAAAACTATACATAATAGTTAGAAATAAATGTGTTAGTAAACTTGCTTACCAGAAGTTCAGAATTATTTTATAAACTTTTTATTATAAAATAAAAAACATGTGTACAAAAATTGTATTATAATATTAATGCGCTATTAACTAAAATAATAATATGATTCACTAAGAGTAATACCTAGTTATTTAGTTCAATAAAAAATTTAATTCTGCTAATAATCGTTCTGTTTTGTTTTAATCAATTTTATTAAAATAATAATACTCAATAAAACTAGATCAAGGACTACAAACAGTGATTTGCGGTAAGTATGATGTCACATGTAATATAAAAAAACATATGGGCGGTTTACTATTATAGGTTGCAAATTGTGAAAGTAAGATAATAATTATATGGATAGAGTAATTTTGTTTATATCTGTTCACAACAATAAATCATTTAAAATAAAAATGATTCAAAGCAAAGTCGATTAAACATGTTTTGATAAACTTAAATCGAAAATTGTATTTGTTACCAGAAACAACCCCTAAAGCTGATGATCAGAACAAGATATCTAGGAGAAAAATTATTTACAGACAAAATAAAAACAAAATAAATATAATTTTAAAAAAAAAACATAAAACTAATACATTTCTTGCTACGATCAAAATCTAAAAATATCTACATGTTGTACAACACATCAATTGGGTTTTCTCTGTCTTTCGCCGCTATTGACACTATAAAGTTAAAATAATAAAACAAACTAAAATATTCAACTAAAAGTAATAACAATATGAAATAGTAGTCATTTAAATATTGTATGATTGATGAAAAAAAGTCTTAAAGAAATAGAAAATATTACAAACATTATTTATCAATAAAAACGTTAACCAGTAGATATCTATCGGAATTCCTTCTTTGAAATTCTATAAAATGTATAAAGTGATCCACTTAAGTAACTACACTCGATATTTCGAAAAGTATTAACTTTTTTCAAAAAATCGTTTTTGCCTACTAAAGAAACAAGCAGCTCTAAAGTGTTATATTAATATTATTTCTTGACAGCCTTATTTTTGATGGTGGAACAACTACTTACTTTTGATTTTCAAATGACAACCTATAGTGGAAATTCTATAAATAGATGGAGTAGTATTTAATTGAATTTTGGAGTAGAACATTTATAATTTCCGTCACTCTGTTAGTGAGATATTTCACTTTTAAGTTTGGATAGGAGAGAATAATGGAGCATCATTTTTGTGGCGACATAGCATCCGGCGTTTTAATAACCCTGTATAAATGAGGATACCCCGAGTGCGTCCCGTTTAACATTTTTACCTTATGAGTTTTTCATAACCCAAGTGCGTCCGCAATCTTATCGATAAATCCTCAGTCGTATGATAAATTATCCGCAGCTGTAGTTACCCATTTTATATGATAAACTTATTTAACAAGTGGGGAAAGAATTTTATTTCAATTTTGATAATAAATAAGCTAGACTACGACTAGTGTGTAGTTTTCTAGTGAACGAAAAAAAGAAATAGTGCTGTAATTTTGGAAATTACAAAATTTATTTATATTACTATTATTAAAATATAAAGAAGATGTTGAGAAACTTTTTGTTGAATATCTTATACCTATAATGCCGGAACATAGAACTTAAAGAATTTATGGTCTATTTAATAGAGAATTCTGAGTAAAATTTCTTATTTCCATGTGGGCAGAAATGAGAAGTAGTTCTGAAAAAACAACAAATCCATGTGAAAGTTTGCATTCTAAGTACACTTCTTTATTTCATACACACCACCCATATATTTATACATTTTTAGAAATATTGAAAAAACTTTAAATGGACACAAAAATAGAAATCTGAACAGCCACAGAAATAACATTAAAACAAAAAGAAAGTACACTCAAAAAAATTTCATTCATCGAAGAAAATATTAACAATAATCGAGATTAGATTTTACCAAAGAATAGCATTAAAACACCGGCCTGTAATATAATACATTTGTAGTAAAACTTTAGTCTAAAATTAGTACACTCACCCTAAATTAATAAGTGTAAGAAAAACATAAAAATAATACAAATACAACACAAAATATTAAAAAAAATAAACATTTTTGAGGTGTAAGCTAGTTTACCTCCTTGTGCAGTACTCTAAAGTAAATGAATTGGGACGCATTCAGACTAAGTGCAAAAATTACCTTTTTATTATAAGGACGTACTCGGGTGATACCATTTTCCGGACACACTCGGGACATTGAGAAAAGGTCATTTCGGGACAATTCCATGTCTCAACACAGACTTAGAAACGTCGTTATTCTCAGTATAGAAAGAAGCCAAACTGATAAACTAGATTTAGAAAAAATATTTTGTATTAAACTAATTGTGTCTGTACCTACTACCTATATACAGGGTCAGCGTTAGAGTAGGGCAAGCAGAGCTTACGTCCAGGGCCTTGCGCTTTCAGAAACCTCGCGCTTGTGAACCCCCCAAAAAAGATGGCATAATTGTAATGAGAATAAAATTGTAAAAATATTTTTATAGAAATGTAACGACGTTTTTCGGAAGAACACGTACAAGTACACGCACGTTGTCTTAGCAAACAGTATTCCCAGCCATGGCCAAGAGTTGGGTATTATTACAATCATTAAGTGAGAAAAGTAGTACGCTAAAAAAAGTCTTACAAAAATATAAATTTATTCAGGGCCTTGCAAGTCATAACGCCGGTCCTGCTTATATAACATTATTATTAATTATAAATTAATTATAATATAACTTTATAATATAAATTATATTATAACCTGTTAAGCACTTATATACATTTTATATAATTATATATATTATAATCAATAAAAAAAAAATTTTTGATACAATGATGTATTATAATATTCTTAAATTTGGAGGGTAGCGAGTTAGTGCATTAGAGAGGTCATTTTTTGATATTCCATGGGATTTCACAATAATTAGGAAAACCCAAAAATGACAAAAAATACGATATTTTTCAAATTATGGCGACGATTTCATTATTTTATTAAATGTTTACGGATTACGTTTTCTACCATTAATATTGCTCCTATAGAAAAAACGACAAGACATTTTTTTTGCATTTTTACTCTAGTTCTTGATGAAGTAATAAACCTTTCTTGGTAGATTTTGTAAAAATTAAGAAAAAATGGATGAATTAAAATATATTTACAGCGGCACTAGGATTCCTTTATTTAAAATTTTTACAATTTGTTTTTTATCAAAAATATTGCTCTAAAACAATAAGATATCTTGTTTATTGAATTTTCAATTTAGTTGAAGTGATGACTAAGGAAGCCTTTTTTTATTTTGGTTTTCTTAATAGTTTTTTTTTAATAATTAAGCAAAACCGTAAAATGTGTAGAAAAAACGAAAAAATCTACGAAAATATTTTTTTTTTTTTATTTTAAATTTTGTAATTCAGTTAAAAATATTCAAAGAGACTAGATGTTTTGACAGAACACTTATATTTTCCTTTTCTAGACGTGGTAAAAAATGTTTAAAACCATTTAAGCCATTTATGAGCTATTTATATAGACTTTTTACTTAATTGTTATTTGGTAGGTACTCTGTGGATAAAATTGCTTAACTAAAAAAAAAACGCTTGAAAATTTAACAAGAGGTTCATTAGAAGTTGTACTGAGTGTTCAAAAAAAAAAAAAGTTGAATGTAATATAGTATTTAATTACTTTTCATATCAAATTTTGACGAATATCGAAATATTACTACCCTCCCAACTTTTCACCAAAAACAATTGCAAAACCATCCTTAGTATTAGCTCTTTATGTTTTTTTTATCAATCGATTGCACAGAGAGCAAAAAATGTGGCTACAACATCATTGAGCAAAATGTACACACAATCGTGTATATTTGAATAGCTATCAAAATACATACACGATTGCGCAAGATTTTAAATGCAACGTTATCATAACGTATTAGTTGTACGACCCCAGTGTACGACATACAGTCAATGAAATAATTGATTATTTTTACACATTTTAAAATTACATGGTTATGAACATTGATAATAATTTTTTGTGGCTAAATTGGGGTTTCCACACAGAACGCGGTTTGTAATATATGATGTTAAAGTTATTTATTTATGTAAACATGGCAACGTTGCATTTAAAATCTTGCGCAATCGCGTATATATTTTAATGGCTATTAAAATATACACGACTGCGCAAATTTTGCTCAATCGTTTTTTACCGAAAAATAAAAATGTGGCACTGCTAGATGGGGTCCAGTTATACTCCATATGAACTAATATTACTGCACACAGGCCCAGTACTCTGTTCTTGCGGCACTGACTACTGACTATTCTCCGAAAAAATAAACACAAACTATTTATTAACCTTACTGCTCGAACATTTTAGGTTGTAAACCCTACATGATTTTTGTGACCAAAACGACACAACAACACGTAATAAAGAAATATTTAATGGAATCGTGAATCACAGATGTAATTTTAAACCTGTTCAATCAGTTCGAAGCAATCATAAAAATATCAGTACATAAAACATGTTTATGGTTCGATGGTTAGTGATGTATAGGTAAGCACAGGAAATAATAATGATAATAAAAACATTTAAAGGAAGTTAATAATGTACATATGTAAGGGCAAAACGATTCAGTTTTATAAAATAATGTGGGTGACGCTGTAGACACAGAATTATACTAGATTCAAACTCTTGTACCTACTTATTTATGGTTGTAAAGTAACAACTAACAGTCGATATAATCCATTGTTTTTGTTTTACATATTATGCCTAACACAATATTATACAGCAACCTCAATATTATCCGCGACATAAGAAAGTTACGCAAAGATATGTTTCTTCAAAAACCGATAATACTCAATTATTATGTTAATTAACTTAAAAACAAGTAGGCAGGAGACATTAAAATATGTCTATTAAAAAAAAAAATTATTCGACTGATAAAACACGTGTTGCGACAGTGGCAATACTCTAGTTCAATTACATCGTTAGGGACTAATGTTTTAGGGTAGATGGTAGTTTCACACATTTTTAAATAAGTTAAATTGATGGAGGTGACGAAAGAATTTGTTGACAAGCTTGATGCTTTTGTTGATCAGTATGGAGGTACGTACATTTTTTTAAATAATGTTTAATGCCTTTAAATTATAATTTATAAACAACTATTAGTTATAAATAAATAATTGAATTTAATTGACATTCATTTTTTCAAATAATTTTGATAAAAATATTGTCTAAACGATTTTACTGTAAATCTGTTTATTATACGTCTACGTAATTAGGCAGAATAATTCCATTTTATCATAACATATTTCTATTTTGAAAAATTGTTGACAGGTGTAACTATTAATATCTGAGTATAACGAACAGCTAACTTAACCTATTCGTTTTATAAAGCTGTGTTTTTTTTTCGAAAAACTTTTTCGGTTAGTAAAAAATCTTAGATTAGATACCTCTAAGTATTCTAATATTTTTTCCTAATGATAACTTTTCAAACAATTTTTCAAATAATTTTAAATACTCTTCTAATTTTAGATTTTAAGTGGAGCGAGGAATGTATTAGTTTCACAATAATGTTTATTTACCTATTTTTTTTTTTTTTTATATCTATGAACAACTTTTCTGCATACGATTTTCCTCCGATTTAAAATGATAGCACTTTTTTTCTGAAAGGAAATTTAACTGGGGTGGTACTTTAGGGAGGTCATTTTTGATTTTCCCAAGAACTTTCTGATAAATGGGATAAACGAGGAAAAACAGGGAAAACAGGAAAATAGGTACAATATTAAACAAATATTATTAAAAAAAATATATAACGCTTATATAATTATTTTACCATAATACGACATATATATTGTTGACAAAGCAACCTAACCTAACCAACTTCTCATCTACAACAGTAGCCCACCAACGTGTGAGGTATGCTCGTCTTTTTTTTTATACTAGACTTCAAAATTTCCGGCAAATCGTACTTTATTTGAACTATTTATCAAAATGTTAAGTTCTTGTTGTTTGTTTTTTATTGATTTCTGAATTATCTTGGCAACAAGGAAAAAAACACAACTGCATTAATAGTATTTACTTCACTCAAAATCGGTTTCTTGTTCGAAATAATTTATCGTTGCACACAGTATTTAAACTTAATTATTCTACCTTACCAAAAACCCACTTACAACAGTGGCCTACCTATGAGTAACTATTTAAATTTCATTTTTTAACTGATAAAACTTGTGCTAAAACTGCTTAGTTTCAGATTCACAAATTCTCCTAAAAAGAATGTATACACAACGGAAAGTTCGTCAAAGATAAAAATAGCGATTTTTCCAAAATAATTGAAATGCTCATAAAAGTATAATCAATAAATACTCATCGCCAAGTATTTCAGTATTTTATCCAAGCTACGCATTTATTTATTTATTTATTTTATTATTTGAGAAATATTAAAGCTATAATAATTTAGTTTATTGGTTAGGTAATCAATTAATAAGTTAATTAAGTTCAAAATCCCTAAGAATTAGAAATTATATTTTGCAGTAAATAATGAATAAAATATTTGATTAAAATTTAGCAAAACATTTTTAATAGAGCTACACTAAGAACCATATTATTTTTGCAGTTATTTATTCTTCCATTTAGAACTTTTGAACTTCACATTCAGGTACTGACTATAATTAAATATATTTTTAACCGTGGTACTGGTTCAAATTAGAGGGCTCGTGGTAATATAATTTATGTGTAAATAAAAATTATTAGGAGAAATTAATAAAAATAATATTAATTGTTTTAGTTTATAATTAATTAAAACTAAACACATGGTACACAGTGCAACAAAATATTTTTTACAGTAAAAATTAGGTTTCTTAAGAAGACATACTACTTTCCACAATTCAACTATAAAAACTATTTTGCAAAGACAAATTTCTTAAATTTCCAAATTTCATCAGATTAAAATTTTTAATTTTATTAATAAATAAACATATATATTATATATTAGGTTTAAATTGTCTTTGTTTTTCATTTTTCTTAATCAATATTTTAAATATTTAGTTGTAAGTGAACAATATTAAATATTAGTACATATTTAATGTAGGTAAGACCTATTGTAAGACCTATTTGTCTTAAGTATGCACATATTATAAACATTAATTTAAAATGGTGCATATATTATTGAATCACTCGTATAATGAGGACGCATTTAGACTTAATATTCTAAATCCTTTTAAAAAAATGATATCCCCCTTAAATATCCGTACCAACAGTTATTACTTATTTGTATAATACGTTTAATATTATGTACTTCAAACAACAAACTAGGCCATTTTTTATTTTATTATGTTATTATTATAAATAATGACAAATAAATATACTATATAATATTAATATATATGAATAGGTACTATGTAGATATCTGCATTTGATGTTTAAAAACTAGAAAATTTGTCTACTTACTTATTAGTTATTAAACTTGTCTTATACTTATAGTCACAATTTGAATAAATTCATCAAACATTAAATTTGAAGAAAAATAAATCACATATCAATAAAATTAATTTGCATTTTTTTTTCACTTTTCAGATCCTAGAACTAATGAATGGCCATTGGTTCAAGGAATCACACCGACATTAACATGTATCTTAGTTTATTTATATTTGGTTTTATATTTAGGACCCAAATTAATGGAAAATAGAAAACCATTTAACTTACTATCTATCATCAAAGTTTATAATGTAATTCAGTTGGTATCATGTACATTCATTTTTTACATGGAAAGTATTATTTGAAATATTTGTTTATATTTTGCATACAAGTTAACCAAATTTGTTTTCATGGTTGTAGATTTTAATTTCTGGGTGGACAACTAAATATAGTCTTGGATGTGAACCAGTTGACTTTAATGCACCACACTCAAATCGAGTAAGTCATGAAAATAATATGTAACATTTGCAAGAAAGTAAAGCTAATACCAATGTGTAAAATTATATTTTTTAGTTAGCCAAACTATTTTGGTGGACATACATGCTAAAGTTGGTTGAATTTCTTGAAACTGTAAGTACTCATTTATTTCAAAAAATAAAAACCTGATAAACTAATTCAAGTACTCAGGGGCAATTCTAGCAAAGTTTTATATAGAGTTTATTATAGATTCTGAGTAAAGCTCATTTCATTTTACATAAATATTTTTATTTTTTTGTTTAAGTTTATGAGCGAATTACTTCAAAATTAAAGTAATTATTTATCACTAGCATGTACTCTCATAAGATTAAAACTAGATAAGATTATTAATAAGATTAGTAAAATAGTTAACCTCTGTATCCACAATTTTAATACCAAAAGTTAAACATAAAAAACATTGTGCAGTAATGTTTTACATAGGACAAAAACACTAAATAAATAATGATGCAGCATTCATTAAATACAGAGTTTGAAATATTTATGAGTAAAAATAATGATAAAACAATAATGTTACAAAACAACACTGTATGTTCTACACTTCAAAGATAACATTATACCTATTAATGTATTGATTAAAAATTTTTTTTAGTTTTTAATCCAGTAAATTTGTTTTTGTTTATAACTTGTATGCACTATCACAATTCAGTTAACAATATAATTATTTCTACAATGAAAATTAGGTGAACGAAGTAGCATCAATGCATAGAGAATGTGCAAGTTTTACTTTTTCTTAAAAGCAAACTTGGATTGAGAGGGGGCAGGCAGTAGCCTTGACCCTGAAAAATATATTTTGTATTAATTCATTAAATAAAAAAATTAGACTATTGTAGAAAATAATATATTTATTCTTCTAAATGAATTTGTTTTAATTTTATAGGGTACCAAATTCCTGTAGACTACAAAACATTAATAATATAAATAAACTCAAGTGGTTTTATATTAAATTTTCCAAAAAAATATGTATAATATACAAATAGTACATCAGTATCAATAATAGTATTTTAATTTTTGATTCTGAACAGAACGAGGAATGTATTGGTTTTACAATGATGTATAAATACATATATTTTTTACTTTTTATGAACAACTTTTCTACCAGAAATTTATCTCTGATTTTCAAGTGTAACACCTTTTCTGAAGGGAAATTTTATTGGGGTGATACTTTGAGCAGGACATTTTGTTTAGTTTTCTCAGAGGTTTTCGTAATAAATGTGAAAAACAAGGAAATTCACAGAGTGTATTATTTTCAAATCAAAAATATTACTGCCTTTCAAAACAGGTAAAAACGAACTTCGCTCACAATCGTTTTTGTTACCAATGATTGATTGTTGCGTACAGATATACAAATTAAATTTCTCCTCTACTTTCCCAACTTCTCACCCTCAACAGTGGCCCACCCATCATGTGTGCCCACCCATCAACCATTTGTTTTACTATAAAATTACTGTCAATAATTTTTGTATAAATAAGTTTTCTAGTGTTCATGATTTTTTTTATACAAATATAAATACGAGAATATATTTATAAAATATATAATAATATGGTGTTATTTATAACATATTCAGTTGTACTAACTAAATCAAATATGTATGTACCTATTTAAATATTATATAGAATTAAACAAAAACATTAAAATATGTTATAATATTTGGATCAAAATTTGAAATTTTTTTAATTTAAGGTTTAAGGTCTGCTCTATGTAAACAATTAAAACTACATTATACTTTCTTTAAATTCAAAATAATTTTTAGATTGTACAATGTCCATATTACTTAAATACTAATATTGAAAAAAAATATTTGTATTATATTAATTTAAAAACGTAATTGTTCATGTAAATGAGTTAATTATAAATTAATAACATAATTATAATTTTAGGCATTTTTCATACTACGCAAGAAAACACAACAAGTTTCTGGACTTCATGTGTATCATCATGCATCTACATTTATCTTAGCATGGGCAGCTGTAAAATTCTTTCCAGGTACCTAAGTATATGAAGCATATAATAACTAAACATTGTATGTATTGATTTTTTTTTTTAACACTAGTATTATTTAATTAACTTCAATAGGTGGTATGGCTTCATTTCCAATTTTGGTAAATTCAATAGTACATATTATCATGTATGCATATTACCAGATTGCAATAATGAGACCTCAATATCATAAATATACAAACAAATACAAAAGATATGTGACTATTATTCAATTGGTAATTATTTACATAATACAATTTAAATTATAAAAAAATACCTAAAACTATAGACATATAATTTACACTTAGATTCAATTTGGTATTCTACTAGTACATACAATACAAGTTATACCGTCAAGTTGCCACATGCCTGATTTGTACTTATATGGAATGTTACCTGATGTAATAGTATTATCTTACCTATTCTATAAATTTTATAAAAATACATATAATACGAAAAAAAAAAATGAAGAAGTAAAATCGTATATAGAAAAAATTAATTAATATCTAATTATGTATATTATTATAATAATTATTCTTTTGTTTTTTTTTTACTTGAATGAATTTAATTATTTTAATAATTTGTATGAGAGGAAATTTGCCTATGACATATTTGTTGAAGTATTGAAACATGCCTAGTAAAATAATATATTATGAACTTAAATTGTAAAATGTTGTATGTTTTGCATTTGCACAACAAAAAATGAATTTATTATGCATTTTGAGAATTAAATATAGGTACCTATGTGTTAAACATTTCATATTTTAAATATTGAGGTATAGATAGGTTGGTATTATATAGTATATCTAATATCATAGTTATTCAAATATTATAAGGTAGGTACTTGAATATTATTCACTTTATTTTTTAAATATAAAAACCAATTATGTAATAGTTTATAAAACTATATTAATATATGAAAATATAAGATGTTTACTTAGTGTTAACTACAGCTTAGTATAACATTCAGCAAACATAAGGAATAAGATAAAAAAAATGTCATATTTCAACTTTATATCAAGTTTGAAAACCAGTTGTGTACACATAGTAGGGAAATTAAGGGTTACGCCCCCAGCTATAGGTGCAATTAGAATTTACTAGGGGTCTCCACAGGTTTTTGAATTATCTATCTATAATTTAAGCACACCCAAAGTTGATAGTCTAGTTACACCAATGCCCATCCCATTTTATACAAATTTTATCCTGAAACTATATACTTTAGCATGCAGCCAAGTTACAAGAAAAAAGCTTAATTTATAAATTTTGATTATTACTGATTACATTCCCTCCCATTGAAAATGTATAGGGTTCATGCTGGGAGCTATAAGTTTTACAACGCCCAACAATCTTTATCAAGCTTACTGGATATACAAATAAACAGAGATAGTTATATCTAGTACCTACTTTAAAAATAATGTTTCAACATTTTACTTGTAAATTAAGGAAAACCAAAAAATGTATTTATGACAAATAAGAAAATATCAAAATTATCTTGAAATTATATTTAAATTAAAATTTGAAATTTTTTTGAAATGCAATATCATAAAATCTAATATCGAGCTAACATTTGTATTTCAATTTAATTCAAAAATTATACAATATTGAATTGTATTTCTCAAAATAATGTCCTAGATAATGGCAGCTTTTCAACTAATTAGTCTAGTATACTAATTTTCATACAAGCTAAGTTAAAAAAATACCTTGTTAGTAACTCACGCATATATTTAAATTAATTAAGTACTTATATACATGCAATAAGGTCAAAAGTCAACAAGTAAAATTCCAAGTTGAAAAACCCTGTGAAGTTCTAATATTATTGCTTATCCAAGATGTAAATTATATTCAATATGAAAAAATTTAATTGATATGTAGGTACAAAATATTGAACATAACTAAAAGACTGTAATATAAATAGAGGAGTTTTGATTTCATTATAGAATAAAAATTAATAAAGTATATCAAAATTAAATTAAATTAATACATTTACATTATTCAAATTTAAATACCAAGGTATTGTATTATGTAAGTAACTGCCTATTTATATATTATTTTTAATGTTTGTTTATTAAGTTTTAAATGGACAATTGGGCAATATTTTATTGGTAGTTAGATGCTTAAAAGGATGCATATCAAAAATGTAATGTATATAGGTATCACTTATCTTAATGAAATTAATATTATATAACTACCTAAATTTGATTTACTTTTATGCTTACCGTATAATATGATAGTGTCCCAGAAATGTCATCTAGAACACACCAACGATATTGCCAACCCTTAACAACATTTGTCCATTTGCTTAATGTTCCTTCCATTCTAGTTTAATAGTTAAAATTAATTAAAACTATAAGTACACATAACTATTTAAAATTGTTATAATTTAAATCTAGCTCCATTACACTGCATAGATATAAGTAAAAATATTTTTAATATTTCATATTAATAATTTAAAAAACCAGTATGGTGAAAAAAAATCACTACTAGGTACACTTGTTACAGTAAATAATTTAATAATCTACAATTAAATAAATAAAAACAGGTAATAGTAAAAAAATAAATATATTGCACTGGCCACTGATAACAATTATCTAAAGCCACAAAACATCCAGATTAAGTAAAAGCACTAGAACATTGAAAGACATGTCCAGTGTGACCAATGCAACAGTTAAAAACACATTATAACAATAATATTGATCATGCAAATTTCTTTAATTATTAGGTACTTTTGCAGTATATTAAGTACCTGCCTAGTTAAAATATGTATTAATTATTATTATTTAATATTTATTGTCTACGCTGATTTTCTTCGTAAACGTAAACGGAAAATAAAAGTGGAGAAATAATAAGTTTAACTTTAGTGAGGTGTCTAAAACTAAAAGAGACCGAAAAGTCGTAAACATAATATAACAATTACTATTTACTATATTATTGACGTAAATTATGCATCTAGCAATCTTAGTCATTATTTCGTGACGCCCAAAAATTAATTTAATTAAATTATAACCTAAATTCACCCAACACAAACTTAGCATATTAGAGTGCTGCAATATTGTAACTAATTAGGGACCTACTTTTTTTAAATAATATTTAATATTACTATTGCATTTGCTACCGATAAATTAATTTAAAATTGATACCTTTAGGTTATGAAGAACGAAGCCAACCTAAATACTATTACAAGAATAATATTCTCAATTCTCACGGTTTTTATAATGACATATTTTACTACGATAAGTATTATATTGTAGGTATTTCCAATATAAATTCATAGGTTAGGTTTAGTAATCACAACACATATCACCCAATAAGTACTCTAATTGTAGAGGACACAGAAGTATTAGAAATAACCATCAGTGTATACCTCTAATATTTGTTTGTGGTGAAACGCATGGGACGAAGTGGTGGATACAAGGGAGGTAACAGGAGGACCCCCTCCCTTTTGGCCGTGATTTTATACGTAATTATTATATTTTACAATTGTCTATATAATATATATTTAATTTTACTCAATTATTAATAAAACCACGGAAAATCACATTCTTACACGCTAACTAAATCCAACAAAAAAATTCTCTTGGTATTTCTTTGATTAAAGCAAGATTTTTGGTAGAGAAAAAAAATCGTAAAAATTCAAAGTAATAAAATCAGTAATGCCGTGGCGGGCCAGAAATATGTGTACATTTTTTTTTTCTAGTTTTTCTTATTATTATGAAAACCATTTGGGAAATCAAAATATTACTTCATTAAAAATGCATCAAATAAATCCAAAATGTAACAAAAAAAAAGTAATTTGTTATTTTTCTGATTTGATAGAAAAATTGTTTACAGACAAAATAATAAAAAATACACATCATAGTAAAATCAATAGATCCCTCGCTACATGCTCAGAATCTAAATTATAATAGTGAGAAGTCATAGTTATAAAAACAGTAGGTAAGTATAAGTAAGTAGGTAATTATAAATTGTTATACACGAGTAGGTAAAATATAATATAATAATGATGGGTTATAAAATACCAACTATAATTTACAAAAATTCCTACAAAACTATTAACGTCCGTCATCCACGCTAGATTATGTTTTACCATTAAACGCAATTGATGTGGCAAATTTATTTGAAAAGCTATTATTTTTAATTTGACACCAATTTTATGCTGCTCTATAGAATATTAAAAAAAAAAAAGTTTATTTATAAGTCGTCATAATAACGTTTCATTCTACAAACAATGTAGAATTGCAGTATTTATGACATTCTATTAAATATCCTATTCTTCAGAACTCGCTACTCAGCAATAATTACCCATTTCTCATATTATACACTACCTACTAAACGTCTAAAAAATATTTATTTTTCTTATTTTTTAAAATTATTAAATACATTTTTTTTGAAAATAAAAATATTTACAGTCACTATTTTTTATTACCATTGAACAGCATTATCACTATTATACTCGTACCTATAAACAAAAATAGTAACAACTAAAGTAATATCATTAATATCAGAAACCTTATTTCTAAATTCATGACAAATCATAACAAATGGAATAAAACTATTCCGTCATTACGCTTAATTTTTTTTTTATTACTAATATTACTAAGAATCAGTGGCGCCGAATAAGGTCAAGCCTTGTCAAGCCTTTTTTTTTAAAAAATTAAGCATAGGGCTGTTTCAATTTGTGTCAAAATTTGTTTTACAAACTGAATGAATACCTACTTTATTACAGAAATAAAAACCTACGCTAACCTTTATTTTGGAAATAAAATGGGCCGTCACTACATTTTTAGGATTATAGCACCATTACTAAGAATACAATACTTATAGGTTCCTACCTGGTATAGGTAATTTATAATGGATTTTATTCCAATACATCAAGAAGCGTATTTATGGTGGAGCTACTGATGGGTTCCCCAAGAGTCACACATATTATTTTATAATATACATGATGGGTTTGTTATAATTTAGGTGTAGTCAGCCGTAAAAATAGTAAATAAATATTCTATATCTCGTTGGTTATCGTTTTAAGTTTCAATAAATTATTTTTGAATTCTAATTCCCACACGTGTTCCCAATATTATATTTTACTGCAGTAGGTACATAAGTATGTTGTATAATCTAGTCGTACCTATCATCGTATAAATATATATATATAAGCAGTGGCGTGGCGAAGTGAAATATTTTATCGGGCAATTCATTTTTTTTTAATGACCTACCACCACCCCTCGACTCTTAGGCATTGATCATTATCATTACCCATGAATAAATGTACAACAAATTATAAATANGACATATTCTGATGAAGTTAATCTTGTACTACAATTTCTCCACAGACTCCAGTACTCAACCACCAGGCACCCACCCACCCACCACTTAAAATTATCGGGCAATTGCCCCTCAAAATCACGGCCAACACGCCACTGTATATAAGTATAGTTAAAAATTAATATCATTGTTGGACATAGGAACTCGAAACGTGCATAGGTAAAATCAATGTAACAGTAGGTATTTTAAATTTCCTGCATAAATGCATAATTATAATTATCACGGATATACGGATATATATATATATATATATATAGATACTATATCTATTTCTCTATTACTTCGGTCTGAATATTAAACTGCTATAAACCTTAAATCATATATTAGTGTTATACATATTAACATTTTTAGACAAATATTCACTATCCGAAACCGTATTTAAAAGAGGAGTCCCTACCTGAAAATCAAAAGTATCTATATTCAAAAGGTATAAGAAGTTCGAGAAGAAAAAATAACAAATAGTTTTAAAATAAAGTTTAAACGATTCCACAAATGGCATAAATATTTAAAAAAAAAAAATAATCATTCATTTAAAATCTTTTCAGAAAATTACTGATTCACGATAAATTAATCACTAGGTATGTATGTTTGCGCTACCATTAAATTTTAATATTATAACTAATTGACAATGGTAACTCCCAGAGTCGTATTTATAAGGGGCTGAGTGGATGCAGTCCCTTCAAAATTTTAAGAAAATCTAAAAATTATATCCATGAGATCATGTATCTAGCTACAAAGTTGGACCATATAAACTAAGTTAAACCACTAAACTATAAATTAGTTTATAATATGGCCTAAGGCTGCAATAATCTTAAATTGCATTTTATTGATTTTAAATTCATATTTTTATTTTGTTAGTTTATCTTATCGCTTATCGGACATGGACAAAACTTTACCACGGCAAAATGAATACTAGGAATCACAGATACCTACTAATATTATTATAAACCTGTAGATAACATCGCCAAGAGGCACAGTTACATGCTTTTCTCAAAATAATTTTATCAATAAATATTATTTAGTGTACACTGTACTATAGTCTATAATAGTGCAAGGTGGATTTTTACCATAAGCCTTATACTTGGTATAAGGTCTATAATTTATACACCTAGTAATGTGTCTATCACAAAGATAACCTTTTTGTTTGTTTACTGTTAATACCAAACTGAGTTCACGTCTTGCGGGAAAGTGTTTTTAAATTATTTTTATCATTAAAAATAAAAGCGTTGCTCTTTATATTATATATTTTATAGGTATATTTATTAATTTATTATTATTGATTTATTAGTACATTGAATATTCAATATTTGTAAACCAAACGATCTGAGTGAGGTACAGTGGATACAATTACAATCAATAACAAATATTTTTAACTCCATTTTATTTTAAATTTTCAAATAAGTAATAATGGATAAATTTATCATTCACTTTGCGAAGGTAAGTACCTAAATAAAATGCACATTGTACATAAACCTAATATTATATTTTAAAATTATTAAATTTACAAAATTAGTTAGTATTTCGATGAGGGGTGGCTTTCTTGGAGTTCAAGCTATTATCAAAGAAAAATACCCATTGTGTTTCTCATGCGCTGAATCGTTGTTTGTCAGATGCAGCAAAAATATAATATATTAGAAATGCTTTTGGGATGATATATTCTGATTGTTGCTCATTTTTTAATTGCTTAGCTAAGCGAACTACTATTCTTAAAACAAAATTTCGAAAATAAAACCTAATATTCAAACTACAAAATTAAAATCACCTAGCAGCCTCCCCCCCCTAGTTACGCTCATACTTTGACTTTGGAAAAAAATCACCCAAACGATAAGTCATAGACATAATAGACATAATATTATTCCTTAAATTATAGTATATGACCTAAAGTTTATGCGATAAGTCTACCGCAAACGGTATTAGGAAAAATAATCTATGGAAAAAAAGTTTCGGATAAAAAGTCCCCAGTAAAAAATTCACACGGAAAAAAGTCACTGAAAAATATAATATACTAGCTGGGTGTTTTTTTTATTTTGTAACATTTTTTCCGTGTGACTTTTAGTTTTTAACGGGGACTTTTTATTTGAAACTTTTTGTCTGGGGACTTTTTCCATTTACCACCGAAAACACGTAAAAATAATGATAAAAATCCAAATAAATTTTGTCAAAGTTGGCCAATATTTTTCATTGAAAAAACGATTGGAAACGATATTTATATTATATTGAGTTACTATCGATTTTTTTTTTAGATTTCTACACTAGTTTTTCTCGAAAACAAGACTATGAGTATGATAACCATGTATATAATATTATTAGATCAGGTGTAATATATGTTTATACTTGGCTATGGTACTTTACAGTGTACTCAGGGTCTGAAAGGGTTAGGAAATAGGTATATGTAATTTGTCACAATACTTACATTAGTCAAATTTAGATCTAGCTTATTAATCATTGCTAACAAAAAACGATTCTGAACGGAATTGGTTGTACATATTAAGAAAGGCCGTAATATTTACAATTTGAAAATAATCAATAATATCTCTAACAAAATCGCTAAAATTCTGAATAAATACTAATAATGTAAAAATGGCTTTTAAGACTAATAATAATTTAATCGAGTTTTTAATTCAGTAGAACTAAAAACTTCACTGAAAATCATACTTTTTTTTTGAAAATGCTGATATATATAAACTTAAATGTAACTGTAATAAACTGTACATAGATAAGACAAATAGAAATTTTAAAATAAGATATAAAGAACACATTTCTGGAATAAAATTTAAAAAAATTGCCCCTAATTCAAATTTCACTAAATACGTTTTAGAAAATAACCATAATGTCCATATTATAAGTTTTGATATCAATACAGACTTAGAAACATTAATTACCCAAAATAACATTTTGCATTAATTCAGTTTTAGAAGAATTACACATACACAGTGAAATAAAAAAAAGTAATTTTAATAATATTTTAAATGTATAAACCAATTTTAAAAATAATATCTTATATCAATACATTTTTGATAATAATCAAATAATTAATATTTCTTAACATATCTATGTCTAACAATAACTAATTTTAAATAATCTCTCCTATTAAAATATAAAAAATTCATTTTTTCCATGTAAAATGATCTATTTGTATAATTTTCCTTCATTTATTTTTTCATATTCAGCCGCGTTTTACTTTTTGATTTGGTGATTTACTTAATGATGAATTTTTAATTCGAAATCAGTGGTACAATACACATATCTATCTTAATACTTCAGGCAACGCATTCATTTATTTTTTTCTACATATAAATTATTTATTTATGTATTTAATACATTTCGTACATTTTCCAGGTTTTCCTACATTTTTTTTTTCATTTATCATGAAAACTCCTGAGAAAATCAAAAAATAATCTCTCTAAAGTACTACCCAATAAAATTACCTTTCAAAAAAGGTACTACAATTCAAAATTGAAGCACGATTTCTGGTAGAATAGTATAAACACAGATAAAAATAATAATTAACATCAATGTAAAACTAATACATTCCTCGTTTCGCTCAGAATCTAAAAGTATACCTACCTATTACTTATACGTATACTAATAACTAAAGCTAGGATTTTAATGACCTAAAAAATACACAAAAATGCACTAAAAAAACATGCAAAAATTTATCGCCTACATAGTGTCTAATATTTTGTATTGTATTTAAATAGCCTTTATCAACATAATTTTTACGTAATGTAGACTCATCTGGAATTTTAAATTTTATAGTTTTTTCTAAAAATTTTCTAAAACTTGTGTTATTTAATTTAGCAAGTGGAATATTAGCTGCTAATAACGCTTCACTAATCTCTAAATTAAATGACGATTGATCACTATTATTTGTTAAATTAGATAATAGTACTTGATTATTTTGTTTCACTTCATTCAGTTTTCGTTAAATTCCACGAACATGCTTATCTCGACTGATGTGTTGTTGAATCGTAAATTTCTTTTCAGAGGCAACGGCAACATTACAAACTTTACATAAAAGCACCATACCGTCAGAAGAAAAAATATCGGCACCAAACTCACTCACAAAACTACGTAAACGGCTTCCTACTGTTGACTTAATTTTTGGCATTTTTAAGACTTTTAAAGTATTAATATTAATTTTTAATATTAGTCGTAATATTATTTGTTCGGTATGTGTACAGTTAAGAACGGTGTAGAATCACATAGGTACGTGTTGTATTAACTACTAAAGCTTCTATTGTATACCTTTATAGTTTTGGGTTCGTTCGATATTTAATCTTAACGGATAAATCGACAATTATTTATATACTATATTACTTTTTCGATTCATTTTAAAATATTTTTAATAGTATTTTATTAATATAGTTTCAATTTTCCCGATTCGCCGATAGATAACAATAATTTTATCGAAAACCCGTAGGTACTATAGGTAATAATTGAGATTACCTATACAACACATATTAAACAAATTTAAAATAAACAAATATTAGTTTAAATACTGAAAATGAACGTAAAATTTGTAAAAATGACCTTAAAAATGTAATAAAATGCATTTAACACGAAAAATGCAAAAAAATGCAAAATAAAAATTACATATTCTAAATGATTATATCACGAAACAAATTTTGTTTTTGGTTAGAACTGTATTGCACTTAAAGAAAAAAAATTGAAAAAGTCACCAAAATCCTAGCTCTACTAATAACCATTACAAAAATAATTATTTTTAATAAGGTACCTACTACCTATTTATTATTCTAAATAAGTATACTATGAGAAAATATAAAAAATTAAAAGACTAAAAAAAAATCAACTTTGTATGCACTACATATTACACAAAATTTGTCATTTATAAAACATCTCGTTCATAAATTATATTATCATTAATATTAGTAGACTTGAAAGTGTTGACGTACCTACCAATTCATAATAGGTAAACTTCATTCTAGTAAATACTCACTCACCAGCACGTACAATAATACATTTGACGCTTTTCAAAAAATCAATATTTGAACTGCATTAAGGTAGTTATACCTTCGTAATACCGAAATTTATAATAATGTTTATATTAGGTATTTTAGGTTTTTAGTATAAATTGGAACAAGCAAGGATAACTGAGGGAGTGGTTAATGAAATTGGTATTTTCGTTAAACCTTTAGTCGATGTGAAAATCCGAATGGAATTTAGTATTTACCATGTATGTATGTATAATCGTTTATTGTTTTATTAGCAACTTGTTTTATAAATCTATTATATTTTGTTCATGGTATTTTTTCTAGTAAACAATATTTATATTAGTAATGTAATATTTTAAGTAAAGTAATAACTTGTTATAAGACCCTAACACACAATATTTTCTATGTTTGGTACTTACCGTTTTTGATACACATTTTTTTTAAATTTTAAGTAGGTACAATGGCGCACCTATGTATAATTGTTAGGTACATCGTAAATATTATATACAACTCAACGAAACATATACAATATGTATATAATAATTTATAATATCGCATAATCCATTTTTAATAGGTACTTACTATACATTTCTTTCTCTCACTACAATAATTATGAATATAATTTATTCTTCAAAATCTACTATTAAAAAGTGTGTTAAGAGTTTTAACCTACTTTTGAAAACATTTAAAATAATTAAATAAATAATAGTTTTAAATGTATTAAATTAAGTAGATAAGATAATAGTATAATTCAAAATTTAACATAAAAATAGAATATTCTCTTTACATATAGTTACTATATTGAGTTAGTCACTTGAAATTGGTAGTTTAAATGATAATTCCTATTTACATAAATCAATACATAGGTAGGTAGTAGTTATGTACTATGTACATTATACTTACTTTATAATGATTATAATAATATCAGTGTATGGCAGCATAGTTAATTAAGATTGGATTTAAATATTTTAAGCAGATAGCTTAGGTATTATAATAATATTATGAATTATTATATGTAGGTGTTGTAGGTCATATGGAAAATTAGTTTTTTTTCGAAAAGACTAGACTCTTTGCAATGAGGCAGCCCTAAACTACTTATTATTTTTCAAACGACCTACTGTTTTTCATAATTATTGCATATATCTTTTAAGAACTTCAATAATTATAATATAGTAATAACTATTTTACTTATTTTATTTTAAAATTAATTTATTACTTTTACAAAAAAAAAGATCAGTAGAATTATTATCACATGTAAACACTAAACTGAAATAAGTATGGTACTTATTATATGGTAATATATTTATTTTATAAACTGTATCAATAGCGAGTATCAGTGAAGTTAAGATTGTTTTAAAGTTTTTGACTATTGTATTACTAGATTTATTTTACACTATGAACAAAAAAGGTTTGACAATTTACATATTTGATGTTATAATAATTCTATTGATCTTTATTTTTTTGTAATATTAATAAATTACCCATAAAATAAAAAATGTAAAATAGTTATTAATATATTACAATTATTGTAGTTTCTAATATGCCTAACTGCTGTTAGTGTACATGCAATAAGCCTGAAAAAATAATAGGCCGTTTGGAAAAATAATAGATATTTCCCAAACGGGCTACCCCATTGCAAAGAGCCTATTTTTATTGCAAAATAACTAATTTTCCATATGACCTACCACATAGGTTTATAGAAATTTTTTTTCAAAAATGTTTATAGTTAGAAAGTAAAAATAAATAATAAAATGTTATACTATATTTTATTAGTACATTTGAAAAATTAATATCATTCTATTTTAGAAAAGGTTTGGATAATTCAAATTAGCAACAATAATTATTAATTTTAATATATTAGTTACAAATTAATTAGGTAATATTATATATTGTGGAAAAAAAATTACACAAATTACCATCTGTTCAAGTATAATATACATGTTTATTTGAAAATACAATATTTTGTAATAATATTGTAATAATTAAAATTTTAAAACCAAAATTACAATAAACAAGTATTCAAGTGAATTTATAATTTTAACAGTTACCAGTTATATACATTTTGAGTAGGTACCTACTTGATAAATATTTTTTCTTAAATAAATAAATAAATGCTAATAATGTATCTTGATTTAATAACAAATTGTTATAGATTAGTTCATAGTTGTGTGTGTCTAAAGGTCAGTACATCAGGGACTAAATTTATTAAAATAATAATTTATTAATATAAATTACAATAAGTGAACTGCTTAATTAAAGTAATCAAAAATATTCAGATCAGTGGCACAATTAAATTAAAAATTTTAGAGAGGTGGCCCCACCATAATAAAATGTGGAAAAAATTAACTAATATAAAAACGAATTAATGTTTTTGGATCTTTTACACAGATATAATGGGAGTCTTGTTGATGAATAAATAATGGCATGATTAAAATAATTATACACATTTAAATTTAAACATTACAAATATAAATATATAATTTAGATTGTTAAATGTGTTCAGACTTTTCATAGTAGATACTATATAGTAAATACGTATAGTTTTATGTTTTATATTTTTCCATAGAATGTAATGTTTAATAAAGTATTCATATGAAATATTAAAAATATGCTCTTGATCAAACTAATAAATATAAACAATGTACACGTATATTATACATGTGCATACATGTACAAATTGGAGGAATTGGGCTAGGTTTATCACCATCAATATGAAAAATGTACCTATAATATATTTTAACAAAAGGAATTATCTTTGGTTTATTTAATATCTATTTAAATTTCAGCCTTCCCCCCAAAAAATATTCAAAGTTGTGTTTTTATTACTAAGAATTACTTATATTATTAGGTAATTAGATAGGTACTACTATACATAATATTATTAACTAAGCTATTTGAATGTTGAAAGATGTAAAGTTATTTAAACTAGTCTTTATATAATGCATACCTAAATATAAAATGCATATTGTACATTGTACACACAAATACCTTCACAGTTTATATATAGTTTATATATACAGTTTATATATATATATATATATAATGTACAGAGATATTTTGGATTTTGAATAATTTTGAATAATATAGATTGATTTATAAACAATTTTATTATGAGGTTATTAATAACAACTGCATCTAAAATAATGTAGGTATTCAAATGCATTGCGTAAGTAAAATATTTGTTATTGAACTTATAATAGACATTTATATCTGAATTTTGTATAATGTACCTATCATACATTTTAACCACTAAAGATTGTAAATTTATTATTTTGTAAGTAGCCCTTATGAATATAAGTTATTAGATTGTGAATTTTGAAATTATTAAATATGATAATTGTTGATTTGGAATATAAATCCTTTTTTTTTTTTTTTTAATATTTTGCTCATCTCTAAATGTATAGTTTTACATTTGATGTTGTCAATGTTGATAATCCTGGTATAAAATATGTTGAGCTAGGTTAAAATATGCATGCATTTATTTAGTAATTATCTATTATAGCAGCTTACTGAAACTATAACACTGATAGTTTATAGTCTACTCTACTAAGTCTTATATAATACGAGATAAAAATTATTATACTATACAATCAAAAGATAAATCTTTATCCTTATTTGTACCTATTTACATTGATCATTTAAATGGAATGTTTTTACAGTTCAGGCGATGTTGATTTTCTTTTTACATATCTTGAAAAATAGTCTGGTCTCCAGCATTTGCAACTGCCGGGAATTAAAAACCAATCATAATAAAGTCTCACCTGAAAAATAATATTCTTTTAATTAATACTTGATATATAATATATGGATTCAGGCCAATAAATGTGGGGGAATATACATATATTTTACATAGATACCTTGTACATTTGAACACTTGCCCTAACAGCATTAGCAGTTGAGAGAATTAATTGTTTGAGTCTAACTAATACCTGCCTGGAGTTTCCCCTCAGGAAATATTTTGACCTTCCCAAGAATTGACTAATATATAATATGGTTTAATACATATGCGAGCAAGGAGCTTTTGTTGAGAACAATTTCAACCTTCATGGGAAATTCTTATTTTGGTCCTTAAAGACAATTACTGAAGATTTTAAGAGTTTAAAGTCTCTATTTCTAAAAGTCCACAACTACGAGATGTTACATGTAATAATATTAATATTTTAATTAATTATTTATTTATTTTATTAAAATAAAATTTTTAAATTTACTCGATAACTTGTATATCCATGAAACAAACTATGTTTTCTGTATTAAGATAGTGTAGTGGTTAAGACGTTAGATTAGGGTCCTATGTTCGATACAATGATACATAGCTATGTATTCCAAAAGGTGGCCACGTTTTTTCTTCATACTTTTGTATAACCTTTTGAAGATTGAAATGAGACGTTTTATAATCATTTCAAGAATGTTCCCAGTTAAATCCTGGCAGATGGAATGCTACAAACCATCTTAGACCCTCTAGAGACCAGTCTGGGAATTAAACAGATGATTCCTATTATAGCCGAGTCCCTATAAACGATCCCAGGATCTTTTTAGGAGAGTCTTAATGCTTTTAGGGTAGTATTCTATAAACAGTTATCAAATGATGGAAATATCTATACTGATACATTATTTTAAACTTTTTCTATTGTATTTAAAAGTACAAAAAGCTAAATTAATAAAAGTAAAAACTTTATTTGAAAGAAAAGTAATCAGAAAAATATATGTTCCATGTAAAGACTTAAATACAGAAGAATGGAGATTCTGAAAAATTAAAGAACTTAAAGAGATATATCAAAGCTCAAGTATTGTGAAAAACATTACCAAAAAACAACTCATCTGGGTTGGTCGGTCACATATTGTGTAAGGAAGGTTCTAGACTAAAGACCCTAGACTAAAAAGACCAAGATTAAAAGGGGAAAACAGAGTAAAATCAGACATATGAAAAAGGAAGCCAGGGGAAGATTGGAAGGAATTATTATTAGAAAGGGAAAGACGAAGACAAAATATGTTGGACGGGATGGAATTAAAAGCCGAAACCACAAAAGTATTTATGTGTTATAAGAGAAAGATATGATGAAATTATCAGCAAATTTGATTTATCAAAGAATACTTGCCTGGAAACATCCAAGTTCGTCAATACCGTCACAATGTGGTTTTTTCTTAGGTGTTGTAGTTGAAGATTGCATTGACAAAGGATCCGCAACACCTTGTGTAGCACGTTTATGTAGATACTGCTGGTAGTTTTGAAAATCTTGTATGGGAGGCGGACTGTCACCTTGGCTCTGTGCCCTGTAGATTCCTTGTTGTTGTGGAGGTAAGGGCAACCGTCGATTATTGGAAACGGGTGGCAAGAACGAGTCTGGATAGTAGACCTCCGCTACCAAGAGGCTCACCCATCTCGGCGATGATAGACATCCGCCGTCTATGTAGTGACATTTGGTTTGACTACAAAGAAGTGGATATAAAAATAAATATTTATTAAATGGAATTTAGTTGTAGGTGTTTTCGTTTCTGACAGTGGTATACTATTTAGTTATTTAAGTACCTATCTTACTTATATATAGATTATTATATTAATAGTCTTATAGACATTACATAATTATAGACTTACGTGCACTTGGTTACCTCTACAGTCTGAGTAAAGTAGCCTTCATATGGTATTTGCACCACATATCGCCACATACCCTGATAGTTCCGAGCAAACACCGGTGTAGCGTATTCCACTTTGGCGGGACAAGGAGTCGGTGGCCCATCCATAGTTGTACTACCAGCAGCATGAGCTGTATCACGAGTCCTATACTCTAACTGTTCGGTTCGTCGTTGAGCCATAAGTCCAGATAACGCCTGTCCTTGTATTGCTTTGTACAACATGCAAAATCTGAAATAAAACAAATAGTAACAATAATTTGGGGTTCACATAAATGTGTTAAGTTAGTGTTTGAGCATTTAAATAAAACAAAAATAAACTGGAACTGAAAACACAAGATCAGCATTTTAACATTTTATCATAATATTACTGTATTGTAAGGTTCTATGTGTAGTTCTGTATTATTAGACAGAATTTGTGTATTTCAATGTTCAACATTTTTAATAATGGTAATATAATATGGTATAAGTTCACTCAACTTAAAGAATTTAATTTTTCTTACACGGCAAATTTAAAAGGTGCACAAAAACAAAAAAATTATGACATGTACTTTAAAATGTACAATGACATAAAACATTCAATATTGGAAAAATTGTCACTTAACATGTTCTACATGAAAAATAAACATTTCTGTGTGTTTTTTTGTTGTAAATAACTCATTTTTCTAAATTTGGTGATTTACTTCTTTTTACTCAAAATTATTAAACACACATTTATAACAAAATAAAAATAAATTGTCCGTTTTTTTTATTTTTATTTAAATCTACTATTTTTGTCTAGGTATAATGACATTCTTAAAATGAATATTTTAATGCTCATAAACTGTAATGATATTAAAAATAATAAAAACTGTACAGATATTTTAACTTTTAAATAATTGTATCCTAAAGATGTCCAAATGTATTAAACATTTTACTTTAATCATAATATAGTAAAAATATATTATTCACAACAACATGATAAATGAACTATTTTAGAATTACTTTATTGTATTTGTTTTTTATACACTAAATAAAGTTAAAACTAGGACACGCTAATATAATATCTATATCTATATATTCATAATGATGTTATTTTGATTCATCGAGCCAAATGCAGTAAATTACTATGAACAGTAATATCTAACTATTCCAACTGGACCAGTCGCACATCTGGTTATAGGAAACCCGTTACAAATATAAAAATAAAAAAATAATACATTTTGTACGAGTACATATCATTATAATGCTTGTTTTTGAACAAGATAATAATAATATTGTCAAAAATAATAATACTAAATCATACAAAATGAAATAAAATTGCATGCATACTATTAATAATGAACAACTATGTATATAGGTATAGGAACAGAATATTTATATTTCATTTTTAAAGTGATAATAAATAAGTATGTGTAACAAGCAAACAATCAAAAAACATACACACAATGCTAACAATATACCTATATAATATAAGAGTTCTTCTTTTATTTAAGCACTTTTAAAAAAAATTCTCCCTCCTTTGTTTATTTTAATATGTGAACAATTGGATTCAATTTAAAATTTTAAACATAATAAAGAAACTGTATGTGGTATTATTGTCTCGGTTCATTTACTTTTTGCAGTCCGACATTGATTAGGTAATAGTTAGGTTATTACTATATCATTATAGATTTAAAATCAATGACAAATTATCGTATTTTGCAAATATTACCTAGATACTGAATGTAGTTTATAATGTATACACTACAATACTCTATTCCAAATAAATTTGAGTAAACTTATTTGGAATAGAGTATAATATTGTCATAATAGAATCTACCTACTTTAGCTATTATTATCTGAGGACATAATTTAAAATAAATAAATAAGCCTAATTATAAATAGAGATTTATAAAAGTATTTAACTAAAGTAAGCCAAAGTCTACTATCATTATAAATACATATTAATATAAAAACATACTTAACAAGACGGGTGGGCCATTGTTGTGGGTGGGAAGTTGAGAAAGTAAGATATAGAGAGAAATTTAATTTATTTCTGTACGCAACAATAAACTATTGCTAATGAAAAACGATTCGGAATGAAGTTTGGTTACACAAGTTTTTAAATACCGTAATATTTTCATACAAATTTGATATTAAAATTCTTATAAAAAAAACTACTACATAATACTAATTTTTTTTTTTTTTTTATGACCTATCCTAACCTTGTAATCAACTTCATGTTTAAGTTTCAATAATTTCTGTTTAGTTTGACGATTTTAGCCACAGAGTACCACCTACCGAATGAAAATAATATAAAAAACTAGCAAAATTAAAATGTTTATAAATAGCTTGAAAATTTTACCACATATACAAAAGTTAAATATAAGTTTACTGTCTAAACTTTTAATTTTTGCAAATATTTTTAACTGAATTACAAAAAAAAAACGCAAAAGTAAATTATCTTTTTTTGTCAGAAATTTGGCTCAGATTTTTTTATTGTAGCGCCTTTTCTTAAAGAAAATCGGGGTAAGGAAATACTTTAGAGGGGTCATTTTTCGATTTTCTCAGAATTTTTCTCATCAAATATGAAAGACTGAAAAAAAATAAAGGAAAAACGGGAAAATGTAAGAAATATATGTATTAGTAAAATATTATGATTTTTTTTTTCTATGGACAACTTTTCTACCAGCAATTTTGCTCCGATTTACAATGATAGCACTTTTTCTAATAAGAAATCTGACTGGGGAGGTACTTTAAAGAGTTCACTAGGTCAGTTTCCGATTTTCTCAAGAGTTTTCTCATTAAATGTAAAAAACTGGGAAAATAGGGAAAATCAGTATAATATTGAAAATATTATTAAAGAAAATATATAATGACTATTCAATTATTTTATCATAATATGACATATATATTGGTGACAAAGCATCACTATCAATTGAATTCCGCTCAAAATCGTAATTTTTCGTTAGCGATGGTTTATCGTTGCTTACAGATATACATTAAACTTCTTTTTGTATCCAACTATTAGATAAAGGAAGGACAAAACCATCAGGAAAAATTTGTTAACATTTGAAAAATTATTATGGATATAGTCCAGAAAAAGATTATTAACAATATTAGGTGAGGTAGTTTTAACTTTTAAGAGTGTTAAGTGGGTGGTTTAAAAATGTTTTATCAATATAAATTGAGGGGAAGTAGGTAAGGCCTGAAGAGCAAGTTTGTAAAACGGTAGCTTGCTGGTTTTTATAATATAACTGCAAGTTCAAGATAAAGACTAGACAGGTTAATCGAGAATTAGAAGTGATTTTTAAATGTAATGCTAGAATAATAGATGTCAATAAAGCAGTTATAAATTTGGGAACACTGAAGAAAAAAAATTGTTTTAAGCAATTTTCTAGCTATCCGCCTGAATTTAATGTTGAAAGAAGGATACACAAATTCAATTCCAATAGTTAGATTAGGGGCTGATTATAATTCACAAATTTGAGGCAAGAATTTTAGAGATTGATAAGATTCACTGTAAAATGGGAAGCAGAACTTGATAAAAAGCAACCATAGTAAAGTTTAGTGCAGATAATTAATGTATAAATATTTAACAGCGTACAAAAGCATGACTCCCACTACAAGGTAGCAACAGTTTGGAGAAAATTTGGCTAGCGATATTATGTTAATTTAGTGAAATTGAAGAGGTGGTTGTTAATCCTATATACTTTTTGTTAGATACAATTGGTAACATATGTTATATAACCCAATTGATATTTGACAGTGACCTCAAAGTAACAATGATATTATCTTCTGGTAAATCAATTACCTACATGCAAAATATTTTTTTAATTATGATAAAAAATATTATTTATTTTTCATAAATATTTTGAAAGTATTCATAGATAGGTTGCTAAAAAATAAATTATGTAATTCACTTATACCTAATTATATTTGTGTCTAATTTATTACCTATTTATTATAGATAGCCAGGTGGGGTAGGTCGACATGAGACTTTTACAGTACATACTAAATATACTAAATATACTAGATATTCTATTCATTCGAAAAAGTGAAAACAGATAAAACAAAGCAAAGCGATGTAAAACTATTCCTATTGTTTAAATTTCTAAAATCAAAAATATATTTTTAATTGTCGTGAACGGAACTTTTTGATTTTATATACCTACATATCTACTATTATTAAGAATTAGTTGGGTTTTAAAATTAATATATATGTATAAATATATTTTATAGGTGCCTAATTAATTTTAATGATCATTTATGTATGTCAATATTTAAATACATATAAATATAATTACTTACACTCCACCACTAGTATCACAAAATTTCCTTGAATGTCTAGTTCCATTTTGACTATTTTGTGAATGTACAGGAACTTCATCATCTTCATTATCATCATCCATATTCACATCGTCAAGAGAATCGTCATTATTATACTTGGCTCTTCGTCGAAATGGTTTTCCTCTATAATATAATATTTAACAGTGACTATTATATATATTTTTCAATTATTATGTTATATGCTTACTGTAAGTAATTTTGGGTTGTACTACTTTGATAATACGAATCAGGTAATACATATTTAGCTACCTTTGGTATAGTTTCATCAGCTTTAAGTATTGGCAATGTTCTACTAAAGAATTCTAATGTTTTATTTTTCAGCAGTTCGCTAAAATAATTTTATAAACAATTTAGTGTTTTGAACTTTCTCTTTTTTGTGTTGAATGTAAAACTAAATTAAAATGTACATAATTGTTTTATCACTCACAACGGATATGGAGATCCTAAAATGCTTTGTTTCATTGGGTTTAATGGTAAAAACCCTTTATTTAGATCTCCACATAAATTGTTCAATGTTTTTGACGATGGATTCTTGTTGACCCCTAAACAACATGAACATTAAAGAGTGTAATTTTATTTGTTGTTGGTTTTTTTATGAACAATGTTGGACATAATAGGGTATTCAATAATTCAGTTGTTTTTCTATTAAATTTTTTTGTAGATACGTTATTATACAATCGTGTAAACTACAGTTCGTGCTATAGTTTATACAGCATATCTACAGCCGAAATTATGTTATTCAATTTTACCTGGACAAAGTTTATTAGACTTTAAGTAAGGTGGAGGGCGAACTTGAGGCGGTTCCATTCTCGGAGCTTCGATAAAAGCATGATAACCTTCAGGAGGTTCTTGGGCAGAATCAACTGAAGGTGAATCTGTTGATGCATATGTTTGCGGTTGATGTACAACAGCCATGTTTTTCGGAATATGAGAAATTGCAGAGAAAATGAACTAAAATAGACAATAAAAATAATAATATACGCATATTAACATAATATATATATATATATGATTTTTAAAAAATGACTATACAATCCAATCATGGAACTGATTCCATGATTGGATTCGTATAGAATAAATATTACGTATAAAAGACTCCCAAAGTTAAAATGTCTGTAAAAAACAATTATAAGGTTTCTATACAAATTTCAAATCTCTACGAATATTTATAACTGAATTACAACATAAAAACAAAATTCAAAATAATAAAAGTATTATTTTCGTAAGTTTTCCCCGTTTTTCTACGTTTTTACCTCGTTTTCCCAATTATTATGAAAATCGCTTGGATAGTAAAAAAATAATAAAGTACCAACTAGATACTATTTGCTTTCAGAAAAAGTATTACACTGGATAATCGGAGCAAGATCATGGTGAATCAGAGGAAATTTCGTATATTGTATTAAAAAAAAAAATAAATAAATAAATAAACATCATCATAAAATCAATTGAAGGACTACGGGGAAAAACGATAATAGAAGAAAAAAATAATAATAAAAATAGGATAATTCATAATATTATCATTTGTTTGTCATTTGTTTCCGGCCAAATTGATGTACGAATCAAGTTGGGGCATAATGATCACAGTCAGTGATGTAACAAAAGTTTAAATATACGGTTTAATAAGGTTTAATATAGTTCTGAAATTTTAAAAGTGCGATACTGAACATTTTAGGAATATTGACTATTATCGTTCTTCCCCGTAGCCCTTCAATTGTAAAACACAAAAGAACAACTATATATTATTAGCTAAGCGATACCAGTTCTTACATGTGCCTGTGTCACGTGGGCTACTACAAAATGTGACGAAGAAAAGCTCCTAAGATTTGAAAGGAAGGGTACCAAGAAAAATGCTTTTCCCAATATATAATTGAGAAGATCGGAAATGGGAAATAAGATCAAGTAATCAATTAAATATGCTTTATAAAATGTAAAATGTGATTCGGTTCTTTATTTCCTGTAAATAACTTTTCTACCAACAATTTTGTTCCGATTTCACTTTTTCTGAAAGGAAATCTGACTGAGAAGGTACTTTAAGAAGATAATTTTTCGATTTTCTCAAGAGTTTTCCTAGCAAACCGGGAAAAAAACACGAGGAAAACATGGGAAAAATGAGAAATTCAGTACAATATTAAACAAATATTATTAAAGAAAATACCTATGTGTATTTAATTATTTTATTTAAATATTTTTACCATAATATGACATATATATTATTGACAAAGTATCACTATCAATTGAACTCCTCTCAGAATCGGTTTTAGTAAACAATGATTTATTTTTGCTAACGGATACAAATTAATTTCCCCTCTATATCCTACCTTCCTAATTTCTGACCAACAACAGTGGCTGCACCCGTCTCCATTATCCTAGGACAGCTTTTTTTTTTTTAAATTTCATTTAGAAAATTTTACAATCTATACAATAGTATGGAACAATAAGCATAATGTATGGTTTTTAATAGTATAGTGACTTGAGTGATGAGAGGAAAGAACCAACCAGTGAAGGCACTTCAGCACTTACTAAATTTAATCATATTATCTAATAAAGGTGGATTAATTTTCTTATTGATACACATAAACAATTTTCATTACCTTCAAAATAAAAATCGAAAATCTATTTTGAACAAAAATTATTTTCTGATATGACCTATTTTATACATTGATAAAAATATTACAAATATGTATGGGCATATTAAACAATTTACCTATCAATCATCATATTGGCCATATATTATTATTGAACATTTGAATATGATGTACCTATTGACTAGGTAAGTATCAAATTTCTAAAAAAAAAAAAGTAGTATTTTTTTGTAATATTATTATTGAGTGTGTCGGATTCAACAGCCAATTGACATCGAAATGCATGAGTAATAGAAAGATACGCTTCTATAACGGCTTTATATAAGATATATCAACAAAAAAAGTACATTGGTCATCGTTGGTCAGACATGCTGATGTCTATTTACGAGTTATAGTTCCATTGTTCGTAAGCAATTTAATCTGAAAACCTACTTTTCCTTTTTTTTCTATATCTATATTTCACCAGTATATTAAATAGAAAACAAATAAAGTCAGCAAAAAAAAGATGGAAAGAAAATTGTTTTTAAGCACCAAATCTGCCAATGAATCGAAAAAGTAATTTTAAATAAGAAAAAAAATAAGAATCAGTAGTGCACTGTTTGGCATAATTAAATCTTCTGCCAAGCATTATACCATGACGACGTGACCACGAGTAATATAAGACTGGGTCAAAATCTTATGAAGATGCGTGGTACCGTTAATATAATACGTTTTATTTTATGTTTTCTAATTTTAAAAATGGATAACTGACTTGTTTAAATTAAATTAGTAAAATTTATCGAAACACATTATTCATTTTTCAAATCAAACTAATATTCATACATTATCAATCATTCATAGACGTCTTTTATTATTTAAACAATAAAATATAGGACGGATAAATTCACAGTCATAAGTTAAAAATAGTTACGCACTATAGTTATTCTATTTTTAAAGACAAATAAAATAAAAACTGTATTCAACATCATTGAGTATATAAATGTTAATTTACCACCTACATTTTTTTTTTAGTAAATACCTATATTCATACAAATGGTAAGTACCAGAATTGTTGAATATTGTACACTGTAAGCTAATATTTCTTTATACATCCACCCTAAATACACATTTGTGCTAAAAATGCTCGATAATAATTCTTTTGAAAAATATTCTCAGAAAATAATGTGCTCGGACAATATTATTTTCTTTCATTATCTACTTACACATTCATTTTCAAAATTAATATTACCTACCAGACACCTATACATAAAACAAATAAGCAGTGCTTATTAATTTACATGTATGAAGACTTAATTGTATCTAAAATAATCAAAAAAATATATTAAATATTTTATTCAATTAACCAATGTTCATTAATATGTACTAAAATAGTAAAATGTTAACACTTTTTTAAACATTTTAAAGAACATTTGGACAGACAAAAAAAAATACGTAATAAATAATAATCAAACAAACCATGACAAACCTATGCACGTTGCAATCATAGCTGTTAACCCGTGTAACTATTATAGTTTTTTATGGTGAATTAGGTGGATTAACAAACATTAAACCATTAAATTGAATTACATTTACAGCTATAAGATAATAATAAACGTGTATCTATGTATTTAAAAAAAAAATAAGAAAAAACGGTTTTCTATCCATCTATAAACGTCAACCTGTATAATACTATAGTGTATAATTTTAATAGGTATTTACATGCATTATGATTTGTAATTTATATTATTGAACATCTACTGTATAAGAATAAAAATAGTTAAATACTTATGTAGGTATGCGTTTCTCCATGGCAAAATAGTTTTTTGTTCACTTAACACAAAGTACCTAACTATAATATTTAAATACTTATAAGATAGAAGTATACTAGGTACATTTGGGTATATAATTTATAGGTTCTGAAATTTAATAGATACGAGACATTTATACAATTCGTACATTTATTGAATTTGTTAAAATGTTTGTATAATCCATTAATTTATAGTCGTGTATCAAACCTTTAGTACATATTTAAATCAATACATTCTCAAAAGTTGATATTACCTCGGGTATGACTATTTTTTTTACACAGATTAAATTAGTAAATATACATAGTTTTCTCAAGAGGTGAGATTTATGTTATACCTAATTAAAGTTAGGTATACATCATTGATTAAACTACATGAAGTCTAAAATGAAAAAAAATTATTTACATCATCTAGTCATTTTGTAATACGTATTTTTGTCTGAAGTTAAAATTAGTATTAGGTAATTTAAAATATACCTATTTTCACAAATAGGTAATTATTATAGTTTTATTTAAAAGATATATCTATGGGGATTAATAATTGCATTATATTTCTTATACCTAAAAAGCATTGTTATCGTAATATTAAAATACCAACTAAAATTTTAATTAAAAGTAGTAGGTAGTTTTAAATAGTTTAAATAAATAATTAATCAACTGTTCAAATAGTAGTTACCTACCTATTAATTTTATAATTTTAGCACTATGATTGTGTACAAGCGTTTAAGTCTACTATTGTTCAGTCTTTAATTTAATTAATCTAAATTTAATTCAATTTCAAAAGACTATTAAAATTAAGTCATAAGAGTTGATAGATATAAATATTTTATAATAATAATAATAATAGTATCTAGGTGTTATTAAAACCAAAACAAATGTATTAAATGTTGAACTATGGTTGCAAATTAATAAATATTTTGTAGTATTTATATCTATATAAATCGTATTTTATTATAAATTGATTAGTAGGTACCTACCTAGGTACTTAATTATTTTCTTATGCATTGATAACAAAATAGGTACCTATTAGTCATTAATTTAAGTACAATATAATAATAATATAAAACAAATTAGGTAGGTGTATTAATACAAATTGTCTTATTTATAATATACTTGTATTTATTAAAACCAAAGAAAATTATTTTAATTCTAAAAAATTAATAAAACAATAATTATACATATTATAATGGATATTTACCAAAATTCTTGATAGTTTTGAATTCATAACGTCTTGATTTTAGTGTATAGCGCATTGACCTGATGACACATTCGAGTCCGGCACTCTACTGACCCAGACTGAGCCCCACCGAACTTGACTCGTGGATCCTGCCTTCCTTAACAACAGCTATAGTATATGATATTCACTAAAGAGTACCTACTACGCTGCCAAGTGAGCGTAAACATCGTAAACCATCCACAAAAAAAAAATGAACACGCAATAATAATACTAATAATAATAACATACCGTTTATATTTCATTAATACAAAATTATTTGTAAATCAGCGTATTATAACCCTTAATTGAGTATATTTATAATTCAATAGGAATATTACTTATATCTAAATAATCATTAGCAATATTTTTATTGTTATGATTATTTAAATTAATAAAGCTGAATTCCAACCAGAAAATAATGTTAAGAGAATATAATATTTCACAGTTCAAATTCGTATTTCATTTGCGTAAAATAAAAATAAAACATCACTAAAATATAAATAAAATAGATAGGTATTATATTAAATTACCTATAGTTTTAACAATTTCTATCCAAACAATTTTTCACTGGTTTTATAATTATCATTTTAAATTGAACATATTTTATAAAGGAAATAATATTCTATTATTACAATAAAAAAAAAAAATTATTCCTACAATTAATGTTTGAAAATTTGTAATTTTATTAAATACCTACAGACTAAATTAATAAATAAATACAATTAGTTTAACTTTTAAAAAATGTACTTATGTACTTATTATAACTTTTAGGTACCTACTTCATTCTATAATAATTTCAAAATGATTAGAATATAAAACAATAAGGTAAAAATTTGGTAAATTTTTATAACAAATTATAATTAGCATCTACCTAATTATTATAATTATACTGCAAAACTCACATATCTATTCAATTTCTAAAGACTAAAACGAATGTTAGACATAGGACAATAATTTTCTTACGAGAAAGCATACCTAATTTTCTTGTAAAATAACTGATTTTCCTCGTCAAACAATTGCGTTATTTTATTTTAAATAATTCCGTAGTATTAATTTTGAAAATGCATTTTAAGACTAACGTTATTTTCGTTATTGAGAATATGAAAATTATAAAAATACTTTAATTATCAATCATTTAATTATACAGTATATATTTATTTATCATAAATTAGTGTTATATAAGTTTATTTTTTAATGTAACAATACTTCGGATCGAGTAAATAAATTCCTAATAAACGTTCATTTTGGCCTTTGAAAATAATTTTGTTTATGTTTAATTATATATTACACACGACATTCTTGCATACTGACCCAGATAGGATGTAGGAAGTATTGAGAATGACTAAGGTAATGACCCGATTTTCTTCCTTATAACCACTACGACTTGTTATTCGTAGTATGAGCAGGTACGCGCGTAGAGGCCAACGGATGTCATAATGTCATATTATATTTCTTTTTTTTCTTTTACCTAGGTTAGGTTAGGTCACAGAGTTTTTTTAAGATCCAGTTAACATTATGAAAACTCACATCATGACCAAACAATATTTTATCATGAAATAAATTATTTGGATATTATAAAAATAATAATACCTGGATAATATAGGTATTAATATTGATGAGTAGTACAATTTAAATAAATAAAACACTGTTTATACACGTATAGCGGTATCTTAAAATTCAGTAACTTTACATTAGTTATTAGTATGGTATATTATAGTAAGTAATACATACATGTGTATTTAAAATTTTATTATATTTTACTAACTGTAACGATTAATTGATTAATTAATTAATTAATCGTTAATGCACAAAATTGTATGAATATAAAATTTATTTAGTTGTATAAGGTAGGTAATCTGATAACTTATATAAGTAGTTTGCTAGTAAAAATTTATCAAATGGGTCAACTAAATTGTGTATTGAATTGAAATATTAACATTCTGTAGGTAAAAAATAAACAGGGAAATAATAAATAAAAGTGTTCAGTAAAATATTAGTTTTTTTTTAAAAAAATTATATCATTTTTTATTAGAATACATGTTGTTATTTCATTGATTTAACCTTTATTACCTTTTATAAATGATATTTTACGACAATAAAAAATTATTATCAAGGGGCCTGCATGTAGTTATTAATTAAAGAGTACAATTTAGGTAATTTCTATTCACGTCTACAGTGGCCGGGATCTTTGTATTAGTCGTAGACGATTATTAGGGTAAGTAAGCTTCTATGTGTGTACTGCAACAGCGTCTCTACCACCTTCCCTGTCAATGTAAACAGGTTTACTGTTTATTTTTGCACAAAATAGATTCAAATTCACTGCCGCCTTTCCTGCCGTAGAATTTATCGCGTTATCACGGCGTGCCTCATCGATATCGCAAATTTATTTATAGCGAGATTATAATATAATAGTATTATAGTTATCTGTTGATCCCTCGGACGAGATGACGACTTTTGAATTGTTAAAATGGAAATTCAGTTGATACATTTTTACAAAAATTATTTACCATCTGAAATAGTGCAATCCAAAATAACAACATAAAATGTACCAATTAATATTAATATTAATTATTTTACTTGTTTTAAATCATTATTATTTATTTATATTTTTAGTAGGTACGACTATTTCATTTTGGTTGGTTCTATTGGTTTTACTATGATGTATCTATCTATATTTTTTTTTTAATTTTTGTGTCTGTAAAAAACCTTTCTACCAGAAAAATTTGCACCGAAATATAAACTATAGCACTTTTTCTGAAAGGTAATTTTCTTTCATTGGTGCATTGAGAAGGTCATTTTTGATTTTCTATGGGGTTTTTCGAAGTAATTGGGAAAAACCGGAAGGTCGATACAAAACTAAAGGTAAAACGGCAAATATATATGACGCGTCACGGCGTTACCATTTTTATTGTTTTTATTATGTTAACACGGTGTTTTTTACCAGACAAATTGCTCTAATCTAAAAATAACCAAAGATCAATTTTTTCTTTCTAACAATATTTCACCATTAACAGAGTAAGTCGTGTTTTAATATTTAAAGTATTTTTTATAATAATTGGGAAAAACCAAAAAAGACAAAACGTACGATTTTTTGCAAATATCTACCTCACAAAGATTTTATTATTTAAAATTTGTACAATTTATGTTTTTTATTATAAATATTGCTCCAAAAGATATACGACAAGAGACCCTTTTTATGGCATTTTTAATCTTGTTCAATAGTAAATGTTTCGTTTTTTAAATTTTATTATAGTTTTATAAATAATTAAGCACAATCAGAAAAAAAAATTATTTGGAAAACTACTTTGAATATCGAAAAACGACTCAATCTGTCAGTGGTGAAATATTAATAGGAACAAAATCGATCTCTTGTAATTTTTCGATTAAAGTAATATTTCTGGAAGAAAACTTCAGTATAACACAATGAAAACAGTCAGGGCCGGCTCAATGTGGTAGCAAAATAGGCAGCCGCTTATGTGGGGGCGGCAAGTTTCGAATGAACCAATTTAATTATTATAATATAATATAGTATGCTAAATTGTATGTTCATTGTTCAAATTATACAAAAATAAATATGTAATAAGTAATAAGTAATAACTAATAATAATAATATAATATTGATACTTCGTTTACCGAGAACGCACCAAAATCGTAATACTGAATATAAATAGAATGGCGATAACGATACATGCGTTAGTCGACCACAAACGATCAATGCACATTCTTATCGAGTTTAGAATTATTATTTATTTGGAAAACTGTAATAAATCTTAAAGGTTGTTAATAATTATGCAAGAATGGTGCCTAATAGTAGTTTATTAATATTATATTATACGTGTATTATCATGATGAATTCTTTCTTATAACTGAATTCATAATAACCATAGTTCTTAAATTGGATATTGAGGCTTCTTTCACGCAACAGACTTCTATACGCCCACGAAAAAAAAATAACAGTGTTCTTTTCTTATGAACAACCAGATAAACCCTTAATTAATTTAAAAACTAAATTTAAAGTTGAATTATACTTTTATATATTAGACGTAGCTTTCAATTCTCTCGAAAAAAGATTTGAACAATTACATAATCACTGCGATAATTTTAAATTTTTGTATGACATAAATAGTCTACAAAGTATAACGAAAGATAATATTGTGAAAAATTGTATGGATCTTCAATTGCTACTATCAGAAAATGAAAATGTTCCATGTGTTTTTTTTTTTGCTCAAAACACAGTTTACAGGAAAAACTCTCAGACTCCCAGATTTATCTGATTAATAATATATTTTTTTTTTTTGTTAGAAAGAGGATGATTTTTATAAGGCGCACTAGACTTCGATTTTTGATTACATTGCTGAAAAAAAAAATATTACACAATTTATAACCATGTAAAAATTTGTAAAATTCAAACTCTTATCGGAGGATTTATAAATACAATTTTTAAAATTGAAGTTCAATATGCTCTGTAAGAAGTCTTCCTCTTTCTAACAAAAAAAACAATTACCGAAATCTGATCGCTCTACGAAGCGGAGAGTTTTTCCAGTAAAGCATGTTTTTAAGCAAAAAAATCAGGTCGCGCGCAAGCCGCTTAAATGAAATATACAATTAATTTGATCAAGGTACCTAAAAAAACCAATTTTTTTAGATTCTCAATGTAGCGAGGAATATATTGGTTTTACTGAGATATGTTTTTTTCATTTTTTTAACATTCTGTTTGATTTTTTTAGTTTTTACAGTTATTTGAATTATCAAGTTCCTTATAGTTTTTATTTGATTTATAGGGATAAAAATGTTTTAGACCAATATACAAAATTTATACATGAGGTTAAGGTAGATTAAGTTAGATTCGTCATATGTTGTACCTATAGTGGCCAAAAATCAAATAAAATATTTATAAGCGTTGAAAATTCAAATTTGTATGAAAATCGTAAAATCGCATTTTAAAACATGTTTAAATGAAAGATATAGGATTAAACTTTTGGTAAATAAAATACTAATAATGTTTTTAATTTATATAAAAAAATTGTTTTACTTCTAATGTACAGAAAGTTCTAGAATATTTTAGTATGATAAGTAATAAATGACTAAACATTTTACATAATACTTTGATATTTGATATTACAGAAAATAACATCGTAAAATCAAAATTCACAATTGTTGATTTAAAAAATATAAGTAATACTTATTATATTTAAATGTTAAAATTATTATATTAGTTAGGCAACTAATTATACTTTAAGAATTGTTTAGAAGTCAATATATTATATAATTTGTATTAGATCATATTATTTATCTAGCGTATGGTTTGTAGTTACATGCATTATAGATTAGATCATATAGATCAAATATTAGATATTTTATAATAGGTATATGATCTAAGATATAATTTATAATTTAGTATTTTAATTACTATATTATTTATAAGTTACTATATAACCGTAATTAACCGGCATGTTGGTAGCATTTAAATTAAAATACTATAATTTAAAGCTATTAGTTATTTCATTTTGGTTTTCAATCATTCATAATTTTCTTGTCATAGTCATTGCACACTCGACACGTACTTATTGCCGTCATTGCAATTAAATCGAATAGTGGATGTTTAGTATGAAATAACTGAAATACTATGACAGTTTAATGAATACATGATTGCTATTGGTGGCATGTTAAACTAAATGTCGCAAGAATTGTATCCATTTTATTTGAATAGACATACCTACCAAAACCTATATAAGTACCTATACTGTTATACCTATACTTACGTAGATTATGATATATTTTATAAATTCTTAATTTTAATTAAAATTTGTGTATAAAATAGGTATAAATGATAATTGCTGAAGTATTAACAAACTATCAAAATAATATGTACAGAATATATATTATTTGAATAGAAGCAAGTGATTATTGCGGCGTTAAATTTGTCATTCATAAAAAAAAGACAAAAAAGAAAAAACCTTTTTTTTTTTTTTATAAAAAACAGCTCTCTTAGAGAGTTTTTTTTCGATATCTTATATACCGATGATTTTATTTATATTTTTTTGAAAATTGAGGCGAAACATCAACAAAAATTTTTATTCAAACCTAATGTACGTATTCATCTTTTATGTTGTTGGAAAATATTCCCGAAAGAACAATGTCAATATGGTACCTATTCATTTAGGTAGATACTTTAAATTACCAACGAATTTCTAGGCCAATTACACATTTGAATCATCCTAAAATGTTTCAAAATAAAAATCGATTTTCCTTAATATTTTGCGGTTTTATTTTATATTATAATTTAAATAATAATAACATATTATATAAAAACAATTTATTTTGTGTATATGGTATTAAAATGTTCTTTACTTTAAACTTTTTAAAGTATTGATATAAATAAATTATAATTTAAATTGTGTATCTTTTTCCCGTCACCCATATAATCCCTACTCTTTAAAATATATATTTATTTCTTTATGATTTATTTTAGTTAAAAAAATAAAATAAAAATTACGATAATAAATGGGCAGTGAATTTATTTCTGCTTGTAGGTGACAAATCGCTTAATCCTATGCTGATACTTGTCTTGTCCCACACATTCACCTAAAATTTAATGGAGTCGTGTATTCGTGTCTCTTTAAAACAGTACCTATTCACCATTAACTATATTACTAGTATTACATATTTACTATTACTATTACATAAGCTATTAATATTTTCACGTAACTAAGTATAAAACTGTTTAGTATGATCAAATATAAATTAAAAATGTATAGGTATATCATACTTATACTAATATATTACCTAAATATACACCAAATTAATATAGAAATAAATAAATGCTGCTGTAATTGACACAAAAATAGGACTTGCAATTTAAATTTCGATATCCGAAAAATAAAAATATATTTTTTTTTTTTTTTTATATCATTATTTTAGGACTTATGATTTTGTAAATTTTACCTAGTTTAAAAATATCAGTTTTGGCGTAAATTCGAAAATATCTTACCAAAGTATCTAATATAACTTATGCTAATATGATATCTTATTTGACTTGTGGATCAATGGCTATGCCAAATTCCAATGTAAATCCGATTTTCTTACGGGGGGGGCTTTCTCCTCCTCAGGGATGTGTCTGGTTAATCACGGACTAAGAAAGAATCGCATGGTAACCAAATGTTACAATTTCAAAAGTACATGTTTTTTTTTTTAAGTTCTGTCATTAAAACATGCGTTCGCGTTCGCGTGTCGTTACTCGTTTTGGGATACTCAGTGTATAAATAACGCTCGATACCTTGTACTTTTAAAAGGTAAACATATTTTGGTGATCAGCTTCACCACCCCACCGACCCATTCGTTACTAGTCTATTCTTTAGTCCGTGATGGTAACTCACTATACCAGAAACCGAGTAAGACCATAGACACATTTGATTCCCGTAAATACTGATCGTTTTTAATACTTTTCAATTTATTGGTTTTTAAAAACAATTTGTGAAGAATTAAAATGTCAGAATAAAAATTAATTTCATTTCTTAGCTTACCGTGTTCATTACAATAAGATTCGTAGATTTGAAATTTAGAATACAGTTTGACCGGATCGCGGGGATTTAATCGTTGTTTACATGCCACACTGCTGTTGGTTTTCCCTCTCACACTACTACCATATTGCCAATTTGCCATTATCTTATATCTTATTAGTTATTAGTGTTCCGATGCGCATGCTAGGGTACCTTGTTTGTGTATAATAATTAAAATTATGTCGGAGTTGCTTATTTTGTAACGTTCAGATACCCATTTAACTTGTATTTCATACTGTTATCGGTTCGTTCGTATTCTTAATGTCCTGTTCCGACCTTATTTTCAGGCATTTGTTAAGAGCTGGGCACGCCTAAGTTTGCCTTTTTACGTGTTGTGTTTCGTTTGAAAATCACGTGCCTTAAGACAATAACCATACACCAGCATCATGTCCAAGCGACGTCTGGATATAATCGATCCGTACATCACTAAAAATAAAAAGTAAGTTATAACTGTTCAATTTTTTTATGGGATTAAGACATGAGTGTATGTCACTTAAGGCAATATAAAACATACAATTCCTAAGATAAAATTGATTTTATATTTGATTTTAAATAAAAGGTTATTTTATTTAATGATGTAATTTTTAACTGTCTATAATAAAGTCAACCATAGGTATAGGATAAAAATCTACCAGTTCATGCCATAAACAAATTTTGAAGTTTGATTTGTATTATTCTTTAAATGGTAAGGTCTAATTGTAAAAATAAGGTATTCAAAATTTGTTTTCTTAAAATTAATGTTTATATAATTGGTATGTTGACATTCACTGGTGTCTACTCGATTATAATAAAACTTTAGTAACCTATTCTGCATTCACACCATTTATTTATTGTTCAGTCATTCGATCTACTACCTACTAATATTTCTTGTAAACTAAAATGTTTGAATAAACTATAATTAATTGAAACAATAGATAATATTTGAAAATAGGTATGTTTATAGATAGGAAAGATAATTTTTTTCTTTATTTTTTGCATTTTTTAGGAATGACGGTCAAATATACATAAAACCTAGTTCTTCATCTCAATTACAGACAAATCCTTATACTAATTTACCATTTACTCCTAAGTAAGTCTGCTATAATTTTTCTAGTTAATAATTGTATATTATGTAACATATTATTATTCAAATGTAAAAAAAAAGGTATTTTGAACTTCATAAAAAACGAATACAGTTACCAGTATTTGAATACAAAGAAGAGTTTATGAGTCTATTAAAAAATAATCAATGTATTGTTCTGGTTGGTGAAACTGGTTCAGGAAAAACAACCCAAATTCCTCAATGGTAAATAATTTGTATGAATTATTAATTTCATGTTGTTTATATTTTATTACATATTATTAAAAAAATTGACATCATTTAATCATGTGAATATTTTATTTGTAAGGTGTGTAGAATATTCTTCAATAATTGGTCGTAAAGGTGTTGCATGCACTCAGCCTCGAAGGGTAGCAGCAATGTCTGTAGCACAGAGAGTTTCTGAAGAAATGGATGTTTGTCTTGGTTCTGAAGTTGGTTATAGTATTAGATTTGAAGATTGTTCTTCGTCTAGAACTCTTTTGAAGTAATATAATTTAAAATTACTAATAACTTGTGCAGCTTTTTATATTATTGCTTTTTTTTATTTTAGATATATGACAGACGGTATGTTGCTTCGTGAGGGTATGTCTGATCCAATGTTGGAAACATATCAAGTTATTCTTCTTGATGAAGCTCACGAAAGAACATTAGCAACAGATATTTTAATGGGTGTACTTAAAGAAGTTATTAAACAAAGAAGGGATCTTAAATTAGTTATTATGTCTGCTACATTAGATGCTGGGAAATTTCAAGTAAATCATTTAACTTGTGTATTTATAATTTTGGTCTTGCTTTTAAATTTTCTTAAAATATTTTAGCAATATTTTGATAACGCACCTCTTATGAATGTTCCTGGCCGTACGTTCCCTGTAGAAATATTTTATACACCAGAACCAGAACGAGATTATCTAGAAGCAGCAATACGTACAGTTATTCAGATTCATATGTGTGAAGAAGTTGCTGGAGATATTTTATTATTTCTTACTGGACAAGAAGTAATATAAAATTTATTAAAGTACAATGATTAATTATTTTAGTAATGACATGTTTCTTGGAATAATGTTTTAGGAAATTGAAGAAGCTTGCAAACGAATAAAAAAAGAAATAGATAATTTAGGACCAGATGTAGGTGAATTAAAATGTATTCCATTATATTCTACTTTACCCCCAAATTTGCAACAAAGAATTTTTGAGGCGGCTCCACCCAATAAGGTGAATGGAGCTATAGGACGTAAAGTGGTAGTTTCCACAAATATTGCTGAAACATCATTGACCATTGATGGTGTTGTATTTGTCATAGATCCAGGTTTTGCCAAACAAAAGGTATTTGTTGGAAAGTGAAATATTTTATTGTTGTAATACCTGATTCATTTTTTAAATAGGTGTATAATCCACGAATCCGTGTTGAGTCCTTGCTAGTATCTCCTATTAGTAAAGCTTCTGCTCAACAAAGAGCCGGTCGTGCTGGACGTACAAGAGCTGGAAAATGTTTCAGGTATGTTAATATTTAACACTTATTTTCAGGTTGTAAAAGTGGGTGCCAATTAGCAGTGTTTACAAAGCATGATATATTATATACACGAGTGGTCAATTCAAATGAAATAACACGCTTTTCAAATTATTATATACATTATAATCAGCATTTAAAATCGATTAAAAAGTACTTAAAATTTCATTATGAGCCCTATATGCGCTCAGAGCCCCTTGTCTTTTGGCTCAAAAACATGCCTTACAGAAAAAAAACTTACCACAATTTCTATGGTTATTTTTTTGTAGAAAAATTGGAGGCATCCTACGATTTGCATTGAACTTTGTTTTTCTATGTTTTTATCTCCAACTTTCTAATGTTTTGAAAAAGGTTAATTTTGAACTTCTTTTTACTAAATTTTTTTATACCATTATATTTTAAATAAAAAAAATGAAAAATCAAACTTCAATGCAAGCTGTAGAATGTTGTTTAACAATTAATATAATAACATAATATGTTAACAATGAACTATCCCTGTTCCCACCAAGTCATTTTCATCAGTAATAACAGGCGCACCCAGTCTTCCTAAATAAGTATCAGGTAGTAGATCAGTAAAAAAATAAATAATAGTAATTGAAAAGTTATATATAATTTTTCAAATTAGGAGGAAATTTTAATAACTATTGGGATCCTCAAGCGCTCAAAAAAGCAGAAAAACTTTTAAAATACAATTTTTAACAAAATGAGCATATAAAACTTCCTAATTTAATATTTAAACTCGTATCATAAAATTTCTTTGCACTCTGCTAAATTTGACATCAAGCCAAAAATGTAAACGAGTGCTAAGTACGAATATTTGATTTTACATATAGTAGACCTATATTCGGAATCTCCATATCCATATTAGCCATTAGTTTTGTCCAATAATGTTGAGTTAAACATTGGCCTCATAATAGTTTATTGTTGCATTTAAATACCATGAAATAAAATAATGATTGACATTATATATTTGATGAAAACATAGATTATATACTGAAAAGGCATACAAAAATGAGATGCAAGAAAATACATACCCAGAAATATTACGTTCAAATTTGGGTTCGGTAGTATTACAGTTGAAGAAACTTGGTATTGATGATTTAGTCCATTTTGATTTTATGGATCCTCCAGGTAAATGTTTCAGACGTCTTGTATGTTTTTTTCTTAATTTTTATTTTTACAGCACCCGAAACTTTAATGAGAGCTTTGGAATTACTTAATTATTTATCTGCTTTGGACGATGATGGTAATTTAACAGACCTAGGAAATATTATGGCTGAATTTCCTTTAGATCCTCAACTAGCAAAGATGTTGATTGCTTCATGTTCACTCAGTTGCTCAAATGAAATTCTTTCAATAACAGCCATGTTGTCAGGTTAGTTTTGTTTTATAATTTAAATGTAAACCATTTTTTTTTTTTCATTTTTTTCTCAATGAAAAACAAATAGTTTAAAATAGGAAAAATTTATTTTGAACCATCAAAGTATGTTATAACTTATTACTTATTACGCTATTAGCATTATAGTATGGTCAATGAACTACCTTTAGTTAAAACATAATCAAATTTATTATAAATACTAATTCTTATTAAATAAATAGAAATTGAAATTCTAAGATGTACATATTTTTTTAAATTATTATAATCTGATAAGTTCGTACACTAAAATAAATATACCAATTTAAATTAGTTTAAATTCAAAAAATGTGGATTGCTGTTTAAATGCAATGAATGTATATTATTTAGATATTAAAGGGTCCTTGTAAAAATCATTTTTCTTATTTACTTTGAAAAAGAGATAAAATATTTATAAATATTTTCATTTGACACTGTCACACTAAGTATTATGTTTTGTTTTAAAATTAATTTTTTAAAACAAAAAAAAAAATTTTAAAATAATGAGTTACTGTTTAATAGTTTTTAATGTTAAAATTTATTTACAATTTTTACATCCCAGTTGATTTAAACATGGTTTGTAAATAAAAAAGCACACATTTTTGATATAAAATTAGAATGATATTTCCTTCATACAACAGTTAATAAGTTTATATTACAATTTTTAAACAAAAAAGCTTTAAATTATTTATCAACGGTTTATTTTTATTCATGATTATCCATTTAGAATACAAAATAATTCACTTCAAAGATTGCGATTTCGGTTGATTTAAAGGCAAAGGAACCTATTATATGTTTTTTAAAGAAGAGTATTATTCATTTTGCCCTAATATCAACCAGAAAATCACAATCATTGAAGTGCAAAATATATTAATTGTCATATTAAATGTGAAACAGACAGTGAAAACAAATTATCTCAAAAGACCCCTTAAACAACTTAAACTTATAAAACAAAATTAAAATTAATTTTTTTTGCTTCTGAGAAATAATCAATGCCAAAGCGTAATCGGTAGGGTTTTAACATAAGGTTAGTTACATAGGTGTATGTTGCGGGTTATTAAATGAGGCACAATGGCCTTATCCGGGCATACCCGTCTGGCCTGCCTCCCCTGATTGTCTTGTTTAGTCCCTCAATGTTTTGTCCGACCTTCTGAAGCAAAGAAAGCATCCGACGATTCCAAAATGAGATTTGCCCACATCGATGGTGATCATCTCACATTACTCAATATTTATCACGCATTTAAACAAAGTAAGTTAATATAATTGGTATTTAGATTATTAAAATCAAATTGTATTATGATTTAATTATTATTTATTAGATAATGAAGATCCACAGTGGTGTTATGATAATTTTATTAATTATCGATCACTAAAATCGGCTGACAACGTTCGTCAACAATTATCTCGTATCATGGATCGTTTTAATTTAAAACGCACTTCCACAGAATTTACTTCTAAAGATTATTATTTAAATATTCGTAAATCTCTTACCACAGGATTCTTTATGCAGGTAATATTTAATATTTATTTTTGAAAAATTAAATACGTTTTTTATAATATTTTAAATATTTGTGTAAGGTTGCACACCTAGAGAGAACGGGACATTATCTAACAATTAAAGACAATCAGACTGTCCAGTTACATCCGTCAACTGTGTTAGGACATAAACCTGAATGGGTAATTTACAATGAGTTTGTATTAACTACCAAAAACTACATTAGGACTGTCAGTGAAGTAAAACGTAAGTCTTCGGTATATTTATTATCACTCTGGTTTTTATAATACAAAAAAATTTTATATTCATTTAGCGGAATGGTTACTAAAATATGCTCCACAGTATTATGATCTACAAAATTTCCCACAGTGTGAAGCAAAAAGACAGTTGGAAATTATTCAAGCTAAGCTAGACACTAAGCAATGGCAAGAAGGTTATTAATATTTTTTAAAATATTTCCTTTTTATTATTCCATTATAGACAAAATAAAAAAAAAAATTAGTTGCATATGTTTCTTTTTAAATTAAAGAAACAATTTTACTGTTTTAATATACTTGCTATAATTTTAATATTGTCAAGAGTGTATTTTATAAATGACATGTTTTATTACATAGGCAGAACAAATATTTTCCAATTTTATTAAATAAAACCATTATATTTTCTATACTCCTATTATAAAACCAAAATTAAGCAGGTAATAACAAAATAAAAAATGGAATAATGATTTACAAACTCTATGTGTATAAGTTATTTGACTTACCATAATATCAGGTCAATAAAACCATATTTTACAAATTAAATATTTTAAATTTTTTTATAATTGTTATTCAGATATATTTTACACAGACTAGTGAGACTAAATTTCTATAATAATTAACTTTAATTATAGTTTTCATATTAGATTATCCATTATATTATTCAAACATTTTCAATTCTTAAAAAAAAAAGAACATACAAATTTATTTTTATATGATACCTTTGTTAAGTAAATATTAAATTAACATCTACTTAACTATAAATATATAACAGTTTTTAAATGTTCACATAATTTCCTATAGTGCTTGATATTTTTTTAATAAAGAATTATATTTGACTTACACTTCACTTAGTATTGTCTATCATATATATATTTGACATTTTTGTATTGAGACACCTTGTATTTTATATACATATGTTTATAAATATTAAAATATATTTATACATGTATTATAATCATGTGTAATGTAATGTATATTTTTATATACTTGAACTTCTATAAATACAGTGTAAATATATACCCAAAAAATAGTATCATTTGTCACAAAATATAGTTCTATATCCAATTAATAAATAAAGTAATACTTTTTTAAATTGTTTTATGTTTAACGAGGAATAATTTTTTGATAGTTGATTTTTAACTTAAGTTGTATATTTTCTTCTTTTTATTTTATTACTTTACAAGTTATATTATAATATACCTATTATATTTGTAGTACAATAAAAATTCACACTTCAAATTGTATATATAGTTTTGTATGTGTATTTAGTACCTAATTTATATTAAGTAAATTGATCTATTTTAAAAATTATATGCTATCTTTAGACATTTGAGGTATACATATTTGAAGTATCAATAAAGCATATTAATATCAGTATAGAGTTTTAATAAAAGTATTAAAATTTTAACTCTTCTAGCTGGTAGATAACCATGCCATTGCAACAAACCTCTCAAAAATAATACTACATAATTTTGTTTTAATTATTTTTCTGTAAAATATATATACTTCAATTTACTTATTTTAAAAATAAATAACCAGTGTCATATAGCATATATAGCATATATATATATATATAACATTATAGATCAGTTAATCATTAATTATAAATATAAAATAATAGAAACAGTTTTTTAAATTCTACCTACAGAAATGTTTTGGAATATGGGAGATTGTTAGCATAGAATCAAAATACTAAAATATGAGCTTTAAAGATAAACTAGTTTAGTGCACTCAATACTTAGTTAAATGCCATACACAAGTCGTCATTTTTAAAAAAAATATATACTAGGTGTTTTTTTTTATCATGGACCAGCAATTTTCTGGAAGTGAATTTGATTTCTGTTTTTTTTTCTAATTGTAGAATTGTTTAAGCTTTATTTTAAAACCATTTTTCACCCTTAAATACACCATATAACTTAAATAAGTATGTACTTTTTTATTGAATTTTTGAATATAGATTTGAATAGAAAATATTTTTCTAGAAATTTTGATATGCATAATATTAATACCATATTTGCCATATTTTTACCATAAAGTCTTGACCAGAATAGTAGGTAAAGATAATAAATTGCATATTAATTTTAAATGAATGAGTGAAAAAAGGATAATATTCCTCAATACCTAATTTTTGGAAAATTAAAAAAAAAACTGTTTATTCCCTCTTGTTTTTACAATATACATTAACTTATACATAACCTTTAACCTTCTAAAATATGAGATCATAACAATCAATATTTTTTTTTTATAGAAAACAAGCCCTTAATGGCCATATCAGTTTATTTTTGGAATTTCATCTTTTTTCCATTCAGCTGTTCAAATAATAAATTGATCATTATTCTTTACTCCTCCAGTCTTAACTTTAAATTTTTATAACTCAAATGGTAAATTTGATATAATTATATCAACATTTCTAGTAGAGTATTCTCTAGTTGAATCTGTGATTGATGAAAGCAGGAGACTGTTATTTAAAAATCCTAAGTGGATACTCAATTCAGGTAAAAGGAAGGAAAACAAATTGAAAATAGTGGTAGAATAAAGATAAAATGTCAATAATGATAAAAAAAAAAAAAAAAAAAAAAAAAAAAAAACAGAAATCAAATTCACTTAAAATCTTTAGAGAAAATTGGTGGTTCATGATAAAACGATCACTCTGTGTATAATACATTTAATTAACAAGGAGTTATGATTAAATTGAAAATGGAGGGATAAAACCATATTTTTAAAACTACTGAAAGCTAAATCATGGAAATCATTTACTAAATAAAAATGTCCAAAATTAGATGAGATAATAGATAAAATAATATTTTTAATGTTTTATGTATTACCTTTCCTCTGGTTTTTAGATGTAGAACTTTAAACAAATTTAATAATTTGTTAACAATAAATATTTATTGGATCATTGCAGTTTTTAGTCCCAAATTATTATAAACTAATAAAATAAATATATTGGTTGTTTTAAATTATTTAATTATTGGTTGTATTTTTAGTAAAATGTTAGTAACCAAATTCAATGCACCTAAGTATACATTTTTTTCATCTTTTTAATGGTTTAAACCTTATAATTTTAAATATAAATTTAAAAATAACAAATGGTTAAATGTACAATTTATTGTTTATAATATACTAATCAAAATGTTAAGGGATTTATAAATATAATATAGTGTATGTGGCTACTCTTATAATAAATTAATAGATTATGTTTAATTTTGATGCTCTTTGGTTAAAATGAGTTTAAACAGTGTATGCAAAAAGTGACGAAAAATAAAAATGTAAAACTGTATTATAATAATAGTAGGTATTATACTTAGAAAGTATAATGGATGGAAGTTATTTGCTTAGTGTTATATCTAATAACCTAGTTAGGTCATTCTAAAAATTAAATAAATTCCCTTTAATAAGTGATTTTTTTCATTTACTAGCACCAGTAAAGTTTTTATTTCTAGCAGATTTGGACTTGAAATATAAAGATGTGTGCCCATGCAAGGCTTAATTGTGTACCAACCAAGAAACCAAATGTCTTGGCATGCTAGCCACTAAATTAAATATTTTGTAAAATACAGTTTGATACATTCAGCATGGGGTTCTCTTTAATGTTTATTGATAATAAGGACCCCAATCTTTTATAAAAGTTTGGGGTTATCTTTTAATTAGCTTTTATAAAAGTTAATTTCAATATGCAAAATCTTGTCAGATCACAAACCCCAAAACCTGTTGCAACATTTTAAACTTTAAATGAAAACATAAATTATTTAATTTGAATATAATATATCTATATGCATATGTATTCAAATATGATTGGACACACTGAAAGCACATCTGGTAAAAGTGGCATCAGGAACGGAGCTAGAAGAGAGTGTGAATGCTGAAGTGATGGCGGTAAATAGTGGAAGCAGCGAAGGCTCTAAATGGGATATGCAACCCACAAAAAAAAAAATGGGGTATATAGTTCAAGACTATAATAGATTACCAGTCTTCGTCGTGACGCCTGTTCGCACGAAAATAATATGGAAGTTATTACTGGCTTACAATAGTTTACTCGCGGTTAGAATGTCAAAACACGCCAGTAGTAAGAAAAGGTCGGTTCTTCATCAGGCGCAGGTGCTGGTGTTGGTGCCAGGAGCCCAGGTGCTATACATGGCCGCCCGAATTGTCCACCTCTTCATCGACAAATATTTCCCCCCACCCCCTTTTTGTTTTCAAAATATTTTTTACTCGTACTTGACCTATTTAGACCGCGCTCTCTTTATTCAAATATTTTTTCCACATTATCGAATACATACTCGACTTATCTATGCCCATTTCGTCATCATATACCTCTCTTAACCATACCCACTGTTATCAAATCGTTATCGTATACCTACCATTATTATTTTAAGAGTATTATGATATTTTTGTCTCCGGGTGCGCGCACGCTCGCTTTACCCAGCCGACACTATCCATATCCACTGCTAAATATTATCTATACAACAAAATATTATTATAAAAACGAAATGGTTATTAGCAACGTTGATGGTCTGTACATTTCTGCAATAGCTAATGTTACCATACCCGTTGTGTAACCTAAACCACCCCGCACTATCCCGTACACCCGTTTCGTCTACATCGTAATTATAAGTACCTATACAAAAATATTATATGTATTTTCATAGATGTAACATAATCGTCGTCGTCTTCCATAGATAGTCTTACATAGATTTTTGTCAACGACAACATAGTTGTAACCATTGCTGTTATCGACCAACAGGTACATTAACGACAACAACACGATTGTTAATTACATATAGGTATTCTAATAATTATGTTACCGATGTGTCGTACGATGAATCGTGTTAAATTTAAATAGTATTAAAAACGGTGATACAAAATATTGTTATCGAATTTTGGATAACATACACATATCATTTTTGTAACTGTCTTTTCACTATACTTATATAATATAATAGGTTTATAGTGTTTATACCTAGCATAATAGTAATAATATTAAATTTTAACAACAACCGAAGCCTTACATTTTAAAAGTACATAATAATATTATGGAGGTCAATTATAGTTCTCATTTTTTAAAATCTTAAACTATTGGATATCATTTTGAGTTTTTAAGAAATTTTAATTTTTGGGAGTTTTTTTGCTGTAATTCGGTTATAAATACACGTAGAGACTTGAAACTTGGTAATAATACTTATATGAGACTTACCTAGACATGGTTAAATTTACAAAATCATCTGACGACTTTTTTTTTTAATAAGCGTTTTGAAATTAAATTTAAATGAAAAAAAAATACGATTTTTCAAATTATGTATTACCGAACTGCGCTCGAAATCGTCTTTCGTCAAGGAATGGTTTATCGTTACTTATAGATATAAATTAAATAACTTTATCTATCCTACCTTACCATATTCTCACCTACAATAGTGGCCGCACCCGTCCCCAGTATCAGCTCTTCCTTTTTTTTGTCTATAAACAACTTTTCGAAAAAAAATCTTGCTCCGATTTTTAGCATCTTTTCTGAAAGTAAATTTTTTCTAGTTTTTGCATTTAAAAAGTTCATTTTTTGATTTTCCAAGGGATTTTAAAAATAATTGGGAAAACCGATAAGAGACTATTACAGGTAAAATGGCAAATATTCACTTCGTGCTGCAGCGTTAACGATTTTATTTTTTATTTTTGCAAACTGTTTTTTACCAGAAATATTGCTCTGGCCTCGGAGTGTTGAAGATGTTTACGTAACCGAATTTGGAAACATTTTCTAAAAATCCCTTCCCCCAGGACTCTACTTGCAACACCACTAAGCAAAATAGACTCCCAGATGATTAAAGGTGGTTACCATGGACTTCTAAACTATCTATAGGTTTATACTTCTATAGGTACTTGTACTACTTATAGTACTTTATAATATAGGCCATCCACAACACACTCCATTTCCACTCATTTCCATAATGAGCAGTTAGTAAGTTAATTACATCAGTTTTCTTTATTAGTGTTAAGAAAATTCCGCATTGGAATTTTGGTGGAATTCATTTTACTAATGTTTCTTGCTTTTTTTGTAATTGGTTTTCGTTTCAATTTTCCAATCATAAATTTCAACATCCTTTCCAACTTTCAGGACAGTTTCTTTTTTTGAAAAAATATCCAAATATTCTCGAGGTTCTAAAATTATTTCTTTCTTTTTGCACTCCACTTCGATGTGACCAAAGACACGATCAGGAGAAATAAAAGAGTGCCCTCTTACTGGGTATACAACTTCAATTTTTGAAATTACATTTTGTTTGGCGAGCCAGTTGCAACGTATTGAAATTAGTGTGGTGTTTTTGTTCTGGCCCGAGCAACCATCACATATAAGCTTAATAGTATGAATATCATTAAAATCTAACGATACCAAAACTTGATGAATACAAGCAATCTCACCTAAACCTTTATCGTATTCATTTTCAGTCCAATAGTAAGAGGTGAACTTTGGGACTTAATTTGCTTTTAGAAGTGCTTCTCACAACAGTAAACCCATGATAAGTATATTTAATAATATTAAATATAAATTATATAACTTATAATTTATAATAATATAATAATATTATTTTACTTGTCAAAAGAGATTGTACGTTTTGAAACAAACTTGTCAAAGGAGATTGAATTTTTTGAAACTAAATGTAATTTTAAATCTTAAAAATACATTGGAAATTTTACATTTTGTTCGATAATAGTGAGTTGTTCGAATTCAGCGCTAACAATTTAATATTAAACAACATTTCTCTCAATTTTCATGAAACATGGAGATTGTACCCTTTGAAACTTGTGCCCTCATATATCTGTGAGCCACCTGTAGTCGTTTCCCCAAAAAGAAAATATTTATTTTTTTTATTGTTATCTTGTTAAGTTGGTAATATGTTTTTCAACTTTCTACACTTATCAATATATTATACTTATCATAATAACAAAATAACATAAACACTAAACAAGAAAATAACTAGAATCTAAGTACCGATCAGCGAACATCGAAAGATAATTTTTTTTTTAATAATGTAATTTTTTATTTTTTGATATTTGTTTTTTTAGGGAATTAGGCAGTAGTAAATTCGGTTTATTTTTAAATCTAATACCTAGGATTTATTGTTAGTTTTTACATTGCTATTTATGTTAATTTCTTCGATTATTGTGATATTAAATTTAATAGTATATTAGTATTTATAAACAATGATTATATTTTAAACAATTGAAAATAAATTATGGGATTTTCATACGAGAAACGTCCATTAAAAAGGCCACGTTTAGGGCCACCTGATGTTTATCCACAAGAGCCTAAACAAAAAGAGGTAAAAATATTTTAAATACAAATAAATATATATAGTTTTATTTTATTTAAATTGATGTTAGGATGAGCTAACAACAGTCAATGTAAAACATGGGTTCACAACATCACTTACCATATCAGATGAACATCAACACGGAACAGCTCGAAATTATAATATTACAGCGTCAAATATTGGAGCTTTCTTCAATGCAATCATTAACAAGAAAGAAGAATTAAATACACTCGTAGATACTGGACGTAAGCGATTACAAATAAATCCAAAAGATAATTTTTGGCCTGCTACTGCTCGTTCAAAGACTACTGTTGAAGCTTGGTTTAAAGACTTAGCGGGGTTTAAACCATTGAATATACTTTCTAAAAAGGTAAAATTTTATATTGTATTAAATATTTATGATTATATTTAATTATATTACAAAAGAAATTAAATACATTATGAGTCACTTAATTTTTGGACTGAATGTAGTGAACAAGCTATTCATTTTACCAAGGTGAGTCCAATAATGTTTCAACACTTTTACACTTAACATTAGAAGTTAAAAATAAATAAATATAATTACAAATAAAATACAGTTAAATTATAATAATATGATTATCAGAGGCAGCGTTTAGAGAGTAGCCATAGGGGCCCCTCCTAGACATTTTAATGTAAATGCCGGGTTATTACTTTTTACATTTTAATGGGCATATTTATTTATATATTATATATTTTAAAAAATATTGGCCCCCTTAGGCAAAGAACTAAATCTGCCATTGGCTGGTATGATTTATTTTTATACACTCTGACAATTTTTTCTCTTAATAATCCAATCTCAAAATAAACTATTATTTAATTATAAGAATAAATAAATAATTTATAATTATTATTATTTTTTTATTAAAGTTATTTAAAGTTTAAAAATAGGGCCAAGTGTAAAGAAATATTTGTATATTTTGTAGGCACCAAATTTCAACAAAAAAGAAGAAATATTTATGTTATTATGTGAATATAATGTTCCATTAATTCGTGCTACATGGTTTATAAAATTAAGTTCTGCATATACAGTTGCTGTGTCTGAAGCAAAAATAAAATCTAAACGTCAACTGCCCGATCCTACCCTCGGTATTTTATTCGGCTTAATAATATATCTAATTTGAATTTAAAATACAACTGTGTAACAATACTTTCAGAATGGACAAGTACATTATTAAAGTTTACAAAAGAACAATTAACCAAACTTCAAGAGTACTATCAAAGTTCTAATTCTTCAATGAATTCAACACATTATGTGTCAATGACAGAGGATCAAAAAATTTCACTTAAACAATGGAATTATTGTACTAGTCTCATTAAGTATATGTATCAGGTAATATTGTGTATTTATTTAATTTTATACTAATATTTGACTTATGTTGTACTGTGTTTTAGGAAGGACTTTTAGAACGACAAGAGGTTCTTCAATGGATTTTAGATATGCTTGAACGTTATAAATCATCATCTAATAATGAAGATGGTTTATTAAAAGTATTAAGTCCATTAGCATTACAATATTGTTCAGAATTTTGTCAATCTGAACTTCTTAGTCGAAAATTAGTTTACTTTTGTGCTCGTAAGTTAAATACAATTTGCAATTCTGTAATTGACTTGAATCCACCACAGAGCCCTACTTCTAAAGGAGCTTCAAATAATAGTGTTCCAAGGTATGAATAACTTAAATATTTATTTTATTTATATTATTTATATTTTGAAATTTATTTCAACTTATAATACAATTTATTTTAGCAATACATCTGGTGCTACCAATGCTGCATCTACTTTGAATGATATGATGACTTGTCCTCATCATAGAGATATTTTACTTCCTCTTAGTTGTGTTATTCAAGTAAAAAAAAAAAAAAAAAAATATTTAAAATGCTTTTAATACTAATGATTCTCTCTTTATTACAGGTTGTTTTATTAGAATGTCCTACTTCTCTTATTTGGAACCATTTGGGTGGTGGAAAACTTCCATCAGTTTTAAATGGATCACCTTTAGATTACCTTCCATGTTCACCAGTAGTTTTACCAATGCCTCAAAGAACGAATAATGTTTTATTAAGGTATATCAAAATACAAATACTTTAATTTAACTTGCACTTTCAAATATTTTTAACATGCCGTTTAACTAATTGTCTTAGTGAAAATATAAAGTCTTAGTTAAAATATAAAAGTCTCAATATAATTGAATATTTAAAATGTAGTTTCCTATTCATAACTTATAAGCATGTCCAAAGTTTAAAGTAACAAAAAAATTGAAATTTATAGTGTATACAATTATTTCTTTACAATTCTACTTCTATATATCTTTTAACAACATTTTATTTGTTTATAAAGAATAACTTCTGTTCAATATTGATTTATTGTTATTATTATTATTTTAAATCTCTTTCATTATATCAATCATTTTTAATTCAATTTTTCTTTTGACAGGAAACAGTTAAGACAAGCAGAAGAAATTGTTAAAATAAGAAGTCAAGCAGCAGAAGGTAGATGGTGTTTAGATAAATTTCATAAGTCATCAATTGGTAAATTAAATTAAATATGTATTTTTGTAATTATTATGAACAAATTATTATTATTTACTCAAATATATAGTTTTATTGTGAATGTTTCCATATTTTTTAACTGGTTAGGTGCTAAAACAATGAAAATTTTAAATGTTTTGGATGCACTTGATCGACATAGTTTTGAACGTATTGATCCAAACAATTCATTAGATACATTATATAATAAACTATTTTTACCACCAAATTCTAAGGACAGTTCAAATCCTCTGCTTGCTGTTGGAAATATTTCAATACCTACTGAAAATGAAAATTCAAAAGACAACCGATCTGAATATGTAAATACATTTTTTATACAATGTGTTATGTTACTAAAATCATTTTTTTTTTTAGAATATTGAACAAGATCAAATTGTTGTGAAAGTTTTATGCGAATGGGCTCTAAGTAGTTTAAGACGGGGTGAACACCGTGGAATGGCAGTGGCAAGATTATTAGACAAACGTCAAGCTGAAATCACTGGACGTGAAAGTGATTCATCTGTAGAAGCCTTACCTAGTGGTCCTAGTGAAGATAAAGATTCTATTGTTTCTACACCCGCTACCCTTCCACTGTTTCAACCACTTTTAATGAATTTTTTGGATCATGATGCACCAGTACTTGGTATTAATTATAATTATAATATACTAAAGGATAGTACAATAAATGTACATATTTTTTTTTTCAGAAAATACAAGTACAAGTCGTACTACATTTACAAATTTAGTACATTTATTTACTGAACTTATAAGAAACGATGTATTTTCACATGATGCATACATGTGTACTTTAATATCTAGGGGAGATTTGCAATCTACTAATAATATGGGTAATGTATTAATGCTAACACAAATTTAAATAAAATAACCTGATAAATAATTTTAGGAATGTGTCAACCAGGAAGTAATAAATCAGCAGATACACCTTCAGGTGCTGGTCCATCTCAAGCACAAGTTCACATGGAAGATGATAATCTTTTTGATTTAAAACCAAATGTTCCAGTAAGCTGTTTTTGGATGTATTCTATTTTATACAAATTTATGGATGTTTATTAAGGTCTAGTTTATACCGAGCATACTAAGCTTTGGTACGTTTCAAATTTGATCTAGTATGCTATGCTAGAACGTATCAGATTATGTTGATACTCTCCTGTTTACATTAAAAACTTGATGCATATCAAACGGCTGGTACGCATATCAAGTTGATGGTGTAAACTTGGCCTAAGATTTTATAATGAAATATTTAAATTTGATAAGGATTTAATTAGAAGAAAATAATCTATTTTTAATATAAATATAATTTCATTTAGGAACATCATAATCGACATATGGATTATGATGATAGTAAAATAGATGATGATCTTGATAAACTACTTCAGCATATTAAAGAGGAACAACAAAATTCAATGGTACTATTTTGTCATTCAATATAATTTTAATCAAGTATTATTTAATAATTTTTTATTTTCAAATAATTTTTAGGATGCTCCCGATTCTCCAAAAGTTGAACCATTTGCTGGTTCATCGATCGGGGGATTGGAATCAAATGATCCATCTACAAACACTAATGATAATATCTATAAATGTCGACCATCTCGACATTTATTATATGCAACACATTTTCCTTTACCTTTGGTAAATTTATTTTGTATATATATATATATATATTCAATTAAAAATAAATATTTTTCCATTAATGTCTAGGATGAAGAAACCACGAGTCATGATTGTAATCAAAGGCATGTATTGTTGTATGGTTTTGGTAAGATGAGAGATGATGCAAGACATACTATTAAACGTATTAGTAAAGATATATGTAAATTATTTAGTAAAAAATTCAGTATTGATATTGCAGAAGGTAAATATTACTCCTACTATATAATATATTTAATATTACTTTGTATTTATCATTTTCATCCCTGTAATTACCGTCTGGCGTGCATTATAAATAAATTAAATATTTTCATGTGGTTATAGGTGGAAAAGTTAAAAAGCATTTGAGAAATGAGTTCAATTTTGAAGCAACAACTTCTCGTGTACAAAATTTATCATATTTTGATCAGCATGTTGTAACTTGGCAATGCAGTCTTAATGTACTAGAAGCAATAAATGCATTTGCGACAGGTAATTTATAATTATTTGTTGTTATATGTTATTTAAAAATATTTTGTACTTTTGATCTATATTTGAAGTAATTGATAATAATTAGGACCTGGAACTTCATGACCTAAAATGAACTGACAGAAAGTGTTAAAAATTTTTTTATTTTACTGTAAGAGTAAATTAAAATAAATTATTAAATATTGTTTAGAGATAAAAATCTTATTAACTCTAATAAATAAAAAAAATTCTAAAATATAATTAAAATGCCCCTGTGTTCAGGAAGTTGTGAAGGTAGAATACTTAAAGTTATTTAATTTATATCTGTAAGCCATTACCAACAAAAAAAGATTTTGAGCATGTATTTCACAATTTTCTAAAAATACTTATATTGAATTATTTACCTTTTCAAGAAGCATATTTTCTCAAGCATTCCAAGAAACAAATTTCTATGAATATGAGCTATAAGAACAAAAAAAAAAAAAAAATCAAAATGCATTGTTCTGGGCCTTATTAACTTAAATAATTGATTGACTTTTGTTCATTTATATGTTATCTAGGAAATTCAAATTATCTTCCGGTCCAAGAACATGTAGCTTTCTTATTTGATCTTATGGAATTGGCATTAAATGTCAATACCCTTTTAGATGTTTGTATTCAGGTAAATATGAATTTTGAATAATATAAAAATTAAAATATAATATTTTATATTGGGTTTTCCAATTGGAGTTAATGATCAAATATCTACCATTTAAACATTAAATTACAAATACAATAAATACAAATATTAAAATAATAATTTTTTTTAGATTTTAATGGATATACCAGATGTTGAAGCACAATTAGCAGCGAAAGGGTCATCTTTAGTAAGAATATATACAACGTCTTTAGTTCTTTACATTGTTGGAGTTTTGCGTAGATATCATTGTTGTCTTTTATGTAAGTATTATATTATTCTTCTCATTTGTTTTCATCTAAACTATTTGAGGTCAGCCAATCTCGTCTTAAAATTCCACTTGAACCAATTTTCCACCTCACATACACTGGTTCGCTGCTATCCTTATTTCATTCTAACCACATCCAACCACTTAACCTAACCTCTTTTTCAGTTTTACTACTACATTTATTTTCATTACTATTCTTATTCCTGTTATTCTTGTATTTTATATAAATATAATAAAATGAATAAAAAATAATTTACAATTTAAATTTTTGTTGTGCTTTGGCAAATAAATAATAATATATAATATTTTATATCCATTATTTAATTTTAGTAAATCAAGAACAAGTAGTTGGTGCATTTGAAAATTTATACCGTGTTGTTAAACATGTGTCAAATCCTGCAGATTGTTTGAGTGTTGAACGTTGTGTTCTTTCTCATTTATATGATTTATACATATCTGCAGCACCTCTGTTAAAAGGCCGTTTACCAGGAGCTGAACCTTTTAATACACTTTATTTGAAAATTCGACAAACACTTCATGCAAATCTTCAACCGTCTACTATGACTCATGGAAATTGGAATTCAAGTTACATGAACGATTTAATAATGACTTACAGAAGAGGATGTATGTATTTATTTTGTGTATAATATAATTCTGTATAATTTATCGTAAATTTTTAAGGTAAAATTGATCCTGGATGGCACAGACAATTGAATGAATCCCAAAGTAATCGCTACAGCTTAGTGTGTAATGTTGTAATAGCTGTTGCAACTGAAACTGCAGACATTGGACGTTTAAATGATTTGGCTATACTAAGTGCAGAATTGACAGCATCTTGTAGTTCGTTGACATCAGAATGGCTGGGTATTATTTATAAAATAATTTACTGAGATATTTGTTAAAATTTAATGATATTAAAATGTATAATCATTTTTGTTAATATTAAATTTAATTAATATGTTTTGTATTTTTGTATATTTTCAGGCGTATTAATGGCTTTATGTTGTTCTTCTAATAATCCTATAATTTTTGGTGAAGTTTTATCACGTGTCGATATGAATGAAATCACTGTACACAATTCTTTAGCTTTATTTACATCAATTCTTGTTGGTAAATATTTTTAATTTTTTCAAGTTTAGTCAAGTTCAAGTAATAGTCAATGTTCAATTTTAATATATTATTTTTATTACAGCACGGCATTGTTTTTCCTTGGAAGATTTTGTAGTACATGTTGCTCTCCCTTCTCTATTAACAGTTAGCAATGAAGGTAACTTAAATTATATGTTATAACTTATTTGTCTATTTAAATTTGCTATATTTATACATAATTTGTAGGTCATGGTGCTGCTGATACGGATCCAGAAGCTGAAGCATCAGCCAGATTAACATGTCATTTACTGTTACGTCTTTTTAAAACTACTGAAGTACCTCAGCCCAGTCTTTATTCAGTTGGTTAGTATAATGATCATAAAATAATCAAGTTATTATCAAAGAAATTTAATAAATGATTATATATTATGTAATAAATTTAGGCACATCACCAAACCCAATATCAAATTCAAATTCTAGCTGCAGTATTAAGCAAAGTTGTGATAGACATTTATTAGCTGCAGCTCATAATAATATTAGAGTCGGTCCTTTATTAGCTGTATTAAAAGCTATTATTGTTGTTGGGGATGCAACTGCACAACGCCCTAACCAATTGATAAAAAAATCTCCTTCGAGTCAAGTTAGTACTCCTGGTGGTACAAGCAAAATGCCTAGTGAGTTGTCAATCAGCCACATTCTGGGCACATCTGATATTCTTGGAGGTTCTGCTGACCATTTGCTTATGGAATTAGGAGGGTATAATAATATATTTTTATTGGTTTTTCTTTATTCTAATTTAAATCTTAGCCTAGGAAATTCTGATACTCAAACTCCTGGCTTATCTGAACTGGCACAATTTGTGTTAAGAGAAATTTGTAGTCAAGAATGGGTATTAGAACGCTGTCTTCAAAATCCTGAGGAATTATGTCATCAAGATATGCTTTTGGACAGTATGCTATCATCTAAACAGGTATAGAAATAATGTATTTAATAAATGTAATGAATTTAAAATAACATAATTATTAAATTAACAGGCTCAAAGACTATTGCATATGATATGTTACCCTGAAACAGCAAGTGGGTCTGACATTTCTTTAGATTCAAGAACAATAATTACTAATATTTTAGAGGTAATGCACTAGTATTTTATTATTTAATTATAAAATTACATATTTTTTTTAAAATTAATAATCATAATTTAATGATCATACAATTATTTATTTTAGTTTTATTATATTAAATAATTATAATTGTTATTTTAGAATTCTGATCAATGGACCCTTAGAATGTCTTGGTTAGAAATGCAACTTATGTTTAAACAATTTTCTCCAAATTCTCCAGATCTAAATCAGTGGCTTGATATAGTTGCTAAAGCAGCTATAGATATGTTCCAACATAATTCTAATACTCAGAACAAGTATATTATTTTCAATGTATTAAGAAATAATACTAATTGTATTTATAAATTATAATGTTTTAGGAGTGAAAATATAAAAAAAACCCATTCAATGTGGTTATTAGCACCACTTATATCTAAGTTACCTAGTGCAGTCCAAGGAAGAGTGCTAAAAGTAGCTGGTAAAAAATATCTATTTGATATTGAAATATTATTTTTTTAAGTCTAAAGTGTATTATTATTTTTGGTTTGGTATTAGGCCAAGTATTGGAAAGTGGAAATATGATTGGAATAGGTGGTACAAATTCTGGTAACGTAACTCCAATTACCACACATGGTGTCGGTGGTGGTGGCAGTAGTAGTCGAAGTAGTAACAAAGGCACTCCGCCTCATCCTCGACCAACACAAAACACTAATCCTGTACCACCACAACCAGCTATTTTGGCTTACCATCAGCCTTTCTTGTCCTTAGTACTCAGCTGTCTGAAAGGACAAGATGACCAACGGGAGAGTTTACTTTCATCTATACATAATCAGTTGTCACAATACTTAATATTGTCCAAGGAGGTAAATAGATAAATAAGCAATTTAGGGTGGTCCCCTGTTGTTTAGATATTTTTTAAAATAAATTCTGTGGATTATAAATTACGGAAAATTTAGTTTACAGTAGTTTGTTTCTGTTACCTTATATTATTAATTTTAAACTTTTTTAAATACTTGAATTAAAAGGGCAATAAAAGTAAATTCATAACCATTATTATTGGTAGATTGTTTAGATAATTATAAACTATGTACTTTCCCATATTTTACGATTATTAAGTGAAGATTATAATAATGTATAATGTATTATCTACAGAATTGTACATTATCAAATGTTGAACTTGCATGTTATCAAGTTAAAATCAATTAACTGGCATGAAATTTTTTTTTATAGTTTTATTTAGTAATCTAACCTTTTTGAGGGGGGTAATCTGAAAAAAATTATAAATGAAAAATAAGGATCACCCTAATAAGCATAACAAAAATCTTATTTAGTTAGTATTATAATATGTTTTATAATTATTTAAAAAATAGGAACGTCTCAGTATTCAAGAAGGATGTGCCAGCAATATGGAGGTTGATACCATGCAAGACTCACTGGCTTTAAGATTTAGCTTAGTGGGGGGCATGTTTGATACAATTCAGCGAAGTACTGCTTTGACTACCGATTGGGCTGTTCTTTTTGTGCAGCTTGTGACTTATTCAGTGATAGATTTGACTAATAATACGTAAGATATTTTTAAAATTCATTAAACATTTGAAATAAATTCATTTTTTATGTTTATATTACCAAAATAATGTAAAATATATTTCAGGAAATTATTTAACACAGTAATAGATATGTTGGCCACATTAATACATTCAACTCTTGTATCTGATTCACAAACTGAAAAAGGAGAAGAAAATCGAAAACACTATCAAAATCTAATAAAAAAACTGAAAAAAGTAAAAATTTATAGACTAAAGTTGTAGTAATGTAGTATTTTAAGAAATGCATGTTACAATAAACTGAATGTTGTTTTCAGGAAGTCGGTGAAAAACATTCTTCATCCATTTCACAAGTGAGACAGCTTTTACCTTTGGGTAAGCAATTGTGCGAAATCATAACCTGTGAACAAATTGGTACTGATATCAAAGGAAATAAGATTTCAACTAGCTTAGACTCAAATGACAAACAAGGATTAAAAGTGTGTGATAAACAACGTGTAAGTTCATGGGATTTATTAGAAGGGCATAAAAATCCTGCTCCACTCTCGTGGTCATGGTTTAGTGCTGTGCGAGTTGAACGGAAACCTTTATGGTATGAAGAAAATCATAGGATGCTTAAGTTCCATACACATTCATTAGTGAAGCCTGCTTCCTATTTCTTAGAACCTTTGCCTTTACCTCCTGAAGATTTGGAACCCCCACAAGAAAAACCTGTGAGTAAAAGATTTCATATACAATCTAATTTTGTATGGATTTAATAAAAATGTAGTTTAATTTTTTTTCACCGAAATATTTTAACATGTTATATATTATGTATATTATACTCATTATAATATTTAAAACTATACAGAATTTAAAATATTTTGGTGATACAATTTTAGGTTTTGTTTTTAGGTTGTTTTTTTTTTTATTTCAAATTTTTAATCTATGATTTACGACAGTGTTTTAAGTTAATTTATACGGGGGCTTTTTAGTTCACATTTTTTGGGGAAATTGGAATGAACAGTATTTCACTTGTAAATGTAGTGTCCTTGTGTTTATTGTAATCAGATCAAAGGAGTGGGACCTGGAATGAATATGGCTCCAGGACAAGGACGTCCAGATACACCATCTTCTGTGCCTGAATCACCGGGTAGGGGCACTAAACGTGGTATAAAAGTTCAAGGAGGACCGCAAAATCCTAGACGTAAAAAACAACCACAACCTCCCCCTATGTCACCTATGACACCTAATTCTCAAATGGGACCAGGTCCTCAAATGCATCCACAAATGCCGGTAAATAAGTTGTTTTAATAATTATATGCATATATTTGTTTTAAATTTCTTAATATATTCATCTGTTTGATATTCAAACCAAAACATAATATAAATAAATGTGTGTTTAAAAAAGAATCAACCTGGTCCACACATGGGATACAATACTGGTGCAGGTGGAGGAATGTTTCCTATGCAATCAGGTCCAGTTACTGGTCCCACCCCTGGACCCGGTCCATCTCAAAACCCTCAATGGAGTGGTTATGGACAACAAACACCGCAAAGTGGTACTAACTTCTATTCTCAACAAATGCCACCTACTGCTGTCCCAGGTCCTGTATCAAGATTTGACCGCCCAGTAAATAATACATCTAAACAAGCATTGAGTAATATGCTTCGTATGCGATTGCCTACTAATCAATCATACATGGGTCAAACAGGACAGCAACCAAATATGAATACTAATTTCCAACCTTTGCCAAGACAGCAATTTATACGGTAAATTATTTTATTTTTATTTTTAATATTTTTATTTCATTAAATAATTTATATTGTTAGAAGAGGACAACATAATGTACCAATTCAGCCTCCTCAACAAAATAATCCACAGATGTACCCGTCACAGCAACCAACACAAATGTATTCTAATATGCAACAAAGTAAATAAAAAATAATTAATTGTAAACTTTGTTTTTTTTTTACTATAATACTTTGTTTTTAGGTATGAATCAAAATTATGGAGGATATGTTGGCCAGCAACCTGGAATGAGACCTTATATGCAAGTATGTGTTTATATTTTTATTAATATATTTGTGTTCTTGGTATTTTTTGTGTAATACAGTATCTTCTAGTTCACATAATCACCTATCTCTAAAATGTTTTATTACAATTAAATTTTTTTGTGTACTAAGCGTTTAAGGGGATTGGAACCAATGAGTTTCTGTTTTTATGTTACACATGTGAAATATAGGGATTTAGACGTGTTTTATTTCTAGCATATCAATTGATCTAATGAAGGGATAAGAATTCTGAAAGCAGATTTGAATTTGCCATGAAGTCTACTTGAAATAAATTTTCCCACTTTTTCGATTTTAATTTTTTAAAAAATTAAAATATTTCATTTTTTCAATTACTTTTTTAGAATTCGAGGAGGTAAATTTAAACAGTGGGAAAGTTGATTTCAAGTATATTTCACGACATATTCAAATCTGTTTTCAGAATTCTTATTGCTTCACTAGATCAATCGGTATGTTGGAATTAAAACATGTCTAAATTCCTATATCTCATGTGTGTAAGACAAAGACAGAAACTCGTCGATTCCAATCCCCTTAACAAAGAATTTTAAACCCTAAATGCCAAACTTTTAAGTAATATTTTGATTCTTAAATTATTAATAATTAATTATAATCATGTTTTTACAAAATTAAAAATATTTTAATAGCATTAATTAAAGGTAATATTAACATAACAATAATTTCAAAATATATATTATGATATTATGTTATGTGGAACACTAATTTTTGTTTCTACAAACATTATGTTGATTTTAAGAACTAATACTGTTTTGTATCAATTATCAAAATAAATAGAATCAAAATGTGCCTATGAATCAGATGAGTGGTCCTCAGAATCCAGCACCTCCATATTCTCGGCCAGCTGGTCCAAATCAACAAGCCCAAAATAATCAATATCATCAGGTAAGTATTGGGGAAAAAAACGAAAAAAAAAATATAAACAAAAAATGGGTATTTAGAACTCATCATACTGTGCAGAATAGTAATACATTTTTTATACCATATAACATTTAATTTTAATTTTTTCCAAAAAATATTTTAAATAGGATACTTTTAAACATGATTCTGAATAAAATTTAGTATTTGAATTAAAACACTTAATTTTAATTTTTTTTTATTTATCAGTATTATTATCACAGTATGTTGAGCTATAGAACAGAAAATTTGTAAAATAATATGTAATGTATCTTTAATCATTTTTACCATTTCAAAGTTTTAACTTAAAAAAATAATGCACTCACAATCATCATAATTATTTAATTGTAATAATAAATCTATTAGTTTCATAGTTTTTCTCGGTTTCTAAAACTAAATTTTTTTTTGTTATTTAAATTACATAAAAAAAAGTGTCCACTAAGATATAGTTAAAAGTTATATGCAAGTATTAAATATTTCATTACTATGTTTGTAGCAGTTGAGCCAACAGCGTATTAGGCAGATAATGGCTATGCAACAACAACATCAACAGCAGCAGCAGCAACAACAACAGCATCACATGCAAAGGCAAATGCAAAATCCCCAGCAACCACAACAAGGCCATCCGTATGGTTTACAACCACCACCTTATTAAACTGTATGTGGAAGTCATGCAATTTTTTTATATGATCATTTTTTATTGTTTGTTTTAACTTATCTGATAACATATTTAGTGTAGTAATTTGAAATACTGTCATTATATTTAATTAAATATATATTATTTATTTATTTTCCAAAATGCATTGTAATTTTTTTTTATAAATAATGTATATAACATAAAAAAATTACACACAGGATACTAAAAATAGTTTTTAGGTTTGTTTAGTTTGTTTCTATACAAACCATTATTATTGACTTAAATTTTAAAATAGTTGTTGATCATTGCATTTTGAAAAACTTCTGTATGGATCTAGATGAGCCAAATAAATAGTACTTAGAATTTCTAACTCTAAGAAAACTGAATCATTTCATTCTGGTAATATTCTTTTTTAGGTGTATCTTCTTAAATTAATCATTAGTGTACTTCGCTCAGTAATATTAAAACTTCATTTCTGTTAATTTATTTTGGGAAGATAATAATTTTTTATTTGTTTTATTATCTATTAAAAATTAATATTGTTTAATTGATATATTTATTTCCCTATAAACAGTATAAACTATAATAAATATACAAAACACCCTATGTAAGGTACAGATTGTTTTTGAATAACTTTTAAAACCGTTTATTATGGGAACACCATTGATTAAATATCACATTAAATAGTAAATAGGCATATCATAATATAATGAGCGACTAATTAAGAAGAATCAGTATAGTATTCTGCTGACCAGAACAGAAACCTATTTAATGTGAACGCGTCTAAAATCGTAAAAAAATATGTGTATACTGTATACAAATAATTATGTGTACAAAACAAATCTTTTTTTTTTGATATATAGACTGTGCTTAGGATTTAAGTTTTAAGACTTTTTTTGCTATTCATTATGAACAGAATATTGATAATTGGTATACAATCTTCTGAAACTTTGATAACCTAAGACGTAAAATACGATTGTAGTTTTTCAGATGGTTGTTGGTCATTTATTATCACGACAAATTGATATATATACATAATATACATCACTAAACTGTAATTTTTTATCACAAATTTATTCTGCTTCCATCCCATATTGGCCAGTAAGTAATCTAAAAAAAATCTCTGGAAATTAATTCCACAAAACAACTATAGGTACTGTTAAAAATAATATTTAAAAAATTTACAAACACACTTCAATTTTATTTATATGTATAAATTATCATCTATTTTTTGTATAATCAAGGTCATCTGTATTGTGTCCTGTAAAACATTACCATTAATAATACAATATAACAAACAAACTGCATGTTATATATTGACTGATTAATACAATATTATATTTATTTTTAATTTTATGATTATTATTTTTGACAGCTGTGTTCTGTGTGTAACAATATACAGTCAAATCATTGACTGATTAATCTAATTTTTTTTTTACTTACAATAATTTTTGACAGTTAAGTTGCTTTGTTGATTTTTTTTCTGGGATTCTATTGGCCACATGCGTTAGATACTTTCGGTATTTTGTTATCAAATTAATTTTAATGAAAAATAAATAATATAATCATTGATATAATAATTATTTGTTTTGTTTAGGACCTTTTAGACCACACATCCAAACTGTCTGATATACCCGAGGTAATTGTTATACGTAATAAATGGTAATTTTGATAAGTGTAAATACTGAGTATCTAGTGCTAGTTGATAGTTGACATTATCATAATATTAGGTAGTAAGTTCGTAGATATACAGTGATCCGATCTTTAATTATCTATATTAGTCTTCGTAGGTGTTTATTTGATAATAATATATAAATTACCTACCGATGAATAATTTTAATTATAAAAACAGTGTGTTTAAATTATTATTATGTATAATTGTTTTAAAATTTTTATAAAAATACATTAAACGTAATTTTATTGTAATCATCCGCACAGTAAGTAATATTTTATATAGTGATTTATACCTATTTTAAATAAGTATAACCATTGAACATAATATAGATAAATAGATAATATAGATATACCTTATTGATTACGAATTCTAGTTGGTGGCTAAGTGATAGATAATTATTTAAAATCAATGGCATTGCTTATGATTTAGGTAGTTTGATATTACAATATTATGTCGTATAAATAAAATCGAATATGCATTAATATCAAATTATACGTACCTACTACCATTGATTAAATAATATTCATGCATCTTTATTCGTTAATCGTGTTACCTACCAATAATACTATTTATAAGAATTTGATTTTGTTTACAAGCGGTTTAATAAACATTCCCTATTTCATTTAGTTGATCAAATTATTACCTATAGTTGCTATTCGTTATTCTCTGTGAGTTATATGTGTATTGGATATTATGTTTTATTAATACGTACTATTAAGCAATTAGAACCGAACGATTGATTAGAAAAAATGTGGTACAGACAAATGAACTGTTTGGTTTACAAACGTGAGGAGTGTAAGTGTACCTGACACCTGTAACTACCAAGTAATGTAAACTAAATTATGATGACGCAGTTTTACTGAAACACTGCATTATTTACTAAATTTACATAAGATGAATTGTATGTTGTTTTTGTAGCAAAATATGAAGGTAGGTAATATTAGGAAATAGGAATTACGGTAATGACAAAGTTACAAAAATGCAAAATATATTTTATCGGAGTATTTTTTTTGTATTATCAACCATGGTAACCAGATACAACCGTGATTGTAGAACCACGATTTTATCAGTTCTATGTTTCAGTTTATTCTAAGTTTGATTTCAAATATGAGTAAAGACCTTATACTTAGGGCTAGGTAAGTATAAATTCTATGAATATTTTGCGGATTTAAAATTTAGCTCCTTTTTAGTTACTGAGGGGAACGAGGAATGTATTAATTTTATTGTGATGCGTGTTGTTTATTAAATTTTTGATTCACCCTTAACAACTTTTTTACTAGAAATCTTGTTTCAATTAATAAATGACAAGGTAGCCTTATTGTAGCATCTTGGATTTAGTTGGTGCATCGGAGTTTGTGGTCTTTATTTTTATGAGTAGCAGTTTTTATAATAATTGGGGAAACCGAAAAAATAATGTATTCCAATAACGGACAAATTTATGACAGAAAAAGTCTCATTATTATTACTATTTTGTTTTTTTTTTTTTTGTAGTAATTATTTGGTTAAAAATAATCGTGGAGATCTAAAATTTGTAAAGAATACTATAATAGTATTGGCTTTTATTAGACAAGGTAATATTTTTAAAATGATCTAACGATATTTGAGATATTTTAAAGCATTTGACATTTTCAAGTTTTTAGATTCTGAGTGGAGCGAAGAAGTAATAATTTTACAAATATGTTTATTAATTTTGTTTTATCTGTGCGCAACTTTTTTACCAGAAGACTTGCTCAGATTTTTAAGTGTAGCGTATTTTTCTGAAATGAAATCGGTGAGAGAAGGTAATTTTTCGATTTTCTCAAGAGTTTTCTCATAAAATTTAAAAAACTGAAATAAAACAGAAAAATGTAGGATAATATTACGATTTTTTTTCCTGTTTACAACTTTTCTACCAGCACTTTTGCTCCAACTTTTAATTATAGCAATGTTTCTAAAAAGAAATTTCACTACCGAGGTGCATTAGAGACCAAACCAGTACATTGCCGCTGTACGATCCTCTGAACACTGCTTATGTGGTTAGGACACATGTTTTATTGTTGGAAAATTGGTAAGATTGGGTATATATGCCTAGGGTATTTTTATTAAAAAGTGTACATAACGGTAAATCATTGCTAACATAAAATGACTCTGAGCGAATTTTGGATAACATATACATATCATTACTAAATATAATTTTTGTAATTGCCACTTGACTATATTTATATAATAGGTTTATAGTGTTTATGCCTAGCATAATAGTAATAATATTAAATTTTAACAACAACCGAAGCCTTACATTTTAAAAGTTCATAATAATATTATGTAGGTCAATTATAGCTCTCATTTTTTAAAATCTTAAATCGTTAGGTATAATAGTAAGTATACAGGGACACAGGTCCTACAATGCAGTGACAAATTTAACTTTTAACTTAGATCAATAGTTTCTGAGTAATAGCCGTTTTAATTTCTAAAAAGTTGGTGTGAAAATAATTAATTTTCAATAGAATAACACGTTACTCGATAAGGAATCACAATTAGCACGGTAAGTCATTATCTTTTATTGAACATTATTTTCACGACAATTTTCTAGAAATTAAAACGGCTTTTACTCAGAAACTGTTGATCGGATATGAATGTATGGTATATTAACATTTTTAGAATAATATTTTTTACAAAATTGCTGTTTTTAAAATGTTGAAAATTGAAAAAATAAATAAGTACCTACCACGTTTTCTAGCACAAATATGGCTCCAATTGAAAAACGACAAGAGACCTTTTTTTATTGAATTATTAATCTTGTTTTCACTGATGCAGGTCGTTTTTGATTTTCGAATTAGTTTTCATAATAATCGGGAAAATATGTAGTGAGGTTAGGTTAAAAAAAATTACGGCACTTCAATTTATACATTGCCGAACTGCGCTCGGAATCGTCTTTCGTCAAGCAATGATTTATCGTTGCTTACAGTTATAAATGAAATAACCTTATGTTTTCTACCTCCTCAACTTCTCATCTACAACAGTGGCTGCTCTTATCCCCAGTATTAGCTCTTTTTGTTTTTTTAAAAGAAAATTTTACAGAATATTTTCATTTGCATATTTTAACATAAAAGAAAATATAATACAGTTCATTGATTACAAAATATGACAAACATATCGAATTTATAATATTCAAGTCAATAATAATTTATTACATTTTTATTGAGTTTATACATTTTTAAAGTCTGTATACTATCGCTATGTGCTTGTAAAATATTAAAATAAACTTATATTTTATAGAATATTCACAACAAGTACTCATCAAGATCTGTACCTCATCGTCCACGAAGAATATTGAAGGCGTGATGTTTACTGCACTGCTATATTATATACATCACTCTAATAAATTATCGGTAATATTTTTTAATAATTATTATTATCACTCTGTGGTTTATGTTGCCAGTACTCGGGAAATGAAAATAGTGGAAATCCGTGGAAAACTGATGACTATTTTATGACTATAAAGTATATATGCATTTTATATAGGGTATTACTAGTTAGGTATAATATGATGCCGCAGTATAGTTGCGCCAGAATTTCTTATCCAAGCGAGCCAACCTGGGCCATTGATTTTTTAGAGTGGACAAAATTACATATAATTACCTTAATATCCGAGTGAGATTTTTACTAATATACTCTAACAGGAAAATAAAAAAACTAACTTAATTTTCTACAGTTACATTGTCACTATTAAAAATAATAACAATCGATTTACCAATTTTTCGATGAAAAATAACTTTTGTTTAAACTTCAAATAATTGTATACATTTATAACGATTCATCATTATTCAATATTTGTGTTTAAAATATATTTATAAAATTAATATATTGGTTTTGTAAAATAAATGTTTTAAAAATTTTAGCACCTTGGCTCGGCCGTTGTTTCGTTAAAACGTGAGTTCACTTCACTAATAATGTGAACAATTATAGACGCACGCCGCTTTTAAGATTTTGTATGTTATTGTTTTAATATTATTATCGAAAGGATGTCCCGAAATAATGTACGCAGTTTTTGAAAACTGAATTACTCAGTAATATTTAATGAAAATGCATATATTTGTATGTTCTTATTTAAAAATTTATTTTCTGCCAATCAATGATTGATGTTAAAAAATGCTTTTAAAACAAAAACAAAAAATACATTGTTATACAAAAACGTGTAAAATAATACCATGCTAAATCGTTCGTTATAAATTATTTAATATGACAACGTTATATTAAAAAAAACAAGCGAACGTTCTTATTGGTATTATTGAAAATGTCGTTCTTAATCTTATTTTATCACTCGAAAATGTTCTGTAGATATGATGTGCACTAAAATACACACATATTACTTTGGAATACTGTAATATATAATATAAATTTATATTTACTGGTTATCTGACGCATCTAAAAAATGTTGAACTGCTTCCCATTTATTTAGTACCCAATACAATTAAATCAAAGTTAAATTAACAATTATTTTTATTTTTCCACAAGTTAATTTCTTCCAATTAATTATAAATATTCTAGGATAACCAATTTAAAGTCATAAGAGATCATTAATATAGCGAGTAGATAGGCAATGGTCTACCCCACACAAGATTATATTTGCGAGTCCCATTTGAAATATTTTTTCTTTTCAAAACTTTTAAAGGTATTTATTTATATTATTTTTATAGATAGGGTTGCCATTCGTCCCAGTTTTACCGGGACAATCACGGGTTTAAGGGCATGCCCCGGCCGGTGACCCAGCGATTCATTCAGTTTGTCCCGGTTAATAAAGGTTGAGAGTATGAATCGCTTGGTCGGATTAATGAAAGTACATTATCCTGATGTAGAGGCCTGATGGTAGGTAAAATTAATTTTGGTTTAACTTGTAACAAATTTTACGAAAAAAATTAAGAATGATACAATTCTATTGAAAAAAATGCATTCAAGTGAACCGTAATATAATCAATAGACAATAGATAATAACAGTTTAACAGTTAATAAAATATTATCAATAAATAGTAATGTGATTTTGTATTAATAAACATTCAAATAAAAAAGGGGATATTTATATTTAATTGAAATATTTCCATGACCGTTACATTAAAAAAAAAAAAATAATAATAACAATGAGCAATCAATATCATGTCCCGGTTTGGTTAGGATAATTTGTCGACCCTCTATGTATTATAGGTAAAATAAGAATAAATACACAGGCGTCCCTGAGGGGGAGAGCATATAAGACTGGGTAATTTCCCGCGGTCTGGGTTTTTAATTCCTATGTACTAAATGAATTACAGTGCTGAAAATGTATTAAAAAAAAAAAAAAAAAACTGAAAACAACACACAAGGTAAACTTCCGCGGACGTCCATAAATAAACGATAAAGCAAGGGCGGCCGTACGGTAGATCCCGAACGATTTCAATGTCGATTTACCTTTGTTAGAATTTGTTTTTAAAGAATTAGTATAGATAAATCACAAGTACCGATAATTATCGTGTCTTGTTAGATAATTTCGTTATCACTTTATCAAATAATACAGCTCAACAGTTTTTTATGCTATCAATTGTATTTCTGTAGGTATATTTATAATATTAGATTGGAGTTTTGATAGTTGGAGTTTGGAAGTGTGATGAAAAATGAAAAATGAAAAAAAAAAAAATAATTTTCAAATAAATACTCGTATGTATACTTTAGTTTTATAGTTTATGCGTGATTTATGTTTATTATTAGTACCTATTAGGTTTTTTTTTTATGGAATTCGATCGTCAAAGGAAAAATATATTCTTATTGGATTTCCAGTAAAAAAAAAAATTACCTGCAATATTTGGGTCGTTTTATTAGTTACGCGCAACGCTAAATAGTGTATAGACTTTTAAACCGATTATTTCGATTTGTCTCGACATTATTGCAATGCATTGCACCTCGTACATATATTTACATTGAAAAATATGTTACATTTTTTTATGATTTTGAGTTGGTGTTTTTTGACAGCATTTGAAACCAATCAACTATAATATTTATTACTGTAGGAGTTTAGAACGAGACCATCGTTCATGCGTATAATTCGTAATGACGTCCCTGCAGTGTCGTGTATTTTGGTCGTAGCACGACATGAATAACATTATTATATAATAGGGACTATTCGACCGAAAATGGACGCCGAGAGAATAAACTGTTTCTCTTTTATTCATTTATTTTTCGAAAATCGTTATCCAATACAAAGCCGTTTCGCCAAACTTTTTAATTTTATAATTTTACAGACGACTGTATCGACCACGTTGTCGACATTATTGTTGTACATATATTAGATTCTGATAGTGTATATCGAAGAAGCTATTAGTTTTATAAAGATGTGTGTTTTCTCTTCTTTGGTTCGCGTAGAAAAACCCCTTTTTTTGGCTAATAAAATGCTGCGACTTGCTAACGCAGTTTATTTTAATGGATAATTTCTGATGGGGAGGAAAAAAATACCACTAATAATACTCCGCTCAGAAGAACCAGGGCGCGAGATAATTCGTAAATCCCTCGGGTGACCTGAATATTATGGGTTAGGTATTCGTTTCACTATTTTTGCGCGAGTATTAAACACAAAATATATCGGGTATGTATAGGTTCGGGTGTTGTAGATATTTTGTTATTATTAGGTAGAAGACAGTGATAAAAGTAAAACTACATTTAACTTAAATACATTGCATTTATTAGGTTTTTATTTTAAAAGATAGGTGGTAAATAATTTTCGTTTTATCCGTATAAGAAAAAAAAAGAAATTAATTTTCTTTACTACAATACATAGATACGATGTATAAAACTTGTGAATACATTAAATTGAAAAATTAATAATCTGTACACAAAAATTACGTAGAATGTTTTTTTTTTTTTGTCAACCTCGACCCTCATACATATTAAAATTAACTTTACAATTAGAACCGTACAATAAATAAAAGTTTGATATCAAAGAAACTTGTTCAAATTAATGAAACAAATACAGTGTCCCACAAAGATATACTTATTGCAATATCTCCTGAGATAATAAAGATATCCTGTATTTTTTTTATATAGCTCGCAGGGATGGACTAAAAATATTTGTATTTGAATTAAATTTTTATGTTTTGATAAAAAAAATTACTTTCTATTTTATTATTTTCGAAATATTTGAAGATATCCATTTTGACGTTTCAACTTTTCATTAAATTCGTGATTTTGAATATTTTTTTAAAGTTCAAAGAAAAGTATCTATAATTATGCAGCAGGTTGAAATCGAATTCGCTAATTAATTATTATTATTATAGCTAATTGATTGTACACTTTTTTTCCTCAGAGCTTTAAACAATTACTAAAAATCACGAATTTAATGAAAATAAAAAGTTGATCCGTCAAAATGTTCAGAAAAACTCTGAAAAACTCAGAAACTCCCAGAAAAACTTTATAAAATGGCTATTTATCATCAAATTTTTCGAAAATAATAAAATAAAAAGTTATATTTTTACGAAAACGTAAAAAATTAATCGAAATATAAATATATGTAGTCCTTATTCTTGTGGGTAATACAAAAAAATATGTGGGGAAAAATCGATTTTAAACGATTTCATCTGCAGGATACAAATAGTTTTCATCTATATAGTATATGAGTCTCGACGCTGTACCGTATATATAAGTTCACGTCCCGCATTGTGAAAGTCGTAAGTTTTTTTTTTTATTTTTGTCACGGGTTTAGTGAAAACTTTTGAATGTCGCGTAAACGTTTTAGCAGTCGTTCTCCCTCCGCGACCCCTCAAAACGTCGCGGATGTATCGTATTTATAACTCGGTCAAAGAGGATTTTCGTTCTGAGGGGGAACTGTAGTGCGACGATGCACTGGGGGGACATTAATGCATTGTATATACGCATATATAGCGGGGGCGTGCAATTTTGATCGACGGTGGCGACGGCAGCGGCGTTTACGAGCCAAACCGCGATAATAACGGACGGCCAGTATAGTGCGACAGCGTCACGGCGTGGCGATGACGGCGTTTACGAGCATACCTACACGCGTCTGTCGTTATCGCCGCGGTTATTGAATAGCGCAAACCCGCGGTCGCCGCGGACGCTGTGCAGTATACAACCGCCGGCGCCGGTTTCCGTTAATTTGGGGCATCAAGATCCGGGTGGGAGGGGGCAGGAGGGAGCGTCAAACGCGGATTAAAAAACAAATATAAACTCATAATCGGGCGCGCGTTTATAGGTACACGCATGCACTATACACTTACTCTCGTATAAAACGTAGCGCACGAAGTGTACACAGTAGTGCTGCACCTAGTTGTGTACACGCGGGGTAGATATGTGCATTGTGCCGCCGCCGATCCTGTGTCGCGGGACGGCAGGCGAATTATTATAGTAATCAATAATCATGCGCACCCCATTCACGGAGCGAGGGACGCGACAATGGCGCGGGCGGGTGGGTGGGTGGGTTGGAGCGCGTGCGCGGCGGGCCCGACGGCCTTATCACGACCGCATCCCGTCGTAGAGCGTTTCGCGCCATCCGTGTACCCGTCGTCGCGTCAGTAATCCGCCGTCCCTGGTCCCGAACGTCTGCACCGTGTAACGTAACGCGCGCTCCGCGTGATCGCATCCGCAGAAGGCCCTCGACGGACGCGATACGTATACGGCGTTGGCCGTCCCGAACCGACGACCGAGGCGGCAGATGACCGGCCGAGACCACTGTAACGATTCCCGAGCGACTCGCCGAGCGCTATAATATCTATTTTATAGGTAGGTATTTACTTATAGCCGAGATTTTCTAATGCGGGTGGGGGGGGGCATTCGATTTCGTTATTATAAACTTACCCGCGTGTGTATCGGTGTTTGAACCCATTGTGAACTAATTTTCGTCAACAACTATAAAAAAAATATCGTCGTTATTGACGAACTAAGTTTGAAGAAGAACATAAAATCCGTGTGTTATAATGTGTATTCACGTGTATACGTATTTAAATACAATGATATTATCATGTATAGTGATCGGCTTATCACGAACCACTGATTTCCTCGAATGATTTTTGTTTTTTAAAAATAATTATAGAATCATTTAAACTTTATTTTAAAAATATATTTTTAATTTGTTACCCTCACTCCTTTTAATTTAAATGAGTACCTTTGGTTTTTTAAATAGCAAACCATCCCCCCCTTCTTAAACACAGATTCTAATGTAGAATATTTTTCTACATGTTTTGGTAGACATAATCAACACTCAACGGGCATTTATTATATTACATTTAAATTTGAAATTATGTTTATGTGTTTCGAATAATTATTAACTAATCATAATTATAGATACTATTATTATAGTATAGGTACTGTAAGTAGATATCTACATGAATTGTCAAGTTTTAAAATAAAATAGAATACCTAATAAAAAGAATTAAAGGAGAATAAATAATTTATCAATTATTGGTGAATGTCCTATAGACTGCAGCCCGTTGTTCTCTTATATTTCTATTCAATACACATTTATTTTAATTTCGAAGTAATTCAATTTATCTGATAGGTTTACTGGTATTCGGTGCTACAGTAGTATTGTTTGTTTCCATCTATACTTACCACGGAGTAATAATTGGTTTAAATTGAAAACATTATGTTCCTTTTGAAAATTATTGTGCCACTCGGGATTTTAATGTGTACATAAACTTCTTGAAAGACTATTTGTGGACTCCAAGGTTTTACCCGAATCCCATTTGAAAAACACATTTAGGTTTGTACACGGTTTGTACGACGGTGGGAAATCTAACAGATAATAATATTATTAACATTGTGTTTAGCTTTTTTTTCCCTTTTTGTTTTAAAACTATAATATATTTGTTTTATTCTAAGAGTTCCATGACATTTAAAGTTTTGAATATTATCAAGAATTGTAGTGTTTCTCGGAATACATAGTTCTTAAAAGAAGACAATATTCTCCTGGGATTACCACCTACGAAAAAATAAATGGAAAAAGTGCACAAAACACATTGTGTAAAAAAGTGGATCGTGGATATTTTATTCATTCGCGTGATTCGCGTAATCTATGCAGATTTGTAAAACTGTCTTTTTTTCAAAAATAATTTGGAATAAAAAATAATAATATTATATAGCTCAACGTGTTTCGGTATAAATTTATTAAAAAAAAATGTATATGGTTTTACAAATACATTATAATACATTATAGGGTGTTTTATTTCCTACTAAAAATGTAAAATATACTAATAACAAACAATAAGAAATAAAGAAAAATCAATAGTAAATTTATTTTATGAAATTCGATGATCTCTGCGACAGCATTTGTTTGTATTTTATTTTTTGTCATTCGAATTGATTAAAACTGAATAATTAATCTGTATAAATCACTTTATAAAAGTAAAAATTATAATTGTTTACTGATACATGATGCATATTTAATAATTTAATTAAGAAAAAAACAAATGCAGCGTAAATAAAAATGTAGGTAATACAATTCTGTATAAAATATTAAAATAAAAGATATATTTTTTTTTTTTATAGGAAAATTGTTAACGAACTATACGTTAATATACAAATTTAATGGAGCAATTCAAACTTATTCTCGTGTCTACGTAGATTTTTCGCAGTTATTTTCAGTAAAAAAATTTGTTAATATAGTGAACAAATCTTTCATCGGTAAAATTTTCATTTTCGTATGAGTTTTTTTTATTTAAATGTACGATCGGTGGTTGTTTTTACTATCGCTTCTTTCAATTTGAGAATTTGAGAACACTCAAAGTTTACGAGTATATACTCTTATTTTGTCTTTTATTAAGGTTTTTTTTTTTTTTGTTTATCTACCGTGAATTGAAAGGTGTATAATAGAATAGAAGACGAATAGAAACAAATGTAATTAAGATTTTCGTACTTTAAAAAAACTCAAATAAAATCGTTAGAAACATGAAATGTTAGATTATTTGTATTGTTTCGATTTGATCAACAATATACGACGAATATCGATTTACCTAAACTTCTAAGGTTCTAAAAAGTTAATTCTACAGTAGTGTTTCATAATGAATTGATTTTCGCAATAGCCTAAGTGTTAATTGTTTGTAAAGCAAAACTGTATACGTCTGTATAAATATTTGTCGTGACCATTCTTAGTTGTGTATAGTAATAATTACTCATATTTATGATGGTAGCAGTATTTAAGCACTTAAAATTTCCTCGGACGTTACACGGATTTAAACAAATAGGAAGACAAATAACAATAAACATCATAATGTAGGGTCGCGGACACTTAAATGGTATCTTTAAAATAATCAAAGTTGATGGCCCCGGGAGTATTGTTTCGTATTATCTAAGGACTGAGGGTGGCTACTAAAGCGAATACGAATGAATAGAAAACAAAGATCGACTTCATCCATGGGTCATTTTCTTTACTTTTCCACCATTCCAGTGTCCTACGAAATAAGCCGGTTCTGTTATTTGCAATCCCAAAAGAGCCGTTAATCTTCACCAGAGACGACAATGCGTATGGTAAAAACGATCGTGTTGTGTGTCTATACTGAAAAAAACGCAGTTTACGTGACTTGTGTTCAGAGTTTTCAGCAGTAATATGCGGTGTCAATGGGTTCTGTTCATATGGACAACTGCGGGGTATAGTGTTTTTTCGCATCATCATGATAGCTAATTTCGGTGAAAGCTCTTGTGTGTTGAAACTTATATTATGGCTGATCGTGCAGTGTTGAAACACTAGTGTCTACCGGCCGAGGTTTATTGCAATTTATGTGCTGTTTGTCGGTAAAGATCCCTCGTTTTGGAACTTTGAATTATTGAAGAATCGCCCACCTACCCTATACATACTAAAAACGACCCTCCTCGGTTGGCAACTGCTGTGCGCGGTTACGATTTTATCCCCCGCCGTTCTAAACTCGAGAATATATATGAGTTTGTCGTTTGAAAAGAAAATATAAAAATACATCTGGACGAGGAGAAAAAGGGAAAAAACTCCTTACACGCGCACGCACACATCGTTCCGAGGGGAATCATTCTGTCCATCATCGTTGCCTGAAGAACGTCCCTCGGGGAATTCGTGTTTCCCTGTCCCTAAAAAGATGTTATACACAAGGTGTACAGTATACTCGTATACTGTACCAGACACCGGCTTTACGATTTTGTGATCCGATAAAAGATTAATAAGAATAGTGTTGCAATAGTCTTTAAAATTAAACGAGCGATCAACAAATAGAAACCGTTAAATATGCATTTATATTTATAAAACCATATCTTTCTACTCGTGAATGATGAATTGTAAATTTAAAATTAAATTCTTAAAATAGAATTTATTTTATAATTTAAACTTTTCTTTTTTACGTTTTCAAATTTTTCCTAATCGTAGATAGGTACCTAATTTTTTTTTTAAATACTGTATATTTCAAATATTAAAATTTGATCATTACTGTATGGTGCAATGCAAGTTTTAAATTATTTTAATGGGCCTTAAATTTAAAAAAAAACGTATAGCGTTTAATAGAAAAAAAAATGGTTTGCAAGTTTTATTAGTAGGTAATCAAATAATAACATTGTATACCTAGTATACATTTTCACTAATTGTAGACTCATAATTTGATAATAGATAATAGATAGACTTAAATACTGAATAAAAGCCACAAAATTATCAATAAGTAAGTACAATAAACATTGAAGTATATTTTAACTTTGGTATTTGTATGAGGTATCTATTAAAAAAAAAAATAAATATATACTTTTTAATTTTTATTACATTTCATTTGTAAACATATTGATGACACGAGAACAGGTTAACTGCACTTATTATATGGGTGTATACTTATTATAAAAGTATTATATGCGTGTCATTACATAACGATTTTTGTTGTTTATGTATATCTAATAAAACCTATTCGTAGATTATCTTCAGTATTACAATTTACTAAAAAGTTATTATTTGGAAATAAATTAATGTTAATTGTTAATAATATAAATTAGTTTGTATACCGATCTGATTTCCATAATACAAACCTCGGTGCAGGGAGAGATTTTTCTCTAGTCCATTTGTTTTGTATCTGTATACTCTTAGTATTTTCGACATTTATTATCCAACAAAATGTATTTAAATTGATTAAAAAACATAGTTTTTAAAAAACAGCGAGTTGGAATGGTTATTGATTATATTCTCAATCACGTAGTTTGATTTATTAATTGGTGATTTATAGGTATTTATTTTAATATTTAAAATGTAATCTAAAGGTTCAGTTTTTCTATAGTGTCCCATGTATACTTATACCTATCTAAATGAATGTGTAATAGAATACTAAATGTGACGTTTGGATAGTTGTTAAAATTATTTATTGTGTAATAATACAGACTCAGTGTAGTTGTTATGTGGCTAATTAACACTTTACTATACGTCTTATATTACTTATTAACTGCAACAGTATTAATTAGTATAGTTATAATGTTTCACTTTATTAATGAATGCCTTTTTCGTAACAGGTAGAAATAATTTTTAATAAGTATATTTTGTGGTAAAGGGGTTAAATTATAATTATGTAGGTTGCAACTGTACCTTATAGTTAATCGCATGTCTTACATCTATACCGATGTTTTCACCTTATAATATCTCAATATCACATGTATGCTATTATTTAAAAACAAAAGACAAATCAAGTTGTGTCTTACAATATAATACCATAGATTAGTTATTATAAATTGTAATATTTGTTTGAATATAGATTTACGTATTTTAATTGATTAATGTCTATGCTTAAACGTTTGTTTTTTAAAAATATTTTTCAGTAATATGTGGACTCCGATAACGTTTACAAGTGAAAACAGCGTTCCACCTTCAAGATCCAAGCATAGCGCCGCTGTTCACGGTAACCACATTTACGTGGTCGGGGGTCGAAATGGAAATTGGCCCCTGAAAGACATATGGAGATACGCACTGTGTAAGTATGACACGTAGTCTGAATACAAATCGCCTCTAATTCCATTTTGACGCAACGTACAACAATCGAATTACAATTGCTCCCGTGATAAATTGCATGTTGGAATAAAGGGGGGTTTTGTATGTACATTATCTGTTCCACTTTTAATTAAAAAAAGAACCTTTATTCGTATTAAGAGAATTTATTAAAAAAAAAAAATGTTTTTATAAAATTACTTGATAAATATATATATATATATATATATATATATATATATATATAAAGGTTTTTTTATTGAATCAAAATATATTATTTTAACGATTCAAACTATAAAATTAAAAGCTTAATAAACATCTCGTTGTTGACGGTTTTAGGATGTTGTGGTTTTGTGTGCTATAAAATAGTATTACACTTTTACTCAAGTTATATATAAAATTTAATACGTTTACATTAATACATTATAGTTTATACGATATGTATACAGTACGTGAGTACTTATAATAATTATAATTACAATTACTTATATAATTATATTTTCTTTTAAAAATTGCATAGCCTTTGGAAAAAAAAAACCGTATTTTGTAAAAAAATTGACACAACTTTTAATAAACAAAAATAATTATCATTGTTAGTAAAAAGTTTAATGTTTTAAAATACATGGACAACTATTTGGATTAAAATCCAGAGCTACGAGTAATTTAAATGTAGATAAACACAATTTGAAATCATTTGATACAAATACTGAAAAATATTGTAATTCGAATACAGGTACATATATATTTGATACGGATTATGAGAATTATCATTTTAACAATATTATTTAAAATAATCAATATTGATTCTGCCATGCAAAATATAACATAGCTCTTAGAGTTAATAGATTACGATTTATGTGCCTTTGCATAATATTTGTATTATACCTTATATATTATATTATATTATATATATCACTATACTCCCTTTCCATTCTATGAATTCCCAGCAAATAACACATGGGAACAGTTGCACCCGACAGGAGATACATTGCAGAATTTGCAAGAACACACGGCAGTCGTTTATCAAGACAAATTGTACGTTTTCGGCGGAGAAGTGGGATTTTCATCTGCGTCTGAGTCTCCGCTGTGGTCGTACAGTATAAAGGTAGGTAATACATAATATTATAATTTACGAATGAAAACACCAATATAACATCTTCGAGTAGTGCCTATATAATATTTGAATACAGTCTTATAGTAGGTTGGATCATGTAAAGGGATATCGTGTGTAATGTGTATAGTGCATACAATTATTGTTGATTTACGGTTTTATTGTAGAGGTAATAATGTTGTTGGGTGCGCCACTGCCAACGAAAAAACGATTCTGAGCGGAGTTCGGTTGATAGTGTTGCTTTGTCAACAATATTATGGTAAAATAATTACATATGCATTATATATTTTCTTTAATAATATTTGTTTAATATTGTACCTATATTTTCCCGGTTTTTTCCATTTATTGAGAAAACTTCTGGGAAACAAAAAATTAATAATAAAACGAGAAATAAAATAACGATTATAATTTACTAACTAATTCTAAAATGCGTTATAAAAAGTTCCTTGTCATTTTTTGATTGGAACAAGATTTCTGGTAATAAGGTAAAAAAAAAAACAAATTTAAAAGTAGTAAAATCAATAGATCCCTTGCTACGCTCAAAATTTAACAAATACGTATAAAACTAATGTTTAATATTGAATACAAATGGTATAATTGTTACCTGTACATAAAAATGTGATCCATTTTCTTACTGAAGGTTGAATAGGTTTGACTTAGTGATGCTAGCGAATTGTCGTTACTTGCATTGACGTTGATAAATTGCATGTTGTTTAGTGTGAACACATTTTAGAATGTTGTTTATTTCGGAATAAAAAAATCATTAGTTATATTATATTTATAAACCATACCGAGTAAATAAATGACTTGAATAAAGAAACGAAATGCGCTGTTAAAAATGTAAAGTTTGTTTTGGGTTTCTTTAAAAATTTGGCCATAAAATTAAAGTTGAATAGCCAACAGATATTTTGAAATTTGAAATTATACATTATGGTATATTAGATATAGATGAAATCATACTTTGACAAAATAATATAATATTTAAATTTAAGTAAAATGATAGAAATTTTTAGTAATTGATAAACTGAAATGTCAATATTTATATTGAAAAATGAAATTAAAATTTTCTTGTTAAAAGTCTAAGGTTTGTGTTAATTGGATATTAAATAGGTATATGGCCCTTTTACCCCAAAAAACGCAAGTAGTATTATACTAATATCGAATTTTTATTTATTAAATATATTATTACAACTGTAAACATTTTTTAAACATAAATATTTTAGGCGTTATTTAATTATAACAAAAATGGTTAATTAGTTACATTGGAAACAATAATTAAATATTTAATAAATATTAAACTTCGTTAAATCTTGGTCTTGGCATAAACTTTTGCGGGGGGCCTTGGAATTCACCTTCTCTTTGTCTAAACATCGGTGGCCTTTGGAATTTAGGGCCCCGGGGAAATTCCATTTCAGGAATCTGAGGTGTAGATAGTACGTCTTGTACATCGGGTACCTTGTCACTTTTGAGTTGTAATTGTTTATATAATTCAGATTCCATTTTTTTTGCCTCCTCGTCATTAATATCTAACATGCCTATTTCATTCACAATCTTCTGTTGGTAATCAGATTTTAATTTTATCAAATGAATCATTCCCTGTTTCATAGATTCGTTATTTTCTACATAACTGACTATATTTTGAACCAGTTTGTCTGTAACAGTTTCGGTATTGTTGCTCTCGTTTATAATTTTTATATCTTCTTCGATATCTGACAAATCTGCCACTGACTTAGTTAAGCTCGTCATCATATCACCTAATGCGTTGGTGAGTTCATTTTCAAGTGCATCAGTAGTACTCGAGGAAGTATTGATGGTGGATTCGACTGTACTGTCGACAGAGTCGATTGCACCATCGATTGAACTATCGATAGAGCTACCTATGACATTAGTGTATTCAGTAACAGTACTATTGACAGAGTCGATTGCATTATTGATAGAGCTATCTATGGTATTGGCGGCTTCAGTAGCATTACTGACGATAGAATCGACTATACCATCGGCGGAGTCGATTATGCTATCGGAGTTCTCTGTTGTTTCGGCGGTGGTGTCGACTGTAATACCGTCGGAGTCTTCTGTGATATCGGAGGCGTTCTCTGTTGTTTCGGCGGTGGTATCGACTGTAATACCGTCAGAGTCTTCTGTGATATCGGAGGCGTTCTCTGTTGTTTCGGTGATGTCGACTGTAGAATCTGTATTATCATCGGAGGTGTTATCTGTTATTTCACTGGTAGTGTTAACTGTAATACCGGTGTCCACTATACTATCAGCGGTTGCGACGTCATCTGTAATTGTGACGGAGTCGGTAGTGCTGTTCCCTGCAGAGTTTATTGTATCACCATCGATAGTGACAGCCAATGTATCTTCAGCACTGACGGCGACGAAGACTAACGCTAGTAGTGCAACAGTAAATGATATTAATAAACGGTTCATGATGATGAATTTTCGGTTAAAAATTGCAGTTATAGTAGAACACTAGAGAACGATTACAGAACGAATGTTATTGGTAATGAAAAGTTAAGAAGTATTTATACGCACGCAGTAAAAGTTGACACAGATGGTCACCGGTCTATTGGTTGATGGTGGTCAAACACAAATACATTCGAATTAATTTAATGACTTTTTGAATGTACTTAACAATTTTTAAAGAGCAACAATTTTTCGTCTAATGGGTTGAATCTTGTTTACTTAGCTGCAAATTTATTACACGTTTTTAATTGGCGTCCTAAATATTTTAATTACTCTTAGGTAGTGACATATTATTTTTACTTTTTGCGAAATTCGCCATTACGGCGAATTTTCAGTACCTAACGCCTTATTTAATTATGATGTTTAATATCATTATTTTCGAGTTAAATTTAATGTTTTCATTGCTCAACAGTATATTATTAAGATTAAATTATAGTGTACAATTTTAATATAAATAGGACTAAAACGTGAACACATGCTATATGCTTTAAAATATAATAAATAAAATGTCATATTTAAAATATAAAATATGCCGCCAATTTAATTAACAAGCATTAGTGTCAAGACCTTTCAACAGAAAATATCATCTAATCAAATATTAATATTACAATATTATAATATTTTGGACATTTTCGAAAGTTTATGGTGTACTTTAGTACATAAAGTACGATAAATGCAGTAAAACACATCACTCTTGTTGTAATATATGGTTATGCAAATATTCTAAACAAATCATTTTGTCATATTAAACTATAGCGTGTTAATAAAGGGTACATCTTCGTATAACAATAGTATAATGAAGGGAACCGTACTTGGGATAATAATTTAATTATTATGCTCCAAAACAATATATTATGACGATGACTTAGGAGGTCGATTTATATTAAATACCTATTATCACAGCGATTCTCAACCTGCAATGCTACGCAGAAAGTTTTGTAGGTTGTACGCGAAGAAATTTTTGTTAAGTGAAAAAAAAAGTTATTAGTTACAATGTAGTTCATAAATAATAATACAAACAATGGCTGCACAAATTTAATTTTACTTTTGTATATTAAATACTTATAATTATATTGATTTAATAATAAAAAGTTCAATACATGTAAAATAACATACACGTTTTATTTTTTTAATAAATAAAAAAAAAAAGCTTAATAACCGTGTCAAATGTCAAAATATGTATATGAAACGCGGATATGAATAGGTTGAGAATCACTGTACTATCATATTATGTACTTTAGCCGAAAATTCCTTTCTCGGTAAATCGATTTTGAAAATCAGCAATAATAATAACCTTTTATCTATAAGTACCTTTTTTCTTTTTTGTTTACATTTTTATTTCAAATTTTTCCTATCGTCTTTTAATAGCAAACATCTACATTTTTTATCTAAAAAACTAAAAAGGTATATTATATATCCCTTGAAGTAAATGAAATATTATCATATAAGAATAATTATTTCTTCAACCGTTACAATAAGGGCCCAAACTAACGTACATTGGTAGGTGTACCTACTTCCAATGAACGTCGTATGCAATAATTTATTATTTTCAATGTAAAATTTATTATGAGAATCGTGACAGAAATTCCTTTATCAAAAAATCTTTGATAAAAACTCATGGTATAGCTGCAAGCTACAATTTCGTTTCAGCTATAAATGTATTTACCATCCTTCCTTATTTTTTCACTCATAGTTGAGTTTTTTCACTTCCTTTAGGTAAAAAGCCTGAAGCATAAAAAAAAGTATTCGACGACAGTTTATTGTGGGGAAATAAGAGTGGTTTTTTTTTTTTGCAGAGACATCTAATCGATTTGCTTTTATCCGTAGCACTTTGCACTAACAATGCTTTAAGATCTCGGATACTTTGCCTGCCATTTGAAATTAATGGTAATAATTTCTATTATTATACAATTTTGAAACTCAAAGTTGCATACAATTTAATTTTATAACAAGTAAACGTCAGTGACGAAAACTCGTATGTATAGGTACATAAGTCCATCTTGAAATAAAATAATATTTTGTTAATACAAAGTAAATGAATTTAATACAAAATAAAACTGATTACATAATAGGTAATTTGTAATATTAAAAATGTTACGTATATCTACTGAAAAATAACATTTGATTTGAAAAGTTGAAACTTTTGATGTTATATAAAATATATGATAGGTACTAAAAATATATATTACTTTTTTAAAAGTATTGAAAAAAATGTGTGTTGGATGTATAAATTACGAAATAGATGTACAATTGTTTTTATGGCATTTGGTCATGATATTAAACATGTAAAGCTTTCGTACGTTAAGTTTCAAATTTTTTTAAACGTATTCTTAACAAAAACGCTCTTTATTTAAAATAATAATTTCATTTAATAATTCATTCATTATTTGACTATAGTTGGGTATACATTTGTTAGTTACATAAAAAAAAAATGTATTATTATGAGTCACGTAATAACAAAATATCGTATTCTTTTCGAGTCTTTGAGAATATTTTTATCGAGGATCATTATTATTTATTCATAAATTTATGAATGTATAGTAGGTATGTCGTCAAACAATATTGTGTTATATCAATAAATAATTGAATAATGGTTAATTTTTAAATTAGATAAAAAAAAAAAAAAATCATATTATTAAATTTAAATACATTTAGTATTGAAATTATAAACTGAAAACTTCTTCGTAAACTGATATATTATTAGGTAAGGTAGGTAATAAAAATTATACTTTGATTTCGTCTGTTCGGAACTAAACTGTGTAGATGTCTGGTTTTATAATTGATTATATTTAAGATTCTAAGCGTATTGGTTTTATTATGACGTGTGTGTATTTTTTATTATTTTTGAAATTCTGTGTGGAGCCAAGTAACTTATGGTTTTAGAATCATGTTTATTTTTTTTTTCTGTGGACAATTTTTATACCAGCAGTTTTGCTCCGATTTCCAATGATAACATTTTTTCTGAAAGTAAATCGAACTGGGCAGGTACTCATACTTTAGGGAGGCCATTTTTTTATTTTCTTAGGAGTTTTCCCAATAAATGGGAAACAACGGGAAAATGTGCGAAATATGGGTAGAGTGAAACTTCGAGAAGTCGAAAACTTTAATGAGTCGATATAAATGGCCTTCCCTTGCGAAAACCTCAGTTACTCGAATGAAAAACTATAAATGACTCGAACATGTTGTGTTTCGAATATAGACGGATATTGACAGATAAATTATGTAACCATTTTATTGTGTTTATTATCGTATTTTTAATTTAGTTTATTGTCACTGCATTTGGTATAATCAACTCAAAAATCAAGAAATGTACACGATAAAGTGTACTCTGATCTAATTGTAGTAGAAAATATTGTTAATAATAGCATGTGCTTTCAAACTCTAAGCTAAAGTAAGATAACAAATTTTTTATTGTAAAGTTGCAACATTATGCACATTTTTTTGGTAAAAATTGTTTAATTTATATTAATTATTATTTAATCACATTTTTTATCATAATTTTTAGTAATACAATTTTAAAATAATAATTAATAATATAAAATACACACTGTAATTATATGTACATATATACTATACAATAATTAAAAACTATAATACTTACGTAATTTTGAAAACTTAAGTCGAATTTTTTTCCTAAATAACTCTACGGCCCGTATAACCTTATGGCCTTTTTTTTTCTTGTGAACAACTTTTTTACCAGCAATTTTGCTTCGATCTACAATGATAGTATCTTTCTGACTGGGGTGGTACTTTTAGGTTATTTTTGATTTTTCTAGGAGTTTTGCCAATAAGTGGATAAAACATAGCAAAAACCGCAAAAAAACGGGAGATAGGTACAATATTAAAAAAAAATGTTGAATGCACATTTATGTAATTTTTTTTCTAAAATATGAGATATATATATTGTTGATCAAGCAATACTATCAACTGAATTCTGCTCAGAATCGTTCTCTTGGTTAACAATGGTTAATCATTGCTTACATATATACATTAAATTCTCGTTTTTATCTTACTTTCCCAATTTCTCACCTACAACAGTAGCTGCATTCGTCCCCATATTGTAAGACAGCTATTTTTGTCTGTAAACGTTTTTACCAGTAATATTACTACAATAAAAAAATAACAAGAGACCTTTTTTGTTACATTTTAAATCTAGTTGGTTCATTAGAATAGACGTTTTTTGATTTTGAATAATAGTTTACGAAATTAATAATGGTGTCGTTATTTTTGGTATTTGTTGTAAATTGATTAAAAATTATCGTAGAGACCTGCAATTTTCACTGAATTATATTAGTGGTCAAGTTTTCTATACATTTTGGCGATTTGTAATCTATTTATAGGTATTTTATAATTGTGAGTTTTTTTACGCAATTTATTTTGTAGGTATTCTGTGGATTAAATAAAATAAAATAAAATAATTTAAAAATTAAATTAAACACAAATTGCTTAAAATACTTGGATATTTAATTCATGGTTCATTATAAGTTAAGCACAATGTTATAATTGTTTAATCATATTTTGGTGAAAATCATCAATGTAATATTTAAATGTACTTCAAAACATGTTTAACCGAAATTTTTTCAGAATCGTATTTCATTAGCATTAGTTTATCGTTGATTACGGACATAAATTGAATAACTTTATGTATCCTACATTTCCAACTATTTTCATACAACAATGGTGCTCTTATCGGCAGTCTCAGTTTTTTTTTTGATTTGAGTCGGTTTCAATTTGCTTTTTGTTTGTTCATATATTATATATTTTATGGATAATAATTTTTATAATTGCAGTAATATAAATTCTGTGTTTATACATTATATATTATATATAATATTATAAATCGTTATGTACAAAATATAGGTATAGAGGTACATAATTCAAATAAAACACGTTAGTATTCTACGCATAAAAAAAAAAAAAAGAAAGAAAAAAAGAATATCTAAACAATCGGAGGGATATTATTTATTTACATATGACGGTTCCCGCAGAATGCTGAATCCTTTTTACTAAGTCCTAGAAGTTTTGTTGACTAGGGTATATAGCTACAGAAATCCCCAACATTGCTTATATAGTCATGAAAGCATAAACTATAGTTTTGATTTAGGGGTTTCATAATATTAAAATATTTATAAAATTATTTTGGGTAGGCATATTTTTCATGGCTTCATCTTGAATATTTTGAACTTTGACCTTATATTCGTGTGTAATGCAAAACATGCTATTTCTTTTAGGTTTAAATAAACTCCAGACAAAACCACAGCAGTCGCTACTTTATTATTTTGTTTTATATTAATTATCTACTTAAATGGCTTTTACTACAAGTTTTAAGAAATGTAAAATAATAAAACGTTTTCTTCAATTATTATTTGTTTTGCCTTGGGAAAGTGCAGCTTTTATCGCCCAATAAAGATGTATTAACAGTGACAACCACACACTGACTTTAAATGATTGGTGTGTTCTAGACTTCCAGGTTGAGGGTTAGGTGATGGGTTAATAATTTACCTCAATAAAAAATCATTATTAAGAAATAACCAATTAATGATTTTTTAGAAGTTCAACATTTAAAAAAAAATATTTTTGAAAATTATTGAACGCTCTGATATTTGATTATGATTAATTAAATTAAATTAAATTAAATTATTGATTATGATTATTATTAGATATATATTTTTATATATTGTTTTAAGGACACATAATATAATATTAATATTACTAGTTGAAATGTATCTATTTTTTTTGCCCAAAAATGTATTACCCGTTTTATTATTATCGTATAGATAAATTATGTCTATAAACTTTATTTAGTTATTTACTATCTTATTAATTATTATTAATACATACACTCATATTATCTCCTTCCGAAACTATTTAATAAGCCATAATTATGAATTATTGACCTTATCATTTTTTCAAATGAAAATCATTGTAATTAGTGCAACTATAGTGAATTTCTTGCAATAAAATTCCAGTTTGGTTCCGATCGAACACATTTAAGATAATAAGGGTGCCAGGCTAACGTTAGTCTAGCTCTCGGAAAACAAAAATGGATTATCTGGACTTTGTAGGGCGGTTACAAATTTAGGACAAACACATTGGTTTGGTAATCAAATTCCAAAAGTGCTGGTGTCAGGCTAACGGACCAATTTCAAGGAGATCGTTTCGGTTCAAAGTTAATTTTTCAAAGACATTTTTTCGATATAGTTTTTTTAAATCATTTAAATTGGGGCTCTGACTTTAATGCACCTATATTATACACGCAGACTGTGCAGTCATTACATAAGCTGGCACCTGTATAATATTATGCTTCGTCGTATTATTTACGCCTGGTGGTCATTTCTTCGCGTTCTCCTTCTTCTTCTCCTCCTCCAGCCCGTCTGGGAATCATAACGCATCCGGGAACTCTCTAATTGCTCCACGGAACGACATTGCCTCGCCCGTCCCGTGTTTTTCTAACGAAACCGCGAACGTCATGCTACCGCCGCCTACGACGCGCTGTATAAAGCACAGTCCACCGGACCGACAACAGTCCTTTTAATTTGACCCTGCGGGTGAAATATACGTATGCCTGCACCGGGGCTCCCCCTATATTTTGATGTCGCTTTTCGGAGGGCGTTTCATTTGCAGCAGAGAGAGAGAGAAAGAGAGAACCCGCGGGAAAGACGCGATTCGTTTTTATTCCCCGGAGGGATACAGACACGTGTGTGTTTGTGTGTGTGTGTGTGTGTGTGCGTTTTCGCGAGGGGTGACGGTTGTTTTATTCGACTGGGTGTGCACTAACGCGTATACCTATACAACACAATATACCTATATATAAGACGCGATAAAAGCCTGCGACATTGGCTTCGCGTCAAAACTTCCGCGGTAGCACAGAGCGTATTATATACCTATATATAATGTGTGTCTACGAAGTACGTGCAGAATTAGGCGGCAGCGGCTCGCACGCGGAAAACAAGAGGAAAAAAAGAAAAAAGTCGATCGTTCGTCCGATAAAAGTGCCGAGACTATAATCCAATTTCTTCTATACTAAACGAGAGTCGGCGGGCTTCGGGGCACGTACTATTACGGAAGCGGCGCCGTTGTTTTCTTTTGTTTTTGATTGATCGCGGGCGACGCCGGCTGCGAACGGCGGGCGACGAGAATTATATTATTATTTTCTTGTCCGACGTGCGTTTTACGTACACGTCGGCGATATAATGAATGAGTGGCGTTAGCGTATACAGCGACGGTGGCCGCGGGGGGATGGGGGGGGTAGAGAAGGCGGCGGGAAAATCTTCGGAAATCCGTTTAAATCAGTATTCTCCTCGCCGCCGCCGTATATTCGTTTTACTCGGCGTCGTCGTCGTCGGCATAATATTATTGCCCGGGGATTATAAGTATACGCGTATTTTATTATACGCATTCACCCTCTATATTTTGTTTGTCCAATTTATTACAATATTTTTCGTAACATAATATTATGTTAATCCCATGTTCCTATATCCTATAATATTGCGTTATTATAATAATATAATATTGTCGTTCTGCCCGCGCAGTTATTCGCAGTGATTAGATTATAACAGTTTAATATTTTGCTGCTCCACGCTATCAAACAAATAAGGCATAATAGGTGTATAATAATATTATCGTAAAATTCCTTCAGTTTTTTTTTTCCTTAGGTAATTGGCGATTGTGGAACGTTCTCGCGACTTACCTTTTGTCGGATTTTCTTCGAAAATAGAAACCATTTCACACTATCGCGTCGTTCCTCCTCACCCCCTTTGATACTTTTGGACACTCTGACAATGGCACCCTCTGGACCAAATGCTCGAACTCGAGAATTAGAGTTTTTTTATAGGCAGTTTTTAGTGATAACATTTTGGTTGGATTTCAGCGTGAATTTCATCATTTTGTTTGCCGGAGGAAGGTGATTTTTTTCAGCTCTGTACCTTCATTCCCTATACAGATTACGCGAAAGAAGACAAACGATGACATTTGGCTTGATACTGTGCATACACAGTATCAAGGTTGTGTTTTTGGGGGGTTTCAACTTTCAACTTTATCGTCTACAAGTTCTTTGGTCAAATTTCATATTTTTTAGGAACATCGGCGTTTTAAATACCCACCTACTGACTAAATTGTAATTGTAAAACTCTGTCAACCGTAATTATTTTAGGTCAATTATTAAAAAAAAAATGAAATATCGTAACGGTAACAAGTTCGCTGAGGAAAAATTCGACTTTAGTGATTGAGTTATGTTGTTCATGGTTGGATTTCTAATGTCGAGCGTAAGGGTTGCATTAAATAAAAAAATAAAAAAATATTTAAAATGAAAATTATTAGAATATTGAATTTAAAAAAAGGGAATTGGCCGTAGATTTTGTTGTTTTAAATGTTTAAATTTTGAATTTTATAATTAATAAGTAGGTACATATTGTTTTAAATTTGAATGTGATAGATGGAAGTATAAAAACACATACAGACACACACATAGATCATGGAGTGTGTTTTCACCTTGTTTTTCAGTACATTACACCATCTCCTGCATATTGCGTACTGGGAAATTCGATAAATGCACCAGATGTACCACTCTAAAACACCATCTGTGTTTAATTTCCCGCCTATAAAGTTTCTATATAAAACTTTTTGAACATTTAACCAAAAATGTAGCTATATAAAAGTGGTATTTGAAAAAAATGTTCAAGGGAATAAATATAAATGAAAAACTTTTCATTGTACAACTATTATAATAATGGTTTCTTCTCATCACTGTCTCTCCAATTTCAAACAAATAAAAGATCATTTAATAAATAGAATACATACGCTTTACTCAATTTCACAGATAATTTAATACATTACATAATATATACTATGATATTAATTAATACTAATATTTAAAATTAATCGAAAATACCGAACTTATTAAACGATTACATATCGTATATCAGTTTGTCTCAACTTATTTTACGCTACTCTTGTAGATTTTCAAAACTCTCATATCTGCCCCTATTAATTAAAAATATGACATAAAATTTTTTTTAATTTTAGATATGCTAAATTTGCACATTTTATAATTTATTCTTAGAATTTCATCGTTACTATATTACTCTTCCTCTCCTTCCCCCACAGTTCCTCAATTATTCTCTACGGAGGCATTTTCCCTCCATTGGGAAATACTGTCATACATCCACCTTGCCCGGTGTGCCAGTTGAACCTCGTGGTCTTTGACTGGAGGAGGAGCAAATATTCATTAATGCAATTAACTTAACTTTACCGAGGAGGTATATTCCTCAAGTAAAATGTTACCACGTGGGATTCAATATCACGGGGTTTATTTTCCGTAGTTACACCGGTCTGTCTTCACTTTCCGTTCGTCTTTACTGCTAGCTATTTATTTAATATTTTATTTCGTTTTCGGATTCACGTATGCGGTCGATTTAACACAAATACGGCAATAAACATAGAACTTGACCGTATTCCGAATACGTGAACCCACTGTAATATTCCAGTCGTCAATCCCAAATAGGTCGATTAGATTCATATTATATATGAGTACTGTGTAGGTATTCGATTTGTGTCTGCGGTTTTGCTATAAAAAAGGTTATACATACGACTGACAACCCCGATTATTCGCGAAGTAACGAATATTTGTTTCAATATAACTTACACAGTATCAAGGGCGTATACAGAAGGGAGAAATATGGGAATTTGATCCTTCCTATTATCTTTTTTTAATTCTAAAATTTGAATACATAGTTCAGTATTAAATTTAATTAAGGGAGCATTTTTTTTCATGTAAGATATTATGAAGTTTCTTACTATTTGCTGATTGTTTATATAATTTTGTTTTTGGTTTTAATTGAAAAATGCAATACGAAATTAAAACGTATTTATAATTATTGCAAAAAAAAAATATATATATATATATAATAATAAACGCTTCTAATATATGTGAGGGTTGCGAGAAAATGGTAAGAATTTGTCCTTGATGGGGTCGAGGAAACACCAATCATCTGATGATGATGACTCGATGAATCAATGATGATTCGTTTCATCGTAAAAGTTCAACAAACAAGTTGAAACATTATTTATCATTTTTTAAATAATTTTAATTTTAAGATTCTAATTTTATTCTCGGGACATTCGCTTATAAAATTTATTGGATCAAGTTTAAGAGTAATTTTTCAAAAAACAAGTCAGATACTGTTGATGGGTATATATCATATATTTATGGAGTAATTTAATTTATATTTGTTTGAAATGATAACTTATCACTATAATGAAAAACGATTATGATAAGAGTTTTATTAGTCTTTTTTTTTCCTCTTGTCAATATAATACAACAATTAACAAAAATTACACAATAAATGATCATTATATTCCTATTAGTTTTTGATAACTACAAGGAAAACTAAAAATAACCTTCCAAATGCGTAAGGTTTCTGGTAAAAAAGTTGTTAACACACACACACACACGCTCACATATATACAAAAACACTTAGAATGTATAACGTAATATGTACCATTATCTTTTTATGTATAGCCGTTCAGTTAAAAAAAAAAATAATAACAACAATACACCAATCGAGTATATTACATGTAGATATTTTATCTTAAATGGGTAGATTAAAAAAAAAAAAATATTAAAGTATTACAGCTTTGAGTTAGTGTGCAATATATATACACATAAATTACAGCTTTACGTTTTTGAGGTGCTTACACATTTTGAACGTCATAAAATGAAATGGTATTTATTAATAAACGCACCCTCGTAATGTCGCTGCAACTGCTGCGTGATGCCCATTTTGAGGGGGGACGTTATTATAATGCTGGTTGGCGGTAGTTTTACCGTGTGGACGAGGGAAACGTCGGTATTTACATCGACTCTTTCAGAACATTAAACCGCAGCGAGTATTATATATTAACCAACACTCCGTAACGTCGTCGGTAAAGTTGACGGGCCTTGTGGAGTAGAGGGTTGTAATGGAAATAATAATAATAATAATAATAATAATAATAATAATATTAATAATTTATTATGTTTTGTATGAAAATTGTATTTATTTTCGCGTGTTTCCTGTATATATTTATATTATAGGAGAACCAATGGAAAAAAGTGAAAGGAAAATCCGGTTCGAACGTTCCCAGAGGCAGGAGAGGTCACACCGCGTTGGTGTACAGAAATTCAATGATCATTTACGGCGGATACAGGGATCTAAAAGGATCAACAAACGAAATGTGGGCTTATCACTTCGGTAATTATATTGAAATCATTTTTTTTTTTTTTTTTTTTAATGTTTCATGTTATTCTAATTTGTATTATCTTTTTACGTGGAGCTTTAAAAGTAACGAATTAAATATTAAAAACTAGCGAGTAATTTTTTTTATTTACTAAAACACAAAATATTTACAGAGCCGGACTTGGTAATTTTTCTCCCCTATATATGCATATATATAAAGAGAGAGGCACTATAAATCTAGCGTCCCTTTTTGTAATATCAATTTATATTTAATTAGATATTTCAAAAAAAACAAAAACTGTCGTATCACCATAAATTTTGCTCCAAATAATATTAAGTGCCAAAAAAAAAAAAACAATCTACGAGTCATGTCCTCGAGCATTTTGTGCCTCTGCAGACCCGAACCTCATATATTATAACTTATTTTTATGTTTGAATACAGCTATATTTTTTTAAAATAAAATAGTGTAAGAGATTAAAAAACAACGAAGTTTGAAAACTATTCGAAATTAATAATTATAATTTGTATCGAATTAAATACAAGCAGTTTTCGAATTGTCGTAATAAACTGAGTACTGTTATATTTTTAACATCGTTGTTTTTAAATTATCAGTTTATTTTTTTTCCGGGAACCGGAATAATTATAATATTATGATATTAAACTATAATACATTAGTAAATTACCTGTTATACTATTATTATGTACGTGCGATTGCGTGAACGACGAGTGTATAATTTATCGGCAAGAGTTAAATAATAAAACGATTAAAAGGTCTGTATTAAAACCAGTCGCGTACGTAGGGGAATAAGTCAGGAGTTAGGCCCTCATTGGCTTAAAAATATTGAAAAAATTCTTACAATTTCATTTCAATTTTGTAAAATTTTTACGATTCGGGTTTTAAAATACCAATTCCCGTAGTCGGGTTGGGTAGAGAAAAACGGTTTCATGATTCTTATTTGCTACACCCCCACCCCCCTATCGAATTGAAAATTCCTGGGCATGCCACTGATTAAAGTGCTAATATTGTGTTTCTGTTTTAGATACCGAATCGTGGCATTTACTCTCGCAGGGAAGAGTATTACCACCGGCTAGACACAAACATTCAGCGGTGATACACGACGACGTTATGTGGGTGTACGGCGGCATGACCGATTTAAACGAGAGGTCGGATTTGTGGCGATTCGATTTCGGTTAGTATATGCGGCTATGATACCCGTCTCATATATGTACGTACAATATAATGCGTTTATTTGAACACGTTTGCGCTTTTCACTCGCGAATTATTATATTGTTGTCAGTTGTAACGTGTCATTTTTTTTTTTTTTAATCCAATATTGATTTTATCCGTTATTATAATTAGGTACTCAAATTACGGTGTACATATTCTGCGAACCATTAATTTAAACACAGCCATGTGCTACGTAATAATATTTGTTTCAGTGAAGAAAAAATGGAACATTATTAAGATGAAAGTAAGCCCGGGACCGTTGCACGGCCACAGTGCTTCTAAAGTGATGGGTTCCATGATTATTTTTGGCGGGAAAAAAGGAGGACAAATAAGCAATGACCTGTGGAAGTTTTATTTCGGTAATGATAATAAATATTCGTGAAGGCACTAAACAAATACTTTACTATTAGACATTTGGAATTAAAAAAAATTCAAATAAACACGAGTCATATACCTATGAAAAATGTCAAAAGTTTTGAGTTATTATTTTCCATTTTAAAACTTATATAATATCGTTAAAACACGATACGAATTACACGTACCTACAATAAATATATCGAATACAATTCTTATACTTGTAGAAACGAATAACAAAAGTGTTTCATAAACTTACGAGTGTATATATGTATACCTATGTATAATTTCACGGGGATAAATTTAACTTTAACTTGAACTTTATATTAAGTAGACTTCTCGTACAGATATAGTTAGTGATTTATTTGACGTGGAGGAGGGAGACTGCTTCTTTTTATTTTTTATTATTTCAAAGTGTTTCGTCTATAATTTGGAATAAAATTGTAAATCGTTGACAACTGAAAATCGTTAATACAATTTGTTCTGAATTTTTATTTTCTCTTTACGCAGGTGCCGAGACCTGGGAAAAAGTGCACACCACTTATCCTCAGCCGCCTGCTATCTGCGAGGCGGTGTCGCTGACGGTGTCGGAAACCACGACTACAACAACGAGCTCTAAAAGCAGCCGGGAAAATGGTGTGCAGTCACCGATTGTGGTTCGGCGGTCCAGAGGCGGACGGTCTGTGGACAGGCAGTACAGCTCCGGAAGCGGCAGTAGTGACCGCAACGAACACGGCATCCACCAGTGGCAGACGCACCAGTCCAGGCCCGAATCCAGGGCGTCGTCGTCTGGTGGCTCGAACGTGAATATCCTGAAGGAGATATCGAAGCTGTCGCAACTCAACCTGTACAGATTGGCGCACAACAAGACGTATAGCGTTCTGAGCAGTACGGACAGCGTTGTGTCGGCAGACGCTTCGACGCAGCAGCAGATGCAACAGAACATGGTCAAGTCACAATCGGCCAACGTGATCGCCAGGTCGCTGATATCGCCGGCGGTGTCGAACGCGTCGCCGCCCGGCTGCAAGACTTCGTTCCCGATGTGCAGAATGCCAAGGGACCCGATGTCCGTACCAAACTTTGGCGTGGCTCTCACCCCGGTCGAAGCCACCAAGCTCGTGTACCTAGAGGGCGAGGAGGCGCCCAGTCCGCGCGTCGAGATCGACTGCAACGACTTCGGGTCCGTGCACATGCGGTTCCAACCGAACGCCCTGACGTCCCTCAACAAAACCATCAACCGGCGCAGTTACCCGATGACCAGCTCGGCGTCCGCCCGATTCGGCAACCCGTACAGCACGCCCGAAGAACCGGGCGAAATCACTTCCGGTTACGTAAGCATCGAGACGGTGCACCAGTCGCCGAACGCCGACGGGCCCATCAGTTTCTCCAACCCCAACTACATGGTGGCCGACATACAGAACGCCATTTCCAAAGGTAAATTTCAGTATATTTTTCCGCGTAGGTATACACCGCGATTTATATGACTATCTATTTTTAAATTAAAATGTCTTTACTTTATAGTCAGGGAAATCAATAATTCAACGTGTTGTTATTTACAGTAAATCTATACAAAAATATAATCCGAACTTATACATTTTCTTCTTTGAAAATGAAACCTGTTTCCGAACCACTAGATAATATGAAGGAGGTTGTAGATTAGTAGTACTTACCTGGTAAATAAATTAATAATAATTACTTATCTGTGTTTACCTTATTAGTTATTTGATTTAAATGATAATATTACAAGGCAGGCTGAATTTTTTTTATGATAAATACTTATAAAAACGTATAAATTAAAAATCGATATAATTTTTTTTTTGCCCGGGTACACGTTTTACAGAACGACACAATTTTCAATTTCGATAGATCTCTTCTTGTCAAAATTGTGAATACGTCACTGTTTTTATAACGTGTAAAATGTATAGCATAGTTGTATCATATGTCGTTTGTATAACACAGTCATTTTACGACCAAAGTATGTTTTACGCTTATTAGTATTTACGAGTACACTATAAATTCTGTATAAACTCGTATAAAATTCCATTTAAATTCGAATAAATATATTATGTGTACTTTATGTTTCATTTTTGCGACACGTTAGTCGCCACCGTTCGATATTATTTGAAGTGTGGTCCACTTTAAATTGTATTTCTTCATATAGCCTGATAATTGCAATTAATTTTTATTAAACCGTTAAAAATACGATTTTTGCACTCAAATTGAAATGTATACGACTTCTATAAACACATTAATAAAAAAAAAAAATAAAAAAATCGTCGATACTGCTGTTGGATGTGCCACTTTTATGTAAAAGGGAAGTTATTTTTATCTGCAAGCAACTTTTGACTTTGTTAATAAATTATTATCACTTAAATCGAACAAAATTAAGTACACGAAATGACGTGATTTTTACGATTATCGTTAACGTTTGAACTTTAAAAGCGTATATAAAAAAAAACCAAGTTTCGCTAAACTTTTTTTTTTTGACAACTAAGTACAACTGATGATGTTAAACCTAGTGTAAAATTTTTAAACATTTCTGCTCGACCGAAACAATTTTGTCCACATAAAACTAAAAATATATGGAAAAAGTGCCTATATAAAACTTAAAAATCGCTAGAATGTTTTGAACTTTTCCTATGTAAAGATCAATACTAAAGTATTAAAGTATAAAGTATTCAATTGAAATGTCTGGATGTTACAATTATTTTAGACAGAATTACGAAAAAAAAAAAAAAAAAAAAATCAAAAATTTTGTAATGCCGTAAAGTTTCCGGGATTTTTCTATACGTTTTTCCGGTTCCCTAGTTATTATGAAAACTAATAAGGAAACTATAAAATAATCTTCTAATTGCACCAATCAGATCCAAAGCTACAAAAACGTTTTTTTTGTCATTTATGGATTGAAATAAAATTTCTGGTATACAAATTGTTCAAGCACAAAAAAAAAAGACGGACATCATATTATTACTCCGCATGATGGGTGGGCCTTCGTTTTAGGTGAGACGTTAAAAAGGTAGGATGTAAAGGGGAATTTAATTTATACCTGTAGACAACGATAAACCAATGCTAACGAAAAACAATTGCGAACGAAATTTCTTTTATATACGTGTACATAAATTTTCCCGCTTTTCCTAGGTTTATTCGCGGTTTTTCACTATTATTATAAAAACCGCTTGAAAAATCAAAAAATGACCACTTGAAATTCGGAGCAAGATTTCCGGGGGAAAATTTGTTCATGGATCGTCACCGTCGTGCTAAAAATGACTAAAAATGATTTAAATTTTTTAAAAAATTTAAAATTAAGATTTTATTCTATTTCGATTTTAATTTAGAATTATGTGTTTAGCGGTTCGCAGAACTATCTAATGAACTGTACGATATTGCTTTGACCATTTTTTGTGTATATAGGGCCGAAATAATAAGATAATTATCTATACGTACAAATTTGTTCACTCGGTCATTTTTCGCCCGGTGGTGACGACACATAATATATATCCAAAATAACCATGTTTAAAAAATAGTCAACAAACAATGTAACCAATATGCATATCGTCTATAATTATTTTATATAACATAAATATATTATGAGGTCGTAATTTTTTTTCTTTAGGCTTTACGAGCCATTTATGTAAGTGCTCTTCGTTGCCATAACGATACATAACTAGGTACGATGCTAATTCCCATTCAGCTCCGATGTCCTCTTATAGCCCCCGAATTCTTTAAATAGAAACAATACAATAGGACAGATAAAAAATATTCAAATGCGTAGCATTTTGAATTCATTTAATAAGTGTTACAATTGAATTAATTTTTTTTTTAAACAGGTTGATTTTTCTTTTGAATAAAAAGTAATGCGTTTGACGTGCATATACACATTGTGCAGGATTAAAACCGTGGTATATTTTCTCAAAACTTTAAGCAATAACAATAAACGATAAAAAAGCATGATACGACGAACGAAAGGGTGTCATGTTCCCGTCGTAACACCCCTCTCGAAACGTTACTGGGTATGGATGCTATGCATACGTTTCGGATGCTATAGTAAAAAAAAAAACAAATTATTATAACGGCAGAAAATATTCAAAATGCCCCTGGGCGATAACAAAAAACGACTACTACCCCTGCGATGAACTAATATTACCGTCGATCAAAAACGTAGACGACCCATTCCGCGGACCGTATAAGGCCGCAAAGGCCTGAGAAATATTTTCCGTGTCGAGGGGTGAAAATATTGTGGACATAAATCAAGCCGAACTGTACATAAATTCACTGAGAAAAAAACGTTATTTTTATTTTTAAAAAAAATATATATTTTTTTCTCGGGGAAGAAATATCCTACTTGGGTGGAGGGGTGGAGAAATGTCCGCTCTACTCACTATACGATAATAATATTGAGTAGGCTAGAATTATAATTCGCATATTCCAAAAAAATAAAAAAATAATGGTGAGTTAGCGATTCTGTTTTATAGGAGTTTTAAAGGTGAATTCTGTAATCAGTTTGTTTCAAAACGCACAGGTCAAATAGGTCTAAATTTCACCGGAATGTAGCGGTTTGTGTGAAAACCGACGAGTTCCATTAGATTATGTGTTTTCTTACTGAATACTGTTTAACCTGCGTCAAAAATAACGCGATCTACATTATGAAAAACTCACATATTCCATTTCGACTATTATCACAACTCAGATGTTCCGTATACGTTATAGAGTTAAAACTCGCATATTCTTAACTTCGACCTCAAACAAAATATTATAGATAAACACCAAAATTTTAATTTTTGATGGCAGTTTGGAATTGCTTAGTCTATAAATTACCTAAGAAATGCATTTTGGATTTCTCCATTGTACAGAAATCCGCTATCTCAGTGTTTTTTTTTTTTTTTTTTGGTTTTCTGAAAAATGTGAGTTGATTTCAGCCTATTCAATAATTAATCATTTTTTTGACGTGCTGATTTTTGTGTGCGCAGGCGATTACGTCAAGCTCAACAGTCCGCCGGACAGCCTGCTGGAGGACGACAACGGCAGCTCGTTCGAAATGCGCGAGATGAATAGACCGGCGCCGCCCAAGACGCTCGCGCTCAACTCGTCTACGGCGTTCAATTCGTCGAGTTCGGACGTCCGATCCTCGACGAAAATGACTCGGGCCGCGAGCGCCGGACGGGCCGCGGCCGTGAGTCGTCCCACCACCGCCGTCGTCGAAAAGCGGTACGTATCTATTATATACGTGTATAATCGTAAAATCGGTAGTATTTTTACAGTTTGCACCTTATTGATGACAATATTTTACTTTTTTCTATTACTTCTTATATTATTCTGTACGGCTATACTTTATTACTAAACAGTGTGATTATTATGAGGATGAGAAGACAGAATAAGGAATGAGTACATAGAGGTAGCATAAGTGTGGTTTCGGTAGTAGATAAAATGGGAGAATGTACACTGATATGGTTTGGGTATGCCGTGAGAAGAGAGGAATCTGAAACAGTAAGCATTGTAATGATAATGAATATAGGAAAAAGAGGGAAAAAGGAAGTCCGAAAAATAAGGTGGTTTGATGTGATAGAGAATTATATGAGAAAAGCCGATATATGCGAAGTGGGAGATCTGATTAAGTGGAAGTTAATAACAAGGGTGGCCAACTCTTAATAGTTGGGATGAAGGTGAAGGAGAAGTAGTAGAAGAAGAAGAAGAAGAAGAAGAGTGTAATCATTATAAGGTACATTAAATATTTCCACTAATTGATCTTGGATTGAAATAGGTTCACTTAAAAAAAGGGTTTCAAAATCTATATTTATCTAAAAAATCACGATATCTATATATAGCCATTTAAAATAAAGTAAAAATTATTTTGAATTATTCTCGATTTTTCAACAAATTTTACATTTTAAATCACATGTGCAAGAAAAATAAACATAATTGACTACTGTTTCATGGGAAAAAAATTGTATGTAATTATATATAACATAATTGTACATTTGTTGAAAATATCTGTTAATGAACTTTAAATGGCTTATCTCAGCCCTCTAGTAATTTTTGTGATAAAAAAATATGTATAGATCCAATTGGCATTTAGAAAAAAATAAGACTATTCCAGTCTGATATCAAAAATAGGAGTTCCCATTAAAGAAAATGTTAAATATTTTCAAAATGTGTATTCTAATATACCTCCCTCCCTATCGCTTGTGCTCATCATCGTTTTTACTCATCACATTGTGTGTTATAAATTTTTATTAATTGATTGTTTTCATTTAATGTGCAGTATCAAAGAGTACACGGTGTATTTGCTGGGTGGCACCGAACGGGACGGTTCCGTTACCGTGTTCAAGAAACCGATGACCGTTTGGAAGCTAAGCATGTACTACAGGAACGTACAGTGATGAAAACTCGATTCGATATCGTGTTGTATTATGTGCCTACTGTTATTACTACCTATTTTATTTTTTATTATTATTATTGTATTTGTGTATATGTGTGTCAGTGAAATGTCAAGCATATTAATTCGAACTCTTACCAAAGTTTTAAAAAATGTTCACTCTACACCCTTTCCCGTTTCACATATTTCTAGGGTTAAGAAATTGTATTATAATCTAACGTCGATCACCACGCTACTGGTCTATGTGTGTGTGTGTGTGTGTGTGTGTGTGTTTGTGTGTTTGTGTGTTTGTGTGTGTGTGTGTGAAAAAAATCGTACCTAATTCTACTTAACTTAACCCGGACCTTAATATCATGATTATAGATATTATGGTTGCTCAACGACCAAGGAATAAGTGACTCCCATAAATCAGAAGGTCTCCAGCCAGTGCTTTTGTGACGGTATTAGATAAAGTCGAGTAGAGAAATGCCTCACTTTTAGTATCATACTTGTAAAATATAAAAACACTTTTTGGCGATTCTATTATGGCCGTTCAGTTGTTGAGCAACCTTAGTATAATATAAAATAATCGAGCTTGGTACATATAAGTAGTTATTCTTCCTACAACATTTAATTCCTCCCTGATTCTTGTTTTAGTACATTAATTAATTAAATTTTAAATACTGGCTTCTTATCAGTTAACCCAACCTACCTACTAATAAGTAATAACTATACCTATAGAACTTAGGTATCTAATATTTAACAATATTGTTTACAAAAAAAGAGTTACATCAAATTTATAAATATGACATCTTTAATTATTATGCATTATATTTACAAATGCAAATACTAATAATATATAATAATATGTGACATGTGTAGATGTAGGCACTGACATGGCTACATACTTAAATATTTAATATTCTTAAATGTAACAATATTCTGTATATGTACTGAACAAATGTGCCAATAATCAAAAGTTTGACTCATAATTTTAATATTTATAAATAACAATAACTAATATTTTAACACCTATATACAAACATATGTAGAGAAAAAAATATTGGTATAAAATTTGTTGTGCCATAATGTATCGTTTGGTTGAAATTATAATATTAAGTATAACACCAAGCTATAAAGTTATTTTTGTACTGTACAACATTTTCTTTCCAACAGAGACTATAAAATCCTGCCATTTTGATCTTTCGTGAAAAATGAAATATAGGTACTTAATATATCTACATGATAAAAAAATGATTTAGTTATTTAAGTAAAATATTGATTCTTTTGTTTGTGGTGATATTAATCGATTAAAATATTATATTACGTATATAGGATGTTCACGATTTAAATTCTATTTTAGTACTGTTTTCCGAGCCAAATTTAAATATTTATTTGATTATGTAAATTGTTTTATTACATACGGTTAAATAATTGGAAAGACAAAAAATAAAAATAAAAATCTATTATCAATGTTTAATAATAATAAATATTGAAAAATATTGAAATAGTTAATCATCATTATACTTAGTGCTTACAGTTGCATATTAATTTTTTTCACTGATTTTAAAGTACCTAATTTCCTAGGTGATTATTAAATATCATCATTATGAGAAAATAACCAAACTAAAATACAATACAGTCAACCAATTTTTAACGAAAATAATATACATTTTTATTCATTTTTATCTTTTAGTGTGATTTTGTTTAGTAGATTTTACTTTACTTTAATACAAACTAATTTATCAAATAGTTCTTGTTTTTACTATAATACAACTTAACACTAAAGTAATGTGTATTAATATTTATTTTTTTATTGCTTGTAATTATACCTTATATTATTATTGTTTGCATTTTAGGTATAGTCTCTTTAGAACTTACTATTCTATTTTTACATAATAATATAACTGTCAAATACAAAACATCAAAATTCTACTTACATTGTTTGTATTTGCACTTTTTTATTTTTATATAGTGCTGTGTTATTTTTTAAAAAGTGCAACATACCTAATTAACTAGGTCAAGTCAAAATAAGAATACCCGAGTAAATGTAAAATGAGTAGTCTTTGTGTAATAATTTTATTTAAAATATTTTTTTTATGTATTTATATAGTAAAATATTAAATAAGTATAAGACTTATTATTAAGCAATGTATTGATCAAGTGTTCTCAAATTTATTTAATCGTGAATTAATTTTGAGTAATTTTTATATTTTATTATTTTTAATATATTTTATGTTTGTATTAATTATTTTGAATTACCTAAGTATTTTAATATTTTCTACAGTATTACCAAAATTACAAACCTAGATTACCAAAATACTAGTGCAATATTAGTTTTAACTATATTTTTTTATTTTTTTATGCGATTTTCAGTATACGTTAAATAAATTGTCTAAAAAATATACCGAAAATCATGTGAAAATTGTTAATTTATTATTTGGTTAAATATTGAGGTAATTTATTTTAAGAGTGATCACTCATAAGAATGATTATATTACTTAGTATTATTTGAAAATGATTATAAATCATTAATTTTTATGTACCTACATTTTTTTTTTTTTTTTTTAAAATTAAAAAAGCTTGTTTTTAACAGTTTCTATTTTCGCTGGAACTATGCCATTGTAAGTGTTTAAAGCTGCTCACATAGTTTAGCGATATGTAATGCATTTGAATACATTTTGCATTTACCATATCGCTTAATCATGTTGGCAGCTTAATGCAATAAAAATTAATGTTGTGATAATTTAGTATATAAGTTAATACCCACCAAAAGAACTGTTTTTTTTCCTCAATATTACTTATTATTGTATTATTTGTAATAAATATTTTACCTATGCAACTACTATAACTTAATTATAGGTATTTATTTTTCCTATCCATTGGTAAACTATATCTACATAATAATTAAATAGGTAAAATTTAAATGTTTTTTATTTTGTGGATATAAATTATTCAATATTTTTATTATAAATTTAAATCATATTATATATTAAGTATATACAAATACAAATTTATAATCATAGGTTACACACAAAGTTAACAATTTGGACATTTTCTATGCTGGTGTGTTATTAAATACCTATTGTATATCTGACAATATTAATTTTGTTGGTAACCTATATTAAATTAAACCTTATTTATTTATTGGATACAATTACTTTTCCATTTGAGTATTAATTTAAATTTAATAGGTTTACCTTATTTGATTTTACATAATTAATATTATAAAAAAAAATGTTTAATTTTTACATATACAATTTTTTTAACATTTATATTATTAATTATATAAAAATAACGATCCATACTCAAATGGGTGTCTGAATGCAGCACATGCCACAGATAATTACATGATTGTACTATATCTTTTGTCTTTAGGCACAACTAACAATAACATGTAGGTACAAAATAGAATCTCATTACAGAAAGTAGGTAGTTGTTAATCAACGGAGTATACATAGTAGGTAGGTACCTACAACCTACCTAAACTTTTCCTATAGTAAATGGCCCTTCAGATGTTCTTTGGATATGTAGGTATTTACTGTTTTTATAAATGTTAGATTATACATTTTGAATAATATCTATTATAAAGTAACAGTGACTACTTGGCAAGTGCTGGTCTTGTGATTCTAAAAAAAACTAAAGAAAAATAAATCAAGGTGCAGTCATTGGTGGATGACTTCGACATTCAAAAGTTATATGACTATTAGGTATAAGTAAGTAATCTAAATGACTGAAATATGAATTAAAATATAAATTGATAATTATTAATTTTTGTAGTGGTAGTAATATACTAGAGAATTTGCGAAGAGGAATTCTGAATATTTTAATAACTACCTACTGTAGAATGCAACCATTTGATTTTTTTACAAGATTTGTTCTAGAAATGATTATGCCATGATTAAAAAAAGACGAACATACTTCAAACGATGGGTGGATCACTGTTGTAGGTGAGAAGTTCGAAAGGTAGGAAATAGAGGAGAAATTAATGGATACCTATCTGTAGAAAACGATTACTCATTTCTAACCGAAAAAACGATTCTGAATGGAGTTCGGTTGCACATGTTTTAAAAGTCCATACTATTTACGATTTTCGACAAAATTAATATTAAAATTCTTATAAAAAAAAAACTACATTAAACTCAATTTTTTCTTGTTTACCACTAAGTACAACTTATAATGAATCACCTGTTAAATTTTCAAGCATTTCTGTTTGGTTAACAATTTTATCCACAGTTTACATATCGAATAAATTTTACATAAAAAAAACTAGCAAAATTAAAATGTCTATAAATAGCTCAAAAATGGCTCAAATGTATTGAAAATTTACCTCTTCTACAAAAGGCAAATATAAGTTATTATCCTAGTATCAAATCTCTACGAAAATTTTGAACTGAATTACAACAAAAAAATCAAATTGAAAATAACAAAAACATAAGGTAAAAACATAATCGAAAATAGGTATCGACCTCTTTTTGTAAATTGTCCAGTTGTTCCTACGTATTTTTCCAATTATCTATCATGAAAATTGTTCTGATAAAATCGAAAAAATAGGCTTCTCTAAAGTACCAACTAGATAAACTTCCCTTTCAAAAAAAAAAAAATACCACACTTTATAGATCAGGGCAAGATTTCTGGTAAAATTTTTATATAGCTATATATAAAAATAAAACATTAGGTTCCTATTGTAAAACCAATACCTACATTCCTCGCTTCGCTCAGAATCTAAAAGAAACACCCATTTCATATACATTTGACATATTTCTATACCACCTCATCAGGAACGAATTTTTAGCAACTGGAAATTCATTTTCTGCAATGACTTTATGTTACCAAAAGAAACAATTTCAATTTTTTTTCCAAATAAATATAGTAACCAGCGCACGAAAATTAAGTACGTCTATTTCAAAGTACCTACCTAATTATTATTTTGATGTCAAATATCCTAACGTGGAATAATTTTTTTCGGAATATGTCTTATTGTCTTCTATGTATTATATTATTTATTTTGTAAATATAATATAGTGTCACACTTATCAGCAGTGGGTAGGCTGTATATTGACTATTTTTTAATTAAACTGATTTCTACACACATAACTATTATAGTAACTATCTGTTTAATATTATTAATTCCAAAAGTTTTTGTCATCAATAAGATATAATTAGTTGGTATATGCAAATGTAGGATTATTTCCTCTGCAGGAGTTTGCAATAATTCGTAAAATATTAAGTTGATACAATATTGCAATTGCCGCCATTAGGACGTGTCGAATATCGGTATCATTTCATGGAAGACACAAAATTGTCAGCTGTAATTCGCTGTCTGGCATTCAGTGGCATTCAGTGGTTGAATGGTTATGCATTCACAACAGTCCACGCAACCGGAATCTTATCACGTTATCAGTGACGAACAGCCCTAAACGAATTTAAGTGTTCTTGTCCGAGTGCCGACCGGCCGTCGTCAACTTGTTTGGTTTTCTTTCATTAATTAATTTTATTAGTACTTAATTAATACTACACGTGTTGTCTCGAGTATTAGACCGTTCAATAGATAACGTTAGTCGCTAGCCAACCACTCCTAGGTATGTGGAGTTAATGTTTGGAAGTGTTTGATTTGTATACTTCAATATTATCAACAACGCGATGACGGTTTGGCAAATGTATATTGGTGTTCCATGTTAGCTTTAAACAAACTCAAGATCTTCATTATCTTTTAAAAAGACGTAAGTATAATTTGGTGTGGAACTTACACGTCAATGATCACTAAGTGCAGAACTTAGTGATCAACTTACTAATTGACACATTTTTGATTGTATTTGTATTATTAATGGTACTGTGTTATAGTTGTAGTGTACACTAGTTTTAACATAGTGTGTAACTGTTTTTGGCATAGGATTTAAACAATATAACCATATTATATAAATATAATATACCTATTTACTGTGTTATGTGATTGTCTACTTTCATATGATATTAGAATCATTCATTACAAACAATTTTAATAGTTGAAATGTATATGTTAGCAAAATTATATGCATTAACTGTTGTTTTTTTTTCTTATTTAATTAATTTTTAATTTTGTTATTTCTGTTCGCATATTAAAGTTAATTATTTTTAAAAAGTTAATACTCCTACCTGCCCGCCTAACGATGTACCTATTAAAACAATTTTATTATTAACTTTAAAATGTTCATCTCATTGGATTATAATTTAAATTGAAAAGTAAATAATGAGATATTAAAATCTACTTGCATAGTTTTATTGTTATGTATTAATTGATAAAAATATATAGGTAGGTAGTTACATTTTTTGAGTCAAAATAGTCTTATTAATATTTAATATTGTAGCTAGTTACCCATTAACCGTGCATTTGTTTTGTAAATTAAAAATATAGTTTAATAGTTTCCCTTAAAATAATAATTATTTAACAATATTAATTTGATAATTTTTTTACAGCTTTTATAAAATTGAAGTGAACTTCTAGTCTAAAATGCAGGACTTTACAAGTGATTCTAATAGGCAGCAGAGCACCATTTCTTTAGCTTTTCTTCGTTTATCTCAGGTATTTAAAATTATTTTTTTACATCAAATATTTTTAACGGATATTTAGATATAATTTATTATTAAATGTAAAAGTGTTTCCTGGTATCTGACAATCCAATATTTAAAGTTGATTTTTAACTAATCCTGATCAGAATGTGACAAGAAATTCAATTTGTTAAATTTCATTTGAAATTCAATGTCACAGTCTATAAACATGTAATTATGGGTTTATACAAATATACTATATTTTTTGTGTTTTCAGTGTTCAGAATGAAGTTTTGTTTGTTTGGTTAGCTGTATAAATATTGTATAAAATGAATTAAAAAATATTTGATTATTTTTTTAGGCAATTCCTACAGTATTGTAAATTTACTGAAAATTCTAGTATGTTGATCAAACAATATGATAAGATTTAATACCAAATTGGGTTAAAAAATCAAAGGTTAATTAAAATTATAAACATTTTTTATATATGCACTACAACATGATTCTGTATTACATAACAGAAAAATTTAAACCTTAAAATCAAATAATATTTTAAATATTTTTATATTAATTCTGTTGTCAAATAATAACAAAAAAAAAAAAAAAATTGATAATTCTGTTGTCATCTATTGATTTATTTCAAAATTCAGTTTCAATGTTTACAAATTTGTTAATACTTAAAGTACATATTTTGGTAATCATGCAATTATACACCAGTTTGTGTTACTTTTTTTGTGGATAGTGGTAATAGTGGGTGGTATACTGTTAAGCAGTTATGCATAAAAACAATTTTTAACTTTTTAAGAGACATGGGCTTCTTTTTCTCTTGGAACTTATAGGCACAAAATAGGTAGCCATAAACATCTATTATAGGATTTTATGTTTTAGGATGAGAGTTGCCAGTTCAAAAAAGATTGTTTAAACTGTGTTATGTGTTAAACTTGTTTGATGTGCAATTGTTGAATAATAAAATGTTTTAATATTTTTAAATTAAGTTGATTAGTAATTTAAATTGCTAAGTAAATTATTATATTATAAATTAATTATTACATTTTTGTTTAAAATATATTAGTCAAATTAGTACTTAAAAAATACTTAACCTTCTTAAGTTCCATGCGATTGCTTTTAAAAATTATAATGTGTTGTGATTTTTATTTGCATAGATATGGCTGTGAATTGATTTTAATCTTAAATTGGATTTAATATATTTTTGTTGGTTGATATTCGTTCACAAACTAACATTTCTGTAGGAATTTCTATTTTATTTTGAAAATATTTCAATATGATAAGTCAAGTTGTATTCTTTATGGTAATATTATATTTGTATAACTTTAAATTCTTAAGTATCTGTAATGTTATTATAAAGTCAGTTTGTACATAGGTAATCAGTAAAATACCTCTTAACTAATCCACTCACTATGTATAGTAAGTTTAACATTAACATTTGACACATAGGAGCATACAATTTTAACATGTATTACCATACATTATCATAAATAATTTTTTATTTATTGTAAATATTAGTTTTAGTAACGAATAGACTTAAATTTATAATAATTAGTAAAAAAAATTGAAAATCCAAAAAGAAAAATCAAATCAATTTACCTAATGATTTATTTTTATTTTAAATATTAATTATCTAGGTATTCCTTCAAAATAGTTTATTTAGCTATTCAAAAGATTTTTATATAAACATAAGTTCTAGAACTTTGTATTTAATTTTTAATTGGTTTTTCACAGATGCTGCAAAAATTTCTTGATGACATAACACCTTTTAAAACAGCAAGATGGATAGCAGCACTTGTAATAGTCCTTGTATTTATGATAAGGATAATAATGCTACAGGTAATAATGAAATTGTAAATTATCTTATTACTGTTTAGAATAACTTTGCCTTCCAAAATTTAACTAAATGATGAATCTGTTGGAAGTTGATTCTAATTTATTTAGAGTGCAATATTATTCCAAAATTTTTCCTATATTATCAACTATAAAAGGTATCTTATCTCTGACCTAAAATTAAATCATGATGAATAAAAAATAAAAAAATATCAATAAGAAACGCATGTAATATTGAACAATGGATCTGATGGAAATTTTCTTGGTAATGCTGCATTTTGGAACAAGAATATTATTGAACTGTTGTGTTTTAAAATATCTATTATCATTTTTATTAAAATTCAGTTATATCATTTTTATTAAATATAACTGAATTTTGGAAGACATCCTAATATATTATAAGTTTTTTTTTTTTTTAATTCAATAATTTATTTTATTATGTCAAATGGTCACTAATATGTTTTTAAATGTTTTTTATTTATACAATTATAGGGATGGTACATAATTACTTATGCATTGGGCATATACCATTTAAATTTATTCATTGCATTCCTTACACCAAAAATAGATCCAGCTATGGAAGAGTTTGAGGGTAATTGTTTATTGTTATATTTAAAAATTAAAAATAATAATAATTATTTTTCTAATGTTAATAGATGATTCGGGGCCGGCTTTGCCAACACGAGCAAATGAAGAATTCAGACCATTTATTCGCCGTTTACCTGAATTCAAATTTTGGTACTCGGTAGTAAAATCCACAATTTTGTCAATATTTTTGACATTTTTCCAATTTTTTGACGTTCCTGTATTTTGGCCCATTCTTGTATTATACTTCATAGTTTTATTTTGTATTACAATGAAACGTCAAATAATGGTAAGAAATATTTATGTCCATACTATACTTTAAAGTTTTATTAAAACAACTTAGTTGGTTGAGTTAAAAAAAATAAATATAAAGTGGGTATATCAATATATAATATATACATTATACATACTATTTTATTCTAACATAATACTAAGTAACTAAGTAACTAGTAACTCATTCATTTTAGTGTAGATTGTAGTGAGTATACAACTTTCCTTATAAAAAAATCTAGTATTATACTATTATTTTAAAGTTGAAATTGTTAAAAATCACATTTGAGAAACTAAAACTTTTTAAAAAAAAAACCATGTGTACTATAAATTATAAATAACTTTACAATAATACTTTGTCTATTTTTGATAGTTTTTCAAAATTATATTTTCTATCTATATCTATATATTATTTTATATAATACAATATTTATACATATATTTTTTCAAGTTTCATGATCACAATTTGCGTTCTATATTTATACATTTCCTCATATAACCAAGTAATACAATTTTTATAAACCAATAATCATTTGATTAATAATTTTTCAAGTATTATATGTATATGCTTTAGTAAATTTAATATTTGATACATTTACACAATGTTTAATTTTGAAATTATTTTGAATGTATTTTTAAATAATAAATAGAATAATTAGAAATAACTGTAATCAAGTTAACAATTATAAATAATATAATTGTTAAAAATTATGTTTTGTTAATTTTATTTTAAATTGAATTGAATAATATAATAAGTAACACGTATACAAAACAATTTAAAACATGCTTACATACATATATTAATAAAAGTGTATAAATAAAAATAATTATGTAGTCTAAAATATTATACAAATAAAATGATTACCACTAGTTTTGGCCTTGAGCCATTATTAAGTGAAATAGGTAATTAAATTATCAAAGAATAAAAAAGACTGACATACTTCCCATGGTGAGGTAGCCACTGTTGGTGAGAAGTTGGGTAGGTAGGATATTGAGAGGAATTTAATGTATATCTATATAACGTTAAAACATTGGTAACGAAAAACAATTCTGAGCGGAGTTCTTTTACATATGTTTTTTAAAGATTGTAATATTTACATTTTTAATCAAATTTTGATATTAAAATTCTCATTAAAAAAAACTATATTTTACTCAATTTTTTTTCCAGTCTACGACGATTTTAACTGAATTAAAAATAACAAAAATATTATTTTTGTACATTTTCCTATTATTTCTATGTTTTTTTTCCTATTTTTATGAAAACTACTAGGGAAATTAAAAAATTGCCTCCTTAAATTTACGAATTAAATACAAAATTTTCTTATAGAAAAAGTGCTACACTTGTAAATCAGATTAAGAATTCTTGTAGAAATGTTGTACTCGGTAAAAAATAAATAAATAAATGTACATAAGATAAAACTAATTCTAACATTTTAGAAATCAATATATATATACAGACTGATTAAGAAAATTACCCTGTTTATGATAACAAAATATTTTAGATTTAATTAATTAATTAAATTTAATCATTTTAGCTTTCTTTAAAACTATTTTTTATTTCTACCTTTACTCCATATACTTTAAATAAATGTATATTTTTGTTTTTCAATTAAGAACCCCTATTTTTGAGCATATAGATTCGAATAGAGAATATTTTTCTAGAAATTTTGATATGCATAGCAGTAATATCAGATTTACCGTACATGACTTTTAACTGTTCAAACTTTAGACCGGAGGAGTAATGAAGAGTTATCAATTTATCATTTAAAAGTAGATTTGCAATTTTTTACCCTCCCCTATTACTCTGGTTTTAATTTTAAACTGTTATGATTCATAAATGACAAATCTGATAATATTGCTATGCATATCGAAATTTCTAGAAAAATATTCTCTATTCGAATCTCTATGCTCAAAAATAGGGGTTTTTAATGGAAAAACAAAAGTATATATTTATTTATGTTTTATGGAGTTTAGGTAAAAATAAAAAAAATGTTTTAAAATAAAGCCAAAATGATTCCATAATGATTTTAAAAAACAGATATAAAATTCTTTTAGTATCCTCTGAGAAAAGTGGTGGTTCATGATAATAAAAATAAAAAAAATGAAGTATTACTTAATTAACTACTATACATATTTCATTTGTATTAGTAAATATAATTTATACATTAATATCTTATTTATATTATAGTATTATAAAAGTCAATTAACAATATCCTTATTTTCTCTCTTTTGTTCTTGTAAATTGTTTTAATAAAATTTTAGTATTGATGTATAATATTTATATTACATAGTACACGTTTTTAATTTATTTTTTTAATTTTCAGCACATGATCAGATATAGATACTTGCCATTCACCCACAGTAAACCCAAATATCAAGGTCACGAAGAGAGTGGAAAGGTGATTAGAGCTAAATGATTATTAAATGGTGAGGAGGTGGGAATCGGGAAAATTTTAAATTTTAATTATAATTATTATGTATACTTTTTAAATAACAATTTAATGTATGTAACATAATTAAAAAACGTTTTTTTTTTTCAAGCTACCTCTAATTCCAGAAAATTTGGTACCAGTTGTCACTCAAAATGTAACATGATCAGATATTATTTTTTGTATCTGTTAAATTAATTTTCTTTTTTTGTACACAGATATATTATAATAATATAATTATTAACTTCAAAATAAAACAAAAAAGTTCAATATTATATTCAGTTACTTAGTTTTTTATAATAGATTTTTTTTTTTTTTTTTTGATTTATCAAATTATTTTTGTTAAAATTAATTTGGTAGAAATAATGATTAGGCAATTATCAATTAATTTATTTTATTATTTTATTTTATTTGTAAATTGGCAGGAGTTCAAATATAAATATTGTTTTACCTTAATCAAAAATGTCAATATTTGTTTTTAATGCAAATTTAAAATTAAAATACTTATTAAGAATTTTATCAATGATAAAATATTAATTTTGTAATATAAATTGAAGTTTTTACCACTTAAAAATACAGAATATATCATTTTTATTCTACTTAATTATTCATAGAATGTGATATTCTAATTTTAGAATATTTTAATTAATGATACATTAATAACTATTTCATTAAATATATTTTAACAAAAATAGCTAATAGCATTGCCAATAAAAATTAATTTATTATGTTGTCTCCAGATTATTAACTGACCAAAATACGTTAAAATATGATAAAAACTATAACAGGTGTAGTGAGAATTTCCGATAATATGTGATGTTTTAAAAGTTTTATTTAAAATAGAATCTTTATTAATATATTTTTACAGTTATTGAAACTGGGTAATATAAGACGTTGGTTTGTTAGAGTAGGTATTTTACATATTTTAGTCATTATAGAATTAGTTATTGTCGGTTTAAAATTTGGTTTGATCATCAAATAAATAGAATATTTCCAGTGTAATTAGTCTAGAGATAAGCTCACAATAAAAGTAAAAATATACGGATTTGTCTACATTCATCATGCTGTATAATTTTAATTTATGAATTTTGGTAATAGTATTAAAAAAAAAATCACTAATATACATTTATTTTTATTGATACATTTTATTTTATACAGTTAATATAAGTGTTCAGATGACTGTTTCGATTAAGAACTTATTTTAATTTTTAAATAAAAGTATAAATAATTAAACACATGTATTTTTTGATGTTACTCTTGTCATTTTTGAGTTGATGTAATAAAAACTTTCTTTTATTCTTCGTAAGTAGTTGTACAGAATTATAATTGTTACAGTGTAAAATAAATGTACATTACTATGTTAATTATTTGGATTAAAAAAATTAATCATATAAAACTAATTGGTACACAGTACAGGGGTTTGACAACTGATGAACCAATAATACCAGGGAGCTGACATAACACTATAAAAAAGCGCTTGTTTGCAGTTATAGTTGACTAACAAAATAGATTAATAGATGAATTATCAAAAAGTATAACTTATAGCATAAAACTACATTTATAAACTGTTTACTGTACAACATATTATTTTGAATTCAATAAAGTGAATTTTAATTATTTTAAAATTGGTTTTTTATAGAATTTAAATGATAATTATTGTTTTAGATTATGAGTGGAGCAAAGAATGTCTTGGATTTACAATGATGTTTACTATTTTTTTTTTTTTATTTTTTCTTCTAGCAATTTTGTTCAAATTTACAATGACAGCACTTATTCTAAAAGGCAATCTTACTTGGGAGGTATTTTAAGGAGGTAACTTTTTAATTTTCCCAAGGAGTTTTCCCAATAAATGGGAAATGTAAATGAAAAAATTATCAATAGTAAACAGTAAACAATAATGGTTTTTGTTATTTCAGTTAAAGAATGATGGTTGAGACCTACAGTTTTCAATAAATAAGCATTGAGTTAATTTATTTTTATTTATTACGCTATTTATACGTCATTATAATGTATTTGTTTAACTTTTAAATAGGTACATTTTTTAATCGTGTTAATAATGTGTAGCATGTGTATATTGTATAGATACACATTCTAAAATAATAGGTAGGTAGGTAGATACTAAAAATATGGCTACCATTCGTCTTGAGACTAAGTACTGATTTTAAGCACGCTGTCCCAACCGGAATTTAAATAATATCTAGGTACCGGTTTCCTAAATGAAGTGGCGTGTCTAAAGAATTTTCACTTTACAGAAATCAATATAATTTATAACCGTACTTATAATTTATTTTAAGCAGATAATTTAACTAACGATAAATGTATAGGTGACTTTTTTTCAGACGACATCGTGTACCCTTACAACATACATAGACTCTCGTAGTCCCGTGGGAAATTCCACTAGAGGATTTTTGTGGACTCCTACTCGGGATTCCGACAAAAATAGTTACATACTACCTACTATAGTATAAGTACTTATCTACTATTAAAGTCATGACAGAAAACTATTTGTTAGTTATTTTCAAAACGTTTGTAGAATAAGTAGGCGTTTTAGTTTACATCATATTTAAGTATTTTTTATTGGAGTTTATTTATGTTAAACGTTATAAGTTATTAGTTATTTTCTTAGGCATAGATACTGTACCCAAAACACAATGAATTGGGATACCTGTCAAAATAAGACCACCTATAGGCCGTAGAAGACTTATTAATAAGATAGTAGAGAGACTATATAGTAAGTAATCTCAAATAAATGGTGGGTACTTAGCCCTATACTAAATTTATAAATATGTACCTACCTACCTATTGTGAATAATTATTAGAATTATATACTTATAGGTAACCAACATCAATAAAAGTTAAAAACGAAAGCAAAAGGACCCGTATAAGTTATACAAGTATACATTTTTTTCATGTTTGAACCGACAGCAGTGGAGGATCTGTTTTAAAAAATAATTCTCAAACATCACACTGTAAGTTAGATCTGGATAAGTGAACTATATGTATTATAATTTATAGTCACACCTGGCTTCTTTACAGCAGGTGGCGTTAGATTACAACAGCGAATCCGGTATCCTAGGATTGCAGCAGTGCATTTTAATTCGGCATAGGTATCGATTTTGATTCTATTGTATATTATATATTTTATGCACACCGTTCGGTGTACAGGTATTAATATTATTACGGCGATGGTGACTGCGTGGGCGGTTTTGTGCACCCTACACACTACTGGAGGACCTATAACTTTATAGATCAAATAAATGTTATATAATTATTAAGAAACGCAATCGATACCCATCGGTAGTATTGTGTTTGGCTTCACGACTAGGTACCTACTTTTGTTTACGTATACGAAAGTCTACATACGAAGTTATACACTTTCAGTTCAAACGGAATTATTCTCCTAGTATATAATATTATAATTTTCAGATCAAACTAAAAAAATATGGATTTGGCGGCCACCTACTCTGCTCATTTTTTCAACGCGGACGCGCCCGCGGACGTCCCAAAATCGGCTTTCCAATTATGCACGCACAACGGGGTAGGTATCTAACTTCTATATAACTTACGTTGCATCGTAATATAAATATATAATTACCGGGAGCGGATTTTACTAGACTAGCATTAATTGACAAGATGCTTGAAAACTAGTAAAGTTAACATTTGTTTCATAACACAGGAAAGCAGAATAAAACATTTTATTTTGCATACTTTGCAATTTATCAGAGTTTTGTACTTTCTTTGAACATTTTGTATACTTACACTTGTTCTTTAATACAAAGTTTGACATAGGTATTTTAAAAACGGTGTTTTAAAAAATAGTGTTAACATTGATTATTGGGTAGGTATGTAAAATATTGTCACCGCGTGTATATTCTAAATTACCCACTCTATGATGATTGAACAAAATTCTGAATAGAAAACCGATTACAAGATTCGTCACGTAGCAATTAAATGTTAATTAATAGCAAACATAAACAATTTTCCCAATTTTATTTGCTGTTTTTCAAAAAAAATTTTAGGGACCTATATTATGTACATTGAGCAAACTTATCTGCGTATAGTTAGTTGTATAGTCATATTAGTGTGTATCCCTATCCTATATCTATCCAATACTATCCCTGTTTACATTAAAATAATAGATAGGTAGGTTTGAGTTTGATTACGATTGTGTTCCAGGGCCAATATGATGAAAGCTGTTTGCCAATTTATTGGGAAAATTTGAACGTGCACGCATTGGTTAAAAATGACCGGTGGTTTCGTTCCAGCGTTATGGCCAGAAAACTGTTGCTAAATAACGGTAAATACGGAATTTTGTTAAGCTGATGTTATAGGTTGTTATAAGGTATAGATTGATGACTATGTGGTGTTAATAGGAGACTGCAGAACACCTCCATTAATTGTTCACATGGTTAAGCTTTATTTATTGATTAGATTCTAAAAGAAGCGAAAAATGTAATAACATCATTTTTGTATCTGTAAATAACTATTCTTACCAGAAGTCAGATTCCAATGAAAAAATGTATACTTTATAGAAACTTACCGAAAATGGGAGTTAAAATACATCGACGTACCAAATGCATTTACTAAAATATATTACATTTTGCTTTGGATCCAAAATAAGAATATAAATGTTCGTTTTCAGTTCGTATATTAATGAACCAACATTTAACATGAACCGTAGGTCAAACATTATAGGTAATTAAAAAAGTTGACTTTCAGTTACGATGAGCGTTTGTAATTGAAAAGTTTCAACGCCATTAGTTTTAAAGCGTATTTTATTCAACGAGCCCACGACATGATCCTTATTGAAACCATTAGAATTACTGTAATGTAAGTATGCAAAACCTCTTGGTCCTTTCCAGGTGATATATCTAAAAAAAATTAAATATTATGTTACGGTTTTTATAAGAAATATAAATTAATATAATTCGAATCATACAATGGTTTCACTCCGTGATCTACTAAAGCAGCTTTTAAATCACGCACTCTGACGTTATTGGGAATTTTTTCAATTTTAAATNCCATGACAAGTTTCAATATAACGAGGTCTAGATTCTTGTACATAGTTATTTTTCTATAAATTAAAAAATTGTTTTAGTTGAAATGCCAATATTAAATTAATTACATTTACTCTATCGACAGTTTGGTGTGCCATTCTATTAAAATTTCGCTGCGGTCGAAAAATTCTAGAATTGATGTTTACATCTTGACAATTCGATCCTTTAGAAATATTGTTACTATTACGAGCCTGTTGGACCTTTTTTGTGCCCATATTATAGCCGTTAACATTTGAATTTGGTGGACGGGCATTGGCCGATCGACATCTATTGGGAATATAACGGATATGTAAATTCAAATTAAACGTAACCCGTCCTTTACGTTCAACGTTGCTATTCAATTTTTTTAAAATGGATTTTAATGGTTGTTTTGAGGTAAATTGACTTTTAGATACTGTTGTGTGTTTAAATTCAGTTTGGTTAGTTTTAGGTCTGTGTGTAAAACAAAATTACAAAATAAATAAATATACGTATTTAATATATATACAAATAAATAACGTACATTTTAAATTTACTCTTCGAGTTTTGTGAAGGTTTTAAGCAAAGGAGATACTTTTTCGGAAAAACTGACAACATCTTTGAAAGGACTATCTAAATCATTGATCACTTTTTCTTTATTACACATTAATTGAAATGGTGTCATCTCAATCGGTCATTTTACTCCGTTAATCTAAATTTGTATAATTTGATAATAATGAGATACATTAAGCAGTCATAAAGAAATGATTGTTTATTGCTATCAATCAAAACTTCTGCTTTGATCTAATAGTATTTGCTATTTGTCAGGTAAGGGGAGTTATTCAATATAATTTTGTATTATAAGCAGTGGTTGTCAAACCCTCACTAAGTATCTAGTGCAATTGCACGGGTGCTCAAGAGAAGTAATTACTGGGTAGGGATTGTTAATTGAGATGTGCAAATCACGATAGTTTGTGAGCCTCAAGTTAAATTAGAATAATCCAATTTATAAGTGTGTTAATTATTTGTGAATCTGCTATTTCGTGAGTGGTGAATTTTCATTATTATTTACTGTATACAATTTGGGCGTCGCTGATTGTAGTTATATTAATAATATATTGTTGTATTGGTATGTTGTTAATAATCATACGTAATATTATATTATTCATAATATTGTTAAAATAAGATAATAATTTTGAACCGTATAAATAAACAAATAAAACTCTATTAATTGTCATCACCAAATATAACATACCCGTGTATTGTGAATAATATTAGTGACAGTATTGTCAGTTATCATATTCATAGAATGTAAAATATCACAACCTTTGACTTCTTCTGCTTCGTCAGTTTTCAAAAATAAGTTAGTAAGTTTTTTCTTTGGGTCGTTTAATAAGTCAGTTTTAGAAGTAGCTGAATATAAAATACACATTTTATTCCAAAACAAATAAATACTAACATCAAAATGTCTAATAAAAATATATTTTATTTAACTTAGTACTTACTCGTAACGCCAGGAAGATTTGTTGGCAGTGATCTAGGTCCTAGACTCGTCAATGCACGATTAGATTTATATATTTTTGATTCAACAAGTCCTTCAGCAAGATAAATTGATGTATTACTTCCATCAAACTTTGAAAATTCATCAAACATTTTTAGGCTTCTTGATGATTATAGTTTTGAAAAGACTCGTGCTACCAGAAACTATAAATTGTTTAACTAGTAGTTAAATATAAGATATATTTTTCATAAACTTTGTTTCTCCGTTATAGAATTGATGCACATCTAATAATACAACAGATTATTTGAAAAGTTTATTTTCAAATGTTTTAAGTGCTTGTAATAGCTAGCGAATACAAAAGAAAATAAATGAATAAATAATATTTTCATATTCATGGCAACGAAAACAACGATCAATTTATTATATAAAACCAACTCATATATTAGATAATAAAAATAATAATTATTTATTAAATATAAAACTTAACAAAATGATGAAGATTGCGATAAAGTACAATATTATAGGTATAATGGTACTTTTAAGACAGTCGGACAGTTTGATTTTATATTTTTAAATATTGTACACTTTAGTTCAAGTTTCTTTTGACCAAAATTATTTAAATTATAAAAGTTTTAGATTCCGAGCGTAGCGAGTGAGCTAAAGGTTTTACAATGCTGTTTATTTCTTCTTTTTTATTTCTTTAATTATGATGTCATTTTTCGAATTTTTCAGGAGTTTTCTCATCAAATGAGAAAAACCGAAAAAAAAAAAAAAGGAGTAAAAATGAGAAAATGTACGAAATATATTAGTAAATTATTACCATTTTTTTTTTTTTTTTTGTGGACAACGTTTTTATCAGCAATTTTGCACCGATTTACAGAGATTGTACTTTTTTCTGAAAAGAAATTCAAATGGGAAGGTACTTAGGGAGGACCTTTTTGATTTTCCCAGGATTTTTATCAAAAAGTAGAATAAATTGAAAAAAAAACTCGAGGAAAAACGGGAAAATGTACGAAACGTGGGTATTAGTTGAAAAATATTTCGGTCATCTGTTTCCCATAAACAACTTTTCTAATAGCAATTTTGCCTCAACTTATAATAATAGCAATTTTTTTTAAATAGAAATCTGACTGCGGGGGTACTTAAAAAAGGTTGTTTTTGATTTCCCGTAGAGTTTTTCTCAACAAACGTTTTTTCCTAGTAAACTTGCTCCAAATTTTACGTGTAGAAATTTTTTGGAAAGGTTAAGTTTTCTAGATTATATTTTAAAAAGATCATTTGTAAATATATTATCCAAAACTCAAACACGTGATACAGATAACTATTGTGTGTCTGTGTAAATTTTTAAGTACGGCTTCCGATGGGAAATCTGAATTATCTAATAATTTTATCACAGATTATAATTTTTCATTAATAAAAAAATTATGATTATATAATTATACTATAATTACTTAATTTATATCGAACTTTGTTCATTTTCTAGTCGATGGATACATTCCTCCATGTTCACTGGTAGCTATTATGGGACCGAGGTAAATATTCGTATCTAATTTTTAGATTCTGAGCGGATCAAGGAATGTATTGGCTTTACAACGATGTTAAGATTTTATTTTTCTTTGAATAACTTTTTTAATAGAAATTTTGCTTTGATTTTCAAGTGTAGCACTGAATATAAGTTTGACTGGGTGGTACTTTCGGGAGGTTATTTTTAGATTTTCTCAAGGGTTTTTATAATAAATTTGGAAAAACCCTGATACAAAATCGTAAATATTACGGCCTTTTAAAACATGTATAACCGAATCCGCTCAGAATCGTTTTTCATTAGCAACATGCGAAGTATGTTCGTTTGTTTTTATACGTAAAATAATCATAAATTTATAACATTTTTAAGAACTTATATATTACTGAAATAAAAATTTAATTTCAGTGGTGCCGGGAAGAGTACATTGATGGCTGCTTTGGCTAATAAGCTTCCAGGTAATAAATGCAACTAGCTATCGCATATTTAGGTATTTTCGAGTAAATTGATGAATATTTTTTTTTTTCATTTTTTGAATTTACTAGGGGTTTTCATAATAAATGAGAAAACCGGGAATAAACGAGACCATAAATAAACCATTTTTTTTTCCAGAAAGCTGATTCCGATTATTAAATATAGCACACCATTTCTGAAAGGAAATGCTCTTTTCTGGTGGTAATTTTTTGGGAAATCATTTTTTGAAATTTCCATTAATATTCGAGATAATGGGGAAAACCGGGTTCTTTAGGTTAAAAAGATTGAAAGATTAAAAAACGATTGTCGTTGGTAACTGTTTTTAAATAATCATTGTTGTCATGGAAACATACATTGTAAGTATTTTACTATCATATGGCATATTATGTATTGTTGACAAAGTAACACTGTCAATCCGCTCAGAATCGTTTTTTCGTAAGCTATGGTTTATCGTTGTCTGCAGGTATGCATTAAATTCTCGTCTGTATCCTACCTTCTTAACTTCTCACCTACAACAGTGGCTACCCCCACGTGTGAAGTACCGTGGTATGTCAGTTTTTTTAAATTTAATTATTATAATAAAAGTTATCGCCAAATCATAATAATCAGCATTTAAACAACAATGATCGTAGTCATATTAACGCAAGGTTACAATAATTATAATTATAGTTATCATAATTTATTGTAATAATAATAATTGGCTTTATAATAAGTTATGCAATTATTTAATAATCAATCAATAATAACAATAAATATCGGCAATTTAAAAAGAACAATTATGAATAATAGTAATAATGGGTATTTTAACAATAATAATCAGCATAATAATAACAACCATCAATAATAATAATAACAATCATAACAATAATCAAAATTAGCATTTTAATAAAACAATCAACAATAATCATAATCATAATTTTAATAAGAATAATAATAAGCATAATAATAATTTTAAAATATGATAATAATAATAATTATGATCACTTTTAAAATCATAATCATATTCAGCATTTCATTAAGATGCATTACCTATAGGTAATAATAAATATAATGATAACTTGATTAATAATAATGAGCATTTTAATAATAATCATCATACATATAACAACCGCCAATAATAATAATAATAATCATTAACAAATATCACAGTTAGCATTTTAATAAAATAATCAACAATAAACATAATTTTTATTTTGATAGGCTCATTAAAAATAAGCATATGAATAATAATAATAATAATAAAAATAATGTCCATCAATACATTTTTTAAATAAATATTAATAAATAATTTGGCGACAATTTTTAAAGATAAGATAAAATCTACATGGGCCGGACAAGGAGAATAATTATCAGTTTTGGTAGTTTTAGCTCACTACATACTAATAGTATGATATTCATTCTGTATTGTATAATAACTTCTAATAATATGATGTGTTGTAGCACAACTATTTTCATACGTATTTGCTTGTTTTTTAAATCTAGTGTCTACCCTAAAATTTTCGCTACGGGGCATACGTCGGACCCCAGCCTGGTCGGACATGCCCAGGTTGTCCGGGAGTTAGATCCGATACTGTTAGGTGTTTTATTTATGTCATAGCTTCTCTACTTTTAAAATAATATATTAACGTTTTAGAAATAACACATTTTATGTACCTATTCGGTTTTTTTTGTATCCCAGATTTAATAATTAAACGCGTAGAACAAATTCAATCAATACTACGCAATTATTTTCCATTAAATCAGTTCGTTAAGTACATTTTTCCAATCACATGTCTTTAATCTTTATAGTTGTGTGATAATGAAACATAATATGTATATTTTTAATTTAAAGCCCATATAGAACTCGAAGGAAGTGTGAAAATAGGAAGTATTTCTGTTAAAAATTTCAAAAGCTACAATTTTGGATACATGTATCAACATGATTTGTTCTGCGGAGTTTTAACGGTTAAAGAACACTTATACTTCATGGTAATTATTGTACAATTTTGGAGAGAAATATTATATTATTTTAAAAACAAAAATGTTTTTTGCAGGCAAAGTTAAAACTGGACAGAAGAATAAGTGAAAAAAATCAGAAAGCTCGGGTTTTAGCAATTATCGACGAATTGGGTCTTAGCCAGTGTGCAAATACCAAAATTGGGTTTGGGCGTGAAAATGGAAAAGTACCTATTTTTTTTTTACTTTAAATATACATTTTTTGAGAATGTAACATAAAAACGTAATACTGTATTATTATAGATAACATTATCGGGTGGCGAGAGAAAAATTGTGTCATTTGCAACTGAGCTTCTTACAGATCCACCATTTTTGTTCTGTGATGAACCTACAACAGGTATGAAAAGCTTTACCTTTGTTCATAAACTTTAGGTTTGAAACTATAAACAAAACTAATCAAGATTTATCAAATTATAAATTGACAATATTAAATTATATATATTATTTTAGGATTGGATTCATATAGTGCCAAAAATGTTGTCAGTGTAATGCAACGGTTAGTGTCCGACCAAGGAAAAACTGTGGTCTGCATAATTCACCAGCCTAGTTCAGAACTTTTGAATGTATTCCAACAATTGATATTGGTTGCTGACGGGAGAATTGCTTATTCTGGACCACCCGTTAGAGTGACATCATTTTTTGAAAGGTGCCTACCTACAGTTATCCTTATTGTTATTAAAAAATTTAAAAAAACCCGTACGATAGTTCAATATTAAAATTAAAATTATTGTTATTATTGTTAATCAATTGATCTGGTGCATGAAAAAAAGGTCCTTAGTTGATAATTTGCTTAAATTATTTTCAGTTTTGTGTAAGATCTTTATAATCTTATACTAAAATTCATTGGGCTATACAAATTTGTATTTATTCGTTTTATATCAAATTTGCAACGATTTAGGATTTTTTTTAAATTTTCTTTAATTACCAAATACATAGATACTTCCCTATCTGGGAAAGTATTATTTATTCAAGTAAAATATTTACTTATTAAATATTTTTTTAAGATCTTAAGATTTTTTTAATCTTTTCGTCTTTAATGCATTTCATGATGTATACATTTATTTGCTATTATAAGCAATTTTAATAAAATGTCTGTGAAGTGTATAATCATTTTGGAAAATATTAATTAATCTGATATTATAATATAATATCTGGTTATTAATTGATTTTTATTGTATATATTCACTATTCAGTTGTGTTGGTTTTCGCTGTCCAGAAAATTACAACTGTGCAGATTTTATAATGAAGATATTGTCTGACGGCAATAAATCTGTAAATTCAATTTGTGATGAATTTGCAGCTAGTAAACAAGCCGAAGTTATAAAAAATGCTATTTCGAACGAAATTTATTTTGTAAGTATTGTCTTTTTATATAATGAATAGATACGGTTCTGTATAGAATGTATACCTATCATGATTGATAAAACAATAGAATGAGGTAGATTATATTATAATAAGTCGAATTCATATTTTCCAGGAAACATCAAGTATATCAGTACTTCATAATCAGTGAGTTTTATAATTGTTAATAACCATCGTTATCATTATATTATGTTACTATCTGAATTACCCGATATTTCAAGTTATTAAATCGTTTCAGAAACGGAAACCAATAAAAGAAATTAAATTTAAGCTTTCCTCGTTTCTATCTTTATCCCTAACACGGTTAATTGTTGTTGCCCGCGGTAATTTATCTTTTAAAGATTTCTCTGCCTGTGACCCTAATTAAATAATAATAACGGATTTTTTATTTCATCCGTATCACCAAACCAGAAATCAAACGAAAACTTCAATTTTTATATTAAAATACTAAAAACCCTGTCGGTGGGACTGACTTTCGGGATAAAAAGTAGATAGCGATTGTTCTCTTGTTTTGGATGTCAAGTGTGCAAAGTATCATCAAGATTGGAATAAAAAAAAAAATTGTTGAATCTTGAATGAGTGTGTTCATGGTACCTATACGATTATGATTACCTATCTATAAACGTGGTAACAATATAATTAAAATTATCGTCTTCTGACAATCCAGGGAAGGGGGAGCTTGAGCCTAGAAGCATCCTGGTTGAGGCATTTCCCTGTATACAGGTATCTACAGGTATCTCGTAGGTAAATTCTAATTTTATGATTTTTGTAATTGTCGGCCGCGGCGTGTACGTTGTCTATTTACGGTGTCTATCAAAGACATTGATATAGAAACAGACATAATACGTAGTACTACTATAATATTATGGTAGCACTACTCTTGTACTAGAAAGAAAAAAAAAACAAGTACGAAGGCGTATTATTGTTTGCGATAACGGAATAAGAAATGTGCGCGGTTTATTTCGCCACAAAACATGAAACGTATAATAATTCAAAACGAAATCGCCGAAAATATTCTAATACGACGTACCTATTATGTTTCCCGGTATAACGTATACATAATACGGAATTACCATAAGGTTTAGGGCCTAAAACTCGTTGCTGTCGGTACCTACCTAAGTTATACGCGCGCATACCACAACCGTTTTACAACGAAACCGGTAAATAAATTATACCTGTGTACAGTCTGTAGGCCTTGGTTATGACCAGGACCACGGTTTTAGCCGACGAAATGTGTCGGTACCAACCCAATATTGTATCCCGCATTATTGTAATCGCCGTGTTAACGATGATAATGTTAACCTGTTAATAATATTGTAATTCGTAACTTATACTGTATATTATAATATCGTTTACAGCTTGTCGCCGTTCTGGCCGGTGAAACTTTACCACCTGACGGGACGGTATCTTCTGGAGAAAGTCCGTGATCCAACCATCGACGTCCACAGGTTTTTGCAAAAAGTCGTGAGTATTTACCGCAGCGCGTGTGATAATATATTTTATGATATCGGTTACCTTAGGTGTATGCGTGTGTGTGTGTATTGCGTGTATGCTTAAGTGGCGCCCACCGGGGCATTGTTCGCGAGGGCGTTTTACATTTATTATTTATTTTTTTTTTTTTTCATTTTCACAAATACGCAATATTTTTCTTGTTCAAATCTATTCTATATTATACGAACATTATACCGTGTATACCGTTATACACGAATCGATTCGCGCGACACAATGCGTTTTTATAATACTATTCTGCACACATCAGGACGATTAGAATTTCATATAGTTCCACAGTATACGCGTGTGTGTATCACATTGTCGCAGTCGGCGGCGTTTTCCGTCAAACATTTTTATACCTATGGGTTTTATATATAGCGTTTATGAACATTTTATAAACACGTATTCGATTTTATAAGCGTTTTTATACGAAAGGGAAAAAAATCCGAACAATATATAGCGGTATTATGCGTCGCTATTCGTCCATTATACTCGTCTACACGTTTTGCAGAACCGCGGTAACGTCTCGATCGACTTAATATTATACATAGTTCTGTGTACTGTTTATATAGATACTTCGTGTTCGAGTACGCTGAAGAAGTTACGTACGGGTATCAGTTTTAGGTTTTCTCACTATACATATTGTATTAATATAATATCTCATATGCCCGTCGCACACCGGGACATATTTTTAAAAAGCCGAAAAGTCACGAAATACGATTTAGAAGAAAATTCCGTCTAAAATCCCCCATTCTCGAGTATACGTAATAACTGCATGTAGTTAATTCAACTAACAGCAGCTGAGGCTAAGGCTGAGGCCTGTGATATGCGGACAGTTCGCAGACATGGTACGCGAAGAAATCGTTTGATAAGTGAAAAAAAGAAGTTATTGGTTATAAATAGAGCACGGGTATTGTAGTAGTAAAAAACTATTGAAATTGTTTGCAGTATTGCACTAAAAAATACTGAAAATTGTACTAAAAATATTAAAAACTACACTAAAAACGAATAATTTTTTTACAAAAAAGGAAATAGTTGGCTTAATTTTCGGCGTATTTACAAAAAAATAACAGAACACGATGACTCAAAATTCACGGAGTGACTGAAGAATAGATTATAACTGTCAAACAGTCCCATTTTTCTAATTATTTTTGTATTGAATTAAATACCTATCAACTTGGAATTATCAAAATAAAAATATGATACCATTATTTGATTTTATAGCTAGCAATATTATAGTATAATCTTATCTATGCGATTGTCGAGTGTCGAATATAGCTAAAATAATTGTGTAAATGATTAAATTCAATAAAATTGAAAAAATTGTTAATCATTGCTCTTAAAACTTCCTGATTTGAATTCGTACTTACATTAAACGTATTTAAAACTTATTTTTTTTTCTAAGAACGTTTAAATTAAAATTTGATGTAACAAAATGGTACGGTTTGTACAATAAAATACTTGGACGTAATAATGTTCCATTTTCATCTTGAAACCTGAAGCACATTTATTGTATATTGATGGTTTACTTGAACAATATTTGTGATTTTTAAAAATAGTAATTTTTCAATAATAATTACTATTAAAACCGAATAATTTGTTTATAATTACAACTGAACTATAATATAAAATGTGTCGGCAAACTGGTGTGTCGGCGAATCGAGTTGTCGGCCAATCGGTACGACACCTAGATAGACAGAGGCACGGTAAATTGACAACGCTATTATTATAATCGCGGTGTCTACTTTAAATATTTCGTTATTATTAAATAATATAAAAGCACATATTATACGGTTTTTTTTTTTTTATATAGGCAGCAATAATAAGAGTGGGCGCATAAATTAACACCGAGCACGCGATCGACGGCGCTAGATAATAATAATATGTATGTATGTGTGTGTGTGTGTGTGTGTGTGTGTATGTACCGCTCGGACGACCCCACGCACCGTTCGGGGGAAAAAAAAAAAGTAGAAATATACAAAATCGCATTCAAACTACATTATAATACAGAGTGTTACCCGGAGATCGGGACAAATGTAATGATTTTTGTACCGTTCGGTATTTTAAAAATGTTTCTTTGTCGTAATACTTACTTACATTTCGCTATGATGCTTATACTATTATTGTTTTTTTTAAAAAAATCCATGATAGCTGAATTGTATAAACATGTACGGAGACGCAATTTTAGTGTTACAATTATTGTTTACTAACTACGAGTCGTTAATTTTATAAACAAATGTTTAAAGTTTACGATAATTAGTTTAAATCGTTCTTAAAAATGTTTAAAAATTAACGGCACATCATTAATAAACATTTGTAACACTAAAATTTTAAATTGATGTTTAATATTTTTAGTTAAAAAAAATAATAAAAAACTAATAATAATAAAAATAATTTTAGCGCAAGACGCTAGTTATTATAACGAAAAAAAGAAAAAAACTTATAAATATCGACTAGAACGAAAGTTGTTGCGTTTGCCGGATCTCCGTGGGACACCCTGTAATATAACGAGACAGAACCGTAAGCGCTCGTTTTATTATTATGTATAGGATACTTTATGAGTTTTATTTATTTATTAGTACGGTGTTTTTTCCCCTCCGTTCTGGATTTTTTTTCCCTTCTAAAATCGCGACCGTGTGACGGAATCATCGGCACCGGCATCCGACAAGACGGTAAACGATATTTATATACACTGTTGCACTGTGTTAATAATACGGCGTATAGGTATTATGTTATTATACACATTTTATACTAAGCCGTGGGAATCGGATCGTACAATTTCCTTCGATTTCAGTAATAATATATATGTACTCGTACAATGTTTTCTTGTTCCGTCGATTACATCGACGAATTAAAAAAAAAAAAAAAAACAGAAAATCGCTAAACAGTCGAACCCCTCGGCTAAGAGATGAATATACTACACACAAACTAGGGATCTCTGATAATACTGATAAGGAAATCTTTTTTTTCTTTTAGGTACTGAGCGTAGCAACTAACGTCTGCAGGTATTGGTTTTATTATGGCGTATAGGATTTCTTTTCGCGTGTCTGTTAATCCGATCATCAACTTCAGGGGTAGTTTCTGGTGAATCGAAGAGGTTAATTTTTGAAATTTTCCTCGCAGTTAAATAATTGAGGGAAAACGAGAAGATTTACGCAATAACGGTTTATGTTGTTTATGTTATTTGTTTTATTGCAGTGATTCTCTATTTCTTCTTTTAGCGAAATCATTGTCTAAGAGTTTTGACCGCCATCACAATATCATGCCACCTGTCTCTGTCTTGCTCTATATCTTTTCAGCCCTCAATACCCAGCCTCCCCAAGTCTTCCTCTATTCCATCTAGTCATCTTTTTCTGGGTCTGTCTCATGGCCTTTTCCCTTGGGATACCCATTCAAGGGCTGTTCTTAATGATTCGTTTTCTTTCCGACGCATGATATATCTAAGCCATATTGTATCCTCTGGTCTTTGATGAAGTTAGTTATCGTTTCCGTTTCCGTTGTAAATTTCTTTTGACCAGTTGATTTTGGTGTTCAACAATGCACCTAAATATCTGAAGTCATCTACTTTTTCATACGACAGTCCTTCATTATCTGTTGGGTCTATCCCACTATTCATAAGCTCCATTACCTTGGTTTTATTTGCGTTTATTTGTAGTCCGATCCTACCAGCCTCTGTTTCTAGTTTCTGTTTCTGTGTATCACTACGTTGTCTATATCTTCCAGTGTCTCTTCTATAATGTCTAGGTCGTTTGCAAAGCCGAGTAATCTTAGTGTTTTGTTATTGATCAATATGCCCCCTTCCTAATTAGTTCTCTTATCACTTTTTCCAAAGCTATATTGAACAGGATTGGGAAGAGCGTATCTCTTTGCTTTAAACCTGATTCGATTGAGAAGGGTAATGACACTGTATTGTCCACTGTCACCTGATATTGCTTATCTTATATTCATATTTTCGTTAGTTGTATTCGTTTTTGGGGGAAACCGAACTCGAGCATTATTCTGTACAAGCTATCTCTGTGTATGCTATATTGCTATCGTAGTGATTTTATTTAAAAAAAATCGCTGGGACTTTTAACTTTTGTCAAATACTTGTATAACAGCCTTTTATAGCCGTTGTAAAATCTAACGTATTCATACGTTTTTTAGTTTTATTTGGTTTTGTGTAGATAAAATTGTTTTGACCCAGAAAAAATGCTCGAAAATACGTGTACTTGTATAGTTATATACATATATATTTTTAGGGGATTGCCGTCATGGTCGGACTGTGTTACTTGGGTACGGTACAACGGACTCAAAATGGCATTCAATCGTTTCAGGGCGTGTTTTTCATGCTGATCACCGAGAACTTTTTCACGCCAATGTACTCCGTGATGAACCAATTGCCCGTTCAGCTTCCCTTGTTCCGCAGGGAGTACACCTCCGGATTGTACGGCGCTTCGACATTTTATGCCGCCAACTTGTTGTCCTTCGTGAGTGGTCGGCGACAATATTATTATTATGTTAAAAGTTTAAAACACGATAAAATAATTTATCGTATGCAAATATAATATTATACTGACTAATTATTTTATTATAATATTGTTATCGGGTTATTTTTTCGCCCCCGCAGATCCCCACGTTGATCATTGAACCCACGGTGTACACGACAATCATTTACTGTATGGCCGGCTTGAAAAACGATCTATATGCATATTTTCTCACGGTAATCATCACGATTCTGGTAATGGCTGTGTCCACTTCTTGCGGTCCGTATAAAATAATATTACGTACACGTATAAACAAATATAAATCATTATTATATTATATTACTCATTATAATATCTATCATCCTATATATATAATAATAATAATAATAATATTAAAATAAGGCATTGACATTTTTTTTCCCATAATATTATTGTTTATTATTCATAGGTATCATGTTCAACAACATTTTCGGTTCTTTGTCGCTGGCGTTAACGTTTGTCCAGCCGTTCGACAACGTCATCATGATCCTGTCTGGTATTTTCGTGAATATCAGGTCAATATAATATTTCGATAACTTTAATATTATAACAATTATAATAAATTATATAACTTTATACTTCGATAATTTTAAATGCTTTTGAAAACATTTTTGAAGTTAGGCAATTTGTTCACCCAGTGCCTCAAAATATGCGGTGATACTTTATTTGAAACATCTATCGAAGCTTTCAGCAATTCACCCTTAGGTTCTTTTATTATTGATTTCTGGTATACCTTGGTAATAAGAGAAAAATAACGACTAATAATATTCCGCTCAGAATCGTTTGTAATGATTTATCATTCAATCTTGTTTTTAAATTTTAATACTGTAAGTTATTATAACAACCATCAACAACTATAATAATAATAATCAACAAATACCCTTTTTAAACTTATGATTATGATATTTTTTAATGATAATTATTATTGGTTAATATCATTAAAAGCTTTTTTAAAAACATTATTACACTTTTCATTATTATTATTATTACATTTAGAATGTTTTGGTTTTACAAAGATGTTTATTTTTTTATTTTTATTATTTCTATTTTTTTTTATGTGAAGACTTTTTCTGTTAGAAAGCTTACTTCGATGCATAAGATGTAGACTTTTTTCTCAAAGGAAATTTTCTTGGGGAAGCCATAAGCTTTTTCGCTCAATTTAGAAACTAAAATAATGACCATAAAAAAAAAAAAAAAAATAATAATAATGAGCACTTTAAAAATCATGATCATAATCAGCATTTTAATAATAGGCATAATAGGTAATACGAAATATAATGATTACTTAAATAATAATAATCGAATCAGCATTATTATTATTATTAATAATAATAATCATCAACATATATCATAAACAATAAAATAACTAATAATAATCATAAGTTAATAAGTTAATGATTATTATTATTAACGATGGTTGTTATACGTATGCTGATTATTATTATTGTTGGTTAATTTTATTGAAAGTATTAATGATTTTTATGATGCTGATTTGATTATTACTATTAAAATGCTGATTATGATTATGATTTTTAAAGTACTCATTAATATTAATAATATTATTATTATTGAAATAATTATAATCATTATTATTTTATATTCTGAGTGGAGCGAAGAAGCTTATCGTTTTACAAAGATATTTTTTTTTTTTTTTTAGTTTTTCACATTTGTTGAGAAAAACTCCCCGGGAAATCAAAAACAACCTCTTTTAAGTACCCTCGTAGTCAGATTTCCTGATTTCCTTTTTAAAAAATTGCTCTTTTTATAATTCTGAACAAAATTGTTGGTAGAAAAGTTGTTCACGGGAAAAAGATGGTCGAAATATTTTTCAACTAATAATCACATTTCGTATATTTTCCCGTTTTTCCTCGCTTTTTATTTTCGATTTATCCTACTATTTTTTTTATAAAAATCATGGGTAAATCAAAAAATGACCTTCCCGGTGGAATTTATTTTCAGAAAAAGTACTATCATTGTAAATCGGTGCGAAATTGTTGATAAAAAAGTTGTCCGCAAAAAAAAAAAAATCGTAATATTTTACTTATATATTTCGTACATTTTCTTTTTTTCCTACTTTTTTTTTCAGTTTTTCACGTTTGATGAATTGAACCCTAAAAAAATTTAAAAATGATCTTTCTCAAGTACCACCCTAAGAAAATTTCTTTTCATAAAAAAGTTCTACATTGATTACATCAGTATACATCTTTTTAGTAGAAAAAGTGTTAACATGAAAAAAAACAAAAATAAAAAATTATTATTTTTGTAAACCCAATACATTCTTTGCTACATTCAAAGAGTCAGATATACCATTTAAACTCTTTTTGAAAACCTAAAATGACTCCCCTGCAGTGGTGCAACTATGGCCCCCCCCAGGGTGTTTTGGGTGTCTAAACACCCCTTCATATCCGTGACAATATATATGGTTTAAAACCATGTTTTTTTTTAATGTAGACATGTGACACCCCCTTTCAAACAATTCCAGGTTGCGTCATTGCTCCCCTGATATTCGCATCATCATCGTACTATAACGCGTTATTAATTTTATTCCAAATTGGGATCGCTTTATACTATACGGTTTTCGAAATAATTATTAATCGTTAATATTTTCTAGGAGTATACCGTGGTATCTGCATTGGATTGTGTTTATATCCTGGTTTGAGCTCGGGTTCGAAGCACTCACCATTCTACACTGGAAAGACGTCGATTACATTGGTAAGTAAACGAACCATCCGATTTCATCAAAATTTAATAATTAAATGATCCTATAATGACGTAGCCTATATTATATTGTTGTGCATTATATCATAACGATTTTACGTGTAATTTAGCCTGTAGCCAGGATCCGGACGTGCCGTGTTTGATGGACGGCAGTGACGTTTTAGATAAATACGAGTTCACGGTGTCCAATCTGATGCCGCACATTTATTTGATGGTTTGGCTGTTCGTCGGTTTCCACGTCATATCATTCGCGTGTTTCGTGACAAGAGCCCGCCTGAATAAATTGTCCTAAGACGACTGTAATATGAATATTATTAATGCATATGGGCGTACGGACGTTCATTTTTTTTCACGTTTATATTTTTGTACATTGTATGCCGTAATAGAACAATAAAGGGCGTTTTTTCGATAAAAAAAAAAAAATAATAAAAAATGTTATTTCCGACAAACTCGTTTATTCGTCGTGCCGTTGACTCATCGCGATTATATGTACGTGAGCCGTTGATACGCACGGCGAACATTATAGTAATAATATTATCGTCGTAGTGTTGTGAAAACGAAGAAGCTGCGCCAAAAAAAATATAATAATACAGAGAACCCTTTTTGAATAGTTGAAAGCCAACAGCGTGCGGCAAAACGGGGAGGGGGTCGTCCGTAGCAGCAGTGACGTTTATAATGCGTACACGGAGGGTCAGTTCCGCCTCTTGTTCGTACTTACGATATTTGACTGTTGCGACATTTTTTTTATTATAGGTGGGAACCGTAGTCCGATCGTTTTCTCACATACCGCCACAACACACACACACACACACACACACACACACACGCAAAGTCCCTCACCCTTTTTTTGCAGGCAGCGGTACAAAGTATACTTGCACGGGGCGCAGCTGTCCGTCGCCGTCGGCTCGGTCTCTTAATGCGCGCGCTATATTATTATTTTTTTTTTTAATTTTTCACAAAAGCGGTAATTTCAAAGCATACATTATGTCACCTATATAATATTACGTCGTAAGGAGGACGTGAATTTTTTATTTCCCGCGGAATTGCCTGACATAGGTGTACTATTTTCGCACGGGACTCAAACGCGAACGGTGCTAAACGGGGGAATCGTCGTATTTTTGATTTTATTATACATACAGTTATTGTATAATGTTATAGGGATTTAATAACCCCGAGAATTACACAATTTTGGTTTTTTTACCGTATTGTTACTAACCATATAACGTAAGGGTGGCGTGTTTGGCATTTTCGTACGAGGGAACTTCGAGCGGTATTTCCGCCGACCCTTCAGTGATAATATAATATATGTATATAATTATTAAACATATTTTCAACTAGAAATACTGGTACCTGCAAAATAATCTTGATACCTACTTCTTCCATTAACAATTTAATTTCAAATAATATATACAAGTAAATCGTGACATACTGCATATAACACAATTATTATGTATTGCCATAACTCTTTTTAGACTATTTGAAAGTTTAATTGTACAAAAGTACGTAATAATAATTTTACGATAATGTTAATATGATACGAATAATGCATACTTTATAAAATGATAGGTATCTCATAAAACGAAAATATTTTATTATTATGATTTGTAACTTATGATACGATAAATGCTATATTGAAAAGATACAGTGGCGTATTTTCACGGGGGGAGGGGGTCAAAGGTACTGGACCTTCCAGAGTTAAAAAAACAAATATATCTGCATCATAGTTAAATAATAAGTATATATGAAATATTATTACCAATAGAGCATTACCAATTAGTATTATTATAATCTTATATATAAAATTATGGTGTCACAATGTTCGTTCCCATACTCCTCCGAGACGGCTTGATCGATTCTCATGAAATTTTATACGAATATTTAGTAGGTCTGAGAATCGGCTACTATCTAAGTTTGTATGCTCTGCGATAAGTGGTTCCGGAGTTATGGCCTCTTAAGTCAAAGTATACTAGCACGCACGATATTCAACAATTATTATTTTACCATGGGGAGATAATATACACTCTATGTGGTTATTTTTTATTATTGGTTTCCGTGGCACCCGCGTGCCAATAACAATTGAGAACGGCTGGGCCAATTTGGCTAATTTTGCTAACCTAACCTAACCTATGTACGTGTGTTTTGCATATATTTCAATGTCAACAAAACGCAAAGGGGCTGATTTGAACCGTAATACAAGTAAATCTCGAAGCTTGCGAAATAGAAGATCCGAAAGAACCGAAGAACAAATTCAGCAACAAAATACTAATGCACGTGTCAGAATGGCGCAATTGCGTCAAGAAGAGTCAGAAGACACATGAGCTGAACGCAATGAAGTATTAAGATTAGAACAACGACAATCACGCCGTTTCACAGTCAATAGACGCAGAACAAATGACCAACAACGACAACAGATACATCGAGCATTTACATCTGATTCATTCTTGCGTCTAGCATTCCAGTATGAGCCCGATATTGAATATTATGCTCATTCAAAAGTGGTAATTCAAAATCAGAGGCCAAGTTTATCATACTCAGGCTCACTGCTGCCAATGCCAAACGAACCACATACATTTTTACAAATCTACTTCATGGGCGGCGAGGATTCCGGAAGCGCACTTGCCAATCGCGTGAATGCACGTTGTGATTATAATAACCTTGATTCATTTTATGCCAGACGCATCGTCAGCGAGCTGGATGCTCTATTGAATGAGCACAACGAATTGTTGAAAATATTAAAATCACACATGCACAAATTACAAAGCGATAATCACGCTATCGTCATTAATCCTGATAAAACACCAGCTGGAGAGCATATTTGTAGATTCAATGCACCCGTTGTTGATGATGTTGCTGGAATCATGGTGGCGATCGTACAGGTGCACGAGAAATTGTGATTCGTAGAAGAAATAATAATCTTCAGTTCATTGCTGATACACATCGTTCATATGACGCTCTCCAATNCGCTAATATTCTGGAAGGGGCAAGGGATAAAATTATCATCTGGGATAAATGTACTATGGCACACAAACATTCGCTTGAGGCGTTGAACAGGACATTGAAAGATATTAAAAACAAAGATAATCTATTTGGCGGAACTCTGTTGGTCCTTTCAGGTGATTTCAGGCAAACACTTCCAGTCATTCCACGTTCAACATACGCTGATGAGATCAACGCTTGCTTAAAATCATCTCCATTGTGGCGTAACGTTGAAAAAGTACAGCTGAAAGTAAATATGCGCGTTCAAATGCTTCAAGATCCATCCGCTGAAACATTTTCAAAACAACTCTTAGATATCGGTGATGGAAAAGTTGCTATAGATGAAACTGGATACGTAAAATTACCGACCGATTTCTGCACAATCGCTGATTCGCAAGATACTCTCATTGAACAAATATTTCCCGATGTACACACACAGTACATAAATCATGAGTGGCTTGCAGAAAGAGCAATTTTAGCGGCAAAAAATGTAGACGTTGACAATTTAAATCTGAAGATACAAATGTTGTTGCCAGGGAACTTGGTATCATATAAATCTATTGATACAGTTTGCGACGACAGCGAAGCAGTAAATTTTCCCACAGAGTTTTTGAACTCACTGGATTTACCAGGCATGCCACCGCATAATTTACAATTAAAGGTTGGATCTGCGATTATCTTGCTTTGTAATTTGAACCCACCCCGGCTGTGCAACGGTACGTGATTAGTCATTCAAAAATTAATGAAAAATGTGATCGAAGCCAGCATTTTAAATGGCAAGTTCCGAGATGGAAATATATTAATACCACGGATTCCTATTATACCTACAGATGTGTCAATTCAATTCAAACGTAATCAGTTTCCGATTAGATTGGCATTTGCAATGACAATCAACAAATCCCAAGGTCAAACGATGCCTATTTGTGGCTTAGATTTGAGAACACCATGTTTTCCACATGGACAATTATACGTGGCATGCTCTCGAGTGGGTAAACCATCCAGTTTGTTTGTGTTAGCTAAAGATGGACTAACAAAAAATATTGTTCACGCTATAGCATTAAGAGATTGATATTTTTAAGGAATAAATTATAATAACTTAAAAATAATGTTTGCCTTTTGTTATTTTTATATTCCCTCATCGTTCACAGCGCTCCATGCCTCTTTCACTAATTTACCACATCCTTAAACACTTACAATAAGTTAGTTATTTTTTTTCTAGACTATAGATTCCCTAGAAATAATTTATATGGCAAAACAACGCTTGCCGGGACAGCAAGATAATAAGAATCAGCATAATCTGAATAAGAATAATCATCACTTAAATAATAATAATAATAATAATCAGCACAATAATAATAATAATCAACAAAAAAAATATAATAAGAATCAGCGTTATCAAAAATAAGAATAATCATCACTTAAATAATAATAATGATCAGCAGCAGCATAATAAGCATCAAAAAAAAAAAAAA